GAAATATACTCTAATATAGTACACATATTGTGAACTATCATTATAATTATAGGTTCATATGTTACCAACCAATTTTGTCCAACGTATACTTAAAATATTAAAAATTAAACACTCAACCTAAGTCAATATGTACCTAGACAACATTTAAATATTTTAATGTATAAAATAGGAAAATTCATGTTTTTTACTTATCTAGTTTGAAATTAAAACCCCTTATGTGTACTTTTTTAATTTTTTTTTCTGCTTCGTCAATACAACTACAACGGAATGCCATTTTATCCACTCGTATATACACCGTTTATATTTAAGTGCTCTTCGGACGAGTTTAAATTCAGTTGACTTCGTTGACGCATATAATACGTTTCCTCAAATATTTTAAAGTGCTAAAATAAATGTTTGCAATTTTTAATTATTTGCATATTCATATTATTACGGTGCACATTTTCGGGTAAAAACGTATAGTCTTTGAGTATTTTAATGGCTTCGGATTAATAAGAACACATAATTATTACCAAAACTCAAACACCGAGTGAGATGTGTTAATCGCGAAGTGCACGTTAAATGGATCACTTGATATGTATTCAGTGGTATACTCGTATACATAACTTTTGTATGGGGGGGGGAGGAATCAGTTGCAAAAAAACTATTATGGAAGGAAAATAATAAAATATATATACATTAAATGTGTCAAAATAAAAATTTACAATAAATCCTTGTAATATTTTTTTGTTTCCTTATAATTTCCTTACATTAAGAACACTATTTTATACAATTTTAAAAATACTTATGAAGGGATCTGACCCCTACATCCCCTCCTTGTATACGCCCTTGTATTTATTGTACATTACACGTAATAGGACTATGGACGGGTAAATCGACCAACTCGGCAATTCGTGCGTATGCACACAGCACACAAACACGATATTTCATCCATCAAACGGCATTTACGTCCCGACTGTATTCCATGGTCATACGTTGTAGGTCTTCGAGGGAACGTGAAAATTACAGTTGACAATTAGGCCAATCGTAAGGATTCGGAAATTGAAATAGTATACATACAATAAAATACATTCGTTATACTGTGTATAAATATATTGATATAAATACAACATAATGTTCGCGTTACATTATGTCATAATAATTATATATTGAGGTTATCATTGATTAAGTGCCAGCATTTTTTTTTTTTACCTATATTTATACTTACCGTATGCAAAACTGCACAGGTGCCTATAATTGATTTTCTCGATATTTCAACAACCTCTATCATTCCTTTTCATTGTTATCGAAACGGGAAAATAGAATTTTATTAAATTAATTTCCATTCCAGTGTACAAATAATAATAATAATAATAATAATAACGTACCGTGTATATTACATTTTATATTGGACTCGGTTGATCGTTTTAGTTGAGCCTGCAGCCCCTTCTGACACTTTAATAGGATGCCAACCACAACATGTATCTGGGACTAAAATTGTGTGCAGTTCGACACGCTTTATGTAATACGAAATGTTAAGTGTGTAGTACGAAATTAAAAAATGTGTTATGGTTTTATCCTCTATATTATGGTATTTGTTTTTAATTTTACATTTTTTTTTATTAAATTATTTTACATATTTTTAAAATTGAAAGATTTATCATCAGCATAATCTAAAATACCAACTATTTTAACTGTGTTACTCATTACTATTAACGTTTAAAAGAGGATATATGACAAAATCCTTAAGTGCACATTACGAACAAGTATATATTTTAGCCTCTGCCGTGTATGTGTTGTCTCAGGCTAAAAACAGTGACGTCATTTGATACAGGGGAGGGAGGGTTCATGCATTTGCCGCAGTCTAGAGTTTAATCATTCTAAAGTCAGTACATCGTAAATATATGAATACGTATTTTATAAAGCTATTGATATGTTGTGAATCAGAAAATTTAGACGTGTATTTTACGGGTACTTACGTATAATGTACAAGTCATTATATTTTTGGATTGGTTTAATGTCCCTCTCACGGTAATCGGCACTTTGGTAAAATGATCCACCGAGTCGACAATATAATAACAGCATTCCGACTACCTTACTCTAGAGAAAACTGAAATTACGTCACTGACCAACAAACACACAACGTACAACACATCAAATTTGCGTTCATTAGTTTAAATATTGTGTTTTTTGTCTAAACGTTAAATAAACTGACCTATTATCGAACATAAGAGAAAGAACATTATTTGTATATTATTAGTCGATTTAATACGATATTTTAATTTTTAAGCGAGTTTTGAGTACGTCAGATGTTACAATTTAAAAAAATACATAACTGAATTATAAGCTAAAGTTGAATAATAAAACACGTATAAAATGTTATTCGGCATTTATGTGTGATAATAAGTTAGTTTATTCTAACCGCCCTTTTATCTTGTCAGAACCATGGGCAAAAATTAAAAAGAAAAAAAAGGAAGATTTCCCGAACACAAATCCTGTCTTATTATCTTACTTATGTTACTCGCTACGACATATTTATATTGTTATCTTTGCATCACGTATAATAAGTTTATATGTATATATATTTTAACATCTCGCTAAGTAAACACTACGTGGCATCGCACGACGACCTTTTGGCGCCATTGTTTTGCTCGTCCAAGATTTGCTAATGTGGGTTATGAACAAATGCGTTTTTTAGCCGTTTTAGGCGTGCGCGAGGCTATTTTACTCACCAGCTTATACACTGATGGCGCACATAATATACATATTCGTGCCAGCGGATCTCTTTTTCGTTGTTTGGCATCGTCTCCTGATTCCGTTCCTCTCTCTCCCTCTCTCCTTCACTCTCTTTCTCTCTCTCTCTCTCTCTCTCTCTTTCTCTCTCTCTCTCTCTCTATATATATATTTCTATCTCTCTCTCTTTCTATTTCTCTCCGAGTCTGACTGCGATATATTTTTAAACATCATCGACCGCCATCGCCATCCAGTCTTGTTCGTGGTATAAAATATGCGGTATGAACCACCTCGGTCACGCATATTCATACACATACACATTATATATGTGACCTTTTATAATATATTACCTGTGAGCTTCCACATAACTGCAACCGCGACCAACTGCGATTACCACATCACACACACAGTATATATATATATATTGATACCACATACCACATAATGTATTTATTTGTACCAATTGTATGAGAAAACTGTTTATTATTTATCGATAGGCCCTCTCATACCACGCCCGTTTTTCACTCCATTCACCGCAAACAATTATAACATTTCGATCCAAAATCTTTCGAAAGTCACATCTAGATTACACAGACGACCGCGGCTAAATTGTTGTATGGTGTTATGTATCTTACGAGTATGGGTCAACTGCAACAGCGGTTGTCACTATATTTACACTTGCAACATAATATATTGGAAATAGCTTGTAACAGCATTAGAAGGACTGTGAAAAATTGTAGTTATACTAAATGATGTTGACTTTTTGACTGATGTAAACTATCCACCTCAAACATGAGATGGCCTTCGTACTAACAGATTATATGTCGAGTAAGACTGGTGTCGTTATTAACGATTTCTATTGTAATATCATAAACTTTTCGCATAGCTTTCGCGATGAAAACTACGCTGTATAGTTCATATAATATCTAGTTGATTTATATACTTGTATTTTTTACGTCCCTCGTTCTCTCTCTCTCTCTTCTTTTATCCTTTATATCTTTCTCTGTATCCTTCTATATATGATAAATCGGTTCACGTCATAAATTTCGCATCTCTAAAAAAAGCACTGTGTTGTATAATTTACAGCAGCTACACTTAAGGCATAATTCCGGACCCGTTCATAAGCTGTTAGGTAACCTATTATATATATTACTTAAAAACTCGCGTCTTATTCGAATTAAAACATACAAAGAATTTGGGTGATGAATTAATGTTCAGTAAAAGTACAAAATAGAGAGAGGATACGATTGAATATCGTTTAAATTAAATTTGAATTTCAGATGATATAATAATGCGGTCTTAAACTAGAAAGTTCAAGCGTTATAGTAATACATTTTAAGACTATAATTATAATGCATTTCTTTCCCCTATATCTCTTCTTCATCTAAGTATACCTACATTGTTAAAAAAAAAAAATGTATGCATCAATAATTTTCTTTTATATTGTATAATAAAATTAAAATTAAAATCATTATTGATTGTGTTACTTGAAAATAATTATTAAAAATAAACTTTTGTAGATTTAATGTTTGATTCAATGGTTCAAAAATAATTAATTTAATAATCACATTTGTTTTGCTAAATCTTTAATTTACAGACAATTTTACTCGTATTTTGTGAATTATTTGATTTTTCATATTTAAAATTTTTACAAATCAATGACGTACTTTTACAAGTACATTTTAAATCCACATAAGTATTCAAATAATAAATACTTGATAGATTAATTTAACTTTTAAATCAAATACAAATTTTCAATTGCAATCCTAAAAGTATATTTTTTTTATTGACATAGCGGCTTGTCTAAACACATTTTTGTTATTATATTAATTATATTAACCGAAAATGAACACACGAATATCATATCAAACACTTTTTAAGTCTATATAATAATCCATTATGATAACTCATATGTCTACTATGTATAAGCTTTCCGATGTATATACTGTAAATGGCACATTATATGGCACATGGCACATTATGTAGCTGGGTTATTATGTAATCTTTATTGTTTTTGTAATATAAAACTTAAAACTTGATACTCATCGAAGTTAAGTTTTTGTTTTTTTTTTTCAGAAAACTATTTAAGCGTTATATAAAATTTCAAAATAGTTTTAGAACTTGAACAAAATAAAGATCGTAATATGATTTGTATCATATTTTTGAACATGCATAGTTAATGCATAGTTAATTATATCAATTATTTTATTGTACATTATATATTTATAAATTATATGTAGTATACGTATATTTAAACATAATTTATAATACATTTTTTTTTTTTTTAGAGGAGCATTTTCTGTTGTAAGGAAATGCATTCAAAAGCACACAGGATTGGAATTCGCCGCAAAAATTATAAATACAAAAAAATTATCAGCCCGAGGTAAATTATTTATTTATTTCATAAAAAAAAACCTCATATATTAAGTATCATTTTAAAATGAGGTTTGAGATCAATTTCTTTTGATGGTTTTCCGTCAAAAGGGATCACGTAGTAGAAGTACCATATTGGCCATTATTATCTATTCACCGGAACAGCGAAACCCTAAAGCTTTTAGAAAAAGAATGAAGAGTCACAACAGCAAGTAGTAATAAGGGTTAAAAAAAAAAATCGCGAGTATAAGTCAAGTTATCTTCTTGACCTTTTAATTAACATACTCAGACGTTTAAAAATAAAAAAATCGGGTGTATTTGCAAGTATTATTAGTTGTCGAGATTGTAATAAAACGCATAATACTTGTGGGACAAAATTAGGCCGAAATCGTATTCGATTGAAATCGTCTTTTATAGTTAATATTAATGAAACATTTTTTTCAAAACATCTAATTTAAAGATATTTAATGACTTTTAATAAAGTTTATAAAATATAATAAAATTTAGGCAATGGTGTCGAACTCTGGGTTTAAGTTAAATCATGAGCAGACCATGCTTTTAAGGTGGTATCGTTATAGGTTAGTATACGAGTAATAAGTGAATTAATGCAATGAACTATAAATTATAGTACTGCCCATTTAATAATTACTATTTAATACGTTTAAGTACCTAAATGCTATCATAAATGCTAAAATAGGTTAAACATTTTTGGGTGAGGGTGAACTTCTAATCCCTTAAAGTATGTTCTTAGGCAGGGTGGGTTGTATGTTGTAAGTTCGGTGGCTATTGATTAGACCATTCAAAATTTTGTTCGACGCCATTGAATATAGATATGTAAATACGAAATATACAAAATTAATAAATTATGAATTATAGTACATCAGAATCATAAACCAGCAATATTTTAATATTAAATTACTATAGGATTTCTATTGTATGCTGTTATTTATTTCTAAACAAATGATTATTTAATAAATAATTATGATTGTAGAATGTTTTGAATTGAAATGAAAATGTTTACATTTTTTAAATAATTAATTCTCTATACATACTACAGAGTGTATTCGAATATTTGTCGTTGTACTATATTGGAGATTTCTGCAGGGTTTTCATCAGCTAATAATGTATCGAGAATACCATGAAACATTCCTTTCTATGGACAATATAATGCGTATTATATATTATTATATATTATATATTATATATTATTATATATATACATGTATTATCCGTTATTCGCTTAATTTTAATGTCTATTTGAAAAATATTTCCGAAATTTCTCTTACTAAATATTTTTTTAATTATAAAATTTATTTTATTTTACCGGTTTGCAATTTAATTTAATTTTGATATTTTAATTTAAAAATATAATATTTTGTTACAAATGTTTGCATCGGATTAGTAACTTCGTACAGCTATTGATTTTTAATAAAAATACAAATATGAAAATTTTTTACTCATCTGACAGAAATAATATTAGTTGATTATTGTGAAAATTTCAAAAACGGTATATATTTGAAATAGGTGCATTAAGGGTGGTTATTTTACATTAAGAAAATAATTTTCTTGACTATACGAGTACAACACGAATAATAAAATAAAATATTTTCGATATTCTTAAAGCACTCGCTTTAACCAGTGTACAAAGATTTTTTTTTTCTTTTGAGCAGTGAAAGGGTCCATGGCTATAATTTATATCTTAAAGGAATCCATGGCCCAGAAAATATTAATAACCACTGCTTTAAATTGTTTTTTATAGGGGGTATCCGGGTTATTGATTGAACTTATGGAATTAATAATATAATATTGGATTATTTCAATATTATTATAACATTGATATTACAATAATAAATGAGTTTTATGTTATTTTTCAATATTAATATATTAAAAAAGAATGGCTAGTTAAAAAACTTATGGTTTTATTATTGTGTTGGATAGTTCTTAAGTATACGAGAAAATTTATACTTTTGTAGAATAAACAAATATTTGAACAAAAAAAAAAGTATTATATAAATAATAAAAAGCAGATATTTAAATATTTACATTTTAACGTTGCATTATGTAATCTCAACGTTATTAAACGTGAACGAAACGTCCCGATCAGATTTGATAATAATATTATGTACTGGTATAAATATATATACGCTACACACGGTGGGTTGAACTATGCATACTTGGCTATGTGTGCAGATGTCAAACTATGAACGCATGAACAATCTTAATATTCATTTTGGTAGCTGGATTTTTGAATTGTTCATCTAATATTTACCATGTTTCGTAGGAAGTATTCAAATAATTTAGTGACGAAAATAACCGTTACCTTATGAAACTGTAGTTCCAGCGAACGAGTCATTTAATTTTCCCAGACAGGATCCGGTAACCGCGAGGATATAAAAATCCTAAAAGCCTGCACGAACGAGGCGTAGCAAACGTTATTATTGAGCATACAGCATCTAAAAATAATGTCACCTCCGACGCGAATCCGTACTGTATTACAGTCCTACGCAAATTAGTAATGACCAGAGTGCATTAAATCCATGCGATACCATTAACGTGGGTTAAGCTGGTTAAGGTGCGAATGTTACGCGCAGACATTTTTAATGGAACGAGACGTATTTAATATTAAATTAAAACGAAACCCTTATCGCATCTCCACCGTAATATAATTGTGTTTTGTACGGGTGTTCTTGGGAAATCAGTTTTTTCACCGGTTACGTGGAATTACCACGCGAAATCATAACGCGACAAATAGTGGTTTGAGGACGCACCCACCCACATCCTCCCGACCAACAATAAGAATCGAGCATATAAAATACGAGTAATACGTGTGTCCGACTCGAGATAACTTTTAACCGTTCGCTAAACGTACGGTGATTTTTACCGTCCCTTATTGATCATTTCGTATGCGGTGCGCGGTATCTCGACATCAATGGGGTGCATTTTTCGGGTCCGCGCGCGTGCCTGTGATCCTCGTAGGGATCGGGTCGGCGGCGCGCGATAAGACCTAGTGGGAAGGCAAAAGCGTCCGCTTTTACCCGACGACACCGGCGCGTGAATCGGCTGCACACGATTACTACTATAGTTCGTGATTGATCGGGGATAATGTACGCGGTTCAATGTGTCGTTGTCACACCGTAAGACCATGCAACCAACTGATCCGCGACCCTTACTGAACTTTGCCTTTGGGCGGTGTGGAGTGTGTGTGGCGAGGTGGAAATCCAGGGTACATCCGCTGGAGGACTCTGCTGGAGACGCTTGTTAACAATCAAAAGAAAGCTGATTGACAGTACGTGATTATATGTGCGCGCGTGTGTGTCGGTTACGAGTTTGTGTGCATTGCGACGAGGCGGCTGTCGCCACACCGCTACACGCCGCCGCGCGGTATTGATTAAACGCGCGCTTTTATACATTCGCTCCGGCTTATTTGCTTTTCGGTAACGGTCGGGTTCGGCCGGGATTCGCCGCGTCGCAAATTTGACCGCAATATAATATATATACTTGTACGAGTGTTATATTGAGCTGTGTGGTGTGTGTGTGTGTGTGTCACTTCCACGACCATAAAGGGGGTAGGGGTGCTATAGAGCATTTAGTTTACAGATTCGCAATTTAGATTTTATGTCGAAATTGTCATGCGTATTTGTGGCCACATTTGTGTTTTCTATATTTTCATTCGTACACTTGTTTTTTTTTTTTTTTTTTGCGTTATTACATATTAACTGAGATTCAACACCTGAATACGAAAATATCATATCTCACTTAACGTCGCTTACACAGGTCGTGTGTATCGTAAAAAGTACGAAATTATATGATTTATGCGAGTTCTCAAATACCGCCAGTACAATAGTTTTTAAAAACTTTTTTCTTAAAGACTAAACACAGATATACATTTGGACATAAATTTTGATCAACGGGTAAGTTTGGGGAATAATAGCACTTTGTATTCGCGTTACGGTAAATTTTACTCCTACTGAAGTTGTACGTTGTACGTGAATATTTTTTCAAGTACCTAATCGACGAAATTTATTGTCTTAGTTTTAGAAGATTACTCATTAATGCACCGACAGTAAAATAACGTTTTTTTTTTATCTATACGTCTGAAATCACTTGGGTGCAAAGCTATCCTTTCGTTTCACGGCTATATTTAATTAAAACAACATATTAAGCAAACTCTAAAATAGCACCTCTACTTGCGCCACTGAACTTTGTGCGTGTGCAAAGTTCTATAGAGGTTTTTGTAAAACACGATAAATACAAATGCGACGACTCATCCCCACGTCCGTATGTACACGTCCTCGTATTATTATATTACGTCGGGGTCGAGTCATTTCTGCGGCTGACGGGACAGCGGAGTGGGACAATAGAGAACGTGACATGCACAACCAATGTCATGTTTTGTCGGCATACGCAAAGTACAAAACACATATTATTATAATAATAATAATAGTAATAATTATAAAAACTATGTATACGTAAGCACACGTGTACTTACATGCTGTTGTGGTGAGAAAAGTAGAAAAGGAAGTTAGATAGTGATAGGGAGAGAGAGGATATCCATTACATAATACACAATTAATTACATCAATCTATACTTGTTTCCACGGTGTAATAATTCGTATGTTGTATAATACATCGTGAACGTTTTGTGATTCCGCATGATTGGCAAACGTGATACGAGGGATCTATGTTTCGCACGTGGGGCTTAACCCTGCGCCGAAATCAATAGATATTTTTTGCAATAAATTATAACTCGAATGGTTTACTTTTTTTATTTTCATTAACAATACAATAGGCAAATAATAAAATCATAATGCGCGAGATTAAACGCAGTCTTATCCAACGTCATTAATCGAATGTTTAGCATACGTGGATTTCAATAACCGAATTCAAACAGTCTATAATATGTCATATCGATATACCTCCGGTAATAATAGTAGTTTTTGTGCACGAACACGCTGAGGTTATTTGGAATTCGGTTGAAAAATAATAGGTTTCGGAATACATATTTATTTTTATCTGTATTCAGTGCTATTTGATTTTGAAAATTAATTAAAACATTAAAATTCATAATAGATATATTACAGAAGTATAGATATCAAATGGATTTTTTGGAATGTTCGTTTACGCATCGTTATACAAAAAAAATGAAAATAAAACATATAATTTGCGTGCTAACATTTTATTTTATATTTATATAATTGTGAGTATACGAGTACGCATTTAAATTTGCCTGTAAAATAAATGAATAACTATTACGAATTCATAGAGTTCATCAAAAACAATTTATATTTATTGAAAAAAAAAATATTACAATATTGATGTAAGTCAACATTTTTCAGTCAAACATCACTTCTTTGATCACACATTGTAGTACCCACTGCTTGTTTAAAAAAAAAATTTACTCATTAACAAAATCGATAGGTAATGTACTCATAAACGTAGGGTGTATTCATTCTTAAGTTGTCATTATTTATTAATCATTATAAAATAAACCAAGAAACCGTATAATGTTATATAATTGTGTGTTTAAGATGTTTTAAATCTTTGCTTGGTCGATTTTAATAGTGTCTGTTCAACATCAAATAAGTGATTACAAATTTCTTAAGTTTTTTTGATTAATAATAGCCGTTACTTGGTTTAGTATTGCATCTGTGAAATGTAGTTATCAAAGACAAAAAAAATTAACTTAACACGTTTTCCTACTCGTATATTAAATGTATATATGTTCCGTGTAATAGAATACCAATTAAACTAGAAGCTTTTTAAAACTAAAAACTATAAACTTAATTACTTTTGAGAAATGTTATTTAATTAATAAACATCAAACGGCCAAAACACATTGATACCGATGGCTAATGTATTATTATAGTCTGTTAACTTTTAGTAGCCGCGTGTAAATTGATTAAAAATGTAAAATCGATTTTAGCGTTATACGTACTTGTAAAACATGAACTACAGATTACTCCGTTTCGTTCATATTGTACACATTAATCCTCGAAAGTTGTCTATACAAAAATTATCTTTTAAAAAGTTATTTTTTTAAATCATAAACAAAAACATAAAACAAAATATGAATAAAATATTTCATTAAAAATATACATTTTTACGGGAGGCTGATCAAAAATTCATATTATAAAAATATGAAATCGCATACATGATTTGCATTTTATCATAGCCATTTATGTGTTGTGAAAGTCTGATAATTTTGTATATTTTCATAATTGCAAAAGTTGACGAGACATATTTTATTCAAATGCAATTGAATTGTTTTAGATTTTCAAAAATTAGAAAGAGAAGCAAGAATATGCAGAAAGTTACAGCACCCAAATATAGGTAAGTTATTTTTACCATGAATAACCAATTTGTTTTGTATATTGCATTTGAAAAAAACCATGATTAACAAACATTTCAAAGTTTTAATAATTCTCTATAGAAAACAATATATTGTAATATGTTATATTATAACATATTACAATATATTATGTTGACGTTGTAAAAATGTAACTGGTCACAAAAAAAAATATCCCAAACTATAAATCTGAGCAGTTACTTTTGAAGTTTGATAATTCTTTAAAATTAATATATTCACGAAGAGTTATATAATAGTAAACGTAATGTTTAACTGTATCTCGAAAAACATATAAACACTTGACATTAATCTATGTTTGTCGACGGAAGTAATAAAATTATTATTTTTTTTGTACCAAATATTTGGTTTTTCATTTCAGTAAGTGAAACTGAGTTTTTAAAATACCATTATAGATTTTTTGTATACTGAATATTTATTTTTATTATATAATCTAGTTAGTTGATCATTTAAATATATATATATGGTACATGTATTTTAAGATGCGCATTATTTTTTTTTTTTTACCATCACCTAAATGATATGTTAATTTATTTTTATATCTTATGTCAATACTTCAACTAATATAATAAATATATGATAAACATTTTTTAAATATTTAGGTTTATAGATCTATTATATTTTATCTACATATATAGATGGATTAAAAAAAAATTATTCAAATATATAATTGTTATAAAAATTTGTTTTAGTTTGATTTATAAAAGTATATGAAATATACAAAAACATTTAATATTGAAACTAAGAAAAAAATGCATTAAACATTTAGGTAGAGTGTGTTGTTATATGGATGTGCCCATCAGGAAAAGTGAAGAGACAATTTAGAAGAAATGGAAATGTGGACCTGGAGAAAAATTAATAAAACATCGTGGGTTGAAAGAAAAACAAATGAACAAGTATTAAAAGATGTAAAAAAAAAATGATATAATGAGATATATATATAGAGATATTATATATATAAAGATATTATAGAGATGTTTTAAAGAAGGAAATTAAATTAATAGAGAACTTTTTCAAACATAACTCATTTGTAAAGAATATTTTCTAAGGATAGGTCATGGGGAAAAGATCAAGTGGACTTCCAATAATATCATATTTCGAAGATCTCAAATAACTCGTGAATGTAACATCCTATTCACAGTTGAAAAATGTGGTAAACGACAAAAACATATGACTATCACGATAAGGTATAGTCTTTAAATGATGATGAAGAAAGTATAAAAATGATTACACTTAATTTTGTATAATGTATTATACTGATTTGAATACATTCACATTTTCAAATATAACATAAGCTATTTTTTATGACATATTATGAAAGGACAACCTAAAATGATTTTATGTTCCATTGAAAAAAAAATTGTTAACGTAACTCATCTACTAAAAATATAAACTAGTAAATAATCTAAAACATATATATGAGTCTTTTTGAGGCATCATAAACAATGGCTGAATGCTGTTAATAATATCTTTTCATCTTAATTGTTTTAATTAAATGGTGTTATTATTGTAAAAATAATTGTACCTATGTAAAAAACTACAGGGTACGACCCTGGACTTTATTACATTTTATACATTATCATTGAAGTGCATATTGTTGTTTATTATATAGGATATTTATTTTTTATAGTCCGATTACACGACAGCATCCAAGAGGAACTGTTCCACTACCTTGTGTTCGACCTGTAAGTACAACTTTTCGTACAGTATTTGTATACAAATCATGTCATAAGCACAGGTACACATATTCTCCCTACCCGTCTCTTTCTCTCTCATTCTCTCTCTTTTTCTCTCTTTCTCTCTCTCTTTACATTGCATAAAGAGCACATGCAGAGCCTTGGGGTCTATGTATAAATAGTATAAGAAGTGGATTCGGCCAAGAAATATATTACGTACACAGACACACAGACCTATTGTATGGATTGGCAAAGAACATCGTTGTAAGGAAATAACGAACAATTATATAATCTTAAACAATGTAGGTGGATAATTAGGTGATTATTGTCATCATAAAAATACAGTTGAAATTTTAATATATTGAATTTACGATTTTTGTTCACCCCTGTGCGCCCTAAATACATGAGCGCGTGCATCAATTGTTGTTTGAATTCGAAAATATCGCATAACTACTATTGTCGTCGCGGCGGTGTTATTTTAATTTCCTATAGAACATGCCAAGTATTAATGATGCCAATTTTTAAATTTTCATCCAACCGGTGGACGAGCAGTGTACACACTGTGCAACATAAAATATATAAATCCATGCGTATGAAAGCTTACACGTTTATTACTACTACCACTTTACTATCGTGACGACGCCCATATTAGTTATTATCAATCAGTGAGAACCGTTAAATTATTATTTTTTTTTATACACATCGGTAGTCATTCGCTTTTTATTCTATATAATATAATTTGTAGTTATATGTGGAGCCCAACCCTCCCTCCATAGATTAACGCATAATAAAAGTAAAATATTCCTCGATTTTATACGCACATTGCACTAGACGACTCGTTATACTTTTTATGTGCGTCTAATATCTAATTATTTTTTTATTTTTATTTATTTTTTTTTACGTTAGACAACATTTTTATAGTTTAGACGTTATTAATGTGTATATTTGCGATAAAGAAAAACCGTTAACAAAACTAATTATTGTCTAAGAGGGTTAACGGTCTTTGTTGAAACGTATGTAACGTAATGATGAGCTTAATCATCATTCTTGTTTTTTACAACTTTTATATGGGTCGATGCATTTATTATTATTGGTTCGCAATAGTATTTTATTTTTATTTATGTTGTTTGAACAAGACAGAAAAAAATAACACAAATTACTTAAATAAATAAAATATTTCGTGTTCATGAAAATATATAACCCCACAATATTATAACTATTGTGGAAACAAGAATTACGTAATAACTGTAATGTAATCCGATACAATTTATCTACTACAATTCGACAATAAAATATTTATTAATTAAAACGAATTACATTACACCTGATAATATTAAAAACAAACCATACGAGGTCTGTTCAAAAAGTACCAGGATTTTATTTTTAATAATTACAAAAATGAAGTTACATATTATTTAAAGACATCGCCTTCAAAATACTCTCCTCTAGACGATATGCAGTGGTTCCAGCGATCTTGCCATTTTTCGAAAGTCCTTTGGAACTGTTCTAAAGTTATAGCTTTGAGTTCTGTTGCCGTATTCGCTTTAATTTCCTCTACATCTTGAAATCGTTGTCCTTTAAGCGCAGATTTTAATCTCGGGAAAAGAAAAAAATCGCATGGGGCTAGATCAGGAGAATAGGGAGGGTGCGGGACCACAGGTATTTTTTTTCAGCCAAAAATTCACGAATTGACAAAGCTGAATGTGCTGGCGCATTGTCGTGATGAAGAAACCAGGTTCCACTTCGCCATTTTTCTGGGCGCTTTTTGCGGATTCTTTCTCGCAAACGTATTAATACATCTTTATAGAATACCTGATTGACTATTTGTCCATGGGGCACAAATTCATAATAAACAATACCTTCAATATCAAAAAAAACAATCAGCATTGTCTTGACATTCGATCTCACTTGGCGAGCTTTTTTTGGTCGAGGGGAAAATTTTGTTTTCCACTGAGATGACTGTAACTTTGTTTCTGGATCGTACCCATAAACCCATGTCTCATCCCCTGTGATGATGTTTTTAATGAAATTAATATCAGCAGATCGATTTTTAAGGTCTTTACAAATCGTTAAACGATTTTCCTTTTGTTCCGATGTCAACAACCGCGGAACGAATTTAGCAGCTACCCTTCTCATTTGTAAATTTTCTGTTAAAATTTCATGACAAGATCCAATTGAGATTCCTGCCTCATTTGCTAACTCACGAACAGTTAATCTGCGGTCATTTCGCACTTTTTCGTAAATGTTTGCCACAACATCATCGTTTCTGGATGTCGACGGTCTTCCCGTACGTGGATCATCTTCAGTTGACTGTCGACCATCCTTGAAACGTTTAAACCACTCGAAAATAACGGAGCGACTTAAAGAATCGTCCCCAAAAGCAGTTTTAATCATTGTGTACGTTTCAGTTGCATTTTTACCAAGTTTCAAGCAAAACTTGATGCACACACGTTGTTCGTTAATTTCAGACATGACGAAAACGGAGATCGAAACAAACTGACTAGATTTAACCACGTATAATATTAAACTGAGATAAGATAGCGACTTCGGGTTTTGTTCAAAATATTATCTAATACGTTGGGAATATATCTATTTATAATTTAAAACGTTATCATGTATAGATTAGCCTCAATAACATTTGTCCTGGTACTTTTTGAACAGACCTCGTATTATACGCATAATTGATTATAATTATAATTATATAAGTTGATTTAAATTATTGTATGAGTATAAGTACGCACTATATGTAATAAATATTAATAAATATCCATAAAATGATGGAGAAAAAATGATATTAGAATTACATTAAAAACATATATTATACATCATATATTTCGGACAGTTTCTAAAATAATTTAACCATAAATTAAATAAATAATTTTTAATTTCTGTTATTATTTTTAGTTTCTCGAAAACGAGTAAATGTATACATAAAACCTTCTTTGAATTACGAGAAATTGAAATAAACAAGGGTGTTGTTCAAACAAGGGCGTTTCCCCCAAAGGCTATGTTCATCTTCGGAACACGAACAATGTGTTTTTCTGTTTTCGATTTTTCAACGGAGTTACCGAATAGTAACGCAATATTTATAGATCGTACTCAGTAAAGCGAGAAATCTTACAAAAACATTATGAATAGTCATCATGTTTACCCTAAAACACAATAGTTAGTAAATAATTTCACCGACGTTATTGTTTGAAACCTTTACTGTTGATTGCGTAACCGAATTGAATTTCTGCAATATAGAAATTTGTATTAATTATTAAATATTATTATTTTTTTCCCCGTAGCGTAACTGGTGGCGAATTATTCGAAGACATCGTGGCCAGAGAGTTCTACAGCGAAGCAGATGCGTCACATTGCATCCAACAGATACTGGAAAGCGTAAACCACTGCCACACAAACGGAGTTGTGCACAGGGATTTAAAAGTGAGATACTTTTTCCTACCTATTCATTATTTATGAAAATCTCGTCCTCTTTACAACAACTGTGCATTGTTGTAATCTATTTTTTCGCCGGCGGTGTGAAAACGAAGGACCTCGTGGGGAGACGTTGCCCGTCTAACCATTCTTTTGTACAACCTTTTACCGCAAGACAGACCACAAATGAAAATTATGTTTGCCCCCCCCCCCCCTTGGGTTACACGAATACAATGTCTTTATTTTTCTAAGTTTTCCTTCAAGTTAACGATGAACTCAAAGTTCATAATATTTTTAGTTTTTCCGCCTCAAGCAACATCTCATGTCTGTGTCACGTGGAAAATGGTTCATAATTTATAAGTGACTGCTACTATAATCGTATTAGTTCATAACGTATATGCCATAACGCAAGTGTATACATTTTGATATGATACCGTCGTAACGGATTAAAAGTAATTGCGTTCATAGAATTCCAACAAAAATAATTCACTTCTTATTGATTCCGAAGGTTTTCTTCCTGGCGATCGATATATACGTTTATATATATTTTTTATTTTCTGCATCAAATATTTTTGGTAAATATTCAGGTAGACGGGTAAAATACATACACAGGGTCAAATAAACTTCGAAACATGGTATTTCATAAAACTTTTAGAGATATTTTTTACCACGGAGGAGAACAAGTTTCAAACTCTTTAAATAGTTTGTGCTTTACCGAAAAAAAAAAAATAATATCGAAAAATAAACGACCTCTGGAGCGTCATAATGTAATAAAGTATTATTAGTTAGTTATAAATCATTTACAAAAATGCAATTTGTATCGTACTATACCAAATACCATGTAATAAAATATAGCAGATGTGAATACGTAACGTACCATCTGATACGCGCATACATTTTTCACCTGTTGTGTATCTTTTGTATTGGAACTTACCATTCACCCGACTGCCTAGTGAACGTAAAAACTAACCCAATAGGAATGAATAACCGTTAGAAATTCAATTAATTCAAATAAATTAAATTGCTAAATATTGATAGGAATATTTAAGTAGAAAAGTATCTAAAATTTTAATAAGAAGTCCTATTAATGATTTGGACAATTGTGAATTGAATTTTCTCAGTACCCGTTTATACCGAAGTTCGAAAAAAGCCAGTTACGAAATAATAGTTTAAATATATATTTATGATTTTTAGATATTAAAGATACATAAGTATACCAAAAAGTAATGAATATAAATATTTTATTGAAATTTAAGTTATACACATAATCCTACATTTGTGTGTATTTTTCAAAAACAAATAGTGAATTGATTTAAAAATAATTTAGGTCAAAGGAAAGCAAAAAATAAATAAATAATGCATGAGTATATTTAATAAAAAAATGTTAAAATGTCGATATTATACTTTTGAAAACATTATCAAGAAAAATATTTTAATTTTAGAAAAATGTATTTAAAGGGATGTACCTAATTTTAATATTTATTTTACAAAACCAAATCGTTCTTAGAATATTATTTCTTTAGTATTGGCTTTAAATTACTTAATGTAATTAAAACTTAGATATTGTAGATATTGAATATTATTTTTGACATGAGTATAATCGTGTCAATTGTATACACTCTTTTGCTTATTTAAAATATTAATTGTTTTTTTTTTCGTATATTTACGATCAAATTTTGCATGGAAATTATTTTATTTATCATCATGACGTATATTAACAGAATTTTCGTAATTTAAAAGTTCTTATCAGTTTATAATATAATGTGTTGCCTGCAAGAGAAAAGATTTAATCTACATAATAATTTACTTAAATTAGTTAATAATAGTTTTAGTTTATAAAAGTTGTACGTGTAAAATAAATAACATATTTTAAACACTGCAATTTGATTAAATAATTTATTAAAATAATTTGACTTAACATTTTTTGAATAATATTTAGTATTATTAATGATTATTCATTTTTTGGAAATCTTAAGGCTATACTAAACTGTTAATAAGTTTTATGCGAGTGGGGGACAAAAACGAAGAATATCTCATTTTTTCGTATTCATTCAATATAATTACTCCTTTTAGTTTATTATTTTCTCAAAATAATAACCAAAATTACTTTAAAAGTTTATATAAAATGTATTTTCTTTATTTTTTGCCATACAATTCCTAACAATAGATGGTCATTCTTATCTCTACCCTCCTTGCTGCTCTGTATGAAAACAAATTTTATTCGATTAAACTAATAGTTCAACACATTAAAAATAAAAAAAATAATCAATAGAGTGATTACTATTTTTTCTATGAGTGGTATTTTTAATCACAACGTATTCCAGTTTTCATATATTTTTCTTTGTTCACATTTTTTGTAAGCAATTTTTGAATAATCGTGTTAAGTAAAATATAGATAAAATAAAAATAATAAATAATAACAAAATATTATTTTAATATTATTGAAAAAATATATAACTACTATACCATTTTTAAATATTCAAAGTGTTTAAAAGTATCTGAGTAGCAAAATTGTAATTGAATATCTCCTCTGACTATCAATAATTATGCTACTGTTTACTAGTGCATATAATACGAGTATATAATGCTTCAACTTCCGAGCTTTAGACTTTTATTTTAGTACAAATTTTGCTTTCGCTAACCTAAACGTGTACCAAAATCGCGTTTATGTAAAATTTCATCATTCTATTTTGCCTATTCCCTCCGTAAATCCAATCTTGATCACTACTTAGGCTTCCGCGGATCACTCCGTATTATTAACGCTCCGTACATACGTTTTTGTCTCGAAATTTCTCTAAGTTCTTACCTTTCAACTGATAGAAAAAACGAAAACAACTTAATTTTTATACAGACTATCCCACGCGGATATACTATTATTACATTTTAAAATTTTTCCTAAGGATTATCTCTTTAGGATTTATAGGTGGTGTATGCTCTGTAATAATTATATTTGCAAGGGTTTTTTATAATGCTATCTTATCATTATTGGAACGTATTACATGTTGGACGTAAATAAGTTTTAATAATCAACCTCGTAGATGTTCTTGCAATACGTTCGAACACGCACCTCAAACATTTTTACCTACTACAAGGTGGTGGTTTTATTAGCACGTTACAACTTTCTTTTGAGGCGAAAAAAAAAATAAAAATGTTTTAAGAGTATTTGAAGTACTTCCGGTCGTTCCATCGTTCTCGGTTAACACCAATACAAACAATTGTATTTTGTGCAAAAATATTATGCAAGTTGTTTTCAAATTAATTTGAAAACCAATTTTGTTGTACGCAACTTTGAACTTACAAACGCGTAAAGTTTCCATTGATTAAATCACAAAAAGTCTTTGCTTTTCAAATCCCATGATTTTTCAAGGATTCATTCAAATTTCTCTGTAGAGAGAAAGAAACATAACAAAATAAAAAAACGTTAAAATATGTATGAGTATTAAGAAATATAGTGTTTTTCTTTTTTATTACTTCCTCTTTCTTCGATCTTACCTATTAAATTAAAATTTTGCCATCTGTACCTGTCCTCGCCAATTTCTAAGCTTTAACTGTAATTTCCAATCCTATCCTTTTGATGTCATCCTTCATATGAGATAAAGGATGTACCCATCATAAATTAACAGTCTTCTGTTTTGTACGCGAGCTCTAAACATTATTCGACAAGTATCTACTTTCAAGTATCTACAAGAAATCTACTTTCTTCGAATACCCCGGGCGGAATTAGTTTTTTCATCCTGCGACGGCTGCGCCTTTATGGCTGGAAGCATACATAACAATGATTAGCTTTTTTCATAAGCCATATGAAAATGACGGCTTGACCGAATTTTTTAGTTTTTTGTTTAAAGCGTATAACTAAACAAGACGCAACCTTTTTTCAATTGTTTATAACTCTTACATCATGAAATATAATCGATTTGAAAATATTTAATACTACCCGATTGTAAAATACATATTTTACCGTTATTCGAAAATAATTTTGACTAATATCATAACATACTACTTTTGGCAAATAATAAGCTAATTATATTTAATTAAGCTACAAAAGAAACAAATCATAACGGTCTAAAAGAAAAAAAAAATTTAAATCAAAATTAAAAGGAATACAATAAATGTACCTATGCGATTATAGTATAGTGACTTAATACTTACATAAATGTATTAATATTATTCACCAAATAATAATTTTAATTTATGTTTAGTATATTAATTAAACACAAAAATAAGTGTTTAACGTAGAATTGTTCCGTGTATATACCAAGATGAACAGTTGGTTAGTTACAGTACCGTCGCAAGTTTTTGCGAAGCCCTAGGCCAATGCAGTACAATTTCCATAAACCTAAATATACATAACTATTTTAACTTAACAAATTAAGTTAAGGCCCCGAATTTATTTTAAGTGCATGGCCCTAGGCAATCGACTAAGTTGCTTGCCCGCTAACAACGGCACTGGTTAGTTAAAGGCTATACTCTACCACTTACTGATTTACATAATACTACGTCCACTTTCTCGACGGAATCCCAACAGTAATAATTAAAATACACATAATTACGTACGAAGGTAATTATAATTTTTGTTTATCGTACATTTTATCACTAGCCCATCGTTGCTGGCACACCTCTAGGGTTGAGATAATAAACAAAACAACACCAACATGTCGTTAAACACTATAAATATTTAACCTACTTAAGATACCATGACGAGATAAACACACTACCATATTCCATTTTATATTTGATGAACGTTGTAAATATTGAAGACCGTATTTATTTTCTAGCCGGAAAACTTGTTGTTGGCTAGCAAAGTCAAAGGCGCAGCGGTGAAGTTGGCTGATTTCGGCTTAGCCATTGAGGTTCAGGGGGATCAGCAAGCGTGGTTTGGCAAGTTAACTTTTATTTTATTTTATTTTATTTTTTCATTTCCTCAAAAAATCTCGTTCACAGTATTTTATATTGAAATTCTGCTTTTATATAGGTTTCGCCGGAACTCCTGGCTACCTATCTCCTGAAGTACTGAAGAAAGAACCTTACGGAAAGCCGGTCGACATATGGGCTTGTGGTTTGTTTATAATAGCTATGATGCTGCAATGCAGTTGAGCTCTGTATGTAATTTTGAATTTTTTCACCAGGTGTTATACTCTATATACTGTTGGTTGGATACCCACCGTTCTGGGATGAAGATCAACATAGATTGTACGCCCAAATCAAAGCTGGCGCTTACGATGTAAGTATACAGCAGTATGAGTTACAATACATTGGATAATAACACACCATGAAAATACTATTTGTCAAATATAATAATGTTTAGATTTAATTTACGCTTTAACTCAATTGAATATTTAATATTATCACTTAATACAACAATTATAATTGGACTAGCGTTTATTTTTAACTTTACCATAGAAAAGGATCAATGTTCACACATTTTTAGAAAACTGATATTTCAATATGATTTTTGATGAGACATAATACAAAGTTAAATATCCAAGAAATTCACATTTTATTGGGAAAACATTTTACATTATTTGTATGTAAATATATAATTTTCATTCGATTAATAATAATAAATATTTTAAGTTTTAAAAAAGAAAAAATAACATTTGAAATAAAGGATTATTTTATGTATATTTATATAGTTTTTGAGAGAAATTTTAACTATACTTATCAATTAGTAAGAATGAACTATGAATTACATATACAGTGTGTCCCATAAGTCCCGTATTACCCTTAATATCTTCACGGGAAATTAATATATTTAAAGGCGGTTTTTTTACAATACTTAGTATGGAAATTCTGATTGAATGGCATAAAATTCAATTTTTTTTTTAAAAAGAATTCAAAAATTCAGAAAAAAATTTTTTATGCATTTAAGAATTTTCAATTTTGAAGATAGCTATTTCCTTGAGCATATTTTTTAAACAGTTAAAAAAAATATTAAAATCCAATTTATCCAAGACGGTGCACTAGCACATGATTCAAATACTGTGAAATGTTGGCTGGACGAGCACTTCCTGGGAAAATGGATAGGAACAAGAGGTTCAGTGCTTTGATCACCTAGGTTGCTTGACTTAACACCAATGGAATTTTTTTATGGGATTATTTGAAAAATCTTGTGTATCCGTCGTGTTCATTGCCTGATTTCCGTGACAAAATTGAACAAAATATTCAAAATATTTTACTTGAAACATTAGAAAATGTTAAAACGTTTGGCTCTAAAAGCTTCAGCTCTGTGTTAAAAATAATGGAGGTCACTTCGAATATTTATAAAAAAGAATGTAATGCATTATTTTCGTTTTTATGTAATAAAATCTTTTTTTTTCTATTAACAATTAAGTTTAAAAATATTATATGAATTTTAATTTTAGTGTTTCCTAAAAGACCCACTAATAGTTAGATATTTACAGATTGCCATAAAAAATCAGCATTCCAATTGAGATCGATTAAATCGAGAAATTCGTGTTTTGCTAGGTAACAACTATTATTATAATTATTCAAAAACATAACTTGCTCTAACTTGGCAAGTTTTTTTCAATTTTAATATTTATTTTATTTTGTTGAACTGTTTTAAAAAATATGCTCAAGAAAATGGCTATCTTAAAAATTTAAAATTCTTAAATGCATAAAACATTTTTTTTTTAATTTTTTAATTTTTTTTAAAAAAAAAATTGAATTTTATGCCATTAAATCAGAATTGCCATACTAAGTATTGTAAAAAAAAACCGCCTTTAAATATATTGATTTCCCGAGGAGATATTATGGGTGATACGGGACTTATAGACATACTGTATAGTGCAGTTAATTGTGTAGTTACAAAAAAAAAAAGAATCACAATAAAATGTGCTTACAGAAAATATTAAAATAATAATTAAATAAAAAAAATTGTTAAAATTCACTATATAACAATAACTATAATATGGTGGAGGTACATTATTTTTAGTGGGTGTTATTTTATAACCATTCAGAACGTAAATACCTAAATATGTATTGTGTTATTTCAATGAAACGTTCGTGATACTTCGCTCTCTTGTACATGAAAATGTAATTTGTTTTTTTTACGATTTCGTAGTACCCATCGCCCGAATGGGATACAGTGACGCCAGACGCAAAAAATCTAATTAATCAAATGTTAACTGTGAACCCCGCTAAACGGGTCACAGCATCTGACGCACTCAAACACCCATGGATATGCGTAAGTTTAAACACATTTTTGTATTATTGTTTTCACTGTCATAACTTTTTAATGATAACAATGATCATGTATCCAAAAAGGAGGTAATCAAACCGAGAATAAACCTATTGAGGTACAGGAGACGACCGATTCGTGAGTAGTTTTATCCCTTCCAGATACATCACACAGATTCCGTTAACACGTCGTTCAAATCGTTTTTTCCTTTTTCTTGTGGCATAAAATGTACGGTTATTTTTCATTGAGTTACATTTTATACTTTTAATACATTTAATATATGTTACTCTACGAACTGAGCGGAAAAATAAAACGAAACAAAAACAATTTTTTATTCTTTCAAAAATTTGATAAATACGTACTATTTTGATACTAACAATGCGTACGTCTGCAATCATTATACGAACGTAATAATAATAATAACATGCGTAGAATGTATGTTGCATGCATCTGAATACATGCTACCTGCGATATAATGAAAAACTATAGTTTAGAATTCCATCAAACCATGGTCATTTGTTTGTTTGTTCAAACTTGCGAACCACCGTCGTCGTTCGTCTTGTGACCTATTCGTGTTATTGTTTTATGCCACGTTAATACAATCATAATATCGAACTTCCGATAATCAACTTTTAAGAAAGGCATGTTATCTACTAACGGTACCGCACAATCGTCGTTTATAATAAAAACAATAATGCTATCGCATATATTTCGTGGACAATAAATTTATTGAAACACCCCGTCTCCGCCGTTTCCCATGTGTTTTACGTGTACGCAACGTTGAACGTTACATTATACATGTACATACGTATTATACACACTCACCCACACATAAATATGAATAGGTTCCATTTTGGATTTTTATGAACATTTCGCATGCAAACGTAACATCTCGAGTATATCCATAATGTAATTCTGATGGCCCGTTGTGTTTCAGTATCGTGAGAAAGTTGCTTCGGCTGTACATAGACAGGAAACGGTCGACTGCTTGAAGAAGTTCAACGCCAGACGAAAATTAAAAGTAAACCATACAACATTATTATTATTTATTTTTAAATAGACGAACATACATTAATCTTATATCACGTTAATAAGTCGAGTGCGAATTAAAACAAATTTTGTGTTATTGTTGGCAGGGTGCCATTTTGACGACAATGTTGGCCACAAGGAACTTCTCCAGTAAGTATGATGTACACGGTAAGTGCCTCAGGAACCTCAGACCAATTACGTGTGAATGAATATAGGTGAAGATATGGTTGTTTTTTTTCGTAATTTTTAGAATTGTTTTTTTTTTTTTTATTAGAATACACTGGATATATAATATGTGTACATAAAAAATTGATTTAAAACACAATATAGGTGTTCGTATAATTGGGTAAAGCACTGTATATACGCTATAACATGGCAAAATGGATTCAGTTTATTAAAGGTTTTTGTTTGATATCCATGCAAAAGTAGCCAAACCCCAATTTTATAGGCTAATACATTTATTTACATTATTGTTGTTATTATTATTTATAATTTTTATCCTACAGATTTAACAGGCTGGTATTATTATACCAACGCTGTATTTAACCATATTGTAATTATTGGTACACGAATGCACCAATAGAAAAATAATGTATTACCTTATACCTTTATTTCATCCACTACCCCTTGTATGCTGTGTATGAATATATTATAGGTAGTGCTACATCTAACATTTACGAATAATATCATAATAACCACCCCTTATGTTTTTGTATGAATTTGTCTGAAACATTAAAGCTATACATTTTTACCCCTTATCCTAAAATCCACTGTAGCTGCATGCCGTAGGTTATAATAATTAAGGATAAAAATACACAACATTCCTGAAGAGGTATAAATCATTAAAATTAGTTTCATTTGAATACATTATTATAATAAATAAACGTTACGCGTACTCTTAATGTTCAAAATGTATGAAAAAGCATCAACACAATTTTAATAACGTTTTTATAATTTCGTACAAACTGCTGCAAAATCAATTGAATTAATAATTATTGTTGGTAAATAGCCTTTGAAACTATATCGTTATAGATAACAGCTTGTGAACGAACAACGATTTTAGAATACCTCAATAATTGATTTAATTAAAATACATACTATCAAATTTACTTAAATGGCGGTAGGTTTATGTTTTGTAATATAATAATATTTTACACTTAAATCCAACTTAGATAGCTGCTAGAGTGGCACGAGTGGTCGTATCGTCGATCCGTGAATAACTTTTACGTTAATATTTCGACCCATGGCAAATATAAGTCGTAAAGTCTTAAAATATTTTAAGTCTTCCCCCTCCTTGATCCATTTTATAGTGAGAACAGGATATTGTTAACACGACCAAAATTGAGTCAATTAATAACTGATCGATATATGGTTTCGTATTGCGGCTGTCGTCTCATAATCGCATTATTCATGTGTTTAGCTATTTAATTATTGAAAATAATGCGCTTTTGATAATTGTACGCTATATTATACTGCCGTACCATCCGTCATAATAATTCAGAGGTGGTTCAAATATTTACATCTTATTAGACCAGACAAAATAAAACCATCCATCTTTCCCGTGAAAATTGTTCTCGTTTAGCTCAATTTACTTTATAAATTGTCCAGACATTAAAACGTTCACAATTTATCACGAAATGTGTATATGATTGCGATTTGCCTAAAAACACAGTATTCAGCATAAGAATTTGCAACCTAATTTTTTTTACCGGAGCGGTACCCCATTTAAAGGTACTAATGGCCGTCTCTAACAATGATACCTGCAGTGATAAGATCTCATCGTTGTTATTGGTTAATAATATTCCAAAAATTAAAACATTTTCAAAGATGACCGCATTCTTTAAGTTAAAATATTTAATATAATACAAAAAAGCACTTATTTCACATTAAAAAAAATCAACATAAGAACCTGCTTATTTTGAGAATTTTTACAATCGCAAAAATGTACAAAAAAAAAAGGAGATTTTAAAGGGTCATTAATATTATACTTGTATACACATATCATTATAATGATAATATTTAACTTTATAAACACATCAAATACGCATGTACTACGAGAACTCTTAAAATACTGTCCGTTTTGCTTAATGAAGCATATATGAGAGTATGATATTGTACAAAGAGCCGTTTCACATATTTTAGTGTATAATGTATATATTTTTCTATCTTGTTATACATTTTTACTTGGGTTATTTATCAACGAATATTAGTTAAAATGAATCATAAATTAATTAATTAATGTCGTTTAATAGTTCTATCACATTGTAAATTGTATGTGTATATGTACAATAATCGTTTATTATTTATGTTGGCAAACGCACACTTAACCTTAAAATTACGAATGTATGTTTAAATATCATAATATTTATAGTTAATAGCCGTACGCCGTAACGGTTACGAGGGTAAATCATACAATATTGTTTTTATAATATAATGTATATGCCTACTATGTTTTATTTTCAATTTCTTATAATATCACATTAATAATTTCCCAGGAGTAATATGCTCTTCTAATAAGTACTCTAATTGTATTCGATAAAAAAAAGAGTGAAATAAATGTTGCTCCGTAACTCATGTGTACACCTACATACGAGTAATTAACGAATTTTCGCTACAAGATATTAATTGAGTTGGATTATATTAAAATTATTTTCTCATAGAATTGGTAAAGCATATTTACCTATTTGTACCTACTATCTACTAGTGTATGTGCGCACCAGATAGCCTAGGTATGCATTTAAATAAAATACCAATGAATTATTTATGAAATATTTTTTGGCTATTGTTATTTTATAATCTGATACAATAATATTATGTATTAATTCATTATTAACATATATACTAACCCTACCCTCTGTTTTTCGATAAACCATGTAAGATGGTAGGTACCTGCACAAACCTTGAAATGGAAACGATGTTTGTCATGCGATTGTTTCAAACATATTATATACTTACATATTTGATTTTTATGTACTTACCAATATAAAACTAATTTGGTAACGATATATATATTTTAAAAGTTATAATGTTGTTCAGCTCTCGCACTAATAGTTAAATCAATTAGACGTTATATAATGTCGAAAGCGAAAAATATTATACGACCTCGATTAGGGTTGAATATTTCATTACGTTAACGGTTAATTTGAAATGTAAATAAGTAAATGATTACTATATGTACTCGTATATATATATTTTTTTCCCGATAGTTACATCGATATGACAATGTATTGTGTACCTACGTTCTATAAAGTCGAACGGAATAGTCGGCTTTGAATATTTAGAAATAAAATAAGGTTAGCAATTTTAATTTTAATAGTGGCTAGGTATAGTATTATGAAATTGTTCAACCCATACATGACTTAAAAATAAAAAGGCTGAGGTTCTAAATGAGGCGCTTACTTGACATCGACACAAATATAAACACAGTATATTATATGCTACAATTTGGTGAATATAAAAATAAAAAATTAAAAAATTAAAGTAATCAATTTGTCGAACATTAAGTAATCGATGTTGAGCACATTTTTATGTTCATCATACTAATCACAATACCTGTAAATTATTTTTACCTTTCATCATTTGTTTTGTATTTTGTGATTTTATTTGTTTTCGTTCACTCTTCCCTGTACTCTTCGCGAATATTCTATAAACGCACTACACTTCTATACCTTCTTCAAAAACTACCATAAAATTTTCCGGAACAGGAAGTGGTAAGACTGTATCTATAACAAATTTTTTTTATTTATATTTTTTTCCGATTTACATTAATATTTTTGTGAACGTCATTGTTTTGGCACTACAAATCTTTTTTTGGGCGTTTGCTTTAATTTTATTTATTACTCTAGATAGATATACTACTATAGACGTTGTATATTTTTATATTAATTTCATTTCATTTAATTCTAATTATTCACTTTTGGGTTGTTGTTAAAAATGGGAAATTATGTTATCAATCCCAATAATTATTTTTGTTATGCTTTTTCCATAACGCATGTTTACTATTTATTATTATAATAATATCTATACCTACAGTTAAGCTTATTTTTAATATATATATATATATATAAAAGCACGAATTGTATTTCATATTAATATCTGACATTCGTATAACAAATGTGTGTATGTTGATTCATAAATATAACTATGCACTTTGATTTATTGGTATTTTAGAATTTCAAAGCATGATTAATAATATAACTAACGAATTTCATTTTTATAATTGTGATGAAGTATTTATGTTTTTAATAATTGTATTAGTACTAAATGACATTGTAATTCAACTAAATTATAAACTTAAATAAACTTCAAAAAATAAATTATTTTAAATTACGAATTATATGATCAGAGATAACTATAACTATATTTACGGGAATTTAATAAAACATATTGGAGCTACTACTGTATAGTAATATTAATTTGAATAATAATACTTAAGGTTTAGTATGCAGAAAAAGATTTTTTTACTCATACTCTATTGTTTTAGTTATTTGTAAATATACTTTATATATAAACAGAAAATTATTTTTATATTCAATTAAATTTAAATAACTTTTGCACTTTGAGTTTGTAACGGTCTTGAAAGATTTCATTATACTCAAAAACAATAATTTGTCATATTTACTTATGTTTCATTTCAATGTTTGATTTTTTTTCACACTAACAATAATAATAATGTTTACTAAAACATCTATTAGAATAAATTCAATTTTTAATTTTTATTTATTGAAAACTTTGTACGTTTTTAACGCTTTACATATATAGTATATTCTTATATTTTTAGTGTAATGTTTAAAGTATACAGTTGAAAACCAAACTCTACGAATTAAAAAAATTTAGCACTTAGGCTATATCGATTAATATATATTATATTATCTCTCATATCTATTAAAATATATTATTTTATATTGATTGGTTTTATTTAATTTTTCGTTATTTCATATAGATATTTAGACGTATAATATTATATGAGTAGATATTATAGATTAAATAATCGTATCTATTACTTGAAATATCATATATTATTATAAATATATTTATTCATCTTAACTACGACCTTACGCATATAGTCAAATAAACATTAAAATACAATTATAGATATTATTACTAATTTAACGAATTAACAAAAAAGTTAATAAAGTTAACCTATTAAATTATAGTATTATAAATATTGTATTAAAATATTTAACTTCTATTTATGTTCAATTTTTTATTCTCGATCTAAATTAAATGATTTTAGGTAAATATCAATCTGGAAAATTAGGATAATATTCTCTCATCGTTCTAATAGATTTATAATAAATTCAATGCCTTAAATACTACAACAATTATAATATTTCATTATTTCAATATTTTCAAAGTAATAGGTATATGTATAATTTAATTGACATAACGTGTAAGGTTATTTAATATTAAACAATATTAAACAAAATATGTTGAAGTAGATTTTTATTTTTATGATAGTCTGAATTTGTATGTTTAATGGTTTTCAACTCGATTTTAATGAATATTTTATTATTATAAAATAGAAACATTATTTTATTCTATTAGATGTTGTAATGTTACTAATTGGTATTTAAAAATATTTTTTAAGTCTAACTTGTATATTATGTATACCATTGATCATAAATTGTTTGTTAGGTCGCAGTATCATAACAAACAAAAAAGGAGATGGTTCTCAAGTGAAAGAATCAACTGAGAGCAACACAACAATAGAAGATGATGATGTCAGGGGTAAGTAAACAAAAACAAACAATATAAATAATATAAAATCAGTTATAGATTTGAAACATTCCGGTGTTGTTTTCTCATTTTATAATATTGCATATTTTACCTATACCTGTTTAAATATTAATTGATTTAAACCTATAATATCTCAACTTAAAATAATATGCATGGATACAAATTAAAAAAAAAAAAAATAATTTTAGATAAATTTTCAAAAATTTAAATAAACACATTTTAACAACTAAAATATACTTCACAATTAATTACAATGAACATCTTAATGTCGTCTTCCACGGTATTACAATTAAATTTCATCTCTGACAACGTTGTACCTATATGATATATATATATATGTACACATATATATATCTGTGCATATTAAAATTATTTGGACAAATACCGACGTTATGATATTATTGTTAATATTTAAATGTATATAATACTACAACGAACACGAACTCACTGAGGAACGTGAACATACTCGCGCAGATATTAATATTCGACATATATGTTTATATATATATATATATTTGATTATTCCTGTACATATAATAATGATATAAACATGTTAATTGATAATACTCAGGTTGCTTGCTTGTAAATAAAAGCAGTGTGACGCTTACACTTTTAGGAATACACATAGGTCATATGAAATAGAAAATAAACGCTGTGAACACATTATTACTACTTATATACCAATTATCTCGATTACCAACCTACACACACGACCACCGACAATCAGCATGACTATTCTCCAGCTATTACACATTATGTTTATTATATACATATGATATTAGTAACCCAACGTAGGCATTTTTATTTTTATTTTTTTTTTTGATACTCATTTTATATGTATTATGCATGCATAGGGAATACACCCCCTTACCTCGTATTTGAAACCCCGATAAGCACATTACTATCCTAAAAAAAAACAAAAAAAAATTCGTTTACCAAAAACAAAAACTAAAAAAAAAAAAATACGAACAAACAGATCGCGTACCGTTAAAAATTTGTCACAACTCCAATATGAAAAGTGTGTTTTTCTCTTAGAGGACAAAAAAGGGACTGTGGACCGGAGCTCTACAGTAATTGCCAAAGATGCAGAAGGTAAATATCAACAATGATAAAAACAACCATTATATTTTATTCACAAAAACAATATGATTGCGGAAACGTGAATTTCTTGTTTCATTTTTCGAGTCGTGATGAGAAGCCATAAGCTTTTAAAATACGTATTACTCACTCATATATACATATATAAAATTATATATATATATATATTGAGATAAAAACATTATTTACTTGTATATTATAATTTATATATAAGAATAATACATTCAATTCGGATTTAACTGACTATTAGTTGATATTTTCCGCTTTCACATCGATTTATATAAATATGCTTATGATACGTACACATATATATTATATTTATACAAATATATGTATTTTACAACTAATATCATCATTTATGAATATATGTGAATATGCTGTATATGTTAGTATTTACAGCATGTACACAATATAAACTTTACAATATAGTATATACATCAATAGCTTTATACAAAAGATATAACTCTACTATTAATTGAAAAATTACATTTTTTGTGTATGCATTGTTTTATCGTTCGTCAATAAAAAAAAAAAAAAAAAATAAAATATATTAATTTGTAAATAAGTTTTTTTTTAAAAAAAAAGAAATTAATTGAACACAGTTCTTTAGTATCTATCTAACAATTAATTAATATTCATATTATTTATACACTGTACAAAATCTCACAAATCCTGATAGGCGAGAGAGTCTACAAAAGGGCTCGGTTCATCCAAACATCAAATCTTCCTTCCCTCCCGTCTATTAATTTTTAAATGTCTGTTCCATTTTAGTTAACTGTGTATAAAGATGTTCATGGCTACGGTTCAAAATATCCTGATTATTTTTTTTTTTGTAAGTTTATTACTTCAAAAAATAAACATTTGCATTCCATCTTTAACTGAACTTTTTAAATAAACTTGCTACGCACACCTATTGAAGAACACAAAACACTTTCAGTACTCACAATTATCGCTCATCTTTCATCCAAACCAATTCCATGTAACCCACTCATGTGCCTTAAAAGGGTTCTATTCTCTTCTTTTCTTTCGTCAAAAATAAAAAAAATAGTCTACAACTCTGCATGTTTTGTAACCGAAACGTTTACCCTGCAGTCGCGCCTACGAGTACAATAACCATCTGTATGATAAAAAAAGACACGTACTTTGGCGTATGGGTACTGCGGCGATCGAGGCCTGTGGGTGCTCCGTGCAGCATTTGCACACCTACGGCCGTTCACCGCGTCTTAACGTTTGTGCTGTGCTGTGACGTCGTACTCACGATTTACATATTATATTCCGTCACTAGTCCCCTCATCCGAGATCTCATCATTTCATGTACGACTGCGTTGTTTAGGAAATGTCGGCACGCCACCACCGTCTCCGGCGCTGTCGACCTCTTCTTTCGGCAGCGTCCTGGGCTGCTTCAAGAGTTCCTCGTCCACGTCTCTCGGTTCCAAGACGAATAATAACAAACTGTCGATAATCGCCACCGGTGCTGTCAACCCCCAAAATGCCATTGCTCATCAAGGTCAGAAGTGCACGGTCTCGTTTTATATACTTGCGAGCGGGTGTATGTGTGTGTGTGTGTTTTCTCCCTCGTCTTACGCCTTGAATTAAAATATTAACAAACCGTGTGTCTGTCTAACACGTTTTAGTCCGTATGTGTGTGTGTTTAACTATAAATGATATTAACATATGATAATAGAATAACAATATGATCTCGTTAGACCGTCGTTAAGCCGCTTGAGACGGTTTACCTTGATTCACTAGACGTCGGTTTCGTGATTGCCTTTAATGCCTTTTGAGTGCAACTTATGCGAATACGCTTGCTAGAAACGCGTCTCCGAAATTATTATATACGATCACCATAGGCGAGTCCAAATCTTTTAGTCAGTCACAATATGCACCAGATAAATATGCAAATGCGATACTGGGTTACCAAAAGAAAAAAAAATACCATCTTCTAATTTTGAAAAAAATCTTATTAACTTATAACACATATACGAATATAATTAAAATTTTCTTGATTCTTACGATGGCTCTAAACGTCGCTTTGTTGAAATCATAACTTTAAAATATTAATTGATAATCAAATTTAAGTCAAATTTTGCAGGTCATGTTTATGTATGAGAGGTACGATCATAGCCGGTCATTTGGTTGAATTTTTTTTTTTTTTAGGGCTATAATAATTCAATATAAAATAACCTGAAGGGGCTTCGCCCCCACACCCCCTTCCTATGCACAAGTAAAACTTATTACCATTAAAAATATAGATATGTTTAAATTTTATTAAAAAAAAAAATATTAAATAACGTATATTTAAAAATAATTAATATTTCATTTTAATGACAAATATCTATTTGTATCAGCAAAGATATTCAAAATATTATTGCTTTTTATATTTTTCGATACATCTTTTTAATACATAGTATTGAAAAATTGCTGAACCTATATTGAACCAACGATGTCCTTAGCCAAGTTTTTATTTTTTTCATTGCACTGAAACTTCTTTCGCAAGTAGTCAAACTATGTAATTGGTATTTTTAATGGTATTATAAATAGTTTTTTATTATTTCTTATTTTACGATTTTCAAAAAAACGAGCAGATAATTATAAAAAAAATGAATAACATTTTTAATAAAGTTTCGATTTGGGGGGGGGGAGCTATTAAAATATTTGAGGTTCTAAGCCCCCCCACTGATGTCCGCCTATGGGCACGATCCATAGACACGTCTATGATAAGCGGCTACGTCCTACACTCAACATAGGCACAATTAAGGGAGGTGAAAGAAAGTTTTTAGCATCCTTGATTTTTTTTTTCTTTTTAGGTCAATCTATAATAATTACAGTGAAATACTATCGATTTTATTTTCATCAGTTTCAGCACCCCCAACATTTGGACTTAACGCCTATGCATCTCAAGTGTATATGTGCGTCGTATGCTTAATTGGCGGTTCTAAGTGCGAACACTTTAGCACATTTTGCACGTTTAAACGTTTTCATAATTCCCGAGCCCACGTGAGTGAAGACACACCTTTGGGTCCCGTGAAAGAGTGTTTGGATGCCGGCTGACTAGATATTTAAAATTATTTTCAATATAAGATCGATGCGCATAGCGGTTAATAGCCACCACTGGAGTACGGGCATTTAGAAGTGTCGTGAGTTAAGATGAACAATAAAAAAATTACAGATGTCCGTTTTATAATTTCTGTAAATGCCACTAAGTTATTATTTTCATAACTAACTATACTTTCTCAAGTTTTTCAAAATTGATTACTAAAAATAAAAAAAATATTATTAAATTATAAAATATTATTAAATTATTATAATTTATATTTACTATAACTGAATCTCTGATGATCGATTATTTTTATTTTATTTTTTTCGTATTGAATAATTTTAGTTTATTTTTCGTCGTCTCATATTTCAATGTAAATTTTATGTATTAAAAAAATTTGCTAAACAAACTGCATACAAGTTGATTATAATAACAAGTTTTATTACATGTTATTTTAGCGTTACGTAGGCAGGTAGTTACGGGCAGTAAAATTGTCAATTCGGCTTACCCGGGTAGATTTCGAAATGATACTTTGCTGTTTCCGTGCAGTGTTTTTTGAGTTGTTTACTTCGAATCATAAGCTTACACGAGACGCGCCTGCCGTTTAATTTTACTCTTGCTTTTTTATTTTTTCATTAGAAAAATTCCATTAGGTTTCTATTCAGAGAAATACCACGTCACGAAGACACACTCGTAGAAGCATAAAGCAGTGCGTTTTGTTTTATGTAATCAAAACTACCTTTGAGTTGAATAAATTACAAACGTTGCGTGAACACGTGTTCGACAAAAATCATTGTTGTAACAAAGCGATGATAACTGTGGTGGTACATACATAAATGCCGACGAACCATTCAACGTACTATTCAAGTAGTTCGGACGAAACTGTTTTAGCACTCGCATTCGGATACATTTTGATGACTGGTTTTCTTAACTGAAATCGATTTGCCGTCACTGCGACCTGAATTACGGAAACATGATTCATTTTTCGAACCAAAGAAGTGTGAATAGTCTCGATTAATAATTTACTTTAATGACGAAAAACTGAAAACCATGGTATTTCAATGAAATGAGCACATATCATTAATCATTCGTTTTCCAATATTTATTGTATGCACCAAGATAGCATTTCATTTTTTCTTTTATCTTTTTTCTTTCGCAGTAATGCATGCATATAATTTATAAATAGGACACAATATATTACTTCCGCTGAACCGACAGACGTTTTAAACTAGATGCCTTTATAGGTTTTATGTGTTCGATCGGTTATCAAAAGCTGACGGTTGAATGTTTTCTTTTCCACGAAAAACTATCAAGAATAGTTGTTAATTAAAAGCAGAAAAAAAACATCTTACTTTACTGTTGAACTCTGTTGCCCACGTAAAAGTCATAATCGCTACGTGCACATTAGGCACAAGTGCTATTAATTCGTATGTTTTCGTTATGATTTTGTTGTTCTCCTTCCTCGGACGTTCTTCACGACAATGTTTCTCGAAAGTCTTTGCGACACAGAAAAAATATCAATCGAACGTAATACCGACAAAACGTCTGACGTCTGGTGAATATCGTCAGACGAGTTCACACGTGTTATACCGTATTATACATGCACTGTATGCGCGTACGGCATAGTATAAAAATACCCGTACGCACGCACCGCGGTGGTGAGCGGTTGTACTGCGCAAAAGTGAAAATCCACAGCTAGCGCGTAGGCGGGCTGGTACGGCCACTGCACAAACAATATTCGTTTCTCGTGAATTTTCCCAGTGCGAATCCTTTCCGCGCACGTTAAGTGAGTTGCACGACGGAGGCGGAGATAATATTTTCCGTTGGGAACGTATCACATGTGGAAAAAAAAAAAAGGGAGAACCGTTTGCACAGCTGTTTTTTCGGCTCATCCGTGTATTGGATTAGAAACGCGCTCGGCACACGTTACAATTCAACAATAAATGTACACGCGATTGTGGTAGAATATTTCAATCGTATGATCCGTATCGGTTATAAACATATTTCGTGTTCGGCGAGCGTATTTCGCGGTTTTACTCGAACCCGTGCTCAATTGTACGTATTGTTTGAAAGCGATTTTCAAAACGGAGAAAGAAAAACGCGGACCAATTCAGTTATCAATAATAATACATACTCGTACCGTATTATCAACATCATCATCATCATCACCATCATCACCGCAGTCGTCTCCATCGTCCTCGTCGTCGTTATATTATATTACCGTGTACTCAGTGTCGTCTCGTCGTAGCATCGATATCATCGTGCAATATAATAATATTCAAATTACGATTTGTTACAATATATATACCTCAGTCGTCTGCAGCTATATACCATTACAACACATTAAACAGACGATATAAGTCCACGTTCCGTCGTTCGAACTCATATCTTTCGATACACATGTCCGGTGAGTGATAAACCTAATATACACACTATACAACACCGTAGGGCACAGTAATAATATAAATACAATGTAAAATGTGTGTATTTGCATGTACGTCGTCGTGCTGTTTACGTGCATATAATCGTACACGACGTACCTGTGTACAATATACACAATATTATAATACGCCTCTGCAGTGTAGTACCTACATTATAACATAGTATAATCACCGAGTCGTACCTTAGCCTACCTCTACCCCGCGCCCCTCACCGTAGTATGGTGTTGTGCTTTTGCAGTAACTGTCCCGACGAACCCGCCGTAGAACGTCTGGAGCGCGGTAACTCAATGGAATCGTTCGTCGTTTCGCAAGACGCCCGTAAGTACTAATTGTTATTGGTATGATATGCAAAACACGTATAACATACATCTCATTATCAATATCTCTCTCTCTCACACACACACACACACACACACACATTAAAGCCTTTCCGAATCGTTAGATATAACAGAATTCTAATATATTTTCAATGGCAGCAGTAATCGCGCAGTTATTTCGTTTTTATCCAATTGTTTATTTTGTCGTGCATACGTACCCATTTATCTATACTAGTTGACTCTGTAAATGTCGTTTTTCCATTAAACATTTTTATAATTTATAGCTGTACGGCGTTGCCCGTGAAAATAAGTGCGAGTTAACACCATCCAAATTTTAACTTTTTTTGTTGAACATATGTTTAATTTATCGAACGAAAACAAATGTATTGCTCTTACCAATAGAAAAATTAATATAAATTGATAATTTTTATCTTTCGTATTCCGAATATGATTTTTCAGTGGTAGATAACGGCACTTTAATATAAAGTAATTAGTGTTATATTCCCTAAGCAGAATTTATGCATATTTTAGCGCTTTTTATAATGTTCTTTGATGCTATAAGTCCCGAGTCCTGCTTTTTATTATTATTATTTTACTAATTATATGCTTATGTCGAAATGTCAGTTATTGCCTCTGTTGACCCTTCCACCCTTCAAGGGTAATCAGGGGTAAAATCCAAATATTCATATTTATAATATTTTCATAGGCAACCTTTAGATATAAAAACAAATTCCGAAGATATCGATAAAACGTAAGAACATATTTACTCCATATCTACCATAAAGGAATATTGTGTTGTCACACCATTAAAGATATGTACCACTAAAGTTTTAAATCTCTCGGTACAGTAACCTTGATCTTAACGTTGATGAGTAAGTTTGTCGGACGTTCTCCTTTATATGATAAATATAAATAGATAGTTATGTTTTTTTTTAAGAATTTAATAATTTGTCTTCTTCGTACACTCATACCTGCTAAGAAAAAAACTCACTAAAAACCTTGAAATCGTTAGTAGTATACAATATATTTTAGAAAATTAATTTCCCGTTAACATACGTAGATTACATATAATTTCTAAATAATAATAAAAAAAAATCCCCATTCTATATTGATACTTCACTGATACTTACTGATACTGACACTTACTGGTGTACATCACACTGTGCATTATAAATTAGCACCGGTAAAAAGTATTTTTGATAACAAATTAGCAACGATTTATAATACTCGTACTACCCTACCTATAATATCCAAAAAGGCCGGATATGTCTAGGTCACATACAATTTCTTACCTTACAATAGTTAGTTATTATTATAGTATGGCTATACGTTTCTCTGATCATAAATCACGCACCCACGTTCTAAATATGTTCACCTATCCAGACACGTGCACTGATACATCTATATTAATCGAGATGATCAAGTTGTTCATTAATCGTTGGAAACATAATCATTTATTAATATATTTAATTTTGAGTTAGCGAACGCGTTTGTTACCCGTTTGGGTATAATCTTCGTCTTAACATCATTTTTAAGCAATCGAAGAAAATAATAATAAATAGTTTTGAACGACCTCCTCTCTTTGGTTAGGTCTTTGACACACACGCGTGTTCACGCGTAAACTCATTTGGAATCGCAATTACGATCGAACGTGATATCAACTCGAATACAGCTTTAGATTTCCATTAGATCCCCTTCGAACGTAATTAAATAACAATCATTCATCTGGATATTTAGAGCTTTTCTATTATTTCCTCGGGAACTAAAACACCACCTAATGGTGATATATATATATATAGAATTTTTCATGAAAATATTCCCACAAGCGTTTTATACGTCTCAATAGTCAGCCTCAATCATTCGCTGATGACCCCAGCTGCCTTGTAAATCTTCACACCGTCTTCGTGTGCTTCTTCCATATTCGTCTTTGACGTACGCTCCGTGTGTGAAAATACTCGAAGTAATCAGGCTTTCTGTCACATATCTGTCGATCAGTACTGTAGTAACGTGCATAGACAAAAAAAAGATACTCAAATCCTTAACACATATATAGTGGCATGAGAAAAACTATTTTCTCTAAAAAAAAAAATATATTTTCTTAAGATGTCTGGTTGAAGTACTTAACCCCCCCCCCCGTTTTTTTTACATCCCCAAGTCAAGTTTTAAAACTGGGTAGTATATTTGTTTTTACGTCCATGTCTCTTAAATGATTATACGCATAATCCGATGAAACAATGCATACGCAAAATTGTCAAAATCCTCGAGATAACAAAACAAATATACAGATCGACGTATAATAGTAATATATTCATGAATGAATATGCAACACATTTACCCTGCAGTAATGTGTGTGTACGGGATTTAATACGCATTAACAATGCGTGTTGATTTTTCTTCTCTTTTTTTTGTATCGGTTTCCGTTTTTTGCATTTCTTTTTTCTTTTTATGTTTTATTTTCACATATTTTCGCTAAGACGTGAGGATTGTCTGTCCCAACAAGACATTCTCGCAGCACTCGACTAACTCTTGCGGTTCAGGTGAGTCAAAATAATACAAATTTAGTTAGTTTTTTTTTTATAATCAATATCACGTTTTCCCACACGGTAATATTATACAATGTACATATTATATAAATATACGTTTTGTTGAAACCCCGATTTGATAATTAGATTACCTATATATGTTTACAGTACCTGTAGGTATGTATATGACTTTGGTTTATACATATGTATATTTTTTTTATTTTTTTATTTTTTTATTCCCATCCATATTGCGTTCGAAGCTTTTACAAAACATTATAATATATATATATATATGTATATATACCTATACTAATATTAAAAATATTAACGTCTTAGAAATTAATGCTAAAATACCATAAACAATATAAAACAATAAATAAATAACAAAATAATACCGCTGTCGGATTAACCGATAAACATTAACTTAAATGTAACACGTATGTGATTAAATTGATTTATAACAAGAATTGTTTTGTTGTTTCAGCGCGCAAACAAGAGATCGTTAAAATCACCGAACAACTAATTGAATCGATCAACAATGCTGATTTCGAAGGATACACGTACGTATAGTAATAATCAATTAATATTTCGTATTTATATGTAACTATATACATACGATTCCAAATAGAGGATGATCATGAACACGGGTAGTTTTAAAACAGGGGTATATGAACAAATGGAATAATGCATAATGAAATATACCTGTGCGCATTTTTCTTCTCGATATGCAATTCAACACCAAAGAATGTTGACAACAGCTGTATAGGAAAAAACACTCAGTACGCCTCGTGTAATAATCTACTTTGATTATCTATATGAGAAGTATAAAAATGTAGGCATCCCTCAACTTATTTTAAGCTACTTCAACCATTCTGGTATACACTATAAACGTATTACATTAATTGGTTTTAATATGGACTTTTCTTCCCTGTAATGATACTCCCCGTTTCCGTATCTATAATTTATGAATACTTCGTACAATCATTTTATAGAATATTTTACATGATATTTTTAAAAAAAAAAATCAAATTCAATGATAACAATGTATATATAAGTACATTTTAGCGATAGAAACTGTTGAAAATATAAATTGATCATGCATTGTTGAAATCATACACTAATTAGTAATTATTGTCGAAATATACACTATATCAGTGGTAGCGGAAAGTTTTTTTTACTCAAATCTTCAACTTCATAAAATCACTCACCTACCTATTATTAACTTGCAAGTTATATTTCAATATTTCATATTATTATCATAGCGTGTTCAGGGCATTTCACCGTAATAATTATTTTCTTGGTTTTATTTTCACAAAGATTTCACCCGCCTCCATTTTTCCACGAACTACGTGATTCAAATACAACCCCTTCGCGCCATCACTGCATACACATCGATAATAATTGCTTCGCCTGTTTTGATTTGTTTTCTTCTTTCTTTTCAGGAAAATTTGTGATCCACACATGACGGCGTTCGAACCGGAAGCGCTTGGTAATTTACTGGAAGGCATGGAGTTCCACAAGTTCTACTTTGACCACGGTACAATAATGATATTTTTTTCGCACGCCCCGGCTGTACATCCACACACGACGTTCGCAAGTACACGGTTCACTATGTTAAATGTAGAATCTGTTTTGACAGTTTTAGGTAAGAATCGAGGCATCAACACGACAGTTTTGAACCCGACCGTGCATTTACTCGGCGACGACGCGGCTTGCATTGCATACATCATACTCGTGCAGTACATTGACAAGTGAGTCTTCCGTAGTCACTCGTACGTCGTGACAGTTTGCGCGTCAATATTTTTTTGTAGACCGCCGCGGTAGGGACAAAGGGGATCCTGCACGTTATCGTATGATGTAGTTTTCTTACAACGTATGATTTCGACGACACGTGTCCGTACGCACCTGTACGCAGAAGTGGAACTAGGAATTTTTACGCCCTATCATAGATCAATAGTCAAATACTCTTCTCGAGAATTTTTTTCTAATAACTAGTATACAACCATACTTATTGAGTTTTAACCTAATATCAGTATATAATAAAGTTAAAAATACTAATATTAATCATTAATAATTACAAAAATTATACCCTCTAAAATTGTACGCTCGGGGATGAATCCCCGTCTTCCACCCCGTAGTTCTGCTTCTGTCTGGACGGTGTACTCCGATAGGCACCGGCACGTGTACCGCGTAGTGCGGTTTATTCGAATTTAATGTTATGTTTATTTTTGCGTATCATGCGTGCGACGGCCAATATATATTATTAGACGACCGTGCACCATGAGAAATGTGAAATTCGCGTGATTCCGTATTCCATATTTTTCCCAGTTATGATTATTTTTCCGTTTTGCGAGCTCACAATAAGTACCTTGGCTGCGTACCGCAATAGTTATATTCTGAATTCTACACAATACGCCGTCGAAATGTATCTCGTAGAAAAAAAAAAATAATAATAATAATAGAGATTTGTTATTCGCACGATTCGCGACCATTACGATGGTTTCGTCCGTTTTTACCCGTTTACGATGAAGTCCGGATTTCAATGCAAAATAGATAAAGCTTTACAAATAAATAATATTTTTTCGTTTATAACAAACACTTCAAGGGTGAAACATGTATTTTAATATTTTAATCATTTATCGATTATTTTATTAGTGTGTTTTTTTGATTAAATTAACATCAAATCAATTTTTCAGATTTCATTCATTTTAATTTTTTAATAAACGTTTAGTTTTTTTATTGTAAATTTTTAATACTATGTTTAAAACAATACATTTGATATAAAAAAAAAATAACTTATTGGTAATTTTTTATTATTTTTTTTAACATTTTCGTATCAATCTTAGGACATATAAAACCAAATCTGACTTACGGTACATACCCATTATATTAAATCGCTTATTCACGCAAATCGATTTCTGAGTATTATATTGTTTTACTTTTCTTGTTATTAATTGTTAATTGTTATAACGTTTACAAAAATAGTGAAATCGTACAATAACTCATTTGCAACAGCTACACACAGTGCAGCTGCAAAAAGTTATAACATTATGTAAACAATGTACCTATTGAATATACATTTTTTATATTCAACATAGGTGCACCATTGCGTGTAATAACTTATATAGGGTGTTTCAAAAAAAAAACGCAAGATTTAAATCTACTATAAATTAAAATTATTTCTTTAAAAAAATAACAAACATATCATTCTCTTCAGGAGAAGTATTAGATTTAACAATGAAAAACAATATCGGACAAAGGACCCTCCCTACTAGCCCTACAGGCGATTATTCTTTCAATAAAATTTTTCATCACTGGATAACACATTGCCTCATCAAGTTCGTTGAAAATATATGCCCGATATTGTTTTTCACTGTTAAATTTAATGTTTCTCCTGAAGAGAATGATATATTCGTTGTATTTTCTTAAAAACATAAACTATCAGATTTATGTCCTGCGTTATTTTTGAGGCACCCTATAATTAGGGCTGGGATTTCGATACATTGTTTTCCAAAACTTTTTGTGCGATGCTCGTCTTTTTACGTATTTGTTTCTTACACTTTTCTATTAGAAAATAAGAATGGACATTTTTAAATTTTGATGTAATCATCTTCATTTTTTTTTAGCGTTTTAAGGTTATTCGGGACATTTTGGAAAATGTTGAATTGCAAATTTGATTTTAAAATTTTTACGCATTTACGATGTCAATATACATATGATTTAATTTTTATTCTAAAACTTATGGCGAGCTCTCGCTAATTCAGTTTAACAATACTTACAAGTCAAACGGGGCTAATTATTTTCCAAGCAGCACTTTCCGAGCACCGCACAAACTCGCAATATTATCTACACTCGTACCAATTTAAATGCGTCAATGTACCTGACCCGCTACGTGTGTTCTGTATGTGTTCTCGGCAGGCAAGGGGTTCCTAGATCGCACCAGTACGAAGAGACACGGGTATGGCACAGACGTGACAACAAATGGCAAAACGTACACTCGCATCGGTCCGCATCGGTCGCGTCCACCAGCGCCGCGTTCCCGCCATCCGGCGTCGGTAAATAACCGATCACGGCCGGTTTACGCACTGACGGTAAAAGAACAAACAAAGAGGCCCACTAATAACAATGTTTTTGTTCCTTTTTTTTCTTTCTTTCTTTCTATATATTTATTTGTTTAATTATTATTAATTTTTTTTTTTCATTTTGACTGATTTTAAAGTTGATAATATTGTTATATTATAATGAGATATATGTATTTATATACTTATAAATTATAATACACAAACAAAATAAAATCCTGCATGGTGAATAAATCATTGCTGCCAAATAACGATATGAACGACGAGAGCTGTTTAAAAAATTGACTATATAGTTAGAAATGGCAAACAAATGAAAAACCATAAGGAACAAAAAAAAAAATAAATAAATAAATTGTAAACGGCACTTATATATGAAATTTCAAATTTGCACGTATTATTATTATTATATGTTAAAAGGTCAAGATATTTTATGACAATTTTTTTCTGTAATTTCGGCTTGGGCATGCCATGTTTTTGACTTCTTTCCATTTTACAGTAGTTATACCTACCCATTTATATACACAATATACTTGTAGTCAATTAAAAAATACCAATTATTTATTATAATTATATATACTCAATTGAATTTTTTTTTCAATCATTCATAAAAAAAATGATACGTATTATCATTCATCAATATTATATTAATAATCCATACGAAATACCCGTGTATAATATGTATAAGATATTTACATACATTATTGACCTATGAAAATATACATATAAATAAATTGTTTCCCGTCATAATATTATAATATATACATAAATATTATTGTTATTATTTCTCATGTCTTGCGTACGTATGTGAATCGTATAATCGGTCACATCGTTGGCCCTACATAATAGTATTTGAAATTGACGTGGTACACGCATACCTTTATACAATCAAAAACTCGACGGAATACAAAAAACAGACCCTCAAAACAACTTTCAGAAATAACTGATAGGTATTTAAGAAGACTCGCATATACTCGAGTATAATAGTTCTAATTTTTTTTTTTTTTATTCGTTATTAATACAAATGTTACAGTTATGTAATTGTAATAATATATTTATATATATGTGCGTTCCTGATATGCAAGATTACATTTTTTTATTTAAATAATGTACAATTCGCATAATTTGCAGTATACCTAACGTCTTTTTCGTATCGACTTTTCATACATTAAATATAATAATATACTCAAATTACAACACATATCTCTCATATTATAATATAATTCATTATTTGAAAATATAGCCAATCGATTTATAAATAAATAGAATCTGCTTATAACAATGTTTCTTTATATACGTTTCTTTAAAATGTATGTACAATATTACGTTTGCGATATATCATGTCTTTTTCAAAATGATATGAAATGCTTTTTTTTGTTATAAATAAATAAAATTAAATTTAGGAAAAAAAATAATACCTACTTATTATTCGTACAATAATTTATAGGAATGTACCCTATGTAAATTATATTGTAAAATAATATTTTTTTCTTTTTTTTTTTTTAATTTTTAAGTATTATATATATATTATATATATAATATATATATATAAATATATTGTTCTTTCACCTCACACTTGTATAATACTTAACCTATATAATTATTAAATTATTATTATTATTATTATTATTATTATTATTATTATTATTCTAGTCAAACGGAATTTTGTTTTATTTTTGTCATTAAGGTTTATAATTGTATATTATATAAAAAAAAATTATATATATATATTAATTCGAGTTCAAACGATATACCTGTTCTCTCCTCGGCAACTGTGATCGATCAGTGTAGAGTTAAATTGTGACAAAAAAAAAATATGATATATATGACGTATATATCACGCATATATAGTAATTAATTTTTAAATTTATATTAATCATTTCTTGGTATTTGAATAGAAATTTTTGGAAAAAAAAAAAATTAATAATAAATAACAAGTCTACATAAAAAATATATAATAAAAAGACTGGTGCTTATTGTGTTTACTACTATAATTATTATTATATTTTTTGCTTTTTTAAAAAAAAAAAAAATTAAAAACTCTAACGTTTTCCTGATATTATTACTAAAAATTTGTTAGCAGATTGAACAATATCGTATATATGTATGTGTATTACATTCAAAACTATGTTTATAATATATTTATTGAAAACCATATATATATATATATATATACGATCATGTTTGCGGTTTATTACTTGTATTATTATTATTATTATTATTATTATTATTATTATTATATTATTATATTCGTTTTAATAGTTCTGAAATTTTGTTATTACTACATATATATATATTGATTTCGAATTTTAATTGTAATTATTATTATTATCATCTCATCATTATAGCGTTAAAATAAAGTAGATAAGCTATTTCAACATTACACTACTGTACGTAGGTACCTACGTGTATATTATATACACGTACAAAACGAGCACACGAACGTTGTATGAACATATATCCGCTATAGTTTATTATCATATATATAAATCGAATACTATCGTGAACGATATCTTATTGACGCGTCGCATTGTAGTGTACGATCAAATTTTTTCAACATTCGTTTCTCTCTAAAAAAAAATAATTTTCAGCGCGATAATACGTCGTACCGTAGTCGGCCAGAAAGATTTCACGCCTCGTATTTTTATGGGTGGACACAATATCCCATGAACGCCTCCTGTACCTACGCATTGCTTCCCGCCATTACCACCGCCCCACGACAATATTTTTCGATAACATTGGTTTTATACAACGCTCTGTACCGATGTAGGTAAAGACAGAGACTGATGGTAGAGGCCGGTATCCTAATAATTCATCTAAAAATTATCTCCGGAAAACGTTGCGTTCGACATGTTTGGTATGTACAACGACCACAGTGGTCGATCCATGACATCCCTGCCTCTTTTAAAACTAACATTTTTCATTTCTCCACCGTTGTTTCGTCCAAAAAACACAACGGCAATAAGTATAGAAATGCACGGGCATTTTCTCTTCTGTTATTTCAGCAATTTCGATCGTTAGCGAACAATTACTTTCTTAACGGTACTAGGTGATTTTTTTTTTTTTTAGAAATTATCCGAAATTATTCTCAAAAAATAATGTTCAACAATAGAATATACACTCTGCTGAACAACGCCCTCTGCCTTAACCTGTGCTAGCGGCAACGGGAGATTGCGTTTCGAAAAGCGTTTCTGGAATCTCCTGTGCGCACTCCTTCCTTTACCATCCCTTTCGGAAACGGATGACCAAAAACCATATGATGCGCGTAACACCTACGTGCAAGATCAACGAAATATCGTTCACACACATTCCTGGTACACTAAACGCACGTTCAAATAACAACGTTTTACGCTACGTGCACTCAACTTTTGTACGCGTGTAAATTCTATGTTCCATCGATGCAGTTGCGCCTTCGAATGCACACGATGCGTAATCAACATTTTCGGTTCTGGTTTTTCAAAAAAATAAAAATAAATCATCGAATATCGTTCGTGTACCTATTTTCGAAACGATTAAAAAAAAAAAAAAAAAAAAAAACGTACTTGTTTATCATCGATGATGTTCCGATAATCATTATTAGTCGTATCTTCCTGCTTACAAAAAAAAATAATAATAATAATAATAATAAAAAAAATAATAATAATAAAAAAAAGTATTTTACTATGGAACCGTTTATTTTGATTTTCATATAAGTATTGAAATTATAGTAGTCAATCGCTGTAGCATTAACATATCAGCGACACCTATAGTAATATCTGTTGTTGCTGATAATCGTAGAGACAGATCGCACACAGGTCGTATTTTTATTTATTTATTTTTTTTTATGAAATTTTAATATTATAATGTTTGTCGAGCTAACCATTTTAATCTCCAATTTCAATCATTGTTGTTCGTTTCCTTTTATTAACTATTTATATTCGTGTTTATTTGTTGTTTATTAATTATTATTTATATATTGTACTTAAATATATAAACAATTTTAATATGTATACATCTACTTTTTTTTTTTACATGTTTATACATTTTGTAAATGTATTTCTCCTTTTAATAAAAATAATTTTATCCACCCCGCAAACGTTATTATATTATAGACTGGTAAGTATGAAATCTGTTACGTTTTGTTTTACCACCATCTCTCACCTTTTTCAACCGAAAAACACCAACATATAATATTTCAGTAAACATCGAATATTGAACCTAGTTCGTTACATGTATTTTAAATATTTTAATGAGCTAAGTAATGCACCCACATTTTGTTAGGCGTCCAATGCACTTGGTAGCTAGATCGATAGGCCATATTTAAGCACTAGCTAGGGTGATCATACGTCCCATTTAAAACGGGATTGTCCCTTTTTATATCATTACGTCCCGTTGTCCCGAAAAACTTTGAACGGGACGCTTTTTGTCCCGTTTTAATCCTGTTACTTCCATAAAAATTGTAAATCGAGAGTAAAATAAAAATAAAAAGACATGTAATATAGTATATATATATATATATATATATATATATATATATATATATATGTACTACAAACTCATGTGTGAGACTTCTATTGAAATCGATTTTAAATACGAATAGTTTACCAACATACAGTACTATTTATAATCAACAATATTCGGTATAATAGGTATATTAGGTATATTAATCGAAAAATCGAACATAGTCGTGCAGTAATGTGTGTACATTGCAACGATCTTGTGTTATTAATTTTATAGCTACTGTATTTCAGTTCTTTTTATTTAAATTGTTGTGAGTCGTTAGTGTTATCACTTTTATTGTTTTTTTAAAATACCTAAAAGGAAATATATGTTCACTGTACCTTTGCTGGTTAAATAATGCAGTAATAGAAAGAATATTTTCAATCACAAATATTTTATGGACGAACGAAAAAAATCGTTCTCTCATACCAACTGTTAAAGCAATAATAATTCTTAAAAATAATTTTAAAAAATATTCCTGTAATGATTTTTATGATTTTTTGTTAACACAACCAAAACTATTAAATGCAATCAGTTCATCAAAAAAATATAATGTCAAAGGATGTAATGAAGAAAATCATGAACAATTGACATCAACTCAATAAAAATAAAGAATATTTTAAGTAATTTTTTTCAATCTCACAGCAAAAAAAGAATGCAAATCAATGTTTAATTAAAATATTAAACTAATTAAAAATTATTTTTATTGCATATAATATAGAAGTTAAGAAAAATGTGGTCTTTTTTTTAGAGAACATATTTGTCCCGTTTTTTTTTCATAAATATGGTCACCTTACACTAGCTAGAGTCTAACCTAACCAGTGTTAATTTCAGATTTTTTATCACGAACGTGATGTAGTAAATTTTCAGGGGGATGTATGGTAATATAGACGGAATGCTATAGGAATAATTATTCAATTTTTTCGAGGGTAAGCCCTATCCCACATTACATTAAAACTGGATGAAAGGAAAACATTACCAAATTCGATGATAATACATAATATTATGATGTATGGTATAATGAAAAACCAAATTTTTCATAAAAAATATAAAAATATTGGAGTATGATCTAGTTCATTGCTAGCGACCAGTGCCATAACACTGGAGGTTGGTGAAATGGGTGATTGTCTAGGGTGCAGCAAAATAAACAGACGCATTTTAGTTAAATTAAAATTGGTTGTTTAGTACCAAATAAAATTAGCCAAGGACATCACGGAGGGTAGTACTCTAGGTCCTAGCTAGAATTCAGTTCAGTAATCTACTTGACAGTTTAAGTCGAGTAAGTTTGATTTTTGTTTCAATAAGATATACAGATAATATCATTATTGGATAATACTAGTTGACAATAATCAAATTTAAATGAGTAGAAAATAATAAAATATGATTTAGTCTCATTAGTCATTATTAATCATTATACATATTTGATAGAAACATTTTTGAAACAATTATTCCTAGTTTCTATGCAAACTACATCAGAAAAAAATGAAGTAAGTAATTTGAGTGGTTTATCAAAAATTTTAAGTCTATTATAAATTAAAAATTCAATATATATCTTTTTATTCACAAATTTTAATGTTTTCATATCAACAGATCAAGATTATTTATTAGACATAATCAGTCATGTATAGTATTTGAGTAAATGTATTTAAATAATTTTGTAGTATTTAGAATACTTTCTGATTTGAGTATATGGGAAGTATTTTAAATACTGTATTGAACGTATTTGTATTTGAAAATCAAATACTTTTATACAAATACTTTTGAAAATTCAGTTGTCAGTCATCACATTTTTTTTTTTTTTAATTATTCTACTATTTTATATTTTATATTTTTTCACTCATTAATGTTCAGAACCCCTATAGCTGAAACTCTTCATTCAACTCCCATATTGAAAAAAAGTTCTTATCAAGTATAATACTTCACTGCTGTCTAGTGCTCCAGTTGAACGAATATTTAGTGTTGGGGAGCTATTTTATCAAAAAAAAGAGGAAAAATGAATGATGAATACTTTGAAAAAAATTTGTTACTGAAGTGCAACAAAAATTTTTGAGAATGATTTGTTTTAAATGCTCTGTATATCCTCTTCAATGATTATTTTATTACTTTATATTAAAGAATCGCTATAGTAATTATAAAACATGTTTTATTTATTTTCATTTTTTAGTATAATATAATTAAGAAGGTGATATAAAAACTTTTAATAATACTTGAATGTAACATGATAGTATTTTAAAATTAGTTATTACAAAATTAATTTGGCTTAGTAGAAAAAAAAGATAAAAAAGTATTTGAAAACTATTTAAATACATAATAAGTATTTGTATTTGTTCTTAAATACTTTTTCCTGAAAGAACTTGAAATGTATTTTAAATACATTCTGAATGGATGAATTTGTATCTGTATTTAAATACAATTTTAAAAGTATTTTTTACAACACTGGACATATTGTATAATATTTTCATTGTTTTATATTCAGTATTGGGGCAGAAACAATAAGTCAGCGATTTATGTATAACAGGCAACTACATATTCATCATAAATAGAATACATATTGTATGTTTGTTGACTCGAGTGAGGTGTATGATGAATGTTGCTTATGACTAGTCCTTCAGCCCCATACTATATATATGTACATATTAGAGATCTGTAAGGGCTGAACTAGCCCAACCCAGCCCGTTTTCAACCTGGCCCGTACTGGACTTGGACCGGACCATACCATAATATAAATATTGCGGGTTTGTTATGGGTGGGATTGCAGTATTTTTTTCTTTGGAATGGGCCGATCAAAAATAAAACTACCTAATATAACATAAGAATACTATACTAATGCCGATTATTGGCGTTGGAGAAGGAAATATTTCCAAACTGATGGAGTAGGCTTGACACAAGTCATAATAAAAATATGTCTATATTATTAGTGTATGTGATATTTATAATAATAGATCACTGATTAAAATAGATAGTAAATATTGCGTACAGGCTCGATTGGGTTGGACTTCAAAAAAAATTAAAGACCGGACTTAGGTGAGAGCATTTTGTAAGTTTAAGTTTCGGGCCGGATCGAACCGAAAAAAAATAGCCCGTGAAGATCTCTAGTACATACACACCCAAAAAGGTTTTTAAAAACATTGATATCTACAAAACAAAACTATACACAGAAATAAATTGGAAAAAAAAAAGAAAACAATAACCAATACACTTCAAATTTTTATATAAGTATAATTTTATTTTACTAAATTCAAAGTACTCAAAAAATATTTCATTGATGTTGATGACATGATAATAGTAACTAAATAAAATATATTCAGATGGTTTAAGGAATGTACAACTCCCTTTAAATTAATTGATGGTATAAAGTACTGTAGCTACTAATTACATTATGATTAAGGTAAAAAAAATTGGGGAGGAAAATTGTTGATTATAATGGAAATAATATAAGAAAAAATTAAATATACATTTTATTTGTTAATATATTACACAAAAGAAAAATGTTATTAATACCGTTTTTTGTATGGGAAATTTCTCTTACCGCCTTGGGTATTTTTTTGTTTTCCTACATTTCCATTGTTACGCTTTTTAATAGCAGTAAACACTGTTTTGTCAATAGAACCAAATCGAAGTTCACGAGCTTTAAGTTTGTCTTCTTTTTCACTCTAAAAATAAAATAATAAATGTTATTTAAACTAACGTTAATAAAAAAATTAATTAACTAAGTTAAATAAAACAAGAAAAAAATTTTAATTCAAAACAAAATAAAATATACAGTGTTCAACGATACAGGTAACACGAAATATTTCAAACGCATCACCTTCTATGCAATTTAGGTTTTTTGCAATGCATAAAGGACATGAAATTACATTTATTTTCGATAAATTTTAATTTTTAAAAAAAAATTCTGTGCATGAGCAACAAAATAATTTTTTTTTTAATGGCACTCCCCATTTTTAAGTTCAAATTTGAATTATGTCAATTTTTTCAAGCAACTTTGACCTTTAAAATTTTACTCTATCTTCAAAATTCACTGATTGAGAATGAGTTAAATTTTCGATTTATAATATTTGTATTTATCATATTTTTCAATAGTCTACTTAGAGTTTTACAAATTTATAAGTGATTTCATATAAATTTTTCTTAAAAATTAACTGTACTGTCATAAGTACAAGTAATTTACACTACTTCTACAGAAATTTTAACTAACCTGCACATAACGCATTAATTGTTCGCAAATATTTAGAGAGAATTTTTAATCATAGTTGGATGAAAACTCGTGGACCAGTACAATGGCTGCCAAGATCACCAGATTTGACACCTTTGAATTTTTTTTTATGGGGACATCTGGAGACAATTGTCTATTTTAACCCACCAAATGATCTTCAAAATTTGAAAAATAAAATAATTATTGTGTGTGTATAGTTAACCGATGAACAAATACTTTTTGTGATACACAGAGAAGTATTGCGACGGTGTGAAGCATGCATTGCAAATAATGGTAATAACTTCAAGCAATTTATATGATGAATTGTAAAATTTAATCAAAACTCACCTGTACATAATTTAATTGTTCAATAAAATCAAAATTTTGTTTTAAAACTGAATTAAAATAATAGAATATGTGTTAGTTTGTTTAGTTTGTTTGTTTATGTGTTATTTTTAATTAATCAAAATCATACCATTTACAAGAAATTTGAGTTAAAATGTTGGTGCCAGTATAGTGTGAAATCTACCATTACCCATAACAATAACCCATTACTATCTAGTTCTTTATCAGTAATTTATTGTTACAACCCCTTAACAGGTGCTCACACACAGGGTGTTGTAAGGTCATGGTTGGATGCAAAAATATCCATATGAAAAAAAAAAGAGAAGCGTACCTATCTATATGCTTCAGTCACATTTAGATCTGTATTGTTGAAAGGTGTGGTAGAAAAGTGAACCAGATTTGTTCATTGCTTTTTTAGATGATATGCGTGCTACATTCACAAATAGCTACTAAAATGAAACTTTTATTTTAAATATTTATTAGATGAAACTTATATTATCTGGATGTGATTTTGAAATTGTGATTTTTGAAATACGTGTGAGTCCACCTCCTCGTGGTGTATTTTAAATTATTTCTATGCGGCTCACAAATCGCATTCATCAAAAACAGGCTGGTAGATCACACTCTACACCAGAAACGAGCTGGTAGATCACAAGCTATACTGACACCAAAATTTCTATAGAAATAATGTAAATTACTTGTATTTATGACAGAACACTTAATTTTTAAGAAAAATTCATATTAAATCACTTATAAATTTGTAAAACTCTAAGTAGACTATTGAAAAATACAATAAATACAAATATTATTGCATAGGTCATGTGTTTGAAATATTTCGTGTTACCTTTATCATTGAATACACTGTATATATATATATATATACACACACACATATACAGTAGAATCTGTTTATTACAAAGCCGTATATAACGTTATTCCGAATAAATAGATTTAGCCATGTATTTGGTTGGTATTATATCTTAAATAAATAATGTTTTCGTCATCCGGATACGACTTTCGGATATAACAATTTGATTCTTCAAGTCTCTTGTAGATCATTATAAGCAGATTCTACTGTATATACATATATAAACAGTTATAGAATAAATAGATTTTTAATGCTTCAATAATAAAACGTATTGATAAAGAAGTTTGTTTTAATTACCTAGTATGGCATGTTTATTAAACTATACAGTTACTTTAGATAATCTATATTATAAATATATTAAACTCACATCATGCAAAGTTTTAGAAACTGTTTCACCAAATCTCTCGGCTCTCATTTTCAATTTATCATTATCAGCATTGGCTATTGGTTTCTAATTTGAAAAAATAATAATTTAACATTCGTTATTACAATAAAGTTATTAAATTTATATTGTACAATATGCTAGTTTACCAACTAGAAAAATCTATAAGCTTATATTTCAAATATGTAATACATTTAGTAAATATCTTACAATTTTAATACATAAATAAGCATTGATAAGCATTTTTTTAATAAGCAATAGTGATATTTTACATACTTGATCAGTAACAGCACCAAATTTAATTAATCGAGCCAATTTTTTGTCCTCTGACACTTCATTTCCAAACTTTTTAGCTCTCATTATTATTCTCTAAATATAATGTAAATCACTGAAATTCTTTATTTAATATTAATTTTTCACAATTTACCTCAGTTTGACTCATTGTTTCAACTTCATCTAACTTAATAATGCGGTCTTTATTAATTGATTCATCAATTTCTTCATTAGCTTTCTCTTCTTCTTTAGCTTTATTATCTTCACCATTTAACACGGTTACAGAAGAACGTTTTAATGTTACCTTTTTAGGTTGAATTACCTAAAGATAGTTATAATAAGTTATTAGTTTTTAATAATAAAATAAATAAATTTAATTAACAAAATTAAAAAAAAAAATTTGTAAAAATATTCAGAATATTTATATGACTAATTTATAATAAGTAATTAATGAAATACCTGTTGAACTTCCTTTTCTTCATGAATAATGCCATTGCCAACATTGATTTCTTCTTTCTCTGCACTATCTTCTAAAACTTTTGAATCATCAATGTCCGAATCGCCAAAATCATCCTTAAACATAAAATAAAAAAATGAGTTAAACATAGAAAAACTATAGCAATGTTAATAAATACCTCTAGAGCATCATCTTCATCTAGAATGTTGTGCTCATCCAGCACGGTATCCTCGATATCTAAAACTGAATTTTCGTTGGTTTTCTAAACTCTGTATCCTGTATTAATTTTATGCCTAACAAACCTGAGGATTCTGAATGATTAATCATACGATCAATGAGTTCTTGTTTATTTCCAACTGTACTCAAACCTCTTGCTTTCAATTCTTTCTTCAAATCATTAACCTTTGAAAAAAAAAATTGAAAAAATGTTAAATATTATTAATGTTCCAAAAACTCAAGTATGTATACAGTCAAAGATAGTGACAAAACTATAAATTTAACTGCGATTTCAGAAATAATTTATATAAAATAATGTGTAAAACATTCTTTTAAAGGTTTATAATAAATTAGGTAAAAATAATTATAAAACAATAATAGTTTTACAAAAAAATCTTATTTTGAAAGTTCACCTCTCCTACTTAAATGTAGGTATAATTAATACATATTTTAATTATTTCAATTTTAATAATATTAAGTCTCGAGGACCTTAAATTATATTCGTCTTGTAGGGAATTAATTACCAGTTATTAGATTTCGAGTTATTGCAACTCGACTGTAAACAAACTAATAATATTTCATAACATAATTAATATAACTCTTATTTGTGTTGAGTTAAATAAATGCTATTTAAGTGGCTTGTTTGTAGTTATGAATAATACTTAGAATCACAGACAATCTAAAAAATATAAGAATCTTGCTAAGCATTAATAAGGAATTTATTTTAAAATATCCATTAAATATTCCAAAATACCATAGGTACTACACTAATTAAATAAACTGATAAGAATATGATTTCTCGTATATTAAATGAATGCATAGTTAATTAGAATGAATCAATTCAAGGAACTACGATTAGGATACCAATGGAACTAATCTAATCACAAGGAACAAATGAACAGTTGAAACATAAAAATGAAAAATTATCGCAGTTTCGTGAAACCTTAGTGAAGAATCATGGAAATGGGAACGATAAAAAAAATAAACCATTATCGAAAAGAGTATTTTACCATCACCATTTTTGATAAAAATAAAAACATGTTATACAGCATTAATAGCTACTGGCGACGGCCGTGAGTATATTATAAATATGACGTTCTTACCTTCATTTTGCCGAGTTCTTCGAGTTTATTAGCATTACTCGTGTCTGACATCATTGACAGTTATGAAAAAAATAAGTAGAAATCGATACCAGAAAAAAAAATAATTAAATAATAAATAAATTTAATAAATAAATAATAATAATAATAATAATAATAATAATAATAATAACAATAAACACAAAACCGGGGAAACCAATGAGCCGCGAAACTATAAGACGATTGAAAACTTAGAAATAGTGAAAACTGTTAAGGCCGAAGTACACACTTACATCGGACGAGGGACAAAATTACTACGGTAAGTATCCTAAAAGAAATGCGTGCGGTGCCCGTGAGACGGCCGATGTTTGTTTATACTTTTTATCTTATCACACCGTTGCATAAATATTAACAGGATGACCAACATCGGCGTTTACGACGACGGCAAAGAAGAATGTTTCCTATCGGACAGAGCATACCAAACCAGAGGTTAAACCAGGTTTTTTTTACGCCCGGGAAAAATGTTAAAATTGCGTCCTATCATAGACCAATAATAAAATACTCTTCTCGAGAATTTTTTTTTAATAATTAATATACAACCATACTTATTGAGTTTTAACCAAATAACAGTATTTAAGAAAGTTAAAAATATCAAATTAGTTATTAATAATTACAAAAACTACCCCCTCTAAAATTTTACGCTCGAGGATGAATCCCCGTCTTACATCCCCTAGTTGCGCCCCTGCACCTATTTTTTCAGTTGCTAGTGCAATAATAGTTTAAATGTAAATAAAAATTAAATTATTAGAAACGCTTTTTGTCTATACAACCAACAATCATAACTTTGTAGTCATAAGTGGACAGGAGAGAAGCATAACCTTTTTAACAATTGTGTTTCTTAGTTAAGATTTTGTTTGAAAGTTTTTTCTTCAAGTTTTAGTTATGGAGACGTTTTCTATCCAGACAAGACACATGGATTTGATAAAAGTTAGACGGGGGAAGCATAGCCTTTTTAACAAACGTAGTCTTCAGTAAAATAATTTGTATCATAAATTGTTGTTGCGTGGACATGCGGTCATGACGTATACATCAGTAGGTACACTAAGACGATCCCAAAGTGTCTTAGATACAGGCGCAAGCAAATTAGCAGGCTTTTGGGGATTTAAACCGTCCTCCATCGAAAATGTTGAAAATAAATTAGGTATCTACATGACCTACAAATTGAATAGTTACATTTAAAGTTTCCCTTGAAATGTTTTCAAGACTCCTTCGGTATACGCTAGTGTTTGGATGCGCAGACGTATAAATCATTAGAATATCAGTATTCGGTTTCAATAGAAGCGATTCATTCGAAATGTGTAGTCAGTTTCAGTGACGCCGAAACCTACAATTCAGGTAGGGCACGTACTCATGAAACAAGATGAGATCTGATCACCAACCCACGATTGGATTTAGAGCTCAATAATATTTGCATCGCATGGACATTTTAATTAGATAAATAAGACACGTGGATAAATCTATCAGCGATGTGTGACGAGTTGATTAAGTTCATAATGAATTTAATAACTCGCTGATCCATCCAACCCACCCACCACTGAAATATTATTAAGAAAAGGGAAATCTGCTCTACCTGAATCCAGGGTTTGGTGCCACTGGTTAATTCATCAATAAGTTTTGCCTAACTCCATTGCATCTGCGATTGAAGAAAGTTGATAATTGGATTTGATTTTTTTTTTTTTATAAAAAACGGTCAATAAATTTTAGTTCATAAAAAATCAAACGTCCTATAATCTAAGGCTTAGACTACAATTTAATAAATTAGGAATTGCTCTTACCCATTGTGTAGGACTATAATTTGTGCGCAATGTGGGGGGCTGTTCTTTGCTCCATGGATAAAATCACATTTTTTCTGGTACGACAATTCAAGTCTGGATATCATACTATATGAAGTTAATATAAATTCAGTTCAGTCCATTCAAAGTTAAAATAAAATTTAGGCTACAAAAAATTGCAATAGTTAATCTTAGATTTAATTTAAGGTTGACAGACTTATTGAGTTTCAATTTATATATACATAATTGAAATGCTTATTAAGCACTTATTTTAATGTATAATAGGTACACACTAATTATACAATATTTATATACATAATATACACTATGTAATTAATTCACATAATAAATTTAGTTTGATATGAGAAATAAATAAATAAAAGTTACACTTCATAGTTTGGTTAGGTAATTATAAAATATATTCGAAATAATTATTAAATTTCTTGGTTTTGTTCGCTCAAACCTTCAGGTTCTTGAATAGCTTCTGGGAGTGGACAATACATATTAGAACAATAGTTTTCAATGAAATAATCACCACCATGTTCTGCATACATTTCTGGTGTTAATAAATATTTGTGAAAATCTCCACTGTTTGCAAATTCTTTAGCACCATACCAAGAATCCAGTAAAGGCGAATTAGATAATTTTACATTTATATTAGTTTCTAATGGTCTCATCTCTCTGAGTTCCCTATAAACCCGTTCCTTGAACCCTGGCAATTTTGTTGGACCACCAGTCAAAAATAAATTTTCTGCTAAAGCATTAGCTGTTTCTGCATTATATTTTTTTAAAATAAACTCTACGGTATCAGTTATTCCACCTTGACTACAGCCAATCATTGATGGTTGAAAAAGTACTTCTGCACACCTCATACGCTCTATACCAAAATGCAATTGGTGAGCTTCTTTGGGATTTTGCTCTTCGTTGGTATTAGAACTAACAAATGTAGGATCATAAAACCGTATAATTTCTTCTAGTTCGGTAATCTTTTCTTGTTCTTCATCACTGTCAGTGTCTCCACCTTCCTACATTTAACATTCAAATATTAATGTAGGTGATTATGGAAAATATTAATAAGAATATTAAGTATTTTAATTTATCAGAAATTGGTTTTGCATGTTATTATAATACGTTATATACTAATAAATTTATTTTGTTTAGTAAATATTATTATTTATGGATTTGGATTTCAGAATCTATTGTTAATCAGTGTATGAAATAGAAACATTTGAAATTCTAATAAGTATATAAGATTGTCAAAAAAAAAATAAGCAAAAATAGAATATATAGTGAAAAAAAAATATGAACTAATTGTTTATAATGAAGTAAACTCACTTTATTAATAACTTTGTAGACATCCCAATCTTCATCCCTGCTACCAAAATCATCATCTCTTTTATCTTTTCTAGCTAACTGACTAATTAACCGCATTCTTTCTAAAGATGCAGCTGTTCCTCTTTTAGCCATATCCTGTCTACGTTGTTTTCTCACAGCCTTTTTATCTATTATGTCTTGTCTCCTTTTATATATATCTTTGAGCCAAGTTTTTGAAATAGTATCTTCTTTTGGTAATTGAATTTTATTTTTAAAAAGTCTTAATTTGGGTTCTTCTGTAACATGTTCTTCAACATTAGAAGCATTAAGAGAAGCGGCAATTTTAGATTTAGCTCTATCAATTCTAGTTTGAAGATCAGAAATTAATTTTCTTAGATCTTTTTCATTTTTCAATCCATGAGACTTTAATACTTCCTGAAAATATGAGAATTCATTAAAATTTGTTATCTATATAAAATAAAACTTTAGAATAACTTTAAACTTTAAAATAAAATTTCAGTATTTACTCTGACTTCTTCAATAGGTTCTCCATCATCAATCATCTCTTGAATTAATAATAACTGTTGAAGCTGTTCTTCATCTTCAGCTAACTAAACGAACATTTAAAAATTCTACTTATTTAATATGTCTTTTAACCATGGTTTGTAAGTAAGAAAATACAAAGTAAATGTAATTACTTTTTCATCTCTTTTTCTAGCATTCATTTCCACTAGTTTTTTAGCCATTTCTCTTCTTTTATCACGTTGTTGATCAGGTGTTAAAACAACAGTCATGGAATATGGGAGTTGTATTCGTTTGACATTACGATCATAATAATCAGCATCTGACCATTTTTTTAACATGTCTGTATAATGAACCGCCAGAAATCCATGTTCATAGAGCAATTCCTTAAAAATTACTTTGACTATATCAAAATATTATAAATATAATAGTAATAATACCTCTGCTCGGCTAGGTGTAATAGCATTATAATGTGCTGGGTATTTAAGTTGAAGCAATTTATGTAAGTAATAGGTAATATGATATCCACCAACATCAATTCGACGAGTGTTCAATAAGTCTGGAGTACCTTTGATTACAGGTATGATGTGGGTTGTATGATGGCCACAATTAATGACAAGTCCAGTTTTTTTACCAATATTATGTTTGTAACTGAATAGTCCGTCTATTCCATAACAAATGCCAGGTACATGATAACATTCAAATAATAATTCTGACATTACTGAAAAAAAAAAATCTATATACAGACAAAATCAAATTAATAAATATAAACTACAGTCAGATTAACATTTGTACCTAAAAAGCATGTAAAAAAAAAAAAGGCCATTAAATACTGAGCTGGAATATTTGTTTTTTAAGTCATGTAATTTACAAAAATCTTGACATTTAGTTATTTAGTCCAATGTAATATAAATAGATGTCAAATATAATATCTCTTGTAATATCCAATAGTCACTCAAGTTTAAATGATTTACTTTATAAAAAAAGATAAAATCTATGTAATAAAATACAATGAAAAATTTTTGAAACAGATTTGTTACTCATAGATATGATTATAAAAATAAAAAAAAACCGAGTTTAAAAACTTATGATGAAAAATCATTTTAGATAAGGCAAAGGAAAAATACAGATATTGCTTTAATTCTTTATCCTATCCAGTTTCAATAGAAATACTTACAAAGCCGAGAATAATTAGGATTGGCAACAGGTTCTGTCATTAATATTGGATGGTTTATACTTCCATTGCTATCAATGCCTAAATGTGAAAAAGTATAGTCGAAAATCTGTTCTTGAACATTAAATTGAGTAATAACATTGCGGTCAAATTGTGATTTCAATTGGAACCTGACTGCTTCAATATTAGGTATGTCATTTCCTATTAATGTTTCACCATCCTAAACATGAATTGTTAATATTAATTTATATGTTTTCGTAATAAAAATACCATATTCATTACTTTTTTTCCACGTTCTTTTCTTGGACGTGCTAAAATATTTTTGAAAGTCAAATTTGGTGTTTTAGATGTTGCCCAACCAGCTTTACAAGTAAATGAACCTAAAATTATGAATTGTTATTTATCAATAACAAATATAAATTGGTGAATTATAGATCAGTATTATTAAATAAAAGTTACCATTATCAATAACAATAGGTGTTTTAGAATTTTTTAAAGCTTGTGTGTAATTGTAATACTTGTCAGGAACAAGTTTGAGATCCTTCAGTAATATTACTTCCTCAGACATTATTAATAAATTAGTTGATTCAAATTAGATCATATACCTCAAGTTGACATATTAATCAAACACTGCTACACATTTATTTGATTCAGTAATCAATACATTTAAATATTTACGTTAAAAGTATAATAACGAATATGCCGGGTATGATGAAATTAGAGACGCATAAAGAATTTTGAATTTTGATAAAATATATAAATAATTATAACTGATAAGTCATGTGCACTAAAAAGTGTTATTATAAAAATGCAGTTATCTACGGCCTCAAAATGTTATCAAATTTTAATTTTTCCAGGTATCAGCATAGCATTCTATTTACGAGTGACATCAAGATAAAGAATAAATTTATTCTTTAAAAAATTTATTCTTTATTTGGATGATAACAATGGATAATAATAATTTTTTATGACAACCACGGTCTTTTCAAAAATAACGGTTTTTTTTCTGCGATTAAACCATTGGGTAGTATTTCGTACCAGGGGCGTATTTAGACTTAAATTTAGGGGGGAGCTACTCAAATTTTTTCTCAAAATTTACAAGTAAAATTTTTGGTAATATTTATATCAGGTGAATCCTTAATATTTGTGGTTTTTTTTTTTAAATCTAATGCTGGATCCACTTAGAATGATCTTTTGTGTAGTTCTTTTTTAACACCTATTTGTGTTTTGAAAGTTTCGCTTTTGTTTTTTCTAATTTTTCATTAAATATGGACTGGGTCTATATATTATTTATCGTTATGGGATATATAAACGTTATAAGCAATTGATCGTTTAATGCTATAAATAATTTAAAGTTCAATTTAAGCGTTTAAACGTTATACAAATTTAAACTTTAAAAAATTTTCCGTTTACCGTTGTTGACAATTAAAACGTTATGAGAAATTTAGCGTTTTGCGTTATTTAAATTAGTGTAAAATTTGAAACGTTTTCAAATGTAGTAATACTATAAAATAAATCATAATTTTTGTTTCTTAATAAAATACCCATTACTTATATAAAAATTGTCTTGGTCTAAAAATTCTCGGGGAAGCGGATGCTCCCATCCCCCTTCCCACAAATACACCACTGTTTCGTACATACTGTTGTGTGCTAACCATTTGATTGTATTTCAGTTACTTGTTCAGTCTATTCAACGCTTGGATGTATCTCAGTTACTTGTTCTGTCTATTCAACGCTTGGATGTAGGTATAAAGTAGAAATAATAAAAGCCACTTGTGATAAAGAAATTTATTAAAACTGTTAAAATTATTCTAAGTGAAATAAATTAATTAGCTGTTTAAAATCTAAGTCCTAATACTTGTAACTGTTAAAAAATAGTCTAAGTCCTGACAGTTAAACTATAAAAATATTTCTAAGTCCAGACCATGACTAACGTGACCATACGTCCCGCTTTTGGCGGAACAGTCCCGCTTTCGAGGTAAATGTCACGCTGTCCCCAAAAAACCTAAAAATGTCCCGCTTGTGATAGGTATTTATTGATCACAAACCACCATAAATTTATACTGCATACAGTATACACTAAACGAATACCTACATATTATAAATATATATTTATTGTAAAACCCATATAATAGTCCATAGATAAAAATGATACAAAATAAGTAGGTACCTAATTCTAGCTAATTGTTGTTATCGCTGCCACCGCGTCCGCGTCGATTGCGGGAATCAACAATGAAGTTAGTTGTTCCGTTGCCTTGTCACGTGTTGCACTTCTATTTTTTTGACGTTCTTTACGACTTAACGTGATTATTTAATTTTGAAAATGCCCAAACGCAAGTGCTCATTTAATGATAAATTACAAACCAAGTATCTGTTTGTGAAAAAAAGAAGTGGTCCCTCCGACGTTACGTGTGAAAAGTGTCGTACAGATTTTAGTGTTGCACATAGTGGTGCTGGTGATATCGAGAAACATTTACGGTCAAAAAAACACAAATTATCCGATCATGCTTCCGCTTCAAGTTCATCAATGCTCAATTTTTTCAAGAAAACGGATTTACCTTCTTCTAAGGATTTTGAAGTTGTTGCTTCAGAAGCCACTTGGGCTTATCACACTGTCCCGGAAAATCATAGCTTTCGCTCGAATGATTGTGCGTCAAGTTTAATACAGACGTGTTTCGAGCACAAATTTAGACGTGCTCGCACAAAGTCCGAGGCTATTGTTGTAAATGTTTTGGCACCTATGGCAATACATGAGTTAAACGGCCACCTTCGTAAAGCGAATTGCATTACTTTGCTAACGGACGCTTCAAACCATGGTTCTACAAAATTATTCCCTGTATTAGTACGCTACTCTTTACCGTATGAAGGAGTGCAAGTAAAGATTTTAGAATTTCAAGAGCAACCGGGTGAAACATCGAATATAATTGTGGATTATTTAAAACAAGTATTGACTAAAAATGAACTGACGTCTAAAATTGTGGCGTTTTGTGGAGAAAATACTAACTGTAATTTTGGAGGAAAAAATAGAAAAAGAGTTAATAACGTTTATGCAAAATTAAACACGTCTCTTGGAAGGACTCTCATAGGAATTGGATGCGGAGCTCACATAATCCACAATGCGATCAAAACTGCTGCAGATTGTTTACCTGTTGATTTTAAATGCATAATTGTAAAAATATACTCATTTTTTTACATTTATAGCGTTCGTATTGAAGCTCTTAAAGAATTTTGTAATGCAGCTAACACAGAATATAAAAAAACTTATGGGCTATAGTAAAACTAGATGGGTTGCGTTGATGTCTGCACTGAAAAGAGTTTTGAAAATGTTTCTGCCGTTAAAAAAATATTTTCTGAGCATTGATAAATGCCCGAATATATTGAAAGAATTTTTTGAAAATCCCAGCTCTGAATTATGGTTGTATTTTATGCACGCACAATCAGCTACTTTTCGTCAAGCAGTGTTAAAAAAGATCGAAGGCCAAAAAGTGTTTGCAATAGATGCTGCAAATGAAATTAATCAATTCCTAAATAATTTAAATCAAAAACAAAATGCGTGCTATCTTCCCCACGCCATCCGTAATATAATGGGAAAATTACTAAAAACTGGTGCTATCAATGAAGAAAACGTAAAAGCTACAGCGGCCGTTTTTTACAAAACAAGCAAAGAATATTTAGAGCAGTGGTTTCAGTTCAACGAGGAAATAAAAATATTTGAATGGGCCAATTTGAGGAAGGTTCCATCGTGGGAGGTAGTACAAAAAGTACAAAGACTTACTTATTGAACAGAAATTTATTAGTAGCAGTTTTTGACGAGTTTTCACTAATTTCTAAGTATATAACAGCTCAGAAAATATGTGATAATCGTTGGGTGGAAGTATTTACGCACTTCAATGCAAATGATCTCGCACACGTGAATTTTTCTAAAACTGTAGAATACATTTTGTGTCTGCCAGGCAGTAATGCTCGAATTTCAGTATGTAAAACTAAAACTTTATAACGAGAACAAGCTTATTCACACATTTTTTTGAGAATTCGTGTTTTAAGAGCTCTTGATTTAATATAATTTACAATTTTAATTACTAAATCAAGAACATTTTTAAGCTCATCTGGAATCGATTTAACCATCAAAGCTTCACGATGTATAAAACAATGGGTTGAAATTATATTTGGAAAATCTTGTTTTAATCTCGAAATAAAGTCTTTAAATTTGCCAGTCATTGCAGGAGCTCCATCTGTGCATACGGAAATACAATTTGTCCATAACAGTTCATTTTTTTTTTAGAGTATCACTAACACAATTATATATATCTTGCCCGATCGATGTTGTTAATAATTCAGTTCAAGATAAAAATTGTTCAATAGCCTCATTGTTTTCAATAAATCGTATATAACTTAATAATTGACATTTTTGACTAATATCGGTCGATTCGTCAATTTGTAATGAAAATTTTCGGCCATCACATAAAATTTCAGAAACGTGTTTTTGAATGTCGGAAGACATATCTTCAATTCGTCGAGATATTGTGTTATTTGATCATGGAATACGAGAAACTTCCTTCACAGCACTCTCACCTAACATTGATTTTACAATTTCTTTGCAAGCTGGTAATATTAAATTTTCAGCTATAGTGTGAGGCTGCATTTTTTTAACTATTAATTCAGCAACTTCATAACTAGCAATCTGAGCTTTATCGGATATATTTGTAAGTTTTTCAAATTGTTTTGATTGTTTTACATTTGACGATAATAAGCAGCTAAAATAAGTTTTATCTTTATTTAACAAATGTCCGTGTTTAGTAGTAAAATGCCTTTTTAATTTACTAGGTACCATACATTCGTTCCTAAGTTTTTCTCCACATACCAAACACTGAAGAATAGGAATAGTTTCTGATCCACAGAAAGTGAAACCAAAATTTAAATAACTATCATGGTACTTACGGCTTGCACTAGAAGATTGTGTACCAGATTTGATGGTTTCAGTAACTGTCGTTTTCTCTTTTTTATTATCGCCATTATTTTCATCGTAATCGTTAAGCTTTCTTTTTATATTTAAAAACTTATCCATAGTTATTATAAAACAAACATCACAAAAATTCAATAAAATTTAGGCTTGTCGTGGTGCGGTTTAAACGTAATCGAGAAAACGGTATCGAGAGATAATAATATTATTACCTAATAACGATCATTATATACCTATTATTCAATAAGTAGATAATATTTATCCAAAGTGTACCGTGACATAAAAACTAATAATAAAGTGCCGCGATGGGAAAAAGTTTGGGAACCACTACATGAACGTGAAGATGCTCAGTATTGCATAGCCAGAACTCGTCTGATTTGCCCTTGTTTTCGGATATACCCATATGCAATGCAGGGTGGTTATGGTATTATTGTTATCTAAGTACGTGGGACACGACAATACATTAAAAGTTTCATGTTGTATATGTTCATGAAATATCTATAGAAAACTGTGAAAATATTTTTCATATTTACTAGTACCTACCTAATTATTTAATAATTATTCATAAAAATTTAAATATTTAAATACATATTGTCTTCATATTCCCCAGTGACAAGGAGTCCGTTGCTGTTAATAGATGCTAAAGAACAGATACAAATTTTAATATAGATCAGACAAGAGTACAGTATGTTGCTTTGAGCAACGATAATAGTTTAATGCTCTTTATGGTACTAATTACAAAATTCTATGATATTTATCATGTAATATTTCCATAAGTATTTGAAAATTAATTAAAACAAGAACACTATTGATAGTAATAAAATATAATTATAATGTATACAGATATATAATATACTATATAAAATAAACATAAAAATAAATATGTAATTAATAAAAGAAAACATATTTTTTTCATTTACGTATAATTAAACTTAAAAACTAAGGCACATATGTTGTATACTATCTACTAACAAATTGTCGGTGTCATATGATATCCACCATTATCTACTGTAATATGTTTTGACAGTATCGATATTATATTACTATATATCTTTGGTTCCTGTGAAGAAGGGCTTAAGTCAACTTTTGGCTTTTTTTTTTTATAATTTTGTCTTGTCATATTTTTTGGTCTAAATGGCATAAGTTAATGTGTATTTCAAGTTTTACTGAAAATAAAAATATCTTAAGTCACCATGATGTACTTTTTGGTTGTCAAAAAAGGTATTTGTCAATGATATGACTTAAGCCATTTAGAACAAATATAGATATATTTTTCTAATTGATAGTTTTTTTTTCTTTATAGAGCTAAAAGAAGCAATTTTAGTTCTAAGCGTATTGAATACTGAATCTGGTTTTTCATTTTTGTAGAATAGATTTTATTGGATTTTCAGTAACTAAAAAAAATGTAGGGAACGAAAAACAAATTCTTTAAAGAAAAGAAATATTACATATGAATATTATTTTAATTTTGATGGACCACTTAAAATGTGCTACAAAAAATGTTTTCTAACAACATTAGATGAAAATTAAAACTTTATACATTCAGTTATTGAAAATAAAAATTGCAGTGTATCCGGTATCACTAAGTTAGAAGCTCGTGAAAAAATATTACATGTAAAAAAAACAACTGATGAAGCAATTTTTAATGTTCAAAAACATATTTCATCATTTTCAACATATGAAAGTTACTATACTCGCCGTATCAACGATACAAAGTATTTACCATCACACTTAAATCTTAATTTAATTTACAAACTTTACCGTTCCGAGTGTAATGAACCTGTTAGTAAAATAATTTATGAACTAGAATTTAAGAAAACAAAATTAAAATTTAAGTTGAGGATGACAAATACTTGCCACAAGTGTGATGTTTTCAAAATTAAAATTTAAATTGAAAATAATAATGAAAATAAAAATAAATTGAATTGAAGATCGTGATCACCACGTGGAAAGTGTTGATGATGCGTATAATGCTAAAAATTGACAAGGAAAAATTTAAGTTGGATCCATCAATAATTTGTCTAACTTTTGATTTGCAACAATGCTTGCCAATCCCAAATCTAGAAACGTCCGTTGCTTTTTATAAAAAATTATATCGGACTTACAATTTCTCCACACATAATAGTAATATTGGTTTTTTGTATTACAAAACAAATTAATTTGAAGATGAACCTTTTAAAGTACTAAATCTAAAAAGAAGAGGCGGGGTCAATCATTTTTTGTTGCAAAAATGTATAATGCACCAGTGCCAATATCTAAAGAAAAAAAAAATGACTTACTGCAACTTCTCACATTAATACCTACTATTTATCATGATTTTTACAAGAATTTGGTTGATGATAGTACTGAAAACCAGTCATATGATCCAGATCTCGATAAAACATTAACTGATTATGATGACTAGGTATTTTATTTGTTTAAAGTTTAAACATACAAAGGTATTATAATTTATTTTGTTATAATATTTGGTGTATTGCTATCATTATATTGTTATTTGTTATAATTTTTTATTAATTATTATGATTATTATTATAAGTAATTTCTGTTAATAAAATGAATCATGAATTCTATGATATAAAAAAAAAAAATTCAATAAAAAATAATTTTTAAGGATTTTAAAGTTTGTTAAAAATTAATTTAAATTAAGAGTTAAGTAAAAATGTAAAAAGCATAAGTCATGGTCAAAAAAACTTAAGCAAAAAAAACATGAAATAGAAATGGCTTAACTGCAATAACTTGTAAGTCCTTAATATTTTCATAATTGTAATATTAAGTATTTGTTTGGCATGGAAAACTAATATAAAAAGTATTTAGAATGAGAATAAAAATATTTAATTTTCACTTGTAGCAATTTTCAAAATTTGATTTATTTGTGTTGAAAACTATTCAGAATTGACTTAAGCTCTTTTTTCCAGGAACCAAAGATATATTTATGAAAATTTTATATGTGAAACATTACTTCTGATAATTGTCCAAGAAATAGAACCTGAAACCACAATTTATTTAGATGAATGGAGAGCTTACAGTACTCTTAAAGAACATGGTTTTCTTCATTAGACAGTTAATCACAGCAAAAACTTTATAAATCCAAGTAGAGATGCTAGATGGAGAAAAATAAAAGTAAAGTATGGAATCAGAGCTCGAGAAGGGACCAATCTTTTTAAAAAATAATTGCAAAACGAATGCGGATATCTGTCAACCGAAAAAAAAATTTTGAATGTTTTTTACAAGGTACAAAAAAACATTTTTGTAAAAAATAAAAAAAAATATGTACAACTGTTAATAAACAGACTCTTTAAAATAGGACAACTGTGAACCAACAGGCATTGATATGTATGAGTAGATTTTTGTAAATATGATTTTTTTAGTAGATAGCATACGACATGTGTGCCAAAATTAAAATATAAATTATTTAAATCAAAATATTAAATAATTAGTTAAAATTATTGAACAAATATTAATAAAATTGGAATATTTCTTTAAACTAAAGTTGAGTTTTAAATATTTAGTCTAAATAGATTTTTATTTTTTTCATTTTGCACAACAAATCCTTGTAATTTAAGTTCAAAACATTGACTGGTTAAATGTGGCATATTTTTAATGTCTAACCAAGCATCTTCGGAATCTTGATCCATAAACTCCACTAATAACTTTAAAAAAGTCAATGCTTTATAAATATTTAATTCAAATAAAGATTTTAATTGCTATGTAAGTAAAATTATAATTTATTTCATTTTTATGAACTTACGCTTAAAGTTTCTTTTAGTGTAGAAGAAGGACTTAATTGAGATAATAATAAGTACTAAAAAAGATAATATTATAGAATAATAAATGATATTTTATGTTATGTCAACATTCAATAGAAATAATAAATTTACCATGTCTGATTTGCATTCCTTAAAATCTTGAGCAACTTTTTCTTCTATATCTGCATTTATTGTATTTTGAGTTGTATAATTATCAATTTCCTGTAGCAAGTCCTTAATAAATATTGACAACTCTTTAAACCTAGAAACATTAATTATGCATTTGAAATATTTATATTATTACATAATATTTGCAATTAAATTACCTATCTATATTTTTAATCATATTTTTATCATCATGTTTGATACTATTCAGTAACAGTACACTTTCTGCAGAAACCTTTTCATATAATTTTAAAAGTTTCACAGAAGTCAAAGATTGAAAACTAGGATAATCTTTAAAAAATTAAATTAAAATCATCCATGTTAATAAAACAAATGAACTTAATATATGATAGAAAAAGTATTATTTCTTACTAAGAGGTCTAGTTTCCTTTAATAAACATGTTATGTCATTAATAATGTTCTTTTTAATTTTGAGTAATTCTTGGTGTGTATTAGCATTGGTTGGACTTTTATTTAAGCTCAACTGTTGGTCTAATCCATTCAATATTTCAGCCAAAGCTTTCACTTGTGCTTTAAACTTCAACAGAACATCGACAAGAGAAAAATCATCAGTCATTACCTCTGTGTTTTCCAAACATTCAACTTGAGATTGTACATCAATATTTGTTGAACAACAAGGCTATATGAAAACAAACAATTATCTTATTAATACTTACAAAATTAGTTTTATGGATATATTTTAATGTGTATTATACAGATTATGGTTTACAATATTTTATAAAAAGTATATATTTAATAAATTTCATAAAATCCACTGTTATATTAAGGTAAAGGTAAGTATATTCTAATTTTATGTTTTGATCTTTTGAACTTCATAATGAATATTCAGCAAATTTTAATAATGTGTTTTAAATCATTAAATATTTTATATTATACAAGTACAATTTATTACCAGCTTATAACCATAATATACAATGTAGTCTCTACCTAAAGGGCATTTAAACAAATGGGGCCCCCGACCAATTGAGGATCCGAAATATATAATTCTCAACTTAGTAACAAATTGATACAACTTATCTCAGCTCAATATTTGACAGTCAGGCTTAAATAAAAAGATATAATTTAAAAATAATTTTCAACTCAAAATGTAAATGCTATAAATACAAAGATTACTTCTTCAATGATAAATTTGATAAATAACAAGTTATTAAAGTATAGAGACAGGCAGCTACAATATTATTTATTATTATATTTCTTTGATAAAATAATATCAATAATACATTTTCAAACAAAAGTAGGCCTGAAAATATTGTTTGAAATTCCAAATATTTATTATAATTAGAAAATTATTAGATAATTTGAAATAATAATCAAATTTATGTTTCTAAAATGGCCCTCACATAGCCAAAAACGGCTTTGATAATGTACTAGACTTTAACATTTTAAATTGAACAGTACAAAACATAGTTTGTTAAATATATATTTATCCAAAAGAAATTTTACAAGATAGATATCTTCTAAAAGCTATGCATTTATTAAGTTGAATAATCAACTACAATTAAAATTGGTAGTCAACAAAAGTATTAAAAATAAATAAAATATAATAAAAGGTCCCCAGTATTATAACATAAATTCAAGTATTTAAAATTGTTATTACAATTATTGATTTAGATAATAAATGAACATTTTGTATTAACTTACATCACTGTCTTCATTGTTTGATGAATATGAATTATATGAGTTAGATTCTGACATTTTTCCTGTGATTTGTAAAACCTTAAGTAATTGAAACAATTTACACAATGTTTATAAGCTCGATAAGTTTATATTTAATTTATTCATGTATAATTTAAATTACTTTTTGATTGTAAGTTTAAACTACATATGATATTAAATATAATACTAATATTTATTATCATTGGATTTCAAATATTTTTGAATATTGAAATATTTATCCATTTAACGAGGCAACAGTTATCAAAACGTCAGAGTTATCAGCTCAACAACAGAGTGTCGTCCGATGAAAAGTAAACTTACCCTAAATATTTGTGATTTAATTGCTCGCAATATTGGGTGTGAATTATTAAAACTCAAAATAAATCGCAAACAATTGAATTGGTGGGCTTAAATTTATTAAATGTGTATTAAGATAAAGATTCGAACTCGAAAGGATTGTAAGTCGAAAAAGTTCCGGACCGGCGTCCAACGTTGTGGCTAGCCTGAAACCTGCTGATAGTCCGACATCTTTTTTTATTTTCCGTCACTTTTGTAGCGAATTTCACTTAGCCTATTTCATTACGTCCGGCAACTCCTCAATTTACGCGTGGCCGTTGCTGTCAACTGCCTATTTATAAGATTTACACAACAGAAAATTCATCCTGTTCAAAATGTATTCTCCGTTCTATCAGCTCAGGAAACCCGTGGACCAACAAAACGCCATTGAAAATGTTCAGCAATTTCCTGCTCATCTCGTACCGGGTAAATTGATTTACCGTTACTTTTGTCTTACCAATCAAGTTTCCGTCGCCGCCGAATGGACGGCTCATTTATCAAGTGATTATTAAATATCTCTTTGTTTTCGATTACAGGTAGGACGATTGCTGCTGCTGCAGTCAATGAAGATAGCTGCGAGTTTGGTTCCCCCAAATATTTTGCCCTCTGTGGATTGGGCGGTGTTATTTCATGTGGTTTGACACACACAATGGTTACTCCATTAGATTTGGTTAAATGCCGTCTACAAGTGAACCCTGGAAAATACAAGAACCTTCTCTATGGTTTCAAAGTTACAATGGCTGATGAGGGTGCTAGAGGATTAGCCAAAGGTTGGGCTCCAACAGCTATTGGTTATTCTATTCAAGGTCTAGGTAAATTCGGTTTGTACGAGTACTTCAAAATTTTATATGCCGACTTGTTGGGAGAAGAAAAAGCATATTACTGGCGTACATCTCTGTATTTGGCTGCATCTGCATCTGCTGAACTCTTCGCTGATGTCGGTCTTGTTCCTCTTGAGTCGATCAAGGTCAAAATTCAAACTACTCCTGGTTTTGCCAATACCATGCGTGAAGCTGTCCCTAAAATGTTGCAACAAGAAGGTGTATCTGCTTTCTTTAAGAGCTTAGTACCATTGTGGATGAGGCAAATTCCTTATACAATGATGAAGTTTTCATGTTTTGAAAGAACAGTTGAATTAATTTATGCTCATGTTGTACCAAAGCCTAGGGCTGATTGCACCAAAGGAGAACAATTGATTGTTACGTTTGCTGCAGGTTATATTGCTGGAGTTTTTTGTGCCGTTGTGTCCCATCCAGCTGATACATTGGTGTCAAAATTGAACCAAGAAAAGGGAGCATCTTCTGTTGATGTGCTAAAAAAAATTGGTTTTGGAGGATTATGGAAGGGTTTAGGCCCAAGAATTATTATGATTGGTACCTTAACAGCTCTGCAATGGTTCATCTATGACTTTGTTAAAGTCACTTTGAACATTCCTCGACCCCTACCACCTGCACCACCCAAGGGAAAGAGTGAATAAATAATTTATAGTACATTAAATTATTTAATCAATTCAGAACCGTCAGTCTTACTTAAATATAAACCATGTGCACTTATGAATTGTTCATTGAGGAGAGTATTCAACGCTTTTTAGTTTTGTTTTACATTTGTAGACGCTTCAATCATTCCGATTTAACAATACCTCAATCACGTGTATTTATTAAAATACAAAACTCTAGTGTGCTGTATCAGTATGTTATAAAATATGTGTATAATGTTGTTCTTAATAAAGTTACTTATATGTTCTGAGTTGTAGTATAAAATGACTTTTTATTAATATTTATATAATATATGTTAAATAATTTAGTGTTATGTAAAATTGATATATTGTTGGTGAACATTCTGTTCTCAGTTTCTACATGTGTGTTAAATATAGATTTAAATATTTGGCACAAGTTAAATTTACTATTATTATGTCCAGTGCCTATGGTTTAATTCTATTTTTTTTTTCATACATAAAAATTATTATTTATTGTAAAATTTAATAACTGGCAATTTTTTCAAGTGGTTATGAGTACAAGTGATTTATAGCATTAAACATTCATTTATATGTTAATCTTTTCAATTTATGCTTAATAATGCTATACAATATCTTAATTGATTGGAATTTTATCTTAAATTTTGTAAAATGTCAAATTAACTAATAATATAGTTGTACAAGGTCAAATTTATATGACCTCTTTAAGTTTATTTTATACTATAGTATTTCTATAGTACTCTATATTATACAAATCAAATGACTAAAAATAATTTTTTTTATTGAAAAAAAAAAAGATTTATTTATAAATTCATTTAATTGTGAAATGGTGAAAAATGCACAGGTGCTTGCTTATTTAATATAATTATACAACTGTGTAATTTAATGGTAGTTCATTAAAAAAGCATTTGGAATTATTTTAGTTTTTTTTTCTTTTTTATGTAATAAATCGGAACATTCATTTGATAAGACTACATTAAAAGATAACTTTCATGCTTTGAACTCATGATAATCGTTACAAAAATATCAATAGCACATGATTCATTTTCATTGTGCAACCATTAAGTAAAAGTTGTATATTATCTATTAGATAAAACATTTTACTATTTTTCTTCTATGGTTAAAATGGTCTTTCAAGACCATCCTGTCTCACACCAATTCCTCCATTTTTCTCTATCCAATTTGTTCCTCCCCTTAGTCTTTCTATCTTGTTTTGGGTATTCCCAATGGTATTTTCCTATGCGGGTTTTGTTCCATCACTGCCTTAATTCATTTTGGCCCCTCCAAGCATGGCCTGCCCATTGGAGTCTGCTTTTTTATCTCCTCTGTTATGATTGTGCTTTGGAATGAAATTTCGAGTTCTGTATTTTTTCTCCTTTTTTCAATTTCCGCTGATGTTATGCTTAACTCGTTTAAAGATTGTCCATAATATTTTTCTTTCCAGTATTAAAAATTTATTTTCATCAGATTTTCTTAGTGACCATGTCACTCCGTACAGAATTACTGAATGGATTTATGTAGTATATTATTGCGTTTTTAGTTCTTTAGATAATACTCGAGATCCTAAATTCGTTGCTAACCCATAGTAACATTTATTGCTTGACTGTATTTTAGTTATAATTTCCTTAGCTATAACATTATGTTCTGTTACCATTATTCCGAGTTACTTGAATTGTTGCTTTTTGCTGAAGTTATATTTTCCAATGTTCAATATATTTATAAGAGAATGAAATTGTGTTCTATTAATAAACATATATGCCGTTTTCCCTTCATTACACTATAGTCTTATTTTCGCTACAGTTTTTTCTAATACATTTTTTTCAAATTTATTATAAACTCAAAATGAGTTTCTAAGTAAATGTTATTTACTTTACATTTTTTGATTTAAACAATAAACATTTTATAGAAGTTAATTATATAAATATAGAACTCAGGAAAGATAATGTATAAACAAAAATGTTTTATTAATGATTGGAATTTAATGGATTATACCAGATATTCAATTAAAATTAATAAATAAGTAACTTAAAAAACATCTGAATCAAAATAATCTGTAAATTATATAAAATCTTATTTATAATATATATATTTCTAAATATTTTTAACTTACCATAAAAAAATAAGTTAATACAATTTTATCAAAATCATAACAATTAAAATAAAGTTTAAAATGTATTATTAAAAAATCAATAGGAGCAATGTCTTTTACATAATCATATGTATATGATTTAGTAAACATTGAGCTTTTTAAGGGCTTCAACATAACACGGAATGTTATCCACAAAATAACTGAGTTACTTAGCTTATATCTTAGTCATAATATTGCAATGAATGGACAGCTAAGTAATGAGCTTGCAACATTTTTCAGATTTTAAATGAAAAATTTAAAAACCAGCTTTTTTTAATTGTTTCAATTGATAACTAAGCCTTTCTTCTTTCGCCTTTCTTGTGTACGACATCTGAAACAATTAAAAACATGTTTAATAAATTTTTCTTGACAGTTGATTAAATATCCAAATAATAAAAATTTTAATCATAAAACTTACAGTTCTAGATTTCACATACACTTGTAAGAATTTATCACAATCCATATCACCAGCTAAAAATTGCTCAGCTATCCGTTCACTTTCTTCATCACATTTCAATGCAGCATTTTTCAAATTATCCTAAAAATTACAATTGCTATTTTATCTAGTATTTAGTATAAAATAGTTTTTAAAGTATCAATATTTATAATTTACCGAGATTGATTGTGGAGAATATTTTTCACATAATTTAACATACTGAGTTGATAAAGTAGCATATGATGCTTGATATAGTTCTATTTTTTCTAACTGTTTCGATATTTCTGCTCTTAAATTAGTCAATGATTCTTCTTTAGACATATTTGAATCTTAAAATAATAAGTTGTTGATTTTATTCAATTATTGACAATCAATAGTTATTCAATTACTAGCTAAGTCCATTATTTTTGTAATGGTATTTTCAATAGATTTATTTGATGCTTCTATAGATGGTAATTCTGAAATGAATTCATCCAGGCAATCAACATTATTATTCAACCGTAGTAATTCAGCTGATGTTAGTTTTGCAAGGCTACACAATTCAATGTCCTAAAAACACAAACAAAAACGAGTTAAATTTGTTTAAGCTATTTATAAAACATTTTCAAACTTACATTACTAAGGGAGGCAATTGTATTATTGATGGATCCAGCATTCCCTGAATAGCTTTAACCAAAAGATATTTATAAGTAAAAACTATTAAAATACCAAATATGAAAATTACCTATCTGAACCATTGGCTAGCGTAAGTGACTGATCGAGTTCAAACTCTCTACGTATAACCTGCACAACTCTTCCTAAATCAGAATGAATGGTAAACTGAAAAAAAAAATAACTTAGTTAAATAACTTGTACACGAATACTTCTGTTATAACATTATCTCACATTTATCAATCCAGGAGCTAATACTATTTCACCTGCAGAATCTACCCATTTGTGGTTGATGCGAGGGTATACTTTTATTATAGGTTTCTCCAATGGAAATTTAGGTCCTAAATCAATGATCATTCTTAAACTACCGATTCTGGTAGGAAATTCAACAAAGTATTCTTTATCAAAAATTTTTTCTGTAACACTAATTATTACATTATGTTTACATCTTTTCGTGTTTAATCAATTGCCGTGAAATCATCATGTTTACTTACTTTTCGTTAAAAACTTTTAATGTGTCAATTTGTATTTCACGTTTCCTGGTCAGATCGTGACTGTTGTATAAATTCGTAGATAACATTTTGGAAATCTTGTCACTAGCGAGTGTAATATATCAACCAGTGAGAAAGTCGAGACCATTACACCTAACCATCGACATTAAATAACATTTGAGCACTTGTGGTCGAAATAATTTTCCGAAAACGGATGAAACATCAAAATACCATGTTGATAGAAATCTGATGATAACGTTATCAATTTTTAAATTTTCAGCATATACAAAAATTTAGAAAGAATACAATACCTAATGCACAATGCTATTTCTTAGCTGGCCCTGCATCAGTAAATAGTGCTTAAAAATAAAACAGTTGTCGCTTTCTTCGGCCGCCGATTGTTTTTCTCGTATGTTGGGACTTGTGCGTGCGAATCTCATGGTTGACATGTCAACGTAAATTACATTCGAAACCGAAATCTACGATGGATGTCTACCACGCTCCACAATATCTACCAGATTTGGTGCTGGACATTATATTCTCGAACCTGGAGTTACCTGACTTGCTCAGCTGCATGCTAGTCTGTCAAAATTGGTATAGAGTACTTAATTCCAGCAGAGCAGAACCATGGAAATTAATGTGTCGGCGTAAAATACCCGAAGAATTGCTGAAGTCTGAACTACTGTCACAGCTTAGTACTCCCAAGGCTAAGTTGCGGGCCTTGTATCATGCATGGAATCAAGACGATTGTTCTATGCACATTGTGGTCAAGCAAAATGGTTTTACATTGCATCGTAATCCAGTTGCTCAGAGTACAGATATGGCACGGACCAAAATAGGCTATAGCCATGGGAAACATGTATGGGAAGTCACATGGACTGGACCACTTGGTAATATTATTTAGTTTTCAAATATACTGTCGAGATTGATTATTATTTTATAATAGGTACGGTTGCAATGGTCGGTGTGTCAACAAAAGAAGCACCAGTGCATTGTAACGGTTATTTACCTCTATTGGGTATTGACAAGCATAGCTGGGGTTGGAATCTGATTGACAATGTCTTGTTGCATAATGGAGTATCACAAGGCAATTATCCATTGTTAAACAATGCTCCTAAGTATCAAATAGGTGAAAAATTGCAATTAGTATTAGATTGTGAAAATGGTGTTTTACACTTTGAAAAATGTAATGAATTTTTAGGCATTGCTTTCAAAAATTTACCAAAAACAAAACTATATCCCTCTGTATCAGCTGTATATGGTAATACAGAAATATCAGTAGTATATATTGGCAAACCTTTATGTGGTTAAGTGTTCTACCATTAATTTCTGTTTTCGTAAAAATTCAATTGAAAACATTATTGCTTACTACGTATTTACATTCAGTCATTATTTTTTTTGATTTTTATTTTATATAAATATTTATGTCATTTTTATTTATGAATAAGTTATTAGTGTCAATCTATCTAACTAATATTTGATAATTCTTTTAAAATCTTTTAATTTTCTGTGGAGAATAGGATATTACAAATTATTATTGGAATTTATAATTTGTAACATAGTATTTTTATTTTAGGAGTAATTATTTTATAGTCTGATAAAAACTTATTTATTATTTTTATTTGAATTATAAATGTATGCTTTACATGTAATGAAAATGTATATAATTATTTGACATATTTTATTTCTTGAATTTCTTACTATAATAGATCTAGAACAAGAATTGTTAATTTGAACAAAAAATCAGAAAATTTAGATTGTTTCATAAAAGGATTTATTTTTTATTTTCTTTCTATCATTTATTTTATGTTAGTATATTATATTTTTGAAAAATTATTCTGAACTATTAATTCTGATTTTATATAAGCTATAATTTTAATTGATAGTTGTATTGGTGGTTATATATGAGCATAAATTTCATATAGTTGTATTGTAGTCATAATACTAAAAGTATTGTCATGTGATTTTTTTTTTAAGCTAAAATAAGGGGTGGGTATACTATTTTCTCAACAATAACATCAGTATCACTTACTGCATTGGATAGTATAATTTTTTAAGCCATTGCGGCAGGAAGGTTCCTCATCACTGCTTGCTATTGGGTTCAAAACCTGTACTAGCACATATTTTTTTAATCAATATTTTCATGTCAACAAAACCCCTATATCAATACGGGACTATGTATATTAATAACCCTTAGACTATTGTATGATTCTTAAAAAAACAATGGAACAACTTTTAATTCATAATTATTTTTTTATGTACTTTCCATGGAATTTTTAAAAAATGTTGGTTTGTAACTTTCTAGGTCATTTAAAACATATTAATTAAAAAATATATTTTTGTTTTTTTGTTTGTATTTAGAAATTAAATGGAAATTTCTATGTTTAAGAAGAACAACATGTTTATTTAAACTAGGTAAAAATGTACTGTATATTCTAGTTGTACCAAATGTTGAAAAATTAATTTTTTATTTTGCAATTCCTAATATTCAAAACATGTTAACAGTATTCAATTTCTTATACATTTTTCTTTATCTATTTAGATTTGTCATCACAAAAAATGTTTTTAGTAAATCAGTGATAGATTCAAGTTAGGTTAAGAGGTTAGATTCTCTCTTCAGACAAGTCTGATGACATAAGAAAATATTTCTGATTCATCTAATAATTTTAAAATAGTACAATATGGATGTACATATTTTTTTATTAATTTCTTATATAATTTTATAGCTGATATTATTTTAATTTTAATATTCAGGAAAATTAATATATTAAGTTTAATTTTTTAATTTTTAAACAAGGTTTAATTTTACTACATTAAAATTATTTTATATCCTACTCAGGATTTATTTTTAACCAAGAATTTATTATTGTTAAGACCCTTTTTAAAAGTTGACTCTGGCTCTATCACAAATTTCATATTTATAGTTGTATCTAATGTATTTGTTTCTTGATAATCTACATATTTAGATACTCCAGGTAATATTTAAAATTTAGATAATGTACTTAATTTTAATATTGATATATTTTTAATTAAATATACTAAAATAATGATTTTCCTAGCATGGTTGATTTTGTATGGGGACCTATTAAATTATCTTGACAGAACTATGAATTTAGAAAAACAAAATTGTTTTATATACTACTATACTAGGTACCACTAACCATTATTTATAACATTAATTTTAAAAATATTGAATTTTCATTTATTATTGCAGTATTAAATTACTTTCCATATTATGATTCAGTATAAAAAGTTAAAAAATAAATAATTAGTTAACATTTACATAACTTTTAAAAAAATAATTACCAAATTTCAAAGTACAATAATGTTTAATTGGTCAGCTGATATAAAAATTATATTATTACATTATAATAATATAGTATACCTATATTTATCTGAAATTTTAAAATAAAAAGGTAATTTGCTTACATTGTACCAAGAATAATATAAATTACTCAAGAAAATAAAATATGTATAAAGTTATTTAAATTTCATTGTTAAAATGTTATTTATTTATTATATGATTTACTGTAGTAGTTCAATTAAATATTTAGGATACATCAATACAGTAAACTCTCATTAATGCAAAGATCACTTCTATGAGATAATTAAAATGTTGAATATATATATATATATATACGTATGTTACTATGCTTTGTAAATATACTGTTAAAAAATGTATCAAAAAAGTTTATTTCAAAAAATACGCCCTAAAAAAATGAAGAAAATTGTCTTAAGACAAGTTTATGTGATAAATTTAATTATTTAGGGTTAATCAAAGTTGATTTAATTTTGTATTTATTCAAATTAAAAAATAAAAATATATTTGCAATACTATTTTTACATGTAAATGTAATTGTTAGAAAAATGTATTAATTATTTCATGTAGAGTATAAATTTAGTGAAAGTTTAAAATTGTTTAAATGCTTGTTATTATATGCATGATGTAAAACTAAGATATAAAAATATTCTTAAATATTTTAATTTGGTACCTGATATTTGAAGATATAACAAGATTTATTTAAACTACTTCTAGCATGAATGTAGAAATGTATAATCGGTTTATATATACTTCTAATTTAATAAACTTTTATTTCATAATGGGCTGCAATTATAAGCGTGTGCAGACATTACTAATAGGGTAGTCAGATAAACAAAACACAGTAAAATTTAATATTAAAACAAATTTGGATGGAGTAACTTAATTTAACTTAATAATTATATTTTTCCAACAGTCTTATACATTTATTTACTGTTTACGCACGTTTTAAAGTGGTTGAACATAATATATTTATTTATTATTGTGATAATATTGAATATATTAGTGAGGAGGAAAGGTTCACATAGTAATCAAGTGCCTACCCTGACTACCTCGTGAGCCCGCTTATGGCAGCAATTTTATTCCATTACAAGTTATAACATACTGCATATATATAAATATATATAATTCTGTAAAATATATTTTATAATTTTAAAAACATTGTATCATATATGTATAAACATTTTTAGTAATTTTTATTAATTAAACATTATTAGATCTACATAAATAATCACTCACTCAAATTAATAACCGATCAAAAATCTTATATTGATTTATTATATAATATTAAAATCTTAATTTATTTGAATATTTTAGTTAAAATGTTTAATTGCAATTTGTCGTAATTTGAATGATTCTTTTTTTTTTTTTTTAATTAGATAAATATTAAGTATATTTACCTATTCATAAGTTGTATGTTTTTCTGAATTGATTATTTTACGAAACATCAATTTTTGTATAAATATTATGTTTGTTCCTATTATGTAATTTGAATTAGTTTAAAACAAATTTACAAATACCTATACTGTATGCAATGTGTATTATTAAAGTACTTGAAATAGTCATATATGTGTTTTATGTACTTGTATTATTTATTATATGTATCGATAACCGTGGTATAGGATGAGTTTATAGTAGTCTTCAACCTGATGATCGATCAATACCTATGTTCAATAATAAAAAATAGAAAATTAGTTTATTGAAGCAATGCTCTATACATCAGATCACGTAGTAGCAAGTAAATTGGCTAAAATCGTTACCGACAGTCTGATAGAAAAACGCGTGACAAAATACTTGCAGGAATTCGATTTCAGTAAAAAGTTTTTTTTTAAATCAGGATTTTTTCAAAAAATATTGTTTTTCTTCGAATTTTAAACAATAACTATAAAGAAAATTAATATTTATATTATTATTTATTGTAGGAATCCTACACGACGGGTATTATCATAATATTATGCTTTCATTGTATCGATAACGATTTACTTTGTAATTTGTACTATGGCTAAATTTAGATATCATTTCCAAATAACTGATAATAGGCATAATATAGATTTATAATTTGTTGATACAAAATGTCAATGTGTCTCGTGATATTAAGATGATAATTAAAAATCACGGGGCCTTTTAACAAGCGCGGAGCCCTGGACAAATGTCTCATTTGTCCTCCCCAAGCGTCGGCACTGTTCATCGCAGAAAAGTTAGTAAAAATCATTGTTTAATACAGTTCAATAAAAAAATTAATAACTGCTAAGTTTAGTAGGTATTTAAAAACTATTATAAAAAAGTTTATAAATATTTAATTAATCTGACTCATTAGATATTTGGTAACGAAGTTTATTCTGTTGCTGCCGGGTGTCCCAACACAAGGTTTTTTACATTTTTATATAGCACTGACGTTGTTTACGCTGAATCATTATTTTTTAATGGCAATTGCTCATGTTGTAATTTATGACTGGCTCGCGATAACAATAAATATCACGTAATTGATTAGGTACAAAACGTATATTAAGCTCCTATTATAAACGGATATTTATAATATCCTATTATTATAACAGCCGACGCGATAAAATAAGGGCAGAAAATGGCTTGCGTTTTATGGATACAATAAAATGCCAAAAACTATATAGGATTTTTATTCACGACTGTGGATTGTATTATACGGATTGAGAATACACAGAATTTTTATAATGCCATTTTAATTATTTCATTATCGGTGATTTCTATTATAATTGACGGTCGGTCAAAATTCAAAGCATTCGAAGCCAGTGTCATCATAATTCATAATGATCAACGCACAGAATAATATTAAAATAATAATCATTGATGAAATCCTAGTGATATAATTTTCGATGAACGTGATCACAAGACGATCACCGCGGTTTATGGTTAACCGTTGGCTTATATATTTTAAAACCAAGTCGGTTGTACGGACTTAGGTACATGAGATTTAAATCTTATTCCGTAATCAAAACCAAGTGTCTCATTGCCTGTTTCAAATGGGTTTTGTTACACTCGATTGACTGAACATCATATTCGTGGAAGGATGCAGTTCTACTCTATTAACTATTATGCTTAAATAAGTTGTACAACTATTTAACTGCGTGGTAGTGAATTGGTACTCACTAACAGTCGGATTTTTAAACAGATGGAATAGAAATGTTCAGCAGGTGCCATGGAGTTGAAAAATAACGATTTGCATTGAGTAATTGTCTTCATTGTAAAACCTTTAAGGCCGACATCGATTAAAAAAATCTTCTAGTAAATAATAATGAAGTACTATTTATTAATTGATTATTGACTATTTAATTTTGGACAGTATCATCAAAATAAATGTCATACCTACTTATATATACTTATTTGTAGATACTTAATTCGTTTGGTAAAGGGGTTAGTTACAATCAAATTTTTTTTTCAATTTTGTTTTATTAAATTTACTTTTATTAAATAAAAGTGCATATGACCAAACCAAAGAGCAAACACATTTGTCAAACTTGCCCATAGTTTCGGGTTTTTTTTTTTTCGTGAAGTGATGTTCGTGTGTTGTTATCGTCTTCGTGTCATTATATGACAATGATTCCAAAGGCGCCGAAACCTATACCCAGATACTGGCCTAGTTCTAAAAGGGGGGGGGGAATGGCTTTAAAAAAAAAACATTTATTAATAAAATTTGCCATTTTACGCTATGCAAACAAATCTTAAGCCTTTTAGCGTTACTTCATTATTATATTATCACATGACTCTATGTAAGTGACTAGAAAAAAGTTCTGATTTAAGGTTAAAATTAAATATAGGGGTGGTAGTGTCAACATTTTAGGTTTTGGCGCCACTACAATGATTAGTTATACACAGGCCCGTTGCTAGAGCATAAGCAGGTTAGGCCATTGCCTAAGGGCGGAAACATTTTCAATGAAACTGGGGCGGCATTTTTTTATGATGGAAAATTCGTTGTATTAAATTGTTTTAGTTGTTGGCAATCAATAATAAATCCGAAAGATGGATATCACATTTCAAAACAATACTATAGTGACATATAAAAGCAATTTGAGTAGTATCTATTATCCTATCTAATGTTGTACACAATATATTATTATTCTATATTTATCTATATATAATACACGGGTTTCAATGATGACCGGCTGGCGGTGGCTGCACGCTAGTCTGGAATTGCCATGATATTATCTTATCGTAGTGTCGGTGCAATCGACAGATAAAATAGAAAATCTTAATAATTACGGCAAAGTTTGTTGATTTACTATCATTCGTAGTTTGTTTTTGGTTTTTGACTGTCGGTCGTCAGTTGTCACTCGTCAATAATCAATATAATACCAAATATTAGTTATTTTTTACGAATAGTACCTATCGAACATTCAAACGGGCAACGACAAAGAAATACAAGTAAGTACATATAATTATAATTATTTATATTATGATATTATTATAATACATATTTAATTCGCAATTTTTCTTATAAGCGCTTAAATTTCAAACTTTTACGAAATATGTCAAAATCGTGAAAATTTTCAAGTAATTTTGCAGTTAAAAATTCATAAGCATTTTTTTTATATACCTATTAGCTTAAAAACTTTAATACACAATCCATAAGTTTTTCTTCAAATAACTATAAAAAAAACTTGCGCGTCATTTTAGAAAATTTTTTATAAAATTTTGTATAATAAACAACGATTTTAAATATTTGTTATTATTCTAAAATTTTAAGTCATAGAAACGTATAAACAATTTTGTATAAAAAGCTAAGAATTGAAAATTTGACACAAGGTTTTCCACAAGTTTTGCTTACAATAATTGTATTAAATATAGCCCGTAGCCGGTAGGTACTAGGTATTACGTAAAAAATGACCATTAACCCACAACAGCGTTTTCCTTAATTTATAAACACAACATTTTTTTTTTTCAAATTTAGTATTAAAATATAAAATAAAAATACTAAAAAACGATATTCAGAATACTTATTCGAATATATTTTTTTAAATGTATTTTGAATAGTATTCAAATAAAAAAAATGTATTCAAATACTTTTATTCGAATACATTTATTCCAATACTTTACAAGACTGCCTAATAGTTATAATATTAGATTCTATTACAATTTTAAAATGGTTTATACTTACAATATAATAAAAACAGTAATTTCATTTACATATTAGTTATATAATTCCGATATAATTTTAGGATTTACCATAATTTGAAAAACATTTTCTTTTATAAATTATGGCATCACGGAAACGACTTTTCGGGTGTAAATATATGAAAATTAGAGAAGCTAAACAAAAATGTATTGATAAAGAAGTTGGAAGTTTCACAAAGTTTTTATTGAAACCAAAAGAAATTCAACAATCAAATTCAAGTGATAAGAGTTTAGAAGCAGTTTCTTCTGATTTCAAAAAGTCATCTAATAAGTTTTCTTTAAATGTTAATAATACACATCTAACTACTATTTCCACTGCCCCATTGAAGTCTTCAAGTCAGGACCAGCAATTAAATTGCAATATTGACTGTTTACCTTCGACTTCATCCAGTATAACTTATAACACTTCACCGAAAAAGGAATTTGAATTGGTTTCTTATTCGGATACTGATTCTATGGACTTGAATATATCCATCGATAAAAATGTTGATGATGATTCTTTAGAAAGAAATATTTTAAAAACCCTGCCGATGTACACGATGATCCTTCTTATTGGCTTCTAAAACTGATTGATTCTGTTCGAATGTTATTTATAAAAAAGGGACCTATACAAATTAAATCTTTGAATTTTCCTAAAAACCATGAAAATAGAAAATTTTCTGTAATATACTGCCAACGTGTATTAAAGAATGGTGAATATTTTGAAAGATCCTGGTTAGTTTATTCAATAAATAACGATGCTGTGTACTGTTTTTGCTGTAGAATGTTTAGTGTCAAGTTATCTGACACTGGTGTTGCTTCGAGAATTAGGTATAATGACTGGAAGAATTTGACTGCTCATTTGAAGATACATGAAATGTCCAAAACACATATTTTATACTACTCTAATTGGCAAGAAATGTTAATTAGATTAAAATTAAATCAAACTATTGACTCTCATAATCAAAAAATTATTGATAGTGAATGAAAACGTTGGAAGGCAGTTTTGGTTCGATTATGCGCAATTTTGCGTTGTATGGCTGCAAAAAATCTAGCGTTTCGAGGAACGTCATCTGTAATACATTCACCCCATAATGGAAATTTTTTGAAGCTCATTGAATATTTTTCATTATTTGACAATGTTTTAAAAGATCATTTAGAAAAGATAAAAAATAAAGAACAACATGTTTATTATTTAGGACCGCAAATTCAAAATGAGTTGATCAGTTTAATATCTGAAAAAGTGAAAAGTAATATTTTGACTATGGTAAAAGACGTTAAGTATTACTCTATTATTTTGGATTGCACTCCTGATTGTAGCCATAGAGAACAAATGTCAATAATACTGCGGTTTGTTTCTACTACAACAGGTGATGTGCACGAACATTGGGTTCATTGAAGTTTTTGATAAGACGGGAGCTGAATTAAGTGAGCGAATAATAAAAGAGCTTATGGATTTGAAAATAAATATAAATGACATGCGTGGTCAGAGCTACGATAATGGCTCAAATATGAGAGGAAAACAAAATGGTGTTCAAAAACGTATATTAAACATTAATCCTCGTGCGTTTTATGTACCTTGTAATTCCCATTCATTGAACCTGGTTATAAATGACGCAGCGAAATGCAATGTGGATGCAATTTCATTTTTTGGCATAGTTCAGAAACTCTATGTTTTTTTTTCAGCGTCTACTGATAGATGGAAAGTTTTACTACAATTTTTGCCAAAATTAACACTAAAAAGAGTATGTGATACACGTTGGGAATCAAGAATTGATGCAATAAGGCCAATACGGCATCAATTTGGAGAAATTTATGATGCTTTGCTTCACATTAAAGAAGATTTGAATTTAACTGGTTCACATGGTCTGCAGACAAAATCTGATGCATGTGATCTCTTAAAAAATATCTGTGACTTTAAATTTATATCCTCTGTCATTGTTTGGTACGATATATTGAGTGCTGTTAACCCAATAAGTAAACAATTGCAATCTATACATTATGATATACAAATGGTCCTTAAAAGTGTATCAAGTATTGTAAAGTTTTTAAAAGAATACCGTCAAAATGGGTTTCCTAAAGTTAAAATAGCTGCAAAAGAAATTGCTCTATTAATAGAAATACCAGGACAATTTCCCGAAGAATATCAAATACGTAAACGACAAAAAAAAACACATTTCAGCTATGAAAACAGAGATGAAACGCCTCTTCATAATCCAGAAAAAAAATTTGAAGTAGAGTTTTTCCACGCAATAATGGACACAGCCATTAATTCTTTGCGAGAAAGATTTAATTTATTAAAAAACTGGGAGCACGAAACATTATTAAATCATTGCAAAGATTTGGCTATTTTATTATCAGCAAAAGAAACATCTGATATCAACGCAGTAGAACAATTTGAAGAACTAAAAATATTTTGTCAACTTACCGAACCAAATAGTTCTCCCAACAAAAATCTTGAGCTTATTTATAATAAAAAATTACAAGAGATTTACCCTAATATTACAATTAGTTTGAGAATTGTTCTAACGATTCCGGTCACTGTAGCGTCAGCTAAGAGGAGTTTTTCTAAGTTGAAACCTATTAAAAACCACCTCAGATCAACCATGAGCAATGAAAGGTTAACCGGGTTAGCATTGTTATCCATTGAGTCCGATTTGGCGCAAGAATTGGATTTAGAAGACATCGTTCAAGACTTTGCTTCAAAAAAAGCAAGGAAAGTTAATTTTTAGTTTAGTACACTTCTGTGGACTGCGAATTGTAAACATTATAACTCAAGTTGAAATACATATTTTATATTAACTATTTTATTAATATTATAACTTTATAAGATTATTATTTTTATCATCATAGATATAAGACGTTTATTAATTTATGGAAATAACAATATTGTATTAACTTTTTGAAATTTATTAAATGCAACAATAATTTAAAATTGAATTTGTAATATGTTATTTATTATATTAATAATGTGATAAAATTGTATACTATAATATATTTAGCTTTTGATTGAAAGGGGCGGTATTACGTTTACCGAAGGGCGGACAATTTCTTGCGACGGGCCTGGTTATACAGACAAGGCGTTTTTGGAATTGAAACCATGTATGAAGAAAAATAAAAAAGGTCGGGTAATTGTCTAGAAAGCAGTTGAAATTATGTGATTAATATACACATGAAAATTTGTTACGGGAAATATGCACAGAACTAGATGATTACGCAAACTTCCTGCGTATTGACCATAAAAAATTTGAAAATGTATTAATATTATTAAGTCTTCGTATAACAAAAAAAGGATACCGTTATGCGTAAATCTACTTGTATATCAGCTTCTCAAATATTATCCTTAATCTTCAAGTACTTACCAAGTGGTGCCGATTTTGAAAACCTAAAATAGAAGTCTTTTGATTTAATTTTCCATACCATCGATATGTCGACGATATGATCGTGATATATAGAGATAAATTGCAAAATTTATTATTTTTCAGAAATATTGCCGCTATTTCCGTCATTGTCATTTATATGTTCTTCAAGATGTCAAGGCGATAATCAGGGACGGCTCCAGAACCGTGGTTGAGGGGGGGGGGAAGTTATAATTTTACAAAATCTTATAACAAAAAGAAAACAACAATTTTTACAACACAAATTCAAGTCGTCTTTTTTGAAAATTGGCAAAAATATCAATAATATGATCTATTTGATCTAGTATATCTACTTTATGATATACATTAATTAGACATAATGCTGATAGTTTATTTTCAGTCATCATTGAACGAAACCAAGTTTTTAGTCTCCAAAGTGTGGAGAAACTCCTTTCAACAGTCATACCTCTATGGCTCAATCCAAGTACTTGTGCGTGTCGTATTATAGTATATATTATAATATGTATATTTTTGTTAAAAATATACATTTTTTTATAAATATGGTACAGGCTTGATAGGGGGCACGGCCCCTAGCAATGGCGTACATACGGGGGGGTTTTCGGGTTCAAACCCTCCCTAGGACCGAAAAAAAAAATGACATTATTGATGAATTTATTATTATACACGGACAAACAAACGTCATAATAATATGACTATTGAGTATTGACTATTGACTATTGAGTAAACACTATACTTTACCAACAACGAAAAAAGATTTCATAACGAAATTATGGTTGCCGTATATCAATCAAAATAGACGCTTGATCGTACAAAGTCAGTTAATTGCATAGGTGCATATTAATATTGTCATTATCTCGACCGATTCGATTAGACAACGGAGGAAAAACCGATTACGTTATAATCGTTGAATTCCTCGTGAGCGACAATAATACGGTGAAATGGATTCTATTTTTATAGCACTATCGTAAATGACAATGTTAAAATATTTAATTATGAAATGTTCATTCATTTTGTTCTATTCTGCCGTTGGAGAAGTTTATGTCAATAACTTTCATTGAACTTCATAAACCATAGGTAAGTATTTAGTTAAGATTAATTTGAATTTATAACATTAAATTTGTTTATTAACAAAACATTAAACGTTTAAAATATTAATTTGAATTATAAATACATAAGACTGATCGAGTTGATGATAATTTTTTTTTTAACTCAGTTAAGTTAATATGCATACTGTATATAGTATATATTGAATTTTTAAGTACAAAAGTTACCTATCTAATAATTAATAAGTAATAAATAATAAAAAATACCTAATAATAATAAATAAGTATTATATACTTTAGTTGTCTTTCAAATATTATATAGGTCCGCCGCCTATATACGCCACTTAATATATATTTATATATATACTTAAAATAAATAGTAATCATGACTGAAAAAAAAACAATCGAAAATGCAATCTTTTTTTCAAAACCACCTTCAATAATAAATTCATTGTCAAATTTATTGATTGGTACATCTTCCAGTTATAATATTTTTGACATTGCACATTACATAAATAAATTGTTAAAGCAAAGTGAAATAGAAGAAATTTTGAGCAAAATGTGAGTCCCTGATATTGATTACAATTTTCCAATCAAAATATCAGTAGTCGGTAAACAACAAGTTTTGAAGTTGAAATTTCAATATAAATGGCTTATTAACTTTTCCTGGTTGGCTTATTCAGAAGTAGACAACGGTGTGTATTGCAAATATTGTGTTTTTTTTGCTAAAAATGAAGCCGGTATTAATAACCAAAAATTGGGAGCATTTGTATTAAAAAAATATGATGATTGGAAACATGCATTGGAAAACTTTAAAAATCATTCGAATTTAGAATATCACAAAAAGAGTTTACTAGATGCCGATAATTTCTTAAACATGCTTAAAAATCTAACAAGGACAATCGATAAAATAATTGACGACGAAAAAAACAAACAAATATTGCAAAATCGAAAAAATATTATTCCAATAATTGAGGCAGTTATTTTGTGTGGCCGTCAAAACTTAGCATTAAGAGGACACCGTGATTCATGAAAAATTGAAAGCAATGACTCAAAAGTTATGAATGAAGGTAATTTCAGAGAAATTTTACGATACCGAACTCAAGGAGATATTGTAATAAAAACCTATTTGGAAAGCTCGGGAAAGATGAAATATACTAGTCATAGAAGTCAAAATAATATGATTGATGCTTGTAACAAAATTTTATTGGACAAAGTTGTTTCTAGAGTAAACACAGCAAAATGTTTTTCATTTCTTGCTGATGAAACTACGGATATTTCAGGAGTGGAACAAGTATCGCTATGTGTTAGATATATCAACTTAAACATATTAAAACTTACTGAAGAATTTTTATAATTTGTACCAACTAATGATATGACTGGTAAAGGAATAGCAAATTTAATCTTAGAAAATCTTAAATAATTTGGTATCAATACGCAATATTTACGTGGGCAAGGATATGACGGGGCAGCTGCAATGGCCGGAAAATATAATGGTGTCCAGGCTCACATTAAAGAAATTCACCCAAATACTCTATATGTTCATTGTTCAGCCCACTCGTTAAATTTAGCTGTTTCTAAATCCTGTAGTGTTTCAGCCATACGCGATTGTCTTGGGACAATAAGTCAAATCAGAGATTTTTTTATTTATCCAAAGCGGAAGTCGGTTCTAATTCAAAAAATAGAAAACTCGTCCGAAACACCATCTAAAAAAACGCTTAAAAGAAGTTGCGAGACTCGTTGGATTGAGAGATATCATGCCATTCATGACTTTTTAGAACTCTTTGAGTATGTTGAAGAAGCTTTGGAAGATATTTCTGAATGGAATGACAATGATACATCTGAAAAAGCTAGACGACTAAGAATCTCTATGTTAAATTCCAAATTTATTATTTGCTTATTTGTTTTGAATAAAGTATTGCATTAGGTTTAGTCTTATCAAAAGTTCTCCAGCAAATAAGCATAGATCTCAAAAGAAGTGTCATCTCAAAGAAATGTCATTGGCACAAAACACAAAACAAGAACTTACAGAGATAAGATTGAATGCTGAAAAAGAATTTGGAGACATTTTTGAACGTGTAAAATCACTAGCTGAGAAAATTGACATTGACATAAACATACCAAGAATATCAAAAAGACAAACCAACAGTTGTAACATTCAAACAAACGATCCATAAATATTTTATCGAGTATCAGTATTTATTCCGTACATAGACAAATTCATTAATGAATTGGAAGAAAGATTTACAAATCACCAAAGTACATTGACAAGCTTCCATTCCTTATTTAAAGAAAGTGGTTATGAAGAAGATTTTATATCTCTTACAAAATAGTATAGCGAAGATCTAGAAGATATTGGAAATTGTGATGAGGTATTAAAAAATGAGTTAAAACTTTGGCAACGAAAACTTAAATGTCTATCAGAAACGGATAAATCAAAAAATGCAATGGACGCTATTTACATATGTAATGAAGCCATGTACTCATATATTTTTAAGTTAGTTAAAATATTAGCAACTTTACCAGTTTCTTTTGCCACTAATGAAAGGACATTCTCAACTCTCAAGAGAATAAAAACTTACCTACGCAACTCTACTTCTGAGGTATGTTCAATTTAAACAATAGTATTAATGATTATAATAAACTTAATTTAATGTTGTAATTAATTTTGAAAGGGAAGACTTAATGGTCTAGCTATGCTCTCGAACAAGAGTTATGTAAATCTTTGTATTTGTTTTGCTGTTTTGCCTATTAATATTTATACGTGTAATGTGCTTGATTGTTAGGAAAATGGGTAGTTTTAAACGGAAGGTTTTAATGTTGGTTATTTTTTTTAACCCCCCTCCCCCTCCAGATCAAATTTGAATGACCACCACTGGCCCCTAGGCCCCCCTGGAGCCGCCTCTAGCGATAACTTAGATATTTTTCGACCAAAACCGTTGTACACTATCAAACAGGTTTGTCAAACACGCCGTTAATCAAAATTTCCATCAAACATGTCAAATAAATTTGTATACTATCCAAATATCTGACAAACACGTTTGTTTAACATTTTGATAGATAATTTGATCGTCCACTAACGGGTCAAATATTAAAATAAAAAAAACTCTAAAAATTGCGGTAAATTCATATTCTACTCAGTTAATTATAGATTAGGTTAGTCTGATCTCTACGTGGTTCACTCAACATTTTAACTTTATTAAACTAATAATAACCTAATCATCACTTTTATTGTAAAATAATAGACTGAAAACTGCAATTGCTGGTTGATGTGTAAGTCCATAGAACCATGACTATTTCAAATTAAATTTTATAATTATATAGGTACCATTGGACTACCCCTTATAAAATCAAATGAAATAGCGTCAAAATTGATCTGAAATATTCAAATTTATGTTATCAGGTAAAACAAATATAATTATAGAAATGTAAGAAATTTTGTAATTGTGCGCTATGCACTCTATATTATTTACAATACATTTATGAGCTCAGCGTGTTCCTATAAAAATAATAAAATCACGTAACTTGTTAACTATTATCCATGTGAGGGGGCAGTAGCGTAAAACGATTTTTACAAAATGTTGAATTTAATTGTTTTGTTAAAAAGAGAGGAATAATTTAATTGAAATGCGTAAATATATGTATTATAAGATTTTGGTTCATTACCTATTTTAAATATCAGTAAAATAATCCTTTATTTTTATTCTCTAAATAATATAACGTGCGTTTTATCATTAAACTTACTTTCTCCACTGCAATTTTACTAGGCACGTAGCCAGAAAATTGTTATGAGAGGACCTAAAAATTATTCCATTATATGTTTTCTATGAGAAACTTGTAGAGCATACAGAGGGCAGTATTTGACACTAGTTATTATTTAACATTATATCTATTATGAATAGACCTAATATTTAACTTTAAGATTAAGTATTCTACGAATATAAAATTTAAAATTATAATAATGTATCTATATTTAAGTTGTATAGTAATCGACATCATAATAAATTGTATTATCGAATAACTATTACAATAGATTTGTTTAATGTGCCTAAACCATGAGCATAGCAAGTTTTTGATGCTTGGTAAAAAAATTTGAATATGAATTTGGGGAGGGGGGGTTGCGGCCCCAGATCAGAGTAAATTTAGGTGGGCTCGAGCACTCAAGCCCCTCCCTGGCTACGTGCCTAAATTTTACGTTGAGCCATGGCCCAGTTTGCCCTTCCCTCTCGTTCCAATACACGGCATTGGACATGTACGACGCTAACATAACGTATCCCCCGGGTATACGAGTGTTGTTATTATTCCTAACGAACGCGACGAAACGTGCTACAGGTGTAATAGCATTATTTCGCGCGCACCGTCTTTGGACGATGATCGTCGCGGTCCGAGCGCGAACGAATCCGAAACATATTCCGACGGCCGTGCGATGCGGTTAGAAATTCAAAAATTGTTTTTCGTCGCCGCCGCAGCTTGGTCCGTTGCTAGCGATTCGGTCATGGACCAATCGGAAACGCGCGACCGGTCGCATTTCACCTGTTCGGTTGTGCGCGTGCGTTCCAACCGTTTCTCCCCCACCCCCGTCCAGCGCGTGCGTGCGTTGTCTGCCGTTGCGGTAGTGGTTCCGCGCGCGCCCGTCCGTGTACGTTGGTCGTACATGTTACACATGGTACATACATAGCGTTTTCTATTTATTATTTTGTCGGTTTTTTTTTCTCTCTCCCCTAATTGTTATTATTATTTTTTTCCACTCGTGTCCGCCGCAGTCTGTTCGTCGGTCGTCAGTGCGCTTTTAACTGTTCTTTTTCGCTCTCTTTCCTGTTATCTCCGCCGACCGCGATTTTCGTGCGACACACGTTCTTCTCGCCGGGATTCCGTGATGTGCCCATCCTCGAGACGTTTACCATACGAATCGCAGCACTTACCGCCGCCGCCGTCATAGCGGGAGCGAGTTTTACTCTCATTTCATTGTTTCTTCTCGAATTTCAACCGCGCCGAGCTCGTCCGGAAATGATACGCAACCCTGTCCTTCGTCTATAACTTTTAACTACATTGGGTCGGATAACGCCGCTCGTCCCTCTCGTCAACCACACCATCTCACGATGTCGGCGAACGAGACTGCACGAAACAACAACTGCTGTGATCGTCCAGAGGAAGATTTCGTGAAAACACAAAGTCAGTGTAGTATGCGCACGCATCTTTTTATATTTTTCTTAGTAGTCTTAGTTGCAGGCACCTGCTCCGAACTCAGTTAAGCCGTAAATGTACCACCTGAGAATAGTTAACAATTCTATCAATCCCGTGGTTGCACCTTCCACCTACACCTAGTGTGTAATAGATCCCAGTACCTATGCAAACCTATTGCAATGTACAAATATAGATAAGGTGTAATGTGTTAGACTGTTGATGACCTAACACTGTATGAAGTCTGTAACGTTGATGTTTATTCTGATCTTGGTGTCTAATTGTTTTTTAAATCCCATTAATATGTAAACAATAATATTTTGAATGAAAATGTCTCTCTTCATTGATATTGTGTAATCTTTATCAATCTGATTTTTGATTTCAAATGTTTCTTTACTTTCCCTCATTGAACACAATATTATTTTTGTAAAAAGTGAAGAAAACAGAAATTTACAGTTAAAAAAAAATTACTGTCAGATCTATTTTGGTCATACCTAGGTACCTTCGATAAGTAGGCTAAGTTGAATACACTACTCGTAGGTCATGCGCGTTAAACAATCCCCTCGTGTGAATGTTGGAAATGTGCCAATTTATACACTCCGACTGTCATACAGAAAATGAAAATAATTTGTGAGCTGGACATTGAATGTTGCCAATTATTTATAGAATGTATTTTTTCAAGTATGAGCTGTTTTGGTGACATATAAAGATGACACATACATGGCAGTTGATTTTTGTTAAATGCATTGTATATCTAACATTTTTATAAACAGTTTTTTTTAAATGTTAGGAAATTTATAACTGCACTTTGCTTTGTATGTGGGTATTATAGGAAGATTGTTAAGTTTTAATATCTAGAAGTTTATACAGAAATTATTTATGAAATAAAAAAATTATTAGTAGCAATTATAATTTATCTGATAATCAAAATTATTTACTTGGTTATTGATTTTCAGTAGGTTTATGATGAAATTAATACATTGTTCTTATAATTTCTCCTATAACTGAATATTTTATCCTTGGTTCTTCTATCAATTAGTTTTGACCTTAAGCATTTCATTCCCCTAAAAATATAATAGATATAAATAAATGATTTAATTTAGTCATTATAATACATTTACTTCTTGTTTTTTTTATATAATAAATATAGATAAATAGGTAATGACAACTTATTTATATATAATGTTATATATTTTTTTAAGTAGCTGAGAGAAAAAAAATGTTTGAATAATCTTGTAATAATTATAGCTCATTATATAATTATGAATTTGTTCTTCAGCTACCAGGTTTAAAATAAATGTTTTATTACTTATTTAATTTGTATTATTCTTCATATTTTTTAGACGTTTTGAATATAACACAATGGACCATTGTATAATACATCTAATAGTGTTTTGTGATTGTAGATAAACAAGATAAAAAAAATTGTTGTTTATATTTTGTTATCTCTCTTCTCTTATGAGTTGACTATTTACATAATATTTACCAATTCAATCTTAATGATGTTTCAAAAATGCTTAACAAAATTTAAATAACATAAGTAATTTATAGATGAGCATTAAATTATTCATATAAATTTTCATGAATAATAAATTATAGATGTAAATAAGAATGATTTGTATGTCTTAATTTATGATGAAATGTGCTATGAATTAATATACATATACCTACCAATTTTTTTTTAATTTTCCAAAAATAAAATGTATGTGGCCATGAAATGTCAGTTTGTGACAACACTAATAGCTGATTAACTTAGAAGTATAATTTTTAACTTTTAACTTTTAAGCTTCAATTTTATTTATCATATATATTTATCTTATAGTAATTTTTCCTAGAATCTGAACTTTATTTATAACATAATACCTATCTATTAAAAATGTTTAGATAAAGGTAGATATTTCATCTCTGAAACTAATTAATGTTTATAAGGTGTTATTTATTAATTAGTGCGATATTATATTAATTTACTAATAATTGTATCTTTTATTTTATATCTACCTTAATAAAAAATATCTCAAGTTTCTAATACTTATGATGAATTTTTCTGAGAATTTCTGTTACGATCTAATGATTTTTTTTTGTTAGTTTTATATGTAAGTAAGTCTCTGGGTGTATCAGTATGTGTGTGTATAACTATTTAGTTAATTTATTAATCTATATTAATTATTTTATGCTTAGAAAGTAAAAATAAATGACGGTATAAATTATTAATGAAAATTAATTAAATAGAGAAATAGATTTTTTTAATTAAAAAAAAGAGAAAGAAGTAATGAACTTATTAACCACATAAATTATTATGGTTCTAAAAAAATTATCAACAAATAATACTTAGGTACCTATATAGTATCTACATAGATAGTATAAGTACTATTCTAGCTTGTCTTAATAGAAATTAATTTAAGTTAATATTAGTATTACACCAAAGAATTTTTAACAAACTTTTTTCGGAACTTTAAGTTTGACTAAATAGTGAATAAGAATAATACATATAGGTTTTAAATGGAAATATATTAAAAACATTGAAGTTTGAGAATTTTTTTAATTAAATTATGTTATCTTCAGTCATTAAAGTAAACAATCCAATTGATTAATAAAATAATGGATTTTACTGTTTCATTTAACTGATAAAATATTTCTTAGATTAAAATGTTGAGCCATAAACACTTTAATGTAGTTGTTATACATTATTTAATGCTATTGAACATATTATGATTGTTTATTACTTTCAAAAGTCTTATTATGTTTCTTAGTTATATGTGCCTATTATTATTTTGAATATTATTTTATACTCTAATGTACCTATCAGAAAAATGAATTTCAAATTGTTGACTGTAAATGGTAATGTGTGTAAATGCACAATTTTAATTTATTTTAGTATTAAATTTAATGCATTTAGTGATTTTGCAACTTAAAACATTTTCTATTTGTGTATTTATATATTTTTTTCAGTATTGTTTTATAGGTAGTTAACTAGTTTGTTTTATGATAAATGTATGTAAACTAAATTCATTCCTTGATACATTCATTGGTAGACTATGTAAAAAAATATACAAATCATTATTTTATTAAAAAAAAGTAGAGGCTAACAATAATATTTTTATGAGTGTGAAAAATGCAATAATTACTATAATAGTATAATAATATAAAAAGCAAAATTAATATTACTTTTAAACCAGCTTTTAAAATTTTAAAACGGTCATTGATGTTCTTATTGATTTAAACTCAAAATTCTTAATAAGTTCCTATTTTGTGTAAATTGTATTGATTCTCACCTAAGTTCTGGTTTGTTTTTTGTAAATAAATCTTAGTATGTTTATGTTATAACGATTTCATACTTAATTGTATATTTTTATTACCTAAGTAATTAAATATTATTCAACAAATTTATATTTATAGAAATACCTTTATATTTATAATATTTACAAATACATTTAAGGTAAAATAATTATAAATAACTTAAATCATTGATTTATGTATGAATAATGACAAATAATAAATATACAAATCTATTTATAATAGTACTTATTCTCCTCATGTTTCTATTAGGTATATATCTTCATATAAACTATTTTTCAATAATATTTACCTTTATTTTACTATATTATTTTTTATATAATATTAATATTTATATATAAGTATAAATATATATAATATATTTATATTATACTAATTTACCTATATTTTTACTAACTATTTTAATGATTGAATTACTTAGAGAATTTTCTTATACAAATTTGTTTTTTAGTATTTGAATTTTAAATATTATTTATTTTGATGGAAACATGAAAAATATTAAGTAGGTATTTTGTCATTCATTAATTTATGTTGCATCACGTGTTATTAAAACATGATTTTACTGATACATTATTTGTTACTTAACCAATTTTCCATTTATTATTATTATCATTATTTTCGAGAAAATTTTAACATAAAAATAAAAAAATATTTACCTAAACAATTGTTTGTATAATTATTTTTTACTTCTTCACTTACAAAATAAATGATTCATGATTGACATTATTTGAATAATGTGGGGAATAACGTTTATGGAACATACTATACAACATACTACATACCTATGCAACATACATATGAAGAATTTTAAAATTTAGAAATTTAATAAAATAAATTTCTCTAGAAGAATGTATTTATTATCTCACGAAAATCTCAGAAGAATTAATAAGGATTGAAGATAGCGAAGACAGAAATAGGTGGAAAGATATGGTTGAGGCAACGAAGGTCCTAAATCAGCGGGCCGCATGCGGCCCTTTAACAAATTTAATGCGGCCCGCACTAAAATTAAATTGTACTCTAAAATCCAAAATTCTATAACAGGGAATAAAATGAACGTTGCTTTATATCTTATTGTTTTTATTTATTTTATCTTTTTATTTAAAACTTATATTAAATTATCAGTTGGCCAGATAAGCAGGTACCTACGATTATGGGTTTATTCATTTCCACCGCTTAGTCTTGTATGATAATTTTATCCATTATCGCTTATTGTCCGTTTGTATTTTATCACATACATTTTAATTCTCTATCATGGCGAAATGTAAAATCAATGATGAACACAGAATATTTCAAGATAGTTGGGAGATTGAATTTTTCTATATTTCTGGTAAGAAACTCTATGCTTTATATTTAATTTGTCGTAAAACCATAAATATTCCAAAACTTAATAATATTAATCGTCATTACATTACTCAGTAAATTAAATTTTCTAAAAATTATCTCCACCCATCTAAAATAAGAGAAGACAAACAATTTGAATTAAAAAATGGATTTTTTTCTGAAAAAAAATCAATGTTACGGTTGTTATTATTATTATAAATGTATGCGGTCCACAAGTAATTTTCAAAAATTACTTTTGGCCCTTTCTAAAATTCTACTGAGGACCGCTGTCCTAAATGGACTGTATAAGATCTGATCTGTAAAAGAAGAAAAAGAAAAATGTATTAGTGTTTTGTGTATTAGAAAAAAAAAACCTAAAGTGGAGTAAAAAGTATAGTGTTGCATGTTGAATTTTCAATTTCTTTTACTATTTGATTTTGTTCCAATTGCTTCTAATTTTAAACTATTTATATAAAAGGTTTTATAAAGTCAATATATACATTACATATTCTTATTAATGCATTGTATTATGTAATTATAAAATATAGTTAATATTTATTTATTATTAATCAATTAGAATAGTTTAATTTAGATATATAATTTTGAAAAATATTAATGACATTAATAATTTAAATGAGTAATAATAAGTAGGTAAAAACTATTTCAATATTTAATAAGAAATTTTGAATATTTGAATATGTTTGTATTTTTTTTTTTTATACCGGCTACTATAGAAATGTTATATAAATTATTCAATTTTAGTTAGGTTGATATTAAGGTAATAGATTAAATAAATTCATGATAAGACGAAATGTCAAAAATAAATCAAAAACTTTCCAAAATTTTAAGATAAAATGTTATAGTATATATATATTAGCATTACAGGCCATTTAGACCCCTTTGCTGTCAATACTAAATTCTTCCATTCTTCTCTATTATACGCATGGTTCATATCTTCATTCCAATCTGGTCTCAGCTTGTTTATATTCCTTTTGACTGCATCTAACGAACGTTGCTTCGGTCTACCACGTGGTCTTTTCCTTTTTAAATTATTTATAAGTACTGTCTTGACAATACTGTTGTCGGCTCTCCAGACGTGGCCTGCCTACTCCAATCTTGCACCTTTTATAAATTGCGTTTACTTCCTTTCCCATATAGCTGCTTTATCTGTTAATTTGACCTTCTCTCCTATACTTGAGTGTCAGGGTTGTTATACACGGGACCATACATTTTCCTTAAGACCTTTCTTTCAAATACATTTAGTTTATTTTCATCTCCTGCTGTTGTAGCCCAGGTAAAATAAGCGTAAGACACAGCTGGTCTGAGATACATGGTATATATCATTTCTTTGGCTTTCCTAGACAATAATTTTGACTTTAGCAGACGTAACAGAGCGAAATAACACTCATTACCAGCTTTTAAACAAATTTTTATTTCATTATGCATGCAATTTTTATTATTTATGTTGACTCTGAGATATTTAAGGTCATGAACTTGTTGGAAGGACATCCTGTCGACTTGCAAATTTAATTCGTCATCAGCGCTGTTTACTTCTCTAATCATGTACATATATTTGGTTTTTTCCTGATTTACCAACAACCCCATATGCTTTCATTCTTTCATTAGGTTTGAAAAGCTATTTATAATATCCTGCTTTGTCTCACCCAATATTATTATATCATCCGTGTACGCCAAAAGGATGTGATTTTCATTTACTTCCATTGGTTGTCGTTGTGAGTTTCTCCGTATCACACTTTTCAACATCAAATTAAACAACACAGGCGATAGCGCATCATCGTGTCTTAATCCTTTCACAGCTTCAAATGGTTCTGATAGTTCTCTTTGTACCCGGACAGTACAATTTGTATTATTATTGCATAATTTTATTAATTATATTATTTTCGTTGGGATACCTAATCTATAATTAATCGATATAATATATATATATATATAATGAATAATAATATTGAGTTTTTCTTTTTTTTCATTTATTAGATGTTAAGTTAACTTAATAAAATAAATTACACAATTAAATAAGTTTGGTTAAAGCAAGATGATGTTATTTATAAAAGGTTAATAATCCCGTTAATAATTTTAATTAAAATAATTTTTTAATCAACTCAATACAAATTTATTTATTAAAATAATTTAAAATTGTGTAGTTAGATATATCTATTATGTATTATATTATATTTCTTATCTTAGTATAAGTTCATTTATACATTTCACAATTTTATTTAGGTATCTATATTTTTATGTTGTTTTCTAGTGTAAATGTAATTGCTTTTATTTTTCATGTTAAGAAAGTGTTATTAATCTTAACAATTTATTTAAAATTTTTATATTGGTAAATGTATATTTGATTTTCAAATTAAATTAATTTTTTAAACTTTTTTTTTAGGTATTTCAAGTTTGGAATCGGATTCATCAAATTTTAATATTTATTTAGAAAAAACTTATTCTTCTGATTCAGATGTATTATTAGCTATCAAGGTTGTTACTAATATACTTTTTAATATACATTATAAATTTTTTACCTTAATACTGATTTGTTTTCAGAAATTTAATGTACCTATTAAATACTTAGAAAATCTATCGAATGTCAATTTGTTGGAAAAAAATGATATTCTGGTCACCACTCTGTTTGAGGAACTTGCTGTTAAAAGACCATGTTTCAGGTATGTTTAGATTAACTGTTTATATAGTATTTATCTAGATATGATACTATTTCTGAGTATTTTTAGATCTTACTTTTTGTTTTTATTTATCTTAAATTTGCATAAATTTATATATCTGCTGTAAAATTATATTATACTAGCTGACCCTGTGTCCACTTTGTTGGACGGTAAACATTTTTACTTGTGATATAATTATGATTGTGGTTCAGTTACTATTGAGTGCTATGATTTATTTCTTGACTGCAAAAAGAAGGTTATGTTATATTTGCATGCCAATTTGGCTATTTACCGGGTTTCAAATGAGTGAATAAAATGATTATGATTGAATAAATTATGTTTATTTTAATTGTTCAAAACTTCTCTGTATACTTTATTAGATATAATGTTATTATTTGGTTCCAAAATATATTATCTTTCAGGAGTTTCAACCTGAGATAAGCTAACATATAACTGCTCATGGGAAAAACACTGCTTTCTCAGGTCAATGCTTACCAGAGAGTCAAACATTCTGGAACTTATTAATAGTGAGGGCAAAATAAATCTTGATGGGATACTGTAGTCTTTTAAATGGTATGGGTAGAAAATTTGATCTGACTGGGAATTTTCTCTAAAATCAGATTATTTTCTCATTCACTGTATTGTTTCTGGGTAACACTATTGCCCTAAAACAAAGCCAATGATAATCTTTCTCCAATAAATTTTCAACACCAGGATTTATTTTTCGGGTTAATATATAGCCTGTGACAGTCACAAATAATTAGGCTTTCTATTGGTAAAATAATTTTCAAAATTGGTTTAGTAAATCCAGAGATTACTCCCTACAATCACAAACTTAACTTCTTTACAATAATAGTATACATTATTTCTGTTGAAAAACCATAAAAATTTAATTTTAATACATTATTTTATTTATCTTACTGAATTTAGAATTCTTGGGCGTCCAGCTATATTAGAATTGGCTAAAAACCCTAAAGGCTTGCAAGGAGTCAATAGACATCGATATTGCAATGCACTTGTTGGTGCTATTGTTAGTGTCACAGGAATCCAAAAGAGAGATGAAATGGTATGTATTACATGATATTAATATGTTAATGTTCTTATAATTAATTACTTCATTTACTAATGTTTTACTTTTTTGTTGATGTATAGGCACGACTTTTGAGTTTAATACGTTGGATGGGTGGTAGTTTTCGAGAAAATATTAATCACAAAACTACTCATTTAGTGTCTGGTTATGCATGTAGCGCTAAATCTCAGTATGCATATTTACATGAGATTCCAGTAGTTGGATCATCATGGCTTTATGCAGCCTGGGAGAGACGCAATGAAATGGAGTTTAATGGAACTCATTCATCATTTGTAAGTTACAGAAAAATTTTATTTTTGTCTTTAATGCTGTATGTGTATTGCTAATATTTTAAAAATTGTACTTTTAGTTTTCAGAACATAAATTAAAACCATTCCATGGAGCCAAAATATGTTTTTCAGGTTTTACAGAAGAAGAAAGATCGCATATGGTTGATGTTTTATTGCAAAATGGAGGAACACCTATAGATGATGAAAATGATACCGAATGTACTCACCTGGTAAATATTAAGTTATTTTGATACTGAAATATGAGGGATTATATTTTATGATTAAAAGTAAAGAAGAAATAATGGCTAAATGTTAATTATTTAAATTAGTATTTAGTTAAGATAAGTTAAAAATAACTTTATGCCAACAACAGAATGTGGGAGTGGAATATAAATTTGTTAAATAAGATTCTCATGCTAATAAAAAATATTGGTGCTTTGATTTGATCAAAATATGTTAAATTTTGTATTTTTTAAAACATTGCTTTAGCTGTGCACAAAACCACTAACCTTATATTGTATATACATTAATTACGTATATATACAAGATAAATATAATGGGATTCACTAACAAATGTTTGCTTATTTTATTTTACAGGATGTGGCTATATTTAATTAACTTTTTATGTTTGTTGGTGTTGTTTTTTTTTTGTTTGCATGTTAGGTTACAAAGGAAGGTTATTCATGCATTTCTAGTCCTTTGGGCGATCGAGATTCGAATACTACACCATGTTTACGAGGTGTTTTGGCTCCTAAAAATCTAATTCAAGTATTTGATAAAGATGATATGTCATTCACAAGTCCTAATACACGAAATGGGGGGTTCAAAAGGACACTTAGTATGGTAGACAATGGAAATATTTCGCATGACACCAAGAAGATGCGCTTTCAGTCTTTAGATCCAGAATGTGATGAGTTTTTGTTTAAACATCCCAATCCTATGTCAGCACGTTTGGATCAAACAGATCAAACTTTGGTACATATTTTTAATTTATTGTTATTAATAATTATTAAGAGAATGTGTAATTTATAAGTATTTTTGTAATCATAATATACGCAATTAAGTGTGTATATTTACATTAAATGAGTGTTGAGTTAACATTAGACCAAATTTAGGATTCATAAATTCATATAATTTGTTAATATTATCTAATAATAAAATTGTTGTTTTTTTAGTAATTTTAAAGTAATTTATGTTTCATAATAATTATTTATACTATTTTAAACTTCTAAACTAAAATTATTATATCATGAATAAGATATGCAGAGGTAACAAGTTATATGGTAATGTTTTTTAAATAGTCTATATTTAAAATCATATCAAAAACATATATATTATATTTAAAAAATATATTATAATATTGTGCAATTGAATTGTATGTAAATATCAATTAAATACATAGTAATATTTAGCATTGATTAAATATGTTTATATGATTTATATTTATCATCTCATATATGATCAAAAAAGTTTTATTACTTTAAATTATTGCTTTAATACTTTTAATTAAAATTAAGATTTAAAAAGAAAACTGTTATGATTCTTTTATGGGTGGCTGATTATTTAACATTATGTTTGCTTTGACAAATTATTTTTTGCGCCTAGTTTTTCATTTCTTTTTTACATTTAAATTATATATAGTGATTATCATTAGATGAAAGTATAACAGTATTGTTTGATTACAATTCATAGCTCTATTAATCACCAACATTCAAGCTTTATATTGCATCTGCTATAATAAAAGCTTCATTAACAATATTTATTTTTAGTTGATCAATAATAAAATTTATAATAGTAATTAACTATAGATATATATTTATATCTTTTGTATTTCTATGCATGATAGATTTATTTTTACATTTGTGTCTCTGTTTATGGTTATTTGTGAAAATTTGTTAAAAGTTTAAATAATTATTCGCTAAATATATGACTTCAACCTATTATTGGTTTAAGATAATTACATTTTAAATAAATTTAGTTATATGTATTAGTATAAATTTATGCTAAATGTAGAAGATAAATTATATTTGTGTAAATGCTTCGTTGGTGCTTTAATGTGTCTTGGTGTAATAATAAAGTATTTAAAAATAATTTATGCCTATCAATATTTTTGATTTAGCATTTTTTCTTTTAGAAATTGGTTTTTGGTTTTTTAAGTATCTTAATAATAATACAAATATAATAAAATCATCTGCTTAAAATTAAACTAGGTTAAAGAATTATGAGAATAATTAATTTTTATTTCTATTTTTGGCATAATGTTTATTATTTATCTATCATTTTAAAATTATATGCTTTATTGGTTATTAAATTAAATATATTTTTGTAGTTTGTATTTTGATTTAATAAATTATATTTTACTTATCAAAAATATAAATTATTAAAGTTTGTAATGCTTCATTATATGTAAATATTAATTGTTAGGTTTAATTGGATTTATACGAATAGTCATATATTTTTCATTTACCTGCAAGTTTTATTTCTACAAATAAAATAAATATTTAATCTGCAATTTAACTGTTATAATAAGAACTTATTTTACAAAATAACATACATTTTACTGATTTATTATAAAATGATAATAAAAAAAATCAATTGAAAATTTGTATTCAAAATTATGTATAAATACTCTATAAAAAGAAAACAATCATAAACATACCTGACTTATTAAATATTTCAATTTATAACTTTAATTCTTAATCTAAAATGTTGTATTAACATGTTCAATGTTAGTGTTTTTATATTTTTGACACATGAGCTGTTTACTTTTATGTTGATATTATAAAATCAGTTTTGATCAGATTGTTTATTTATTGTATATTATTGTTTATGACAGTTAAATAGTGTACCTGGATGTTGAAAAAGCCTAGAATAAATTGGTTATTTTATATATATAGAATCATATTAAATTATTAAATCTGATTCAAATTTTTTTTTTGCAGAAATTGAATTTTTAAATTTAGAATGGTACCTAAGTATTTTTTCTAAATACACAAAAAAATAACTGTTTCAATAATATTTATTTTAAATTTATCTTTTTTAAAAGAAATAAAATATTAGCCAAATTATTATTATTTATAAACTTCAAATATTTTGTAATTTTATATTTTCACGATTTATAGAAGATATGTTATTTTTTTGTAAACAATATGATTTATTGTAATAAGATTTACAGTAACATAATTATTAATATTAAATGTTGTTATATATTAATTAGATACTACATTAATGAAACTTTAATATATGTAAGCGGTAAATAACAAATAAATAATAACAAATTTTTAAAATAAACAATTTGATGTGTATCCTAAATTATTATATGTGTAATTAATTTCAAACATGGTATGGCATAACATTCATGAGATAATATAGATTTAATAAAGTTACGCTGTAGTTGCCTGATTTTGTATACTACATTGTATGCAGGAAAAAATATTAAATACAATTTCTTTATATGGTAATATTGAACATGTTAACACTTAAATTTTTTATCTAAATTAGTAAACATTAGTTACATTATATTACAATAGTTAAAATAAATATGAATGAATTAATTTAAATAGTTTTAATTACTAACTTAAATTATTCATTGTTTATGCATTATTGTAAGGGTTTATGCAATTTTGTATCTTAGGTTGTTAATGAATCTTCAATTGATACAATTCCTCCTGCTAAAAAAAATAATGCCGAAATCATAAAAGAAGCATGGTTTTGGACATCTGTACAATATCAAAGTTGTGCCCTAACGAAAGAATATTTATTAACTAATGTAAGTATTATATTTTTCTATATCATTGCAGTTGGCTATATATCGTTTTATTTAATTAATTTTCAACTATTTTAGTTAAATGTATCTAACACTCCAACATCAGTTCGTGCAATGTCATCTTCATTGACATTAAGTTCTTCTTCTCGTGCACGCAAAAGAAAAAGACAGTTAGATCGTTTGGGTTCTTTATTAAGGCCTAGTCCAACCCCAATAACAGTTACTGGTGAAACATCACCTACCAATAGTTCTGGGCCATCTAAACGTAGATCATCAGCTACCAATACCCTTGATAACTTACGGTTATCATGTGGGTCGTTTTTGAATTTTACTAGTAGTCCTGATCATCCATCACCTTTTAAACACCCTAAAGGTTTGTTTAACTATCAATATAATAGTACAACTAACTGTATTATATTTTATTTAATTTTGATTGAATTTTTTTTTTTTTGTTTTTAGATCCAGAATTAATTATAAAAGATAAACCATTCAGTCCACGATATCAAGTTTTTTCTGAATTATTGCAGACTGAGATAAATTATGTAGGCGTTTTAAATACAATAATAACGGTTAGTACATCTTGGTAATATTTTTGATTTCAAACCTAAATAATTTTTTTTCTAATGACAATCTTTTATCTTAATTTTTTTTTGTGTACATTTTGTGTGTTGAAAACTGTATTTTGTTTTATTGCATTAACTTAGTAATTTTGATTCTATATTGAAGTGTACTTTTCATAATATAAATAGTAATTAATTTATTAATTTTTTTAAATTTTTATAATTTGTTTTTATTCACCACCAATTGTTTCTTTTTGTTACAGGTGTATAAAGAACCCCTAGAAAATATGGTAGATAAAGAAGATTATTTACTTAATAATACTGAAATAAAAATAATTTTTGGAAATGTTTTACCAATTTATCAAGTACATCGTGATATGTTAGAGGAGCTCAAATGTCTTGCTACATCATGGCAAGAAGATAGTAGTATAGGCAGTGTCTTTCTCAAATATGTAATTATATACCTGTTTATGTGTATTGGTATTCATTTAAATAATAATACATTTAATTTTAATTTTTTAATAATTTTTTAGTCCAGTGAATTAGTGAAAGCTTATCCACCATTTGTCAACTTTTTTGAAACAACAAGAGAGATGCTCTTGCAATGTGATCAAGCGAAACCTCGTTTTCATGCATTCCTTAAGGTTGGTCAAACAAGGCCTGAGTGTTGCAGACAGAGTCTCCAAGAGCTTCTTATTCGTCCTGTTCAACGATTACCTAGTATTAGTTTGTTATTGAATGGTATGTCTTTGTACATTTTTTTAAATTTTCAACCATTTCATTATTTTTGGATATTAATGTAATTTTTGTATAGATATATTGAAACATTCGGACAAAAATAACCCAGATCACCAAGCTCTTGTATTAGCTTTAGCAAGTATACGTGAAGTAATGACTCACATCAATGAAGATAAAAGGAGGACAGAAGGCCAAGTTGTACTATTTGATATATTTAACGATATTGACAACTGTCCTGTGAGTATTACATTTATTAGATTCATTATCTTTGTAGTATTTTTATATTATTATTTAATAGTTTAGTTAAGTTAATTGTATAGAACTGAATACATTGTATTATTTTATTTTTAGCCTCATTTAGTTTCTTCTCATCGAAGCTTTATTACAAAATGTGATGTTATTGAACTCAGTGATAATCTTAGTGGTCGTGGTGATCATCTAACAATATTTGTTTTTTCTGATGTCGTCGAAGTAAGAGTTATTTTTATAGTAATTACTATGTGTACAAATAAAATAATTATATAAAGTACAAATAAATAATCTTGAGTATTACTGTTGTCTAGGTTTGTAAAAAAAGAAAATCATTTAACGGAAAAAGTCCTAAAGAGCCGAATTCTGGTTCACATAAATTAAATGGTGGTGGCAAATCATATAAGCACATTAAATTAATGCCATTAAATATAATTAAACAAGTTATTGATATCAAAGAGACTGAAGGTAAATTAAAGTGTAAATATTTTTTATTTAGTTTAATAATCTTATGCGATTAGTTATTATGTATAATATTATGTAACATATATATATATATATATATATATTATGGGTCATAGTCTTAATTGTAGTGAATTTGCAAATATTTTATTTTATATATGCTTATATAAATGTATGTAGGTTATTAGCTATTATTTATGGGTGACTTCCCTATTATATAAACCGTATCTTTTCATTTTTCTATATTATTCTACTAACTTAAATTGTAAATCGTATATTAGACCGTCTTTTAATTTTTTAGTAAAATAATTAATAAATACAATTACTGTATTACTTCTAATTAATAAATATGAAATGCTTTTCATTGATAATAAATTTAATTTTTAATTTTAGACTGTCGTAATACATTTTCATTAATGATTATTGACAATCATGACTTTAAAGAACGATTGTATACGTTTACTATGACTGGAACTAATAGCAGTGCTAATAATAAAAATGTATTCTTAAAAAATATATCACAACAGGTGGCAAACACTGTGTGTTCTGTAAGTAGTACAATATCTAAGTATACAATTTTTTGAATAAAAAAACTCATTTTATTTTTAAATCTAGGGTAATATATTAGTTTCATTAGACTCTCAGCAATTGGATATAGATACAAGTGAAATTACTACAGGCACTCTTGGAAAAGCTTTCAAGTAAATTAAAAAATGTTATTTATGCAAATTAATTACTATGTATAAAATAATATTTGTTTCAGGTTTGCTAGTAGAACGCGTATTAAAGTTGGCCGAGCCTTGAGCTTCAACAAAACTCCAAGCAAATTGAAACGTGCTGTATCTACGATGATGAGTCCAGTGCTCAGTCTTACCCATAATGGATCAGGAACACATGCCCTTACACCGTCCACTCAATTAGCTAATATGCACTTAGCATCGTGTACCAACCTTAATGTGAGCCTATTAAATGAACATAACTTTAGACGTTCTTCTAGTAGTTGTTCACTAATGAAAATCAAGAAACACGTCAAACAAAATTCTAAATTGCGAATGATTTTTAGTTAAATTTTCAGTCCATCGCCATTTGAAGAAGATAACATGTGTAGTTTTTTGCTTTATATAGAAATAAAAAAAAATAATAATATAAACTCCTCTTACTTTATTGGATCTCAATAATATGAATAAGGTACTTGACATATTTGATTTTTTTGTTCAAATCGCTTACTGTGGCTATTAACCTGTAATATTCATTTGTGGTGAAGAAATTTTTGGCAAAAATATGCATGTATGTTGTGTTATTAAACTTGGTTTTAATTAAATATCAGCCTGGGCAAAAAAAAATACTGCACACATAATTGTGTACTTTTTTTTGTTTAAAAGTTATAGAATGAGTTAGAACAGTTGAATTGTTGAATGATTAATTATAATAAATTTTCTATTTCATAAATGTTATGTTCCATCAACTTTTTAATTGGTAAAATATATGATAAAAAAAATATTTTCATTCATTGTTTGACATGTTTCTATTATTTTTATTAATAATTTTTGATTATTAATATTTTAATAGATATCTAATTTTTTTTTTTTTTTTTTTACAATTTAATTACTATTACTCAAAAACATGATTTATCGATATTCTAGTATTTATTTCTATTTAGAACAATATGTTATGTTATATGTTTAAACATTTTAGGTTTTTATTTGAATCAAGTGTTTTTATGTGATTAACCAATTTTCACAATTGATTTTATTATGATATTAAGTATTTATATACTATGTAAACAAGATGTATTTCAATATTCTGATTTATACTTTTGCTTCAATGGTAATTTGTTGTTTTTCATTTATTTTTGTTCTTACCCAATCTGTTGGTTATTTATCAATATTATTGTGTTGCAAAATATTATAAAAATATTTCATACTTATAAATTTTGCTATTTACTGTAAACAATAATGTATTTTTTTTTATTTTAGGAAATGTCATCAATTGATCATACCTTTCCATCGCCACCGATGTCTGTACAACCAACCAGAAAAAATAAAACTTCAATATTAAGCCTATCATCTGCACCTAGGTAGCATCCAACTGCCTATCGGTACCTGCTTAATTCTTTTCGAAACTCAAAGAATATTGTTTCATTTTTAAGTCGTCAGTATCGATAGCTATATTATATTATTATAATAATTCTTTTTTAAAACTCAATTTTAAATTTTTTTTAAATCAACTATTTTATTACCTTTTTTGTTAGTATTTAAGATTTGTATAATAGTGTTGTTGTTTTCAACTTTTTCCCAAGACATTCTTGCCCATGATTTTCTTATCCTATACTTCATTATCCTCAAATCATTCATTAGATTTTATTATGTCTTATTAATTCCATTTCTACTAAAAGCATTTTTACCATATATTGTTTACTCAGTTTTATACTCAGTATTGTCAAAGTTACCATGGTATATATTCTTTTATAGTTTTAATGTATACTTTTACATAATTTATGTAAGTAAACTATTTTTTTTTTTTGATTGAACAAATAAGTCTATTATAAATTTCAAAACGGTGCTCAAGTTTTGATTATTTTTACCTTAAGCTCAAAAACTAATTTAATGTATATGCTATACATTGTGCATGATAGGTATTATATTTATTTTTATAGAATTTTTTAATTTATGTGTATGTTTAAATATGACTTAGTTTTATGATTTAAACATTATATGTAATCAAAATCAAAATAATTCATCAGACGAGTTACTTTTTACAAGAAATAATACATTTTTTTTACCTATATTAAAGATTTATTTTTCTCCTAAACAATAATCAACATTTTATTTTTGGATTTGCATCAAACTTGATTCTGAATTTATTGAAAAGTTGAATGAAGTTTAAATGTTTACTTTGAATTAACTTAAAAAATCCTATATATAAAAAAAAAGTTAATTTATAAAGTTGATTGTTGAATCTTGACCACATTTTTGTTTAAAATTGGATAGTAAATCATACATTTTTCTCAAATTTAAATTTGTTTATTATCCATAGGTATGAATAAAAAATTATTTTCTAATGGCAAAGTGTTTTGAAATTCGAACACTTTGGAGGTAAATTTCACTTAGACAAATTTAGATACTGGTTTCTAGTTTTGATGTACAAAAAGATATCAATATTTTTTAATAAACATCATGTTTTGAATATTATATGTACTATGTTAAACCAATTAATAATTAGATGTATTTGGAGTACTGGATCAAGTTTTATAGTTGAAAAAAGAAAATTACAGGATAATAGTTATTTTGTTATTTATATTGTTTTATTAACCTTTTGTATAAGATGTTTTATAATAGTTTTTGTAATAAGTGTTGGGTGTGTTACGGGTACAGCAGGTGTGATGTGTCAAATACCTCATTGGCTGAAAATGATTTAAATAGACTGGGCTGGTCTATTAAATTTTCCAATAATTAAATTTTATGCTAGTATTGAGCTTATAAAATCTCATAGGAATTTTTGAACACGGCTAATTTTCAAAAAAAGATTTTCGAGTAAAGGGTTATTATTACTTTTATTACTATTATTTTTATTATTATCAACAATTGATCAAATAGGTAATGTTTGGTCGAAAAAAAGAAATCACAAATTTAATTCGATTTACAGGAATTGTAACTATATTTAGTTGAAAAGAGAAAAAATCGGAATTTGAAATTTAAAATAAATTATTTTTAAACTTCGTACTATCCGTTTTACCACACCCCGCCAGTATACTCGTTGAATATTAGTAGTCGATGTTCTTATATCGAAAAATTGCTTTATTTTTGTTTTCGTCGGAAAAATAGTTTACCAACTCTTTAGCCAAATCGTCTGCAGTACTTGATTGCACGCGATTAGCTGGTGTCGGAATTATTTGATTCGTATTCAGTCGATGTGTTGTGCCGCCGCCTCAATGGCTTTACCCCGCCGTCACATTTCATGGCAAATTTCCACTCCAAAATCAAGGCTTCTTTCGGCGTTATCTGCAACAATTTAGAATAAAAAATGAAAGAAAAGTGATACTACAGATTTTCTGTACGTTGGATTAAAAGTATGCATGGAGGAAGTTTATAGAAAACTAATACTTACATTCCTACATTTATACTATAACTATGCACATGTACGAAATTAATTTATTCCCATATCATTCTCTTTGTAATATATTTACCTACTTCTTGGTCGTGTCGCTTTAATTTATTTTTCTATACGTTATTGAAAGCCATACAAATTAACGGTTCTGAGTGATTCTCGTAACAATATATTCTAATAAAAGCATCGAGTTTTTTTTTTTTAATATAATCGCGTCTTAAAACGTATCGCACAATTATATGGTTTTAAGGTATCGCAAAATTTAAAACATGTTTTTTTCCAATTCATTTTTTCAGAATAGTAAAAAAACTTTGTAAGTACCAAAAAAATGTTTGAATTCTCAAATTCGAATGCGTATGCATCTAATATTGAAGCAGGTTTATCACATGAAAAAATTTATCAAGTAATATTGTAAAAAGAAAAATATAATTTTCAAATCTATAAGTTCTTTAGTGCTTTATTCAAATTAAATGTATATTATCGTTACAAAAAACTATACTTATTTATAACTCGTACATTGATTCGCTAATTGTGTATTATTTGTACCATTCACTGTTATTTCATTCTGTTTTCATTATTACTTTATTATTAGTTTGAAACGATGAAATACAAGTATCACCCGTTCATTCGGGCACTTTGACACTTACCTCTTCCTCGATGGCCACCTTTCGTATGTTCCACAAAAATTCCAAAATGGAAAACACGAAGGCTATTAGACAGCCAAGAACGAGTACCACGAAAACGCCACCAATTTTGGTAAACCCGAGTTCTTCGCTTTCCTCTTCTTCCTGCGGAAGGAAATTCATATTATGTCATCGGCTATCGTAACGTTGTTTCGTCAATAAATATATGTATATCAGTTATTATAGAGAGAGACTCACCTCGCATTTATTAACTCCTTTCCACCATTTGTCTTTCAGTTCTCGCATGAATCCGGATTCTTGCAGTCTCAACACCGATTCGCTGATCAGAGTCCGGTAAGGCGAATCTTATATAAAAAAAAATTAAAAAAATTAGTAAAATATTTGCAATTAATAACACGAAATAATTTACGATATAATTTTTTTTTCTTAAAGACTTAAAAATCGCATCGTACCCGTTGCAAATAGTTTCTACAAGTTTTTCAAATTAATTTTTATCTACTTAGGAGTGTTAATTTACAATTTCCCGACGAAAAATATAAAACACATTAATATATTAATACATTTTATGAATAAGTAGAAACAACTGGTTTACACTTACGTAACTTTAAGTAGTATAATATAAGACATATTTCAACATTTTTTTTATTATTGTTATTATTTAAAAACGTGATGAGATCATTGAGAGTTAGGGTTATAAAGTTATAACTTAATATTATATTACAGGATAATATATAGTAAACGGATACATACATGAAATTTTACGTAACGCAAATATGGTGTTAAATTGCATACACTTGTGCCGTCACACAATGTTTACTCAAATTGTTTTTTTAAGTGTTGTCTAATGAAATATTATAACAGAGATGTCTACTATAAAACACTAGTAAAATGAAATGCTTTTATGTTTTTTAATAGTTCCAAGATTTCTTGGATTTATATAATCCATATTTTTTTCCCTCATAATATTATATCCATGTTTTTAGTAATGTGCTGAACATTCGGACCCATTGCATCTTCAGTGTGCGTGTTCACGGTGTCGCTGTCGAGAGCGTTCAAATAGCTTTACTTGTATTTATACTAAACGACTCCTTTCTTGTTATATATTTCTTTCTCTCTTTCTGTTTTACTATATGTCTTAGTGATGGACTCGCCCACCGTTTCTTTGTTCGCTACTCATCTCGATTATATGCAATTTAAAGTTAAGTCATCTCTTCACTTTCTGTGCGTTTTATTCTTCCGATTCCACATTTAAAATATTTGTTCTTTTTCGTTGTGGTAACTATCATGCATATTGACAATGTTTCTTTAATATAATTATTTTTCTTACTTTGGAAATAATGAATAGAATATTTAAAGAATAAATAATTCTTGTGAATTATTGATTTTTGTAAATTATTTTCAATCAAATCTATCTTTTGCTGTTGAACAGCAGCACTAAGAAAAGGTTGGAAATACACCCCGAACATGGAACTTGAAATTTCAGAAATCGTCTGTAGGCATAAATGTATCCAAATATATGTTATTACGTGTCATAATTTATTGGAGAGTTACCCGTTTTCGCCAAAATAATATTGGCCTTTTCCGCCAAAAACGAAAAAGGTACGATTCCCGTTAACACTAAAAAAAAGTTAGGAAACTATTAGTTTTAATTTTTAAGTAGTATGGAATACATGTTGTGGTATGTTTAAAAGACAATGACATTTGTAATGTATATGTTACGGCTAGTATCAGAAGGATGGCTAATATTAAGATTAGCCGGCTAATCTTAAGTTTCGACAATGCTTTTGGCTAATGTCAAAATTTCGGACTTCAGCCATCAAAAACAAATGGATAATCTTAACACTAGCCAATAAAACCAACATTATCCAACCGTTATTGGCTAATGACTAAATAACATTAACCATTGGTAGATTAAAAATTTAAAACTATTTACAATATTTTGAAATTGTAATTTTTAATGAATATTGATATGTTGGGTAGTTGTATAGAGGTGAGCCATGCACGTGGTAAGTAAAATATTTTCAATAATATAAATATTGTACACAGTTGTGTGCATTTTGATAATATTTTAATACTGATATTGATTGCAAAATTCATATGCATGCAGTTACATACAAATGTGTGTGCTCGATAGAAACAGTCCGTAATAATCTACCATAATTACCGACTCAAGTTTATAAATAGTTAAGATACCAGCTTGTAGTACTTTGTAGGTACATCTTGTTTTCAAGCCTGGGAGTTACTAAGTTAAAAGTTAAGTTAAATTAACTTATTAATTTAACTTATTTTATTACTAATAAATTAACTTAACTCATTTCCTTACAAATTAACTTGGAATAACGTATTTTTTTTTCGTTTATCGCAATTAAGTTAATTTTAATTTTCAAGACCAGAAAAATATTTTTGTAGAATATCGCATTCGATAATAAGTTATAATATAAAAATAAAAATGTCAAAGAATTTTTAGATGAGACCATAATATTTATTTCAGTATTAACTATTGATAGGGGTCTCACCGTTCTCGGGAAAAGTATTCAACCGTCTTCAGGCTATTGAGTAAAAATAGTCATGCAACCCATGAATTACATTAATGTAATTACCACTGTCATGAAAAGTGGCTGTAAATTTATAATAAAAATAGGTACACATTATTATTGACTAAATAATTCTTAATAATAATTGTACTCTATTATTATTAAAACTATTCCATAATCTATGATATTATTAAATATTATTGAAAAAGAGAAGAAATGAAAGAATTTTTGTATGACTTATACCGTTTAATTATTTGTATGTTTAATGTTATTTAGACATTAGCCATATGCATCTGGATAATGTTAAATATTATCGAATAAAGTCCGAAATTTAGATATTAGCCAAACACAGTGGCTAAACTTGTGATTAGCCGGCTAAAAATGGTTAGCCATACTCCTAATACTATCCGAAACATATACACCGATAATCTTCAATAACAAAAGGAAGCATACACTGTATTCTAATTTATTTATAATTCGCACACAATAGTTATTTGATATATGTTAAATTCTTATATTTCGATTCAGTATCTGTTCTGTTTGTTACCAGACTAACAACACTTAATACCGTTCTTAAAATGGAATTTTTTGTAAGCAAAAGAGGTAAAAAGATGTTGCTTTTTGATGGTTTTAAATATGTTTTTGGTTATATGTCACGAACAAATGTAAATCAGTGGAGATACATTGTATTTCACGAAAAATTGTCGGGCCAATATTTATTGAAAAAGATAAAGTAATACTTGAAACGAAAGGTACGTTTTCTATCTGCGAGCAATATATATATATTTATTTAATTATTTATTTATTTACACAAAATTAAATTAATTTATTATTTTTTATAGGTTATCATGGAGACAATTGTTAAGTTAAAAATTAGCAACTACATGTAAGTGGAATTATCTACTTTTATTAAAATGTATAATGATAAGAATATATAACAATTGTACATGGTTCCCAAATAGTAGTTGGCGGAAACATTTTTTCACAAAAATAAATTTTGGCGGAAATGAGAATCATACCTTTTTCGTTTTTGGTGGAAAAGGACTATGCGTGAATTAGGGAACCGGATTTTTGGCGGAAACGGGACATGCCCATTTTATTGTGTTAATAAATGTATATGTTTATGTGTATAGTTATTAAGTAACAGATAATAATTATAAAAAAAATAACTAAAAAAATTATAAGATAAAACCAAAGTTATATAATATGATAACAATTAAAATTGAATCACACATTTATATTTTATCCTTAGCACACAGTATTTATTGTAAGTTATAGTTTTAGGATTATTTCCAAATTTTTAAATTTTTTTTAAAATGTATCTTATTAAGGACTTCCAGGGGGGGGGGGTTGTTGTACAAGGTTCCAATCGTAACTCATTTGAAACATTGACGACAGTTCAACGGTTTTGTTTGACACGCGTACGAAGTTATAGCAATTTACGATTCGAAACTCGAGGGCCGGGATTTTAAATCGGAACCGATTTCTCGTATCGTGTGATCCAACTTCACTGAACTTCTTTCAAAAGGGACTACATCAGCACTCATTCTTACAAGTTCTAAGCGTCGGGGTACTCAAGTAAGGTGATGGTGGTACCGTCCTACGTGTACGATTTTTCGGTGGAAAACGTTCGAACGCGCAACGTCGAAATATAAAATATAAATATTATATTTAATATACATATTTAATATAAATATATAAATATAAAATATAAATACTCACTCATCGGCATCGCTATGCCGTATCCCTTCGAGTCCAACGTGTTGCCGATTTGCATCAGGTTGCAGTTGCGTTCTGTCTGGTACTCAATGCTGGAAGATTCCATCAGGAACGCGTACCGGCCCTTGCCCTTCAGCACTCGGTCCACGCCTTCCTGGTTACTTTTTGTGAACACCGTCGGGTTGGACGATTCCATCACGCTCCACATTCTCTGGTACAGGCTCAGGTTCGACTTCTACGCACGGCGACCCGGTATACGTTAATATTATGCGGTGGGGGCGGGGGGTAAATGTTTAACGTGTCAATTTTCCGTGGAACGCATAGTTTGCACGGAATTCTCGTTGACGTCCTAGGCCCGTTTCACGCACGACGGTTTTCCCGAACGGACGTTGTTTTCGAGCACGACGGTTTTTTGTCCCGTAAGACGCGTCGGCTTTCAACACGAATCGAAAACGCACTGTTGCCACGTGGCTTTTTTTATCGTCACGACAATCGTGTTTACTAGTCACGTCCGATTAACGAGTGCATACTTCTCCCCGAGCATTTTTCGTTCCGTTTCTATATCTGTAAAGGTCTTGAGATTTCAATCTCATACGACAGGTTTACATTGCGCAGCAGGAATTAACATTTAATATTCATTAATTTTTATTACGAGAAAAAGCGATAACGAGCTACTTTGATGATGGGCGGGCGGTGGATGAACGAAATGCGTCTTTTGCGGAAGCGTGCTCTAATTCACGTTGACTACTGATAAGGGCGTAAGAAAAAAAATTAGCCCCCGCGTGAAAGCCGCAGTTGCTTTCATGCATTTACTGCTAAATTAAGACCCGTAGGGACGAAACTGTCATGCGTGAAACGGGCCTTGACGTGGTTGTTTTGGGAGTATTGCTTGAATAGTTTCATTACAAACGATTCTTGTCCATGGACGGTTTTCACGCAAAAAATTGTCGTACATAAACATATTTCATGCGAACTATTTTCCGCGAACAATTGATGTTTTTTTTTTTTTTTTTTCAATAAATTCGTGTATTTTCAAAACTATCTACGGTGACAAAGAAAGTATTTCATTAGAAATGTTTTTTATTATCTAAAACATCGTATCACCAACTTTGACCGTCCGCGTGATGATGGGTTTTTTCGCAAGTTCTATCTCGAGCATCGGATCGCGGTGAAGCATGGCTGAACGCGAACGAATACAATCCATGCGCGACACAGTGACGTACCTATGGTGAGGAGGGCAACAGGGGCATTCCCCCCCCCGAGAAGTTTTTTGATGCAAATTAATTGTTTAGCTTAAATAATGTAAATTATAAATATTTTTAATTTTCACTAATTTTATTCGTGTTTGATTTCTTATTTTTACTTATCAATGTAATATAAATTATCAATATTCGACCGAATTGGGATTAGGAGTGATGGTCACATATAGTCACTATTTTATAATGTGGTTACCTATCATTGATATCAACATGAGTTTTAAGTATCTATTAATAATTTATAATAAAGTTTCAGATTATATTATAATTATAAAAATGTTGCAATTAATTTATGCCCCCCCCCCTCAAAAATGTTTCACAGGTACGCCACAGACGCGACAGAGAGCAATACGCGTGTTTCGAAATCGTCCGATAAATTCAACAACGGATAGGGGGAGGGGTTTGATATTGTTTATATCGTGCTCGGACTTGTTTTTTTGAAGTCCGTACGCTGATGGAAACGGCTTGAAAAAAGGCAATACAAACGAGGTACAGCGGACGAGAATATACGATCAGTCTAAACACGGACGTGTGTAAAATTTTTACTAACAGATTTGGTCAACAAAAATGCCTTGAGAGATTAGTGATATGACCAGGGCTCGGAGATTATAGCACTAAATAATTGGTAAATATGTAGAACGTATTAAATATTGTTGATGACAACATCGTGTCCCGTGGGGCCTAAAATTGCGCTGTGTACTGCGATTCATCTGCTACTCATCGCACTGTTCTAACCAATGCAGACAGCTCCTGTAGGCGTTATTTGATGAAGACTTATTTGTTGGTCCCTACTTAAAATGTATTTTTAGAAATTGTTGCGCGTACATAATTCCTCTTTCTTCAAAAATTCTATAAAACAACAATTAGCCCTGAAATCCTTCGAAAGCTTCTGAACAAAATAATTAATACGTTTCAATTAGTCAATAGCTCAACGCTGTACATAAATAAAAAATAAGATCGTGCTTTACATTCTTTTTCAGACCACGAACCTCGTGCGTCAGAGTACACTTTGTTATTAAAAATTTCAGTATGTTATAATATAAAGATAATAAGAATAATATGTTAAATGTGGCCGTTGTGTTCGTTAAGAACTGCAATTAGACTTCTAGCACCCCGAATCGGAAATATTTGACTGATCGGTGCAATGCGAGCACAATTATTTTACTATTTATTTTTACCAGCGTGATATTCATACCATTGGCATTATCTATCGTTCCCGCGAGGGGTTGATCTCGTGATACGGCCATAGCCAATACGCCCGTGTGGATTCATCCGGAAATATTACTACTTGCCCGACCAGTGGCGTATCCAGGATTCATTTAACGGGGGTGATTTAAAATTTAATCAATTCATGGTAATTGGGAGGCTCTGCCCCCCCCCCCCCCCGTACTACATTAATAAATACCATGTATTTATAAAATGATTAAATTAAGACAGTATATGTAAAATCTACAAGTTGTATACAACGTTTATTCAAATTATACTGTAAGTAAGTTTACAATTTGGTGAAACCTAACCATAACCTAATCTAACCTAAACATAAAATACGGTCGATGTGGGGTGTTCTAACACCTACACCCTCCTAAATACGCCCCTACGCCAGACATCGGTCGACGATACTGCTGGCTAGATATCTGTCGGACGATTTCGGAACGCAGCTGTATTACTGACCGATAATAGTTGTACCAAACTCACAAAAACGAGTAAACACCGTCATCATAATATATCGCATACATGGGCGTCCATTGGGGGGGAAGGGGGAAATTTCCTCTCTGTGACTTTTCCGTGTATTTTATACATTTACGCATAAAATATTATAGTTATTCATTTACATTGAATATATAAATGATTTATTTTGTTACCCAATCTTATCTCTCATGGACATTACCACGGGAGAACGAATTCCGGAAATCATTGATACTAATTATAAAGCTATCGATAACGATCAACGAGAGGCAGAGAGGCACCGATCACACTTGTCTCCTCTGGATTTTTGATGACAGACGCCCTTGATCGTATATATTACTCGGACGGTGCTCGGGTAAAAGGGATGTGTACATTTTAACGATTTTTTTTTATTTTATCTGTTTATTCTACGTTTTTGTAGATAAATATCGATATATTACACATTAGTCGATAAATAAAAAAATAAAAAATTGTAGCACAATTTTTTCATAAAACTTCAGACCAGCATCAGACCTGAAAAAAAGCGGCCGTGGACCCTTCCTCGTAACAGCCGTACTGGATGTCCGAGTCCTTGGACAGGTCGTCGACGTTCTTGATGGGCGTGTCCAGACGTCCGCTGGTAATGGACGCGGTCAGGTTGGCGGTGTACGACGAGGTCATGATCAGCGCGAAAAACCACCACATCCCTGCGACTAAACGCGTGGACACCGCCCTACACACAGCACAGCAATCACGATACCAAAACGGTGTGCGCATATCATAATCATCGTTGTTAATATTGTTATTATTCGTTATTGACGATCGATTGTTTGTTATTGTTAATCAGTGATTAATCAGTGGTATCCATAAACACGTGTAATGATTTCAACACACGGTACAAACGTTATGCTGAGTCCACTGCGTTAGCAGTCACGTGTGCAGACGATATTATCCTGAGGCGTGTACATCTGCGAACATTTTACGGTTTCGAAAATGTAAGACGATAAGGTTTCGTCACACCGATAATCGCATACTGGTGTGTAAATGACGATGTGTAATCGATGGGTTGCAATAAGAATTATTTCTACTGCAGTTTGAGGTCAAGCGATAGATCCTCGTCAGCCCTAAGTCTTCTCGTAAACAGGCTCATCGGTGGCCTGGCACATTGTTTGCAGAACAGATTGCTGGAATCGAAAACGAGCGAAGGGGGGCAGAGGACGCGGAAGAACTTTGAAATCGATTAGATCCGACGGGGATGCGTGTTGTTCACTTGGAGATCGCTGAGAATCGTGGTCTGAAGGTGCTTTCAGATAATGATGATAAGTTAACGCCTGATTACGCTGTTGATTAATAGTATATTGCAATATTTACTTGCATATGTAAATTTGTAGTTTATCGGATCATGCTAAAAAGTAAATCATATTAAATGACCGTTGGTCTTAACGTTACATATTATGTACGGCAATAATCGTTTCTCAATAGCTAGATATTTATAACAAGTTAATTCAAAGTTTGGATAGTTTGATAATAATGAAGTACTAAAAATCATTGAGCGAAACTTCTGATGGATATCGATCACGGTAAACGAGAGAGTCGGGCGGAGGATTCCTTGTTATAGCCTCCCCATCGACCATCCTGTAAATGGACAACCCTTGGGTAAATTGTCTAACGGTATTGTACCTGCTACGAACATGGAACCGGCGCAGCTACAGACCATACAGGTGTGTAACACAAAAGCTTTAGATGATAAAATACACAGTTTTAGTAGGTGTAAATACAGTCAACTCTCGATAATTCGAAGTTGACGGGACTGTTGAAAAATTTCGAATTACCGAGAGTTCGAACTATTGAGTAGTTCGAAAAAAACGAGAGAGCAAAAAAAAAAAAAAATCGAATTACTGAGTTAAGAAAAAAATTTTGTTTTTTATTGTTATAATTATTAATTATTTCAGCAAATTAGGTGGTATTAGTTATTATTGTTTTTAAAATGTAAATTTTAACTATGTAATAATTATACTATGTAAATTAAATTATTATTATAAAAAAATATTATTTTTTGAAGAAATCTGTAATGATTATCTTTTTCATTAAATTTAGTTTCATTTTTTCAACAGTAGTTTTTGAATTTGACGCAATCATCACAAGAACTTTACAACTGACCAAACGAAACTAAAATAAAACTACAATCGGCTGACAGCTATCGAAGAGATAAATTACGATTAGTGATGATTAAGAAATAAAACGATAAAGTTCTTACAATATTAATTCTATACCTAGTTATCGAAAATAATATGCTAAATTTCTACACGATTGTATAGTAAATTATTAACAAAAAGATTATAAGGATACTGTTAAATAAATTTGCTGAATATACTTTGAATTGTCAAGCGTTGAACGGATGATACTTCGAATTGTCACGTGTTAGTTGCAAGTTTTCTCAAAATTTAATTTCGAATTACCGAGTGTACTTAAATGCATTGTTTTTATTCGAATGCTGCGTGATTTTCAAAGGACCAAGCGTTTTCTTTGAATTACTGAAGGTTTCGAATTATCGAAGGTTTGGATTGTCGAGAATCGACTGTATCTGTGTTATCATATAGAATATATTAGATTGTTCGATTATTATTCACTACTATGCCGATTGTAGTCATAAGTGTCCGGGTGAAAATGTCCAGGTTTTGTTCATAGAAAAGAGTTTTCTGTCGAACGGCGTATTTAGATGTCGAAACAATGTTTTTTTAACCATAAGTATATATTTTACTGTTGATTATATTCAATCAATGCTTCTATTATAAAATCACTAATCATTTATGCCGAATGATATCTAAAAAAAATTCCACTCTACATAAATATACCGTAGTATATATATGCACATGTTATATTAATGCAATCGAAAACTTATAGTACGTATGAATACGAGCAGCAGTGAATGCGATTCGTGCGTCGTTAATTATGTTCGGTTACAGTGTTAGTTAAACATTAGATCTCAAGACTGTAGTATTGATGTAGACGTTTCGTACCGGGCGCGTCTTTTACCTCTGTAGTCAATGCAGTGTTAGCTGGATGGGGCGGGTGAGCGAGTCAACGACTTATAATAATACGTATAGAAATTACCACGATGTTTTCTTTTTTTATTTCATTTCCGACACCCCCGGGGGACCAGTAAATCTATTATAACAGTCCCGGTGTTCGAGTACTACGTGTGCGTTACGAATCGGTGAGCATCGAAAACCACACGTGATGCACAAATCATACGGTTTGCGATCGAATGGATATAGGCGCAACTAGGGTAAAAAATCTGGGAGGCTACAGCCCTCCTACCGAAGCTTAAAATAACCTGTAGATTATCCCTACTCTTATATACCATGTTAATATATTTTAGATTCTGAGCCAAGTTGGATTTACTGCAATGTGTACTGCCTTGTATAACACAGAATATTTATGGGGGGGGGGCTAAGCCCTTCCTAATTGCGCCTATGTGAATGGATCGTTGGCAATCGTCGCCATATTCGCGTTTTCCCGTTTCATGTTCAGACCCACCACCGGGGAACCGCAGTCGGATCGATCAGTGGAAAAGACGCGCCCGTTCCACCGAGTTAACGGCAAACTCAATCAGGGGCGGGTTTTATTACTCATCAAGGAAATGGCTAATAGAGGTTCAAGGATTTTGTTAGTAGTTTTTAAATCTATGTACAATTTTAAATTACAGGATATGTTTTTGAGTCCCTCATAAGTAAGTCATTTTTTTCACAGTAGTGACAAATTTTAAATAGCTACATTAATGGTATTGATTTTAATCTGAAACCATTTGAAAAATATACGTATACACGTATAATCAACAACAAAAATGAGCTCATTTATTTATAAAGAAATATATAAAACCGGTACCATTTCGTCAACGACGATTGACGATATTTTATAATAATTATCAATGTATCGTAATACTTAGCTTTATAAAATAGTTAGCTTAGTCCCAAGCTAACAATGCCCCCTTAGCCATCCTCCTTGAACCCGCCCCTGAACTCAATTCGGTTAAGTGCGCCTGCACCGTACTACACAGAAGATAGGTGCACGCGGTCGGGTTCGCGTTGCCTTACTGAGGAGATATATCGGAACCCTGTTGCAACATGGTGCCGCAACTGAACCAAATCAGATTAGCCACGTTAAGCCTAGTCTCAAGCTCGTTGTTACCGTCTTTCCACGGCTGCGGGTCGTGCCACTCGTTGGGTGTGATTCTGCAAAAACAATCAACGCTGATCATAGACGAGAAGACACGTTCAAACAAATGCCCGCCGGTCCCGTTCCGGTGTGGGCGATACACTGCCGTCGCCGCCGCCGTCGCCATTGCCATGTACCCCGTGCCCAGGGTCCGTGTGTGCATTTCACGGGTATTACGTAGTGCGCAACGTATACAGTCCGAGCGTTTTAGGCGGGTACGCATTTTCGCGGCGCGATGGTTCTTGGACGGTGTGTTCATCTCATGTTCACCGGCGTATTGTGCGAAAAGTATTTACCGAAACAAGAAAACCGAAAAAACTTACGCTATACTGAATACATTTTTCGTAACCCGAAGAGCTCGGGAGAGGGGAGTATTAAATTAATATTTTTTCGTCCGAACGGGGTTAGCGCGAGAAACGGGATAATCGGAATGTCGAAGAGTTGTGCGACCGTGGTAAGCATATAGAGTTTTAGGTATAGCGGTAAGTTTCCGGTGTCATTACGTCCATTGGCATCGGTATTTTCACATTGAGCAGATATGACACGTTTTTTTTCCCACGGAACAAGGGATTTCGCCGCCGTTGCGGTTTGCGACGCACATCATTGTCATAGTTGTACGTGTGGCGTACTGAAGTGAATCAGTATTCGGTTAGGATTCACGAGAACAATAACATGCGAATGTGGACAGGAGTCGCAGTGACTCGGCGCGTCTACGCGACAGCAAGTCGACGTTAAAGAAAACGCGCATCGCATGATCACATGTCATAAGTATACCGTTTTCCCTAAGCAGACTCATGCAGAGCACAGAGAACAGATCTCGATGGCACAATGAACACAACAAGTGTACTGGTACACGGCCAAGAACCATCGCGTTACATTTTATACGCTCATCGTGTGGACGTGAAAACGAGAATATTATAACGCACGCATTACATATTATGTATTATATAATTTTTTTTTTTTTAATTTGCCTTGTTCGCACATTACAGCAAAACATTATTATATTATTATACACGGTTATGTACAGCGTGTGACGACAAAAACTCGTGAAAGCTGATGGAATAAACATACACGCAAGCACAACAAACACGTTCACACACACGCACATCACACGACAGCTCAAAGTCCGGACGTGTTAGATGAAAATACCGAATAAATGGAATAAATCGAAAGTTTACGGGAATGAAATGTGTAAGGAAATGTCGAGAAGAGTTTTATTTTATTTTTACTCTTCGACCACTCGACCGAACGTTGACCTGTCAAGATGTTACCGCCAGTGCCGGATTTAGGGGGAGGGGGCTAAAAAGTCCTCTAAAACTAAAATCTAAAATTTAAATCGTCTGTTTCGTTATATATATTTTTTTTGTTTTTCGTGCTCTTTTTTTTATTTTTATTTTTATTCATTCAATAACTTTTAATAATACATTATTCAATAGAAATACGCGTCTAGAAGTACGTCCGAAAGTGATGCACAAAAACGAAAACAAAAAAAAATTATACTAAGCCTCTGATTGGTATTTGCACCCCGGGTCCCCCGAGACTTAGATCCGGCGCTGGTCACCGTGTTTTGTGTTACAACACCGTACACGTGTACAACGTTGGTTGTAAAACGCAAACGACAGTCACAGTCACGTGCGGTGTGTTAGGTCCACTCACTTGGGCAGTATTTCGCATCCGGCGCACAGGACGGAACCGATGGAAAACCACAGGCAATTGAGCAGCGTCATCGAGTTCTCCAGCGTGTCGTCCCCGGGCTTGATCGGGTGCGGAATCTCCCATTCGAACGGTGTCATCCTGAAAACATTTCCACAACGGTGTGTGCAGACCAACGCGCGGTTCGTGTCCTTCGGGCCGCGTCCCGCCACGCGTTTCGGGCAGCCGTCACGGGTCGTCGGCCGACCAGGGTTTTTATACGTGTCGTAGTACATCGCGTCGTCCAAGCGTTCGACCACGCGGTATCGTGTGCGACAGTGGCGTGGCGAATGGGCCGATCGAGAGGCGGGGCTCGGTTCCTCTCGGTTGCGTTCAGTTTCGTGACAATCACGGGTGTAGGCGAACAACGCGCACGCAAAATTATGTTTTAATATTGTTCGACGTAAGCGGAATCAGTGGCGCAACTACGGGCGTGTTAGAGGGCGCTAAAGCACCCTCGAATTAATTTAAAGCGCCCCCATACTGCGTTCCATCGTGAACTAAAAATACCTAAAGCTTGTGGCATTGTTCCAGATCAAATATCGAACGCATTCGCAACTATTGAAGGAAAATCACGTTTAACACTTTAAATAATAATACAAAAATATGTGTAATATTTCATCATCGTTGTGGTACATCGAATGTAACAATGGTGTAATCTAAACATTGGCAGTACGTAATGTTGTGGGTTCGTAACGTGGCTACCCCAAGATCCGAACTCGGGTTGCGCCACTGAGTGGAAGCTAGTGTCCATGGGCGCCCGTAAAAAAATTATCAGGGGGGGCATAATTAAATCAAACACCAAAAGTATATTAAAAAATGTATTCTTAGCGAACAATAAAATATGTCAGAATTTTATACACTTAAGTCGTTATTAAATAAAAACCAAAGTCTTCGCAGTTGTTCAATTGCAAACCTTGTTCAATTACTGTTCAATTAATTTTTTCCAAGGGATCAAATGCCCGTCTTGCCACCCCCCTTCTGGGCATCCTTGCTAGTGTCCAGCATGGCTATTAGTTGGTGACAATAAGCCGATACATACGTGCTACACATTCAACATGGTGTTTATCGCTGTGGTCTCTTGTGCGTTGTTAGTTATTATGTTTTAGGTACTTGGTTTTGATTTTCATGAGCAGTTATCATTCAGCAGGGTCGTCTCCTTAGCAGGCGGGTTGTAGAACGCCGATGGGTATCGAAAAATAAACTTGCCTCCAAAAGTATTCGAGTTCGTCACGCCACTGACGCGTAACAGGGTGACCGGCGCGATAGTTGTATATATACAATTGTATAGTGACAACACGTGTGTGTGTGTGTATGTGTGTTCAAAATCTATAGGACGTATTTACACGCGGGGTGTTAGTTTCTCTACGGAAATACTAGTGCGTGTACCCGCCGGTGTTATGCGGAAAAATAAAACTCAAATCAAATCAACCCGCGCCTAAATCGACGACTATCAAGCGAAACAATAATATTTATTTACACACGCGTAAACCACGTATATAACAATAATAATAATAATAATAATTATAGTATTGTAAAGTTATTTGTACGAGGCAGCAACAGAGCAGCTCTCAACGACTCGGGAATCGGGTGACAACACGGGGTGGTCATCGTCGTGTAGTTATACATCTGGAGGGGGGGGGTGCGTACGTGTTTGTGCGGGACAGAAAGACCGAGCGCACCCGACGGTAGGACTTCAACCTGTGCCCGTTTCGATTCGATCGTCATGCGCTGAACAAAATCATAGTTTTTGAAACGTTTCGTGCGACGACCATAATGAAGTGGTATTGCGAATGCATAATGCGATTGCACCGCGGTCGTCTGATTGCAATGCGTTCGGTGACGATTGTCAGCCGTTCTGCCCCGTACCACGTTCGTTGGCCCTCCGTGGACTTGAGATCGTCCCGAGGAGAAAGGTCGGGTAGCGCATTGTGTTTTCCGAACGAAACGGTAAACTTCGTTATCCGTTTGCATCACTGTTAAACGTGTACCATACGTCCGTAACGATCGGTTTGTCGATTTGATGACAAATGTAAGATTGACAGATAAATTGATAGGCAGTGCTTAACTTGGCAAAATTAAAGAAGGGGGACTCTGTTTACTTTAAAGAAAAATAGCGTCTCCAAGACTTGTTAAGCGTTATAATTATAACATAGGGGGACGCTAAAATGTTTGAAAATTATTTGAGGTATTCCATGTCCCTGCGTCTCCCCTCAAGTCAAGCACTGTTGATAGGTTTACGGTAATGTTTGGCAACCAATCGATGATTGACAAATCGACGCTTTGGAAGTATCGACTGATAAACAGGTTGACGCGTATTTAGACACGTGTGCGGAGTAATTAAACCAACGCGACAATCTCGCTGTTCTAGAATTTAAAATCTACTCAGTTTGTGCGCATTTAGACGGGTTTCAGCTTTATTTAAAATTAACATTTTTCTTGTGTTTTGATTGTTAAAAATCGTATTCGATTCGGATAAAAAGTTTCTAACGAATTTTATAGAAATTAATGAAAAATATGTGGAAGATTAAGAATGATCATAATAAAAATAAATACTTAAGAAATGTAGGATTAGATGAATTAATTTTCTTTTTCTTTTTGTCTTTTGTTCATCATCATCCAAATCTTCTATGCACGAAAAGAGTCCGATAGTGATTAAAAATTTTTTTTTCCTTTGGTCGACATACTTTACACTTATTACTTAACGATTAGCTATACTTTAAGACGGTCAACGGCACAAAGAAATAACTAAACGTATCACCAAATGTGTGCAGTCCACGACAAATCGAATATCACCAGATATCAAACTTGGCATTCGTCCTAAAATGTATAAGTTGATAAACGAGTCGAAAATTTGGTAGTTCCGTGTATGGTGAACAGTCAGATAAATTAGTCGTTGAACAAATCGACACAAACCGATCGTTACGCGTATGGTACGCTATTTGACCAACGCGTGCCCGATAACCTTTTAGCGCGATCCATGTGGTGATTACGGTGCGCTAGATTTTTCTTCTTCGGGACGATCGACGGTCGGTAGGTGTCACCCAACAACCGTTTCCCGAGAAGTTCAAAGTTGCGCCGACGCGGTACGGATCGGTCGGTCGCGAATCAGATACGTTTACGCTTTTCCGGCAGCGGCAGCGGCGAACGGGACCCTGTTCCGTGACCCCGGAGCACGTGTTCGGTCCGCGCGACCTACCTGGCCAACATGAACAAGAACAGCGAGACGCCCAGGTACGCGGTGGCCGTGTACATCCACACACTGAACGACAACGGGTTCAGGAACCAGAACAGCTGCGGCTTCTTCTTCTCCGGTTTCGCGTACAGTATGCTGATGCCCAGCGTCATGAACGGCGTCGTGAAGTCCACCGCGGTCCGCCGGTCGAACGTGATGGTCAGATCGCAAATGGCCAGATCGGCTCGCTGAAAAGAGTATGGAGAGAAAAGAAAACGGAACAAAAATTAAAATTACGTAAAAAGAACAACGTGATGCGTGATCACGGACACGACGCCACGAGGGTGACGACCACCTAGACACGGGTTTTATCACTCACAAAGGGAGAGGTTAATGAAGGTTCAAGAATTTAGTTTTTTTTTAAATCTAAATACAATTTTAAATTACAGATTATGTTTTTAAGTCCCTCATAAGTAAGTCTTTTTTTTTTAACAATAATGACAAATTATATATTGAATTATATTTGGATTGAATTTAATAATTTTGAGGGGCCCATATAAAATATTTCCACCTCCTGACTCAGTTTAGATATTTTTGCTTCGGATTAACGTTTCGACGTTTAGTTTTTAACATAAATCACGCATGGAATATTATAATACGATGCAAACGGTTAACGTATGCATTTTGATCTTTCTGCTTCATACCACGTCCCGTATGCGTATACTTGTAGCTGAATCGCGAACGTATAGGTGACATAAAAGCTCACCATTGACTGTAGCTCCCCGATCATACCATTCCACTTTCCGGTTTTAAGGTTCTGAGAGCCGTAATCTTCGTTGGTAGTGAACTTGAACTTGAACCCATTGTACTTGGCCATCTCGGCGACCAGTTCGTACGCGAACCCTTCGAAACATTCCTCGTCTTCGTCGATTCCCTTTTCCGTCGCATTGCATTTCATCAAATACGGCTGAACCTGCAGTACATTACATATATTACTGGTTTCGCATAAAACGATATAATTTTATTTAGCACCGCGGGCATTGCAACGTCCAACGGCGTACTCAGCATTTCGAAGGGGCTAACGGGAAAGCGAATACACTTCAGTTAACAGAAAATCGTAATAAATTAATTTTTTACGTTTGATCTGTAAAACGCACGATACGTACTGTATAAAGTTAATATACTGAGAACTAGAAGTCATAATGTTTGATACGGTTTGAGTGTACATGTTAAACCTTTGCTATCGAATTGTTCTGATCAGTTTTTACTATTTTCGTTGCGCCTACGCGGCAATATTACTATCAATGGTTTGTACACGTTGTATGGTAGGTGTGGTTAGATCGGTAAAGCCAAACATGATCGCATCGTTATCAGTCAACTATGCATGTTAAGTTCGGGCAAGTTACTCGGGGATTTTTCTTCGGTTTCGGTAAACTTATCCGCACGCAATAAACAAACAACGTGTAGAGCATGTCCTTGGACTTGAGACGACAAACGCTATGTCACCGGACCGTACATTATGCTCACCAGTTTTCCGACGACGACGAACGTCTTGTTAGTGATCGACTGCGCGATTTCGGAGTATATCTCCGATACTGACCGGGTCAGCGTCATCCCCTCCGACGGGTCCCAGGAGCCCAAACGGTGCTTCTTGCTCTCGTGCACCTTGACCACGTCCACTTTGAAGTAGTTCCTGTTACCCGTCACGCCGTCGAATCGCATTTTCCCGGTCAGTCCGTTCAACTCCATCTGGGATTCATATGAAAAAAAAAATCAATAAAATACTTTAGCCGGAGAAAAAACAACCGATCGAGATCGGCTCGGGACACTAGTGATCATACCACTCTCATGTAGTTGATAAGGCTGTACCCGTGCACCCACGGTTTAATATCATCGCACGAGATCCTCGTCGGGCCCATTGTTTGCGTAGCCACCAAACCGTGAAGCGAAGCGGCGAAAAAGTTGACCGCGTCGTATATCAACGCTGTTTTCGTCTGCGTTTACGAGCAAAAAAAATAAAAAACACAATCATTGAACACAATATTATTATATATTTATACAGCCACGGTGGTTAGGTAAAACCAATACCGTTTAGATTCATTTCAGTTATACCGTAAGCCTTCTAATATATCTGTATTTCTATTAGGTACTTACCGATCATTATACAATAACTAAGTATTATTTTAAGTATATAATTAATTTATTAAAAATTATTAAACATTTCTTATAGTATCAACGTAAATGAAATATAAAATATTAAAAAATCAAAACAAAATAAAATAAAATATAAAAAATTATTCATACATTTTATTATACTTTATTATTTTAAGATTATTAAAACTATTAACCACAAAACAGTTTTGTTTTTATTTTACTTTATATTTTACTTATTAAAATATATTGTTACATATACTCTTATGTTATGATTTTTGGCCGCATACCAGAACCATAGGGCCGTTGTAATATTATACGTAAACAACAGTGTTGGTTTCTAGTGTAGTGGTCTGCAACTTTTAGACTCGTAATTCGCTTTTGGCGTCCGGAATTTTTTTTACGACCCAATTTAGACTTGACGAGCAAAAAATAAAGTTTGCTCTTACAAATGTATGCATAGATACTGGTTGAATAAAAATGTTACGATATTTTTATATAATTTAATTATTATTGCTATTTTTTGAATGTTGAAAGGTAAGTGTACGACCCTACTGTGAAAATCACATTACCTACAAGTTGAAAATCGTGTTCACAATTATTTTAAAAAATCATTGGTACGCGTGTATGCCCTGAAGCATTCGTAATACAAACATAAATTGTTGATTTATTTTAATCAATTATGTATGCATAAACATAAATAGTTGTAATTTTAAAGTTACAACCCAAACCCTTTTCCTGATTCCTGATTCCAACGGGCACTATCGCTGATAGCCTGGTAACTACAATCCTATCTTTTCTGTCAAGTTTCGATTCCCAATACTAAGTGTAAAGCACTCTTAACATTTCTGCACTACATTGCTTGTATTATACCTTTGTATTTTTCGACTATTTTGAATAATAAACAATTTCATTCGTCTTAACCTAATCTCCACGTCTAATTATCTGTGCACAAAAAAAGGATTAATTATTCGCGGTCCGGCACTTGGTGTATGCCTCGAAAAAAATCGATAGGAACATCATTATTTCTAAACAAATGCACTACGGGCGTGCAATCGTCATCGCCGTGTACTTATAGTGTGATATATCATAGTTCTTACTTTCAACGTGTTCGGCGTCAAAACACTGATCCTACCGTTTTTCTGTTCGTTGAACACTATTTCGTCGACGGCGTTTCTGACGTGCTGACTTTCCGGATCGATCAATCGGATTAACGTTATGTTGGCCATCGACTTGTGGAACTCTTCGAAAGTTAACGTGTGAGCATCCTGAAACGATTGAGAGCAGACGTGGTGATGATAAAAAAAGTGCCGGAAATATGGTAATCATTTCTCCACCCGCCTACCAGATTCGTGATGACGAAGCTCTGGTAATCTCCCATGAAATGCACTTCGTCCGCTTGCTCCAGTATGTGCACGATGTGCTCGATCCCGTAGTCCAAAATGATGTGTTTTTCCCCAAACGACTTTAATTCCTTGAACATCGGTCTGCAGATGATTATCGGGTTAGTTTTACTTTTTTAATTTTTTTTTTTTATTGGATTCCGATGGAAGCAATTATTCTTCGAAAAGGTATGGTCGATTTACCGAAAATCTTCCACTGGTGACATCTGAATGATTCTGATCGCTTTTCCTGGTGCCCTTTGCCCGTAATCGAAGTGCATCAACAGGTCTTTGAGTCGGATCAGACTCATCGGGCTCTCGTAGATGACCGTAAACGACTCCCAGTCCATGTCGAGTATAATGTCTCGTATGGCCTGTAACGCGCGCACCCACCATGGTTCAATCAACTGGATTTGGGTTATTGTAAAACATAGCAGTGTTCGAAGTACATTTATTTATCAATGCTATGATTTCAAATCTAAAATTTGAAAGTGCATTTTTTTGCATATTTCATAGATTTTGCAAGAAAGTCCTAATTTTCTCCTTTTATGTGCTTATTTTAACAAATGAAGGGCTTCGGGGAAAAAGTACAAAAAAGTAAAAAAAAAAAAAGAAAGAATCTGATAATTATATTATCTTATCATTTTGTTTAAAAAGTTAAATTTAATTTTTTTTTATTGCTTTTATAAAAAGTTGCTTGTACTACCACAGTAAATATTTTTGAATCATTTCTTACTTTACCCCTTAATTTTATGAGTTCTGAAACTTTATAACTGCATTAGTAAATAGTTTAGGATTATTGACTGTTATCTTTTTTCTCCGTAGCCCTTCAAATCTATATGAATTTCAACCGATTGAAAAAATATTAATGCAATCATATGTACCGGATATACTTATGATTGCATTAATATTTTACGTAAGTTATACTAAATAATAATTATTAACATTAAATGCATATTTTTAGATTTTTGATGTATATTTTAGCGTTTAATATTGTGTTTTTAAGTGCTACAAGTGGCAGTGGCGTATTCAGGATTCATTTAACGGGGGTGTTTCAAAATGTAATAGACTTATGGTAAGTGGGAGGCTCTGCCCCCCTCCTATATTACCGTGTATTTATATAAATTATTATATTAAGACAGCGTAAGTAAAATCGACTATTTTGTATACAACATTTATTCAAATTATACTGTAAGTTTGCAATTTGATGAAATACCATAGAATATGGTCGATGGGGGGGTGTTCTAACACCCATATCACCCTCCCCCCCTAAATATGAATCTGACAAGTGGCGAACCCCGGTAATCGATATCACAGTCGACTGTTGTCGCCGCGGGCTTACTTGCCTTGGACAACAGCGACGGGTCCGGATAGAGATTGACAGCGTACTCGTCGGGTGGCCGGTCGGACGTTTTCCAGTGCGTCTCGATGAACGGTATCTGCGCGCGGCTGCTCATCGACCGGATCACGTTCTCTATTTCTTCGTCGTCCGTGCCGCCGATGAACGCAGCGATGCCCAGCTTCATGGATTCGCAAACTACACGCCGCAGCACATCACGTGCCGAACAAACAAGAAATAATTTAATCTTTTTCGATCACCGATTATGCAGATATTGTCTCGGACAGTATATATATACATACGGTCGGTAAGGAAACGGAACAAGCATATTTTATCGACTGAATTAACGGATAACAGAAGAAAAATTCTCGGGGAAAAAAAAAACATTTACACGGAAAGGAATCAATGGATTGGTCGCGTAAATGGCGGACACAATGAGATATGGTGGAGTTGTTAGATTGACTGCGAAAGTGTGTATAGAAAAAAAAAACCAATAGAGGAAAGCCGATACATTTAATAAATGATTAAGGACCAAGGATGCGTACTAGGAGTTTAAGGGAAAGGAGAGAGTAACAGAGAAGAACGGACAATTGCGGGTAACCAATCGTAAGATTGAGCACGAAAAAAAAAAAATATGGAGAGACTAGAATGGTGGTCTGCGGCGTTACCGAAGCAGTCGAGTTAATATTAATTTTCATTGAACACTCCTGTTGTCATCATACCCATTTAGGAGTTAATTAACTACAATCGGACCTAACGCTTTTTACCGTGATCAACAGATCGGGAAACGATTTCTTTGTGCATTATGTATTCGTTCACATCGTGTCCGATGAATACGCATTACCGGTACTATTATCATCGCGTATAGTATAAAATCTTACCGATACGCGTCACGTTGTACATGTCGTTGACGACGTACTCGGACCTTTGGACGATTTTGTTCTTGGGCAACACCGTGTCCATGATGTTCACGATTCTCGTGCTCACGTTGTACGCCAGCTGATTGACGGAATCGTCGTTCTCGTGGAACAGCGCGACTGCAACGCAAAACATACGAAACACGGTTTTTTATCATATTTCTCTTTGTACGTTTTAGTTTATTTGTTTATTTTCCCCCCCCCCCCCCCCCCCGTATTCTCCTAAACGGTTTTAACGAGCGGCGCGCACTGCGCAGTCAACGCGTTTAGGGCGCGAACTGACCGATTTTCACGACTTTGCTGGCTGGCCCGGGTTGGTTGACCGTCGTCGTCGGTGAGATCTCGTCGTCGCCGGTGACCGCCGCCGCCGCGGTCGCCAGCAGCAGCGTGACGGTTACGAACGTACGGTCGCACGTCATTTCCTCTGCGGCAGTCGGAAGCACACTGAAGTGAAAAATAATCTCTTCCTCCTACACTCCAGCGAAAAAGCCAGGGACACGCGAGGCGATAATTTTAGACGTCCGTCGCCGCGAACGAGTGCACTCGCACACACTTTTATATATACACTTGTACGCACACTTATATATACCATTCATACACATGCTTGTACACACACATACACACACACGCACACACGCACACAAATGCGCACGATTCTATTTCCTATTCATTAGAGATACTCTAAGTTTTGACGGTTCTCGGGCACCGGTCCAACGGTCATGCGCACCGCCGTCGAGTTTCGGATTAAAATAATAGCCGTTCATCGAGTACGTTGTGATCGTTGCGTACATTATTGGCTATCTAAACCGAAGATTATTCACGAAATCGGAAAACGCTTTAATATTATTTTATTCAATAAACACAGCATGCCATAATATTATTATAATTATTCTAGTACATTTATAATGTGGTTGTACGTGAGACCAGTGGCGTACATACGGAGGGGGGGGGTCCCGGGTTCAAAACCCCCCCCAGGGCCAAAAAAGAAAAAGAAGAAAATTGTTTTATTATTGATGACGTGTAATATATTCGTAGTTTCATTATTACGCTTTGAACATAAAATATACAACTATACAAATATTATGATAATTAAATAATTATATTGATAGGTGTTTGAAAAGTTTTGTTAACTATGCTGTTTTTATATTCCAATAGCTATTAATTTACTGTAATGTAAAATTAAACTGTAAATTGGTAAAAAAGTTGTATAAAATAATATATGTTTATAGCAATTATATTTATCTTATTTATCTGTGTAATGAAAAAAAAAAAGATAACGATTATTTTTGTTAAACCCCTCCAGAGCAAGATTGAATGTACGCCACTGCGTGAGACGGTATCGAATGTAAATAAAACGTATCAATTATAGAGATATACTTTCGTTTATCGTTACTATCATCATTGTTAATATAACTAATATTGTCCAATACAATGCACATGTAACAAGACGCTGTTGCTGTTGCACGCTCCAAAAATACAAGATTACAATATTATATCGTTTTATATTTAATTAATTCTTTTTTTTTTTTTTAGCCTTCCGAAGATTGATCATCCGATTTTGTGTGCCGCACTGGTTTGTTCGATTGGTGACATTTCAACACGAATTTCAGCTCCAGCTTGAACGCGTCCCACAGCGACAACTGCAACACGACGGTTGAACGGTATGGATTAATCACTAGCTATTAGTGGCCCACGAATACGTCCATGTACAATCAACGATGGTTAGTCGGATTATTCATTGACCGCATACCACGATAATTTTACCGTTTATCACCAGTGGCTGATTCAACCATTCCAAAATCAGGGAAAATATATATTAAAGATTAATAATTTTATGAATTCAGAAAAAGATTTTTATTTTTTAAAGTATGCGGGAAGGTATATAATTTGTATTTTTATTCATGCAAGAAAATACTAGTCATGGATTTAAATTAATGTATTATATTACTTACTATTATCTCAATTCATTATCAATCACTGACTACAATGTTATAAAAAATATCCCAAGGGAAAATATTTTTCAACTCTCCTTCCCCCCCAAAAAAAAGAAAATTCTGGATCCGTCACTGTTTATCACGATTATATACTTCACACAATATGGTTCACCAATGTGTTGACCGATGAATATCGGTTATAGCTACGTTTTATTAAACAGTCAACTTATAATTGACACATAAACGTAATGAATGGCGGCATTTACTTAAGTATTTCGCTTATATACAAAAATGTGAAATGGTATTGATCACGGTATTTAATATCCGTTGACATTTTTTTTTTTTTTTTTAACTGAAAGAAATATTGCGAAAAAATTCTTATGCCTAATATAAATTCTCTAAGTTGATTGAGTAATTATTTACAACAAATTCAATGGCGGCGATATTTTAACTAAAATAATAACATTGTTTATGTTTCGAAAATCTTTATGATTACAATGTGATTAACTATCACACGAAAAATATGATAACTATTTTTTTAAATTCAATTATCATCGATCTTTCCAGAAACTTTACTTTCGTGTATTTTCATTAAAACATGCATCGACAGTTCAGATTCCTGCTTCACCCGTGTCCAATTTTACGTTGCGTGTTCTCAAAGTAGTTCAGAAAATAATTTATATAATTATGTAACTAATCAAAAAAAGAATTATGTGGTATCCAAGAAGTATCTTAGATTTTTATCTACAAAAATACTATATATACCATTATATTTACCAAAAAGTATTAGAATAGAATAGAAGAATTTTGAATAACTATAAGTACCTGTGTTGAATGTTTTTTAGAGTTTCAAGTAAAAATACAAATTTATTCGATTCATTTATGGTTTAAAAAAAATATTAAGTAACTCGGACGAAGTCGGGTAATTCAGCTAGTATAAAATATATATATGTATATATTTTAAAAATTATTAAATATCCTCCATCAATATTATTAGGTACAGTGATGTGATATAAAAGCTACTACTAACCTCTACAAGAAGGTTTATAAATTTATTATCGTTATCTGATTAAAAATTCAAAGATATCACGTTAAAAATCATATTTTTTTACCGTATGAATTCGAGTTGTCAATATTATATTTATGAGATAAATAAATTTATTAATTATACTTATTCTTGAAATGATTCTTTTTGTCATAGTGATTATGATTTCTGCTCTAATTTTAGCCCTATGTATCACGTTCCGTTCAAAATTTAAAATTCAAATTGACCTGGTCGAGATAATATGTTGTTACCGATAAAAATGAAAAGTTGACAAAACGAAAGATAAAGTATTTTATTTTGTCTAACTTATATTTGCGTTACTTGATAAACATACAGCTCTATTAGAGATCTGCCCTAAGAATATCTCAGATGAAGGATACTGTAATATTCTATATGCTATAAAAGGTAAAGGTTGAAAGAAAATGATAATATCGTTTATATGATAATGATGAATCTAGGACAAAATATCCAAGTCAAAACATCCAAGGTTAAAATATTCAACGAATAAAGTATCCAGGGATAAAATAACCAATGTATAGGACAAAATATCCCAATAAAAAAATAAATAAAATTCTGTATATCTGTACATAATTTTTTTATTTTTTTATTATTTTTTTATTTAGGTACATCGTTCATTTTTAAATCAAAATTAACATTATTTAATATTTTATAACATAGTTATAAAATAATAATAATAAAAATAAAACTATGTTACGTTGTAACACACTACATAAGACTAAATATACGAGTATAATTATTATATAGCACAACATATTATTTTTATTATTATTATTTTATAACTGTATCATACAGTATTATTAGTGTTAAATATTATTAAAATGTGATCTAAAAATGAACAATAATGTATTCAAATAAAAAAAAAAAAAATTATACAGGTATTAATAATACGGATTTTTATAATTTTTTTTTTATTTGGATGTTTTATCCCGATACTGATAATGATATATGATCATAGAGATTTTTCGCTTCCACTTATATGTCACTTTTTTTAATCGTATTTAAGATGATTATACCATCTGTGTAGGATGTTTTATTATTAACCTCCCGGGAGTGCAAAGTACGGCCTATAGACTTTCGCACTCTATACTCTATAACTGGAACTCTGATTTGAGGAGTAAATACGTATAACTGTTTCATATAAATACAACCGAAAAATGATTGATTGCTACGTGATAGTATAAAGCCATATACTCGTAGTACCTATATAGAACATATATAGAATATTGATCATTTTATAAACGATTTAATATTACTTTTTCTTCGACCGCAACTTTCCGAATGTTCCACAAGAATTCCAACAACGAAAATAGGAATCCCAACAGGCATCCAAAAATAAGAATGACAAACATTCCTCCCACTTCACTTACATCCAACTCCGCTGAATTGTCTTTTGGTATCTGAAACGTTAATGTGAACCGTATTTGTCTATGCTTTTATTATTATAGTCTGTACAAAAATTACCGGACACATTTTGTCTTCTGTTACCGACCACCATTTGTCTTTCAATTCCATTAGTTTCCCGGATTCAGAAAGTTTCAACAAAGCCATACTGACTCTCGTTCTGTGTGGAGCATCTGGAAACACGTGACTTTGATATTATAATATCTGTACATTTTATCGTGATTCACGAGTAATAATATTAACGTTAAGGACTCCAATTCGATTTTACTTTGTACTCAGACAAAGTAATTAAAACACTATAAATAAAAAAATAATTTAAAATTATAAAATATTTTTAATAATATCAACATAAAATTTAATCTATATATATATATAAATGGATTTCTGTCTGTTATGCATTCCTAAACAGCTGGACTGATTGCAACGAAATTTGGTACAGAGATATATTAGATAAAAATATCAAATATATATTAGACCTGCGGGCAGAAGATAGGCTAAGATAAAATGGCTCAACTCCGAAAGGTGCTCAAATATTTTGAGGTTTACGATGGAAATTTTTGTTTATAGAGATGGTTGCTATTAGTTTCATTAATAATAATTAGTACGAAAGAAATTATCCCTGAATTTTGTTGTTATTATTTTTTTATTATTTGTTTCCATGACACGTGCATTTCGTTTTTTTTCGTCTTTGCAATGACCATCAACAAAGCACAAGGACAATCGCTATAAGTGCGGAGACTGAATTTGGAAAATCCATGATTCTCACTTGGACAGCTGTATATGGCATGCTCACGCGTCAGAAAACCTTCTGATTAATTTGTGTACCCACCAGAAGGAAGAACAAAAAATATCATGTATTTAAATACACTTCAATAAATATTATTCTACTGAATACTTGGATTATCAGACTTTTCTCGATAAAACGAAAAAAATTACTAGTAAAATTAGTAGTATATTTTTACCGTTATCTATTTATATGTATAAAATATACTGCTAGCATAATCACACGTAACGAATTCAACACACAGTTTGAGACATATAAGAGGTAGGATTTTTAACGAGCTCCAAAGTGCAACGGTTTCAGCTAGTATAGTATATTCCAGACAGGAACTCTTATTTGTATAAGAATTCTTGTCAGGAATATGATTGTGTAATTATTACATGAACAGTTAATATTTACGATTTAAAAATTCATCAACAAGGTTAAAAACGCACTCTATTTTAATTTTATTTGTATTGACGTTATCAGAAAAATTTTAATGATTTTTAATGTACAATTTATATATTTTATAAATCATTTTTTATTATTTTAAGATGATTAACCAAATAAAAAAAGAACCTATTTTTGTGTTCAATTATCATTGTTATAATTATTATTCACATTGTTTTAATAAGCGTTTTGATTATATTTTATTTGTTTCCCAAAAATATTAACGGGTTAGCGAAAATTTAATTAAATCTAAACAATAATATATGTATTCATATAGAACGCAATTGTAACCAGGTTTTTGTTCCGCCTAAAATATTTTACCAGTTAAATAGTGGCAATCAATTTATCCTACCGTCGTACTCGAGTTACCTGGGACTGCGGTATAACAATACTCACTAAAAGGCATTGCGATCCCGTAAGCTTTGTTGTCCAACCACGCGCCTACTTCCGTCAAATCACAATTCCTCTGCACTTCGTATTCAATCGTACTGGACTCCATGAAAAAAGCGTAAGCTTCTCTCTCTTTTTTCACTCGGTCCACACCCTGCTTGTTGTCGAACATCATCACGGTGTCGCCGTACGTTTCCATCACGCTCCACATTTTTTGATAGAGGTTTACGTCGGAGTTCTATAAATCAAGGGAAAGAGGTAAATAAAACAATCAAATAAAATGATCAGAACGCCATTCACGAGTGAATAATCCATTTGCAACACATTTCCCAGCCTAACCTCAAAGAACCCTGCCGTCGACTGGCCCCTCACACATCCGTATTTGATAGCGGATTGTTTGTCCAGGTCCTCGACCCTTTTGATCGCCGACTCCTTTCTACTGGACGTCAGGAACGCGGTCCAGTTAGCCGTGTACGATTGGGTCACGATCAATGCGAAGAACCACCACATGGACGCGCATACTCTCGTCGAAAAAGCTCTGCAGAAATGTGTTCAACGTACAGCACAGAACGAACGCGTGCGTGTCGTTGTTAATGCGTCGTTATATTTACATAGAATTTACCTCGGCAACACTTCACTACCCTGGCACAGTATGGAACCCAACGAAAACCACAAACAATTGATCAACGATAACGAGTTCTCGAGTTCTTCAGGCTCCGTGCTGCACGGATGAGGATTTTGCCATTCGTCGGGTGTGATCCTTGAAGAATAAACAAATGGTTGTAGTTATAAAATCGGTTATGAGAACATCGTGGGGTTATGAAGGACATCGGGTTGTCATCAACGACTCGCTCGTTGACCATTACCGGACGGCGTATATTCGTCAGCTGGTACCGACCTGGCCAGTATGTAAAGGACGACGGACAAACTCAAGTATGCGGTCGCCGTATATATCCACACGTGAAACGATAACGGCTGGGTGAAAGAGAACAAATTGGTCTCCGGTTCTTTCGGTCTACTGAATAAAATGCTGATGCCTGTAATGATAACATATTATCATAATACGATTAGCTGTCGACATGATGATTATTGTGAAAACAATTCGGCTGCTCATATAACAATTTATAATAAATAATCAGAAAAATATATCAACTGGAATTCCATGAGGTTACGTACTGGAACCTATTATTTACTTACTCTGTAGAGCTTATATCCCAACCAATAACTTAATAACCGCTTTGTTTGATGATAACACGGATATTTAACCACACGTAAAGACCAATGATTGTGATTGGTCACTGACAGATTTCAATCAATAACATCTTCAAACGGAAAAGACGTTGAAAAATCAAGATTAACAGTGACAAGTCGGTGCACGTAAATAATACATTATGTAAAACCGTGAGTATTCAAATACCGTTGGACCACACAATAATCCCGTTAAATGTTCAGCTAAATATTTTGGTATGCACCTCGTCTCCCGATTGAATTGGAAACACCATGTTGTCCGTAAATTATACATGCTAATTGGAAGACATTCCACGGTAAACCTGACAAACTAGGGTATAACTATACGTCTTAGTTTTCATTAAGCCGATTTGGGTCTACGGCGTGCAACTGTGGGCTTGTGCCAGCGAATCTAATATCCAAATATCATTCAATGTTCTCAAGATATATTGTCCATCGATCCATTGTCGCAACATACCGGTTCGACTAAATGACGTTATAAACATCGTAACCTTGAAATATCATCCCCTAGGATGAAATATCAAGGGGTTAAAGTTGCGCACGAATGCAATTGTAAACAGCTTCTTGGAAACTCGCTTGGACGTCAGGCGCCTCAAACGCTTGAAGCCCTACGACTTAGTTTAATTAATTTAAACTAAGGAAAAGGGCAATCTCATTGGAGAAACAATACCAAACAATAGTTACATACAATGTGTATTATACTTATTGCTCGTTTACTAATTTGTACTAATCTCGTTGTATTTGTAAAGTACCATCGGTAGTTGAAATAAAGATGCTTAAGGCATTTATGAAAAGGAAAAATAAATAAATATACGAATATGAACAACACGCGTGTTTACCCAAATTCATGAACGGAGTTGTGAAATCCACCGCCGTCCTCCTCTCGTGCGTGATGGTCAGATCGCAAACGGCCAGGTCAGCTCTCTGGAAAATCACGAACAATTTAAATTCACATCGTACCGACAACGACGATCCATCCACGCGCTATACGTTCCCCATACCAGTTCCTGTACTTCGCCGATGAGTCCGTCCCACTTGCCAGTCTTCTTATCTTTTTTACCGTTACCGTCGTTCCTCAGTTTAAACTCGTACGTGATGTTGATCTCCTCCGATATCATCTGTATCAGATCTACCACGTAACCCTCGTACTTGTCGTTGCCCGTGCGATCCTTATGATCCGGTTTCAGCATCATGTATGGTTCCGTCTAGAAACATACAACGACGCATCATTAATATTGATTTTGCGCCCGCGTCGCAAATATTATATTAATACATATTAAGGACAGAAAAACTAAGTTATGATGGACGATAGGCAACTAAACATTCATCACAACTAAAGCCTGTAATTGTATGACAGTAAAGTGTCATTGTATGAACGATTGTTTAAATTTCTGTCATACACTTATCTAATTTCCGTGACACAAGTCTCGTGACAATTCTCGTGCCGGTCTGAACATGACCGAAATAAGCGTCGACAGTGTGATTAACAGTTTGTCTGCTGTTTTGATGAATTAAAACAGTTGATAGTTGACGATTACTGTTTAGTGTTTCTGGTGTTTTTAAAATTATTTCATGTTTATAAGCTTCAAAAGCACAACATCAAGTTAAAAAAAAGAGTGGACTAATGAGAACATCCACAAACTAATTGAAAAACATGAAAATAATCCTAGTCTTTGGAAGTCAATAGATCCAAAATTTAAGGATAAATTTGTGTTAGAACACTTTGACAACTAGCTATATCATTCGAAATTCTAGTGAAAATTCAGCAGAAATTGTACGGTTTACGCAATCAGCGTACAGGTAATATATATATATTTATTTATGTATATCTATTGTTAAAGACAGAAAAACTAAGTTATGATGGATGATAGGCAACCAAACATTCATCACAACTAAGACAACCGACATTGTGATGTGCGTGTGGTGTATGACGGTTGCCTTAGCCTTTCTGCTCGATTATTGGTATACAACTGACGATTTTCGATGCGATAATGAACGTTTTGTTCATGTTCGCGTTCACCAGGTCGTCCAACATTTGATTTCTAGTCCTCGTGTAAGACATTTCGTTCTGTGGATCCCAGACCCCGATTTTCCTGAACCCCGTGTTGGTCAGCTCCACCATTTCCAATGTGAAATAATTTCTGTACCCAGAATCTTGGTCGAATCGTAGTTTGCCCGTAAGGCCATCGGCTTCTATCTAAAAACCAAACGCATTTTATAGTTTTTACGTGAATGCTTTAATGAGCTTAAATGCGATCACTGAGATGCGATTTATTTGGACGAAATTGCGCCGTCTTATTCAACGAAATAGCCGTATCGAAGCGAGTGCACGCGATGTGATTTTAAAAGTATATTAGAAACGTGTCCAAGCGTTTTTAAAATGGAATCGCATAAAAACAAAAACCAAAGGAATCCGTAACACATGATAGTCTTTTAATCCGGTTAAAATAAATCAAAAGGTACAGTCTTATTAAGCTGAACGCACATCGGATCAAATAAACAAATCGATTGGATTTCGAATTAAAAAAATATAACGTTTGCTTTGAGTTCGGTCGGTAAAACGGTTTTGATCGTCATCGAGATTCGGAGCAAAGTCGAGTTCATGTTTATTTTTGCTTCGAAGGCTAAAATAGGATTGCGTACGTTCATTATCGGCGATACCTTTTTAAGCTACACGATTCCTTACGATTTTAGCTGAATTTTAACTACACGATTGCGTACGAATTTTTAAACGTTGATGCACCAATTTTCATACCTGTATTGGTGTATTCTACGTGCCTACATGAACTTAAAATGAGAGAACTTAAAAAAGTTAGCAAATACTTTGTGTCTTATTGCTTTTATTACCTATGGTTATTGTTAATGATACCAAATATATCAGATATAACGAAATTTCGTTATTTCCGTTATATTATGCGGTATTTTTTAAGTTTCAGTAATAGTAGTAGGTTATAAATGTCAAGGAATCCAAATTGAAGCATTTTAAAATAATTTATTAATAATAATTTCATTCAAATAAAAACTGTCGGTTTTATTTATTTATTAATTACGCAATCGTATTGTCAAAAAGGACAAACGTACGCAATCGTGTTCTACCCGCTTCGAAATCGAAATCGTTTTCCCCGACCAAACGTGCCACTGCACTAAACACTTACAACCCTCATGTAGTTGATGAGCCCATATCCGTAAGACCAACTTGCGCTCGACCGGTTGCTGCAGCTGTTCGGTTCGGCTTTGATCGTTTTGGTGCCGCCAATGCCGCGCAACGCTTTTGCGTACACGTTGACCGCATCGAACATCAACAGCGCGTCCACCTGCGGAAATGTTTTTGCGAAATCGTGACCGTTCGTTTGCAGCCCACTGGGGGACGCGGTATTGTGATCATTATTGATTTCGTGTCACATTACACTGTATTATGTATATCATTTAATATTTTCTAACTACAATAACTCCCTCTCTCCAACACAAGCCTAGCTTGGAAGGTTAATCGAATCTGTAATCTGTACTGTCTATTCTGTTGAAAAAAATATAATAAAAAAATAAAGTACCGTAATGGTGTCCGCGTGGAACACTTCCATGTTCAAATTCATCCTCTGCTGGACGAACTCCAGATCTTCCATTATACTCGTCACCGTTGCGCTCGACGGATCGATCAGTTTCACCGCAGTGATGTTGGTACGTTTGTATTGCAAGTGACCGTAGTTGATGGTGTGCGCGTCCTGGGAATCGTGGTGTTATGAACAACTGACGTAACGCGAACGAATAATATGGCATACAAGGATATTGATATCTTATCTACTTACTTGCTTACATTTGGGACATTTATCAGAACGATTGGCTTTAAGTTAAACTTGCGTGGGCTACCCAATGCTACAATGCTGCGAACGAATATGGGATATCCCCACCGAGCAACGGACGGGATTATAACGATTGTTCTTTATTTCTAAACAAATTAATAAAAGGAACTCTCGACTTTCCCGAGATTTTACGATGTTAGGGCAGTGCTTCTCAATCTGGGGGCCACGGCCCCCTAGGAGGCAGTGGTAACATAACTGGGGGGGGGGAGGTGCGTGAAATATTTATTTCATTTAAAACTCTTGAAACGGAATTTTATAAAAACCAACTCATTAAATTTTGGTTAAGACGACAGCAAGAGTATCTTATAATTTCGAAAGCGTCTTTTCTTATGTTAATACCTTTCGCAAATCTTATCGACATATTTTTGTGAAACTGCATTTTCACAACTTCAAATTATAAAAAACAAACATAGATTATACATTTCACAACAGTCTTTACAAGCAAACTTGCATATTTCAGTTCCAAATAACATACCTAACATAAATATGTTATGCAAAAATATGTAAACCACATTAATAATTGTAATTTTTTTTTTTTTTTATTGTTATTATTATTAATAATCTAGTCTTTGTTTAAAACCAACTCAACATTATTACTGAATATATTTGTATTGCTTTATAGTTATTACCAATTATTTTTAGTTGATATATGTTTAAGTTTTATACAATTATAGGATTACATGTATAAATGTGTATAACATCGGTACTCGTTATAGTTAAAACTACACTAAATTGCTACGTGTGGCAGTTAATACTAGAAATAATTATAATCGTAATTTTGTTCTAAAATGCCCTATTCATTAAGTTTTACGTTATAGTTGTGAATTTCTACTAAACTTTTATTTATTTTTTTTATCGAACTTTTATATCAAAACAATTTCTAAATAATTATTAATTATTTTTGTATACTATTGTTACATTAAGTCATGCCTACTGTATTCACTACCGTCTACCCCCTGGGAGGTTACTAAATAATACTGAATATAAATCATTATTCGTTTCATACGGATAAGATTAAATGCTAAATAGTATTATATATGTTCGTTAGTAAAATAAATACTTGCGGTTGATTAATATGATTTTGTAAACATTTAACAATAACTAACATATAAATATGTAAATAGTGTATAGATAAATAGTAAATATCTGAACAGTTAAAACCAAAATAAAGAATTACTTTAATCTTATTGGTATATATATGTGTGTGTGTGTGTGTGTGTGTATACATATAATTTGATTGGATTCATAACATTTTTTAATAAAATATAATTAATAATTATAAAAGTAAATATTGTGGTTTTGTAGTCTCGAAAACCTCATAAACCATTCAAGTAAACTAAAACGTTTTTTACGAGTAGTAGTTCTTCAGTAATAATATTAGTTGATAAATATATTTGGTGGATTACATATAATAATATACTACGGCGTGAAGGATATTATAGAGTGTTTTTACTTTACCAGAGAAGTGATAATAAAACTGTGATAATCGTCCATCAAACCCACGTCCTCGGCTTGTTCCAACACGTTTAATATGGTGTCTTTGTCACAATCCAAAACAATATGGCTTTCTAGCGATTTCTTCACCTCTTTGAGCATGGGTCTGAAAAATTGTATCGTCAGTCCAATGTGGATAATATTAAGCGATATCATTTCTGTGCATAATATTAATTCAAGTGGAAGTAGAGTCACGTTTCAGGACGGTATTATATTCTTGAATAAAAGTGAAATTAAATTATAGGCAAGAAAATCATAAGCACTTTTAAACGAGTTTACATCGTAATGGAGGAGCGAGAAGAGGATTTTCAAAATTCGAAGGGTATATATTAATGATGAAAATTTGATTTTAACCTTTGATTTTGAATGAATTTATGCATTTACATCAGACGTACAAAACTTATAGGATCAACTGGTGAGCTGCACTGATACTAGCATTTAATTTTGCTTGAAAAATTTAAATAATATATAAAATAAAGATATTACCGCGGACCCGATTCGCGTTTGTTTTAAGCGATCAAATATTTCGGCGGGACCCAACTCTCGTTATCCCGTTCGACATACCCGGTTTACGTGAGGGTTTTTTTTCCAATATCCCATCGAGCCCTGAGTGACGCGCGCGGTGTGATTACCGGAAATCGTTGTTTTCCGGCAGCTTGATGATGGCGATGGCTGACTGCGTGGCGTCCGACAGCTTTGTCGACCCGGAGTAGTCCTGGATCAGGTGCTGCAGCCTCAGCAGCCCTTCGTCCCTCTGGTAAAGCAGCGTGAACGACGTCCAGTCCATGTCGCGCACGATGGCCGTGTACCCGCGGCTCAGCACCACCGGGTCCGGGTAGACGTTCACGTAGTAGTTGGGCCGCTGCCTGGGGTTCATTTTCCACTGGGTCTCGATGTGCGGGATCTCCATCGAATCGCATATCGACTGGACGATGGCCGACGCCTCGTACCCCGGAGGACCGAAAATGGCCCCCACGCCCGACTCGATTGAATCGCACACTAAACGCGCGACACACAATTTTTTTTTTTAATTTATTTTATTATTGAATATTAATTATTGTACGCGCAACGGTGTCGATCGCGGAACGTGCGTTTGTTCTCGTTTCCTCCTTTACGCCCCCATCCGCCTATAAGAATCGACTGTCGGCCGTTTTCTGAAAACCGGCATCGCGGTACGAGATTAATTATGAGTATTAGAGGGATTCTTGAACTATAATGTGTTTTCATTTTTATTTTTTATCTTCGCACATTTTTATACACTTAACGCGCGAAGAGACATTCACCGCGAGTGTTTCCATCGTAAATATAGCACCGAAGACCTTTGCAGTACATCAGTTTTGTGGTTTTATTTGTTAAAGAAAAATATATTGGGTTTTTTTTCTCTACCTTAATTCTAATATTTGCTTAACGACGAAGTGCCAACACCAATACACGCCGTGGTGATGACGTATAAATGGGCAAAATCTTGCGGTCTCGAACCCGTACGTTTGTAATTTGTAACGGTTTATAAATATACCTGCAGATACCCGCGTGTCTATTGATAAAGAAAATTGATGGAGTGCATAATTTATTTAAAAAAAAGTAATAAAAAACATACAACTTGGAGCGAGTCCTAACAAAGCCTTGTTACTGACGTCATCTGGTTATCGAAAATCAAACTTACATAAAATCGTAGTTTCGAAAAAACATTATTGCAATACTGCTCAGTTTTTTTACGGTATTTGTATAAGTATATTTAAGGATTCGCTCAAAAATGTACGTTAACATCTCCAATTCCGATATAATTTGCGTTCAAATAGAATATATATATATATACAGTAAAACAGTATTACCAAATATAGAAAAATATGAGATTATAAATTAGACACCTGACTCGTATATTTTGTTTACTTTTAAACGTTCAACAATCAGTTCTCATGTCACACGTGTGTGCTAAACTTTGCAAAACTTATGTTCAAACTTTGCCTGTTTTCCTACAATGACGAAAGCGGTCAACGTGAATTAGTAATCATTCTCAGTGGTGTCACAATAAAGGTTTTGTTGAAGTAGTTCCTTCATCGCTAAATTGGGGTGGATAGAATGTAGCGTGACAGAAAAGTTTAATACATAATTTGCACAATTTACGTAATGTAATAAAACATATAATATTTTGTTTAGACCCACTGATTTTAATATTTAAAAGTTAACTTGGGGTGGGTATTTGATACACGTAACTGCTTCATCGGAAAATAAACTTCGCGTCGCCACTTCTCATTATTGTCATCGATAATGAATAACAATGTATAAATTTTATCGTCACAATAAAGCTTGCGGTATGAGTACCGTCCTGGCAGCGTTTATTACTTTATTCTTACAATCGTTTACCAGCTGCTATCCCAAAACAATCAGTGATATAAAATATCTTCGTAGCTCAATGGTTAAAATAACAATTATTCTAATATTTCAATAAAATAAAATCTGGTTTACATTTGTATAGAAATACGTGTGATTTAAATCTCCATACATTTCATTTGGAAACGGTTTTAGACCGTTGACGTATTTATTATACTATATGCAATAGAAGAATCGATATGAAAAAAAAAATTCGGAACCAGTTTTCACCTGAGGATTTACATGCCCCGACAGCATATTTTGCTAGCGGGTACACTCAGAACTGCCTTTCTACTACTGGGATATACATTCTTATCAAATATTTTATTATTTAAAAATAATCACATACTTCCTTATCAATATTTATGTAAAGACAGTACTTAAGAATATTAATAAACAAATACGTACTGATCCAGTGGCGCAATTTCAGTTTTTTCTAGAGTAAGGTAATCAGCATTTTCTTATTAAACTACCACTCGGCAGCTTATTTTACCGAAATGCTGATTAACGTGGGGGATAGGTACGTCAAACCAGTTAAAAATATAACGATTTGCACTTTGTACATAAGTTCACGTATAGTACACGTCTCATTTTTCTGATTTACAACATGCCAATAGCTTTGTGAAAGACGTATTTATATTTTGATGATGTACTGACTTTGGAATAACAAAGCTCTAGGCTGTGACAAATGCATAAGTTGTCCCTCTCCCCCATCTTCAATAAAATCACTGTAATGAACGAAAATTATTACTATTCTTGTACAACTTATTCCCAATAATTAATTTGCTGTCAACAAACAGTTTTAACAACTTTTTAGGCATTATATTTGTTATCCACGGAAGTTCGAAGTGTTAAATTTATGTCAATTGATGGGCATGAAATTAATTAATTAATTGAGTCTTTAAAATATTTTATAAGCGAAAAACCTTCCTAGTTTAATTAATAGTTCATAAAAAAAAAAGAATGCACTAAAAGTATTATTGAAGTAAAGTAATCGAGGGATTTAAGTAATGAAAACTTGTAGCATGAAATGTTTTCGACACCGTTTTAAATACTTTTTATGTGTTGAATACTTTTGGAGCTTATTTTTGAACGCTTGGAAAACCAAACAAATTAAAAACATAAAAATATGTAATAATGTAATAATAATCATAGATAAGGAAGTGGCCAATGGTAGAAAGGCAGTGCACCCGGATCCCAGAAATACGCACCCTCAGCAGGTCCACAGCAACCCGGAGATCCCCGCGATTTCAAACGAGAATAAACGTAGTTTTGTGTGGGCAGCGCCGGGAAAACAATTGCACATCCAGGCCATGTAAGGCCGTTGTGGCCGGATGCGCGTGCGCCCGGCCACATGGCCCCGGGTGGCTCTCACCTTTCTGACCGGTCCGGTAACCGTCGTTGACGTCGACGATTTCCACTCGGCCCTCGAGTTTGACGTCATCCGACAGGGCCGGGTCCAAGTTCACCTTTTGCACGGCCAGTTCAAAGGCCATCTGTTCCACCGAGCCCTCGGACGGGAACAGGCCCACTGCGCACAGAAAACAAAAATATTCGCGTCATATATTGTTTTCGTAAACGTTTAGACACGGGACGACCAAACAACATTATCTCGCCAGACGCAATAAGCTAACAAAGTGTACACAATGGAATACACGTTTATTTCTGTATTCGTCGTGCAACGGTTGTGTCGATCGGCTTTGAACCGTTACGTACGTGCATAGGCGCATCGTTGTAACGTCCAAAAACAAAAGCAAAAATAATAATAATTACTATGTAACGGTAATCGTAATAGATGATTGTTGAATATGTTTTATACGCGCGTACCGTTCGTCGGTCGATTGACTAACGGTTAGTTGTTTCTCAACCCGGGGGTCGCATATGATTTAAATTTAAATTCAAAAATTAAAAAGTTCCAATAGTAAAATTAATTTATGAAAAAATAAAACCAATAAACATTACCATATTACTTATTACGAGTGTATATTTATATTAAAACAGAAATTGACGGAGTGTTACATCAGCTATGAGAATTAGTTTAACAAAGTAACCAAGAATCGACGAAATAATTTCATATCAACAGTAACAACCAAGCCATAAAGAACCTTAATTTAAAAATAATTATGTTTTTCATGTACATTATCCAGTGTGCAATGTACTCTTAGTATTTATAATTATTATTTTTAAAATCTATAAAAAAAATGTACAACAAGCATAATGGATGTTTTTTTTAGTGCAGTGACTTGAGTGACTCGATGATCGAACCAACCGGTGAGGGCTTCGGCATGAATTAACAACTGTTTAGACGTTTAATTTATAAGGTCTGTGTTAATTATTAATGAAAATGTATACGAGTATGTGAAAAAAAAAACACGTTGAGGTCACTAGAAAATCGAAATCCCAAAAGGGGGTCGCAACGGTAAAAAATAATCGAGAAACACTTGGTCACTAACCGATAGCGATGCGGTCCGCATCTTTCGCGGCGACGCGACAGACCAACGCGGCGAGTAAAGGGACCGCGACGGACGGTCGCAGCAGCAGCGGCAGCATTGTAGTCGTTTTGCCAAGGGTCGACGGGCACTGTGGTCCGCCGGATCGGCACGCGCGGCCTCACGGGCGTCGTTGATCCCGCGCACGTTGCGCACGCGGATTCACTACGCGAAACATCGGCCGGACACGTTCACCGGTAAACCGCTGAAACACTAAATTTAGAACGGGCGCGCGCGCACCAAAACCGTCTCGGGCTGCTGCCTCGGGTCCCCCGTCCGTCGCTGGACCGATTTGTATTATTACTCTACCAGTACTATTAATTTTATCATTTATTATTATTATTATTATTATTATTATTATTATAACCACCGAAGTGACGATCCGGGTGTACGAATTCGTCACTGACTACCACTGCTGCACATGATCTATACTAAATCTTCACCGCCCGTCGCGTTTCGTACCGCTTTTTATTTATTTATTTATTTTTTTTTTTTGTTCGTTCTTTTTACCAGTACGCTAATCTGAAATGTTGGCAGTCGGGTTAAAGGTTAACGAAGTGCGCGTCTGAAAAATAGTAAAAAAATCAACTTTTTATTTTTGCGCGCCAATTAAATATATATAAATAGGTATACTAATAGAAATCAAACGCACTAGACGTACGAAATACGACTGCATTTATGTATTGATTATCATTAAAATATGTGAACAAAAATGCATTTAGTTTCAAAATGCGTATGATTCGTTTAGTAATTGATATGGAACACATACTTGGGGAAAATTAAATTTCTCCTACAATTGCAAAAATATTTTCTCCGAATTCCGCAACATATTTACGAACTCGTATTTTTGACAAGAAACAAATATCATGAAAAACGGACAAGACACAACTAAAATATGTTTCATGAAAATCTACTCATGATTACAACATCATTTTTATCTAGAAGCGATTATATAGCGTACGAAAACAAATATCTTACGGACCATTGGTACATATGGGTAAAACCAACGAACAGTAAGTAAAACGCTTAGATATTTGACTATATTGCATTGAAAAATCGAAAAACACCGAAATATTCAGTACACATAAAAAAATTACAAAATATGCAAGAACAGTGGCGTGCCGAGAAAAAATTTTTTTTGATGCCAATCGCAAAATCTAGTTTACCACCCACCCATCCATATTTAAATTCATCTCATTCAGAACTCATATATCAATATTTCTCTACCTAAATATATACAATAATTATATAATTTACATATTATCATACAACAACAACCCACCCCTTTATAACTTGATGCCTGGGCTTCATTTAGACCTATATTCGGCACGCCACTGTGCAAGAATACGCAAAAAAAAACTGTATTTCGAATCAATTGATTATAATTCAAACCTATCGCTTATCTAATTACTTTTTGCAATGTTAAAAAAAAAACATACAAATGCATACAAATCCGGGCCCTAATAATAACATTGTATTTGATGTAAATGCCAAACGTGCGCACAAAAGCTCGACCGCTGTAACGTTTATTCGGAAAGCCAGCCAAACGGATAATACGGTAATCATACACACACACACACGTACGTGTAAAATTCTAATCGAATTTAAAGACGTTGGTTCGAAGTACTTCCAACTAACAGTAAGGTTGCCAGATTTCGCAAGCACCAAATCTGAACGTACAGAAATCGATATTTTTATTTCTTTTTTATCCGCATGAGGTAAGAAAGATAACGATTAGGATTGTAGGATTGAGAATAGGTACAAGCACCGTTTTTATCCGTCACCGTGTGTTCTCGACAAAACCCATAAATCGACTTAACGAAGTCGACTTCTTCTCCGCTATAAACTTCCATCCGAAACATTGGTCTCGGAACCCGTAGTCTCAGAAAATCCGATTGTTTAAATGATTGTATAATCGGTACTGTTTACACAAACAAAAAATTACAAATTTCGATTAAACAATATACAATAGGCGTATAAAAAAAAAAAGGTCGAGGAAGTAGTATTTTTCACACTTAACCGTGCACGCACGATGTTAAGATAACATTTAATGAAACTTAATTGATTTTTATTCACTTATATTTGTTCGATTTTTTTAAATTTTTTTTTTTTTTAAAAACTAGGCTAACCCACTCTTACCTATTAAACAAAGACCTGGCACCATCATGTGACACATGCCAATGTTCCCTTTCAGTATACGACATATTCCTTGAGTATCCGAATTTTCATTCAGCCAGATCATCGTCAAATATCTCATCACAACATCACCCAAAGAAGCCTTCGGAAACCAACAACATCCACTTCATAAAAACAACAGGGCTCTCTTCATTAATATAACACTTCAACACTTTACCACCAAATAAATTACAATCATAACCTCTTGTAACTCCTTTATTGTAATTCACTGTATTCTTTATTTTTTTTTTTTTTTTTTTTTTGTTTCCACTTTTCATAAACACCATAGGCTAATGAACCTTGTATTTGAAACATTTTAAAATAAAAAATAATAAAAAATAAATAAATAAAAAATTAATAAATAAATAAAACATTAGTTTGTTGAATGATATGATATATTCGCGTACGACTAACGAAAGACGATTTATAATAAACGTTGTACATGATAATACTATAAGATAACACGCTAATATATTGTTAAAACATCTACACAAGCTTATAACTTTTTAGAAACATCTGATGAACTGTCTTCTACGTGTCTCACTGGTTTGGACGTTCCGTGACATTTGAGCACGAACTTCAACTCCACCATGAACGCTTCCAAGAGGGTCAACTGCAATGAAAACATAGGCATTTACTGTACATCGAATATGCATGCTGCAAAATACATTTACACAAAGTATGAATTACATGTTTAGTCGTAGTATACCAATACGAAGAAAACATCGCAGAAATCCTCCTCGACTGCCTAAACCTTGAGATAGTAAAATAACTTGTAATAAACGTATTGACATTCGTTGCTAAAATAATATACGCACAAAATATACGGCACCGCATTTTGCTTGCGTTTTTCTCTGTAAATTTAGTATAAGACCACACAAACTTTGGCCGAGTGGAGTCGTATATTATATTAAATGATTAATGCTTGACCGTATTATAAAAATAGATCACGTAGATCACGAAAAAAAAAATGCTCGACGCAGTACTGACTGGATATGTTTTCTATATAGAATTGTAAATTTATCAGTATGTTTTACATTTGTCCGTGTACATATAAGACTGAATTTTTACATTAATATTATTTTTAATATTATTATTGTAGGAGTAATGTTTTTAAAAACGTGCAAGTCGAATGTAATAGAACAGAGTACATACATATTATTATGTAAAGTACATAAAATGTTTTGTGTTATCAGTGACTTTGTGTAATTAAATTTAAACTAACTTTAATTTAACGATTCATAAATGTACACGCAAACCGTGAAATCATGTTATTAAATTAAATTAAATATTACAATTTAATGATTAAAATTTTTTTTTTGAGACATTCTGTTTTATAGTATAATGAATTATAATTTGTATATGTTCCAATTTACGTTTTTTTTATTTTTATATACACATACTCGTATTATAAATACACTTTTTACAAAATTCTATTATATAAGTATAAATATATACTCGGTTTATTGTACTTAAATCGGGAATTCGTTTTGCTTCACTCACTTAAGAATAAAATAATGTGTAATATAATTTTAAATATGAACGTGACTAATTTTTGAATTTGGATGATATGTTGTTAAAGACCAGTACATTTTTATTGATTTTGTAATTTTAATTGCAATGATAAATCTGTTGATACTATTGGAAAATAATTGGCTTATACGTTTTTACTTTTCGAAAAAAAAATCAATGATTTTGAAAAATGAAATTAGTTAAATATCCAAATAAGTAAAATAAGGCAAATATTGTGTTTTATTTTAGTTTCTAAGCAGAGTAAAAATACGAATAGTTTCTAAGTTGAGATATTTAATAATTAAAGGAAATTTTATTAAAATTATTTATGTGTTATATGTTATTTTTATGTATTAATTGATTTGAAATTAAACACACATTTCAATTCAGACTAAAAGCTGATAACATTTTCCAAAAATTCAAAAAACATGTACAAGCAATCGATTTCATAAAATCTCACAAAATGAAGCATCTGCTTGTTAATATTTTTAAATTTTAAATAGTATGCAATAGATCATTACATGCCGTACTTAGCCTAGCCAAGAAAAACGATTACTCGATTAAAACTAATCGATTAAGATTATAATAACGAAGTTAGTTTTTTTCATTATTGATTGATTTTCTTATAGTGTATGATTGTTAAATTAAATACAATAATTAATTTACATAGTGCACTACAACATAAATTTATTAAGTGGGACGTATGTTTGTTATGTTTTATGTTGAGCTTACAATTTTCATAATTTATGTTAAAGTCGAAAATAAAAAAATAAAATTGACGAATAGCATTTAATTTTAATTGCAAATTATTTGTATGTTTTTAGATTTTATACCATTTAATATATATTAAAATACATACTACACTTACACTTATTATTACACTAGCATGTATTTTAAAAGTTTTAGTAATCTTAAGTTCAATAAAATCCATGCGTGGATATATAACAACTGTATGGGTTACCTTTTCTTCAACAGCCACTTTTCTTATGTTCCATAAAAATTCAAGTATAGAGAACAAGAATGCTATCAGACAGCCAAGTATTAAAATTACAAACATACCACCAACTTCATTAACGTCAAGTTCAGCTGTATCTTTTTTTGAATCCTGTAACGTTAAATTGAAACTTTAAAACTTTAAACAACGATGATTATTTATATTTCATTTTGTAGTACCTATCTAATTAATATAATATATATATATATATATATATATATATATAATTAACAGTCGCTTTTATCAAATAAATTTTAAAAATGATTTATAATTTGAATATACTATGCTACAAAAAGTGTTAAAAAAAATCAAGGTAAAAGAAAAATATATAAATAAAAATAAAAGTATTAATAATAATTTTTTTAATAGATTTCCTAAAATATGTTATAAAATTATAAGTGTTATTATCGTAATTAATCTTTATTATTATAGTTATTTTACTTCCCAGATTTAAAATGTAAGCAAAATACAAATATTAATAATGGTGTATAAATTTCATTATGAAAAAAAAAAAGAAAAAAATTAACCATTCCCGCATAACAGTTGTATACTGACCTTACACTTTTTGTCGTCAGACACTGACCACCATTTGTTCTTTAGTGCCATCAACGCTCCCGATTCTGATAGCTTCAATACCGCCAAATTTACAGCGGTCCTGTGCGGAGCATCTGCAGCAAACACAATTCATTACATTTGATATCAATGATTTCGAAATGATTCGTACTCAACTGAACGGCATAGCGATACCATACGCCTTGTTGTCCAGCCAATATCCCACCTCCGTAAGATCGCAATTCCGTTGCACTTCGTATTCGATAGAACTGGATTCCATAAAAAAAGCATAATGATTTCTTTCTTTTTTCACCCTATCCACCCCTTGCTTGTTGTCCGATACCATTACCGAATCGCCATATGATTCCATGGCACTCCACATTTTCTGGTACAAATTTACATCGGAGTTCTAAAACAAAATCGTTTCAAATTAAAGACATTATCACAAATAAAAACGAAATATAATTAAAAATCCCAACATTTTTGCGAGTATTAGTGAAAAAAGAAAAACTGTTAAAAATAAATCAGGTTAAACTATTATTTTGTACTTAATTTTTAGTATCGCATATTTGTTATGTGTTCTGTAGTAATTAAATTTAAAAATATAAAAGTTTATAATTACTTTATTAGTGAATTTAATTTTCTCATAGTAAATGCAAAAACTATACTTGCTTGAAAAAAACTGGCGGTAGATTGATCAGTGACGCATCCGTATTTGATTCCATCATCGTTTCCTAAGCCTCCTTTTTTGTCGAGATCTTCAACATTTTTTATGGGAGTTTCCATTCGATTCGATGTCAAAAAAGCCGTCCAGTTGGCAGTATAAGATTGAGTCATTATCAGAGCGAAAAACCACCACATAGCAGCGCACAGTCTGGTCGGAAACGCTCTGAGAGTCAAAGAGTAAAACAATTTATATTTGTCATCACTATTCTCTGTATTTCAATCGATATGGTTTTAGAAATATCAATCATTTACCTGGGCAGGATGTCACTACCTTGACAAAGAATAGAGCCCATTGAGAACCATAAGCAGTTAAGCAACGAAAGGGAATTCTCTAATTCTTCCGGATGAGGATTACATGGATGAGGGTTTTGCCATTCGTTAGGTGTGATTCTATAAACAATAGCCAAATGTGTTAGCGGTTAACTTAAAAAATACAATTTTTCGAACATTTACCTGGCCAAGAAAAACAATACTAGAGACAGACCTAAGTAAGCTGTTGCAGTGAATATCCATACTTGGAATGAAAGTGGTTGGGTGAACGAGAAAAGATTGGTTTGCGGATCCTCAGGTTTACTGAACAATATGCTAATGCCTACATAATTAATGTATAAGCTTTTCTATAGGGGATTATAGCACAACACTTACCCAAGTTCATAAAAGGCATTGTAAAATCCACAGCAGACCTTCTTTCGTGTGTAATAGTTAAATCACAAACACCTAAATCCGCTCTCTACGAACACGTCAATGGTTAGTGATAGCTAGTGGGAGTTATCGTAATTAAAATTAAAATTTTACAATTTGAATGAATAAACCTGATTTTATTAAATATATATTGGCAGTATATGGGTTTGAATAAAAAAGAACAATAGGAATTCGGGATTCTATTTTATTTAAAGCGGGGATTTTACAACAATAACTAGATTTATCTAAATTATAACAGCAAGTTTATCTTTTTAGTTTTAACGTACTTACAGATAAATGCTAATATTTCTCATTTAATTAACTGATAGTAAATTTCAGAATAATATACATTAAAAAAATTTAACTAAAAAAAAAAAAAAATCATAATTTAGGAATTTCTGTATAAGGTATTGCAATATAATGTACGCGAGGAAATGCAAATGAATAAAATCGTTGCTTTGGGTAAAAAAAACAAACTAAATCACATTACCATTTCTTGTACTTCACCAATTATCCCGTTCCATTTGTTGGTTTTTTTGTCCCGTTTTCCATTTCCATCACTTCTCAAATTAATTTCATACGTAATATTCATTTCTTCAGCGATCATTGCTATGAGATCCACCACGTATCCTTCATACTTGTCATTGCCAATTAGTTTAGCGTGATCGTCTTTAAGCATCAAGTATGGTTCTGTCTGTTGCAATGAAAAATATTCGACCAATCAGCATACAATGGTAATTGTTATGGAACAGTGGTTTTCAAATATTTTTTAAACAACGCATGCTATATTTTTCGCAATACGAGTATTTTTACGGCACACACACACACACACACACATATATATATATTATATATAAGTTATGAACAGATTTAAAAGGTTTTTATTTAAAAAAATAAACCGACGTTTACACCAACGTGGCAGTAAGTCATCTAGTTTAAAAACCATCGTTATGGAATGTATTAGATTAAGATTTTAACTTACGATCTTCGACGAGACAATAAACGTTTTGTTCTTGCTTCCTACGTATAGATCACGAAGCATCTCTTCGCTGGTCCTCGTATAGGTCATACCTTTTTCCGGATCCCAAACGCCAATTTTTTTAAAACCCGTGTCAACCAGTTCGACCATGTCCAGCGTGAAATACGATCGGTGACCGGTTCTATTGTCGAAACGCATAAGACCGGACAAGCCTTCGGTTTCGATCTGAAAATAAGGCGATCGCGAGATTTTTCTTACAACATTCGGCAATGCGATAAAAAATTAAAATCAAATCGAAAAAATAAATAAACAAATACAATAACTTACGACCCTCATGAAATGTATAAGTTTAAACCCGTTGGACCACGAGACAAATGGTGAGCTCTTGCATTGTAACGGTTCCGCGGTGACTCTGGTCTTACCGAGTCCCTCGAGCGCTTTGGCGTACACGTTCACCGCGTCGTATATCAAAATCGCATTGACGGTCAGCTTGTGGGCTTGCAACGGAGCTATGTTCAAGTTCATTCGTTGCTGTACGAAGTTCAAATCCTTCACGATGTTCTCCACGACCGGGTTCGACGGATCGATCAGCCGCACGGTCGTTATGTTTGTACGTATATTTTGCACGACGCCGCTGAAGTCTACTGTGTGCGCGTCCTTGGATCGGAGGGGAAAAAAATAACGTTATTAAAAACTTCGTTGGTCGATCCGTACGATGGCGAATCGCATTGACGATGCTCACCAACGAGGTAATGATAAAACTGTGATAGTCGTCCAACAAGTTCACTTCTTTCGCTTGTTTGAACACCGTGTATATTAATTCCGCGTCGCAGTCGAGGACGATGTGGCCTTCCAGAGATTTTTTGATGTCTTTCAAAATCGGCCTAAGATTTCAATTACACATGGGAGATCATCTTTGTGCGGTCGCATCATGTTAAAATCGACTCACCTAAAATTATTGCCCTCGGGCAGCTGTATAATGGAGATGGCCGCTACTGATTTGTCGTTCGGTTTCGTTTTGCCTGAGTAGTCTTGAATCAAGTCTTGTAATCTCTGAAGACACTCTGGATGTTGATACAACAACGTGAACGACCTCCAATCCATATCGTGAACAATAGCCGTGTAACCCTGAATGAATAAAAAATAATTGAGACTGCACGGTCGGTAAAGTTACAGGGACGGCTGAATGATACCGTCACATTCATCTTTTATAAGTGAGTATTGGGATGGATCTGTTTAAATATGATATAGACGTAGAATCAAATGTCTTGATAAAATAGGTTTAAATTGATATCCAAGATGTCAACAGCACAAATGTCATTAAAAATTTTTAAAAATTATGATATGTCTATAAGATACTAATAAAAGTACTAAGTTAATGTTTCTAGTAATTACGTTTAATATTTAAAGATTCACAATTAAAAACACTTTAATCCAATAGTTGAAATTCGTTGAAATACGCGATTTTGTCAACATTTTCTTGTTTACACTTGTAAAACTTTTTTGTAACATTTTGGTAAAAAAAATTGTATTAGCTTCAAACGAAATCTTTTGAAAAATCTTATATCCTATTTTCAAGCCTTAAGTATTAAAACTGAAAGTAACGTAAATCAATTACAAAAATGTTGTAGATTTTTGTGATTATTATTGTATTTTGTTAAAATTTACATTCAAACGCAAGTAAATTGTATCAATATTTACGCTTGATTCTTTTTCATTAAACAATAATATGTATGAACATATGAAGAACTTTGTACTAAATTTTAAAGACTTTTTTGACAAACCAAATTGTTTAATTACAAAATTATATCATCTATAGTTAATGGTAATATAAGTATTTTGTGAAAGTTTAATGTCTTTACGATTATTTACGAAAAAAAAAAAAAAAATTCGTCGTTGAATTTCGATGTTTCTATAGTTTTTTGACAGTTTTAACAATTATTAAGAACATTTTTAGGGTCTTCTAAAAATGACCAATTTCAAAGTATTATCTAGACTAGTGGTCACCAACCAGTGGTCCGTGGACCACTGGTGGTCCGCAGGGGCGTCATTTCAACTTTTAAAAGGGTAGGGCATCTGATTAAATTTGCCTACTTCATAATATTTAAAAAATTATGGTCACCTATATATTTAAATACTTAATATTTATGGACGATAGACTACCAATAAAATATTTTTTTGGGAAAAAAACATGTAAAGATTAGAATAATGTCATTATGATAAACAAAGAACATGAAACGTTTCAATTTACCCAATTAAATAATAACATTAAAGATAGTAATTAATTAATTTACTTATCCTATAGGCTATAAGTTACTTATCAATAGGTTTAATGGAATAATAATATAAGTCTAATTAAATAAATACTTATAATTTTATTATTTGTATATTTGATATTTTACAGAACTTATTTATAAAAACATAAAATTGTATAAATAGTGAATAGAAACGATTTTAATAGTTTTTTTTATAGATTTTAAGCTCAATTTTTATGGTATATATATATATCACGAAAACTATTTTATAAATATCACATATATATAAATATATAATATACACCAAAAATAAAGTTTATAAGGTTCGTGCGTATAACGATTGTCATACACCGGGGAGAAGCCAGTGTTTTCCAATGTTTAATAAACCGTGAACGTATATTTAAAAGACAATATTATTCGATTTCTGAGTACAAAATAGTTAATAAAAATTTACTATTTACTGATTTTAGCATTCGATAATCGGTCAAAGAATTATCGACTTTTTAAAATTTCTTAGAGTGGAGCATTTGCCATAGTTTGCCTCCCCTCCCCAAATGACGCCCCAGGTGGACCGCGAGAAAATTTAAGTGGTTCACAGAAAAATTTGAAAGTTAGGTATTTACAGAATCTTTTTGTCATTATTTCCAAAAAAAATAAGACCTTAGATCTGGTATTATGTGAATAATAGATCCATTGCAGCAAACAATGAAAATAACAAGTTAAATATTACCGAAAAAAAATACCTCATCGATTTATTTAACGGTATTTTTGTAAAAAGCTATTCTAAGCTAAAAGTGATCCGTAGAATTTAGAGTATGTATTTAGTGGTCTGTGAGGTCCAAAAGGTTGGCGACTGCTGACCTAGACAACATTTCCTATCAGAAACCTCCCATGCCTTTGATAATCGAAGCAATTGATATATGTATAAAAGAAAAAAAAATACATCACGTAGTAAATTCTATGTTTTCTTCATTTCGCTCAAAATCTAAAAAATTCAAAAATTTTAAGCAAAAGCAAATTGTATTTAAAAGATAAATAAAATACGCGCGTATTGTTGTTATTACTTTTGCTAATAACGTAGGTTCGGGGTAAGGATTGAAATAATAATTGAAATTTTCAACAGGAGTGTTTTCCCAACTTGCTTCTATTCGTGGAACTTCCATAGTTTCACACAACGATTGCACTATATTTGACGATTCCAAGTGAGAGGGACCAAATACTGCACCAATTCCTGACTCCATACTCTCGCATGCTGAAATGTCAAATAATAAAAATCGGTATGAGTTCATTACGAATAAATATCATTAATTCGTTAGTATCCATACAGCATTTATCAAACATAACGATCGAAACAATATTTATGTATGATTGGAATAAAAATATTTAAAATAAAAGCCTTGTACAACATTGAATATATATTTTTGATTTTTCATGTTGAACCGGAAACATGTAATAAGAATTTATTAACATTTGAAAGCAAATAATGAAAAATGAACGAAAATTTAACATCGTATAAATGCCTAATGCTCGATTCGATGTTTATAAATGTATATCACCCAATATGGATGTTGGACATCTATCAAATATTTTAATTATTTTTAAATGTTTATTAAACAGATTAAATATATATATATATATATATGCTGTGTGTGGTACGTAAATGTTTTCTTTTTTTTTTCATTTGTCATAAATACTAATGAGTTGAAATCCATTTACAATGCTATCATCGTTTCGGTGAAAATCTAACACTATAACAGATAGCACGGTGGTAAACACGGCATTGCCAACGAGTATTTCAACATCTCGAAATGCGCTTACTTTGCAGGCCAGTTATGTACGAATCCGCCGAGTCGACAATTTTGATTTCGGCTTTCAAAAATACATTGGAAAAATTCGGGTCTATGTTCACCTTCTGGACGGCCAATTCGAATATCTGTTGCTCGACAGTGTTCTCCTCGTCGAACAGGCCAACTGCGCGCGCGTTCAACGTACGGGTAAAACAGACGACTGTTATTCGCAAATAACAATAAACGCGCACGGACCGACTTACCTATGGTTAGTGGCACGTTGTCCTCGTCTTGCCCGACAACGCGGCACAGGAACATCGACACGACGAACGCATGCGAAACAAACATGTTACACGCGACCGAAGCGAAACGAATGTGCCCACTCGAAACCAATATCGCTCCGGGTTCGTCCGGTATCTTGAGTATTTAAATTTAGAAATATTCCGTCTGGACCTCGGCCAGACTTCGCCAGCGCTAATCAACTGTCGTAACACCATAAACACCGTAACGTGACCATTTATAAGAAAACCATTCAGCCCTACTCGCGATTTCGTGTAAACAAAAACGGTTCGTGATAACAATTTTTCGTACGACAAATCGGTAAAATCGAAGTACCCGTACGACGTGATAATTCGGTTAATGGTTGATCGTACGAATTTATGAATCAGTGGCGGATCCGCGGGGGGGGGAAGGTTTTAAACCCAAAATATGATGGATAGTATATAATTTGTTAGTATGTAATTTATCCGAACTAATTGGGACCGCACCTGGATCGGATATTGGAAATTGTTTTAATAATATTCAATGTTATCCCAGATGGTTCACATCGGTGCCAGACAATCAGCAGCGTCATCATCATAATTTAATTTCAGGATTTCCATTTTTCGTTCCATCGAATTGTAAATACTCGACGCTTGTAATACGTATATTTGTGCACACGGTAGAAAACCGAACTAGACTGACAGGTTGAGCATAAAGACGTCGTTTACTAAATCCATCGCATCTCGATTGTTTACAAAACATTCATACGCACACACACGCCTATATTCAGGGGGGGACGGGTAGGCATGCCCGGGGGCGTCGTCTTAGGGGTGACAAAATATTTTAGCAAAATTAATTCTAAAAATGATTTACATAATGAAAAAAAATAAAAAATAGTATGTTTTATTATATTATAATTTGTAAATTAAAAAAAAATTGTATTTTTATAATATAAAAATTTGTTAATTAAAAAAAAAAGAAATTATGTTTTATTATGTTATAATTTGTTAGTTAAAAAAAGTATTAAACGATTTTCATTTATAAGTTATATATTAATATTAAAGAATCTCGATTATAGAGGAAATAATAAGTGTTATATTATTATTATTTATTTTTGTTGGGGGAGGGGGCATAAATTATATGCCCGGGGGCCAAATTTTTAAATATGGGCCTGCGCACACACACGTAATGCGTTAGTAATAAATTAAGATGGAATCGGTGAACCGGCCGATAATTTCGACGTTCGAATACTAGAGAATTCGCATTACGGAGGTTCTACATGCTTAATACGACACAGTAAAGAACAAAACAAAACGATTCAGTGGCGGTTCTGGTAGTATTTTGCAACATAATGTATCACCCCCCTCTCCATACAAAATTAGAATTCACAATAAATGTAATTTAAAAACAAAAATAATTATAATTGTATGAATGCTAATAATATACTTGTTTCGTATAGTAAGTGATAGATAGGTAATAAACAGAGCATTTTAAAATTTGGTGGTCCTGAAAAGGACCTTTTGAGTAGGTATGCCTAGTCCTGAAAATGACTTTTTAAGTTGGTATGCCTAGTCCTGAATAGGACTTTTTAAGTAGGTATGCCTAGTCCTGAAAAGGACTTTTCAAGTAGGTATGCCTAGTCCTGAAAAGGACTTTTCAAGTAGGTATGTCTAGTCCTGAAAAGGACTTTTAAGTATGTCTAGTTCTAAAACTATTAATTAACTAAATTAAACTATTATGTTTTGTATGTTAAATTTATACTCCTATCTTTTTGACTAGAATACATGGTTATAATATCATCATAAAATGATTCAGTTTTTTTAAGTTGATTAATCAAGGACTTTTCAATTGATAATATTGAAAGAGAACTTAAACGAACTTGTGAAATACTATTTCGAGAACAGGTTTTAATTCTTTTGAGGCAAGAGAAACTTCTTTCATTTGATACACTAGTAGATGGTATGGTTAAAATAAGAATAAATAATTTATAAGCTTCAGGTAAAATGTCTTTCAATGCATCTTGTTCAATAATTTTAACCATGTCATAAATGTGTAATAAATTTTGATATTTTACATCACTATACAAAACCTCCAATTCAACTTTTAATGTATTAATATTATAAAATATATTAGGATAAGTTGATTTCAAATTATTTAAAGCATTTACAGGAAATGTACAAGAATATTCTTTAAATTTAGTTACATCAGCTAACTGCAAAAAAATTAATTTATTTGTATCTTGAAATCTGGTATTTAATTGCATTAGAATATTATCAATTATTTCATAAAACAATATTTTAAAATTTGATTGATTGTTAGATTCATTTCTTGTAGCTTTTGGAGGTTTTGTAAGAGTAACTGCTTGATTAAATAATTTTAAAAATTCAGGTTCATTTCTTTTTTTATTTATAAGATCATATGTTATATTTATTTTTCTCAAGCAAAATTCTACATCAAATGATTTATTTTGGAGTATGTTAAATAAATTGTCAGTATATATGAATATATCACTAAATATCAGTGCTAAGAAAGCAAATTCAAAAGTTTTTAAATTTTTAAAATGACCAATAGCACCACAAATAGATTCAGATGACGATTTTGGATCTTTGCTAATACAGTCAAAAACATTTATAAACCCAGACCACTCATTAACTATTGTTTGTAAAATTTTTGACCGTGAGGACCATCTTGTTTGAACAAATTGAGGAATTCTTTTCCCTACAATAGTATCTACAAAATTAGTACGTGAAGTGGAATTGTGAAAATAAGCAGCGATACCTGTAAGGTTAGCAAAAAATATACGACATTTAGCATTTATACTACAACCATGTTGCAATACCAAATTTAATCTGTGAGCTAGGCAGTGTGTAAATAAAGCATTAGGTGCAACTTCCTTAACTCTAGCCTGTAAACCTGTTAAATGCCCAGGCATTACACATGCCCCATCATAACATTGTCCAACTAATTTATTTTCTATATCAAACTCGTGTAAAACAGAATTAACCAAATTAAATAAACCTTGAGCCGTGCGGTCTTCACTAACATTATGAAAACCCAAGAAACGCTCAACCAATTCAGATTTATCTGTAACATATCTAATTATTATTGAACATTGTGTTTTTTGACTGATATCTGTAGTGTCATCAATTTGAATGGAATAAAATTTACATTGTTTGATTTCATTTTTTATTTGATTTATTAAAAATTCAGAAATACATGAAATTAAATCATTTTGTATGGACTTGGACATACCTGAAAATATGTTTTTTATACTATTATAATGATTTTGTATTTCTTGAGAACACCTAATAATATGCATATCAAACAACTCTCTAAAATTCCCTTTATTTAATGAATCACTGCTTTCATCATGACCTCTAAATGCCAACTCTTGTTTTCCCAAAAATAAAACCAAATCGATTAAATGCTCCATAAATAAACGATTTAATCTCACATTCTCATTATAATTTTTTTTAAACAAATTACCATGTTCATTAACATAATCTAGTATAGTAAAATAATTTTTTTCGAGGTTTTTTAATCCTAAATGATTATGAATATGTTCTTTTGATGTTTGATGAATTTGTATACCTCTAGATAAATTTTTCAAATCATAATACCCAACAGTATTCCATACAGACTTCATTTTACCCAACAACAAACATGGCCAACAAAACAATTTTTGTATATAATGACTCCCACATAACCAAGAGTGCTGTTGATATAAATTTGGATTAAATGACCTACAGAATACCTTACTTAGTTTCTTGTCAGGAGCCAAAGCTGACAAAATCGGAATAGGCTTACCCACTTTTAGTAAATCATTTTTATTATCAGAATTCCATCGTCGAAACGGCGTCTCCAACAACATAACTACCACGTCTGTCACTGGATACGTCATAACTCCAACAGTAATTAATTTAATAATGTTTATTATAATAAACTGCAGCACTCGCACATATATTTTAACGCAGACGTTAAGACGAAACCACCGAAAACGGAAAAAGTATAAGACACAAGCGAATATTCGTACAAGACGTCAAGACAGAAATGACTAATGAATAAATAATGATAAATATAAAATTATTATCAATAGATATTACAACGGACAACGGTTTAATTAGGACTGTCCCGAATCTCGATTGTAACAATAACATCTTTACTGATAATGTGTTTTTACGTTGAAATGCCGGCTGACTATATATTCCTGTATACCGAGTCTATTTTTATTTCATAGGCGATGTAAGTCGAGCCTCACAATGATCATTACGCATGCGCAACTCTAGTTATTTTATAGTCGCGTGCATTCGCGTACATACGCTTGTGTGTGTAATTCATGTACACAATAGTACATACTCTGAGGCGGAGTTGAACGGTGCCTTCTGACGTCATCGGAACATTGCCGCCGGTTGAAACACCAGCGTTTGTTTACGTAATACTTATATTTTCATTCATTTCTTATCGGTTTATCACTATTTTTGGTAATAAACACTAATGATATGATTTACCATTATTTTACAATATAATAAATGATAATTCATATTGTTAAACTTGGCAAAGAAGATTTTTTTCTCAAATAAAATCATAAAAACGTTAAAAATTAATATCGAAATATTTATATGCTATCGGTGGGCCAAAATATATACTTTAATAGTATTTTTTACTTAAAATTGTAGGTTAGGCGGCGCCTCACTTGCCTCACCCCCAAAACCGCCACTGAAACGATTCCTAGCCATGTGTTCGGTAGGATTTATATCTCACGCAGGTAATGTTTTCGTCATCCGGCGTCATACGACGATTTTCGGATATGACATACCCTAATTTTAGGTCCCTCGAAGATCGTTAAAAGCAGATTTTACCGTATTTGCGATTTGCGCTTATCTCTAGACATAAATATATGTTATCTTAAGCCGCATTCACACTAGAGCTCGCACAGACTGAGCATATGTGCTCATGTTGTGCGTTCTACAAATTTGCTTAGTGAGAACGGTATATCAAGCACGCACGAGAGTTTTTGATGCACAGCGAACGCGAGCCGGCACGACCAAGCCGCGTTCGTTGTGCGTCGTGCTAATCATCATATTTACTGCTCAGTATGGACGGCAGTATGCTCAGTATTGTTGCAACCGCGCGCGCAATTATACGATTTTAGTGTATAATTATTTAATAATCATTATTATTAATTTTCGTTTAAATGGAATGGAATGGAGTGATGAATTGTGTCTAGATTTCATTCAACATTAACAACAACATCCAGTGCTATGGGACCCGAAAAATAATTATTATTTTTCTAAAACAAAAAAAAAAAAAAAAGGCGTGGAAAATTATCTCAAAAAATTTAAGTAGGGAAGTCGAAGATATTTAAAAAAAAAAAAGTCCTAAGTTTGTTGGGTTCTTTTCGGCGTGAAAAAGTCACTCGAGTGACAATAAAAATTAAATAATTAATTATTAAAGTTTAAATTTCAAAAACAATATATGAAACACAACATACACTGTATACGTTCACCACACAACTGAATATCCGAAGCGCAGATTTATCGCATATAATCTTGTGCGTGGTAACGTCCATACTGAGCACATACAACATACAACGTGAGCACACATGCTCGGTCTATGCGTGCTCTAGTGTGTACGCGGCTTTGGAGGCAACGTAATCACCAGGGCTAGGATTTATATGCAACAGCATGTTTTTTTTTTTATGACTTCTGATTATTGATTTTGTCAGTAATGTCCACGAATCAACTCATGATGAGATACATGTTGGTATTTTTATTTTGCATGTTTTTGCATATTTTAGATAAAATGCATATTATTGCACGTATTGAAGAAAATGAATATTATTGCATATTTCGTTTATAAGAATGCGAAAAATTGATATTTTTTAGTATATTTTGTAATTAATATTTATAATGTAATATTAATATTTCGTATTTAATTCTAGACCTGCTGATTTAAGTATAAAACTTGGTTCTTTTTGTCAAACATAAAATTTATTTTAAATTATTTTTGTTTTATTTTATTTTCCAATTATATTATATTAAGTTACATTTTTAAAAATGTATACTTTGCTTTGTAATTGGTAAGTTAATCAATTATTTTCTTATATTTATAGTTAATGAATAAACGATATAACTTTTCAAGATAGGTATATGAATAAATTACATTTATAAATTTCATAAATAATTATGTTGTACGTAAATACATAACGTTGCTCATAGGCAACAAACTATAACATTGGTTTTTTAGAGACTTAAAATACCAAACATTTTTTTAAGTAATTTCCCCTTCATTAGGACTAATATAACAACCCAAAAAAATTAAAAAATAAAAAATAAAAAAATTATGCATTGTAGGGTTAAGAAAAAAATCCAACCACTGATGTATTTCAATAAACATATATTTTTTTTAACTATTTTTTTGTGTTTATCTTATAAAAATCTAAATGCATATTTTTGCATATTATGGTAAATAAAATGCATATTTTACAATTTTTTATTGCATACAAATCCTAGCCCTAGTAATCACTATTTATTATAACAGTAGTGCCCAATCCGCGGTCCGCGGGCCACATGTGGCCCGCAAAGATATTCTATGTGGCCCGTTACGAATTTTCTAAAATAAAAAAAAAATTTAAAATGTATGAACATTTTTTGATTCATAATGTCATTTGATATTAAATTCTTTAAAAACTGAAACCGTTTCACGACACACAAGACAAACGGCTTTTCCATTAATTTCAATGAAAAAGTAATTTATAGACCATTAAAAATTCAGCAATCATCAATATATTTGCGTTTTTTTTTCTGTCTGCCATTTTCATACGCAAACTTTAAAATTAAATATCGTGGTACCTAACCGTACCTACCTAACCGTGTACTTATAATAACGTAATGATCAAACTAATGTATACCTACGATGTGTACCTTAATTCATAATCTTTTCAATAGACAATAAAAGATAAAAAGTCCAATATATAAGATTATTTTTGTACTTTTATACTTTGTGGCCCGCTTGAAGATAATTGTTTACCAAAGTGGCCCGTCAAACGAAAAAGGTTGGACATCACTGTATTATAAAATAGATATCTAAATATTTATTAATTTTTACGCCGGTATTCCTACTTTACCGACGTTTTGGTTTAATGAAATCGATAGTAAATATTTAACGTAAATTGATCCGCTTTGTTGTGAATAAGAATGTATGAATGAAACACTGCAATATTACCAGTGGCGCATTTAAAATATAAGCGCTCCGGGACGAAATTATTTAATTGCCCCTACCAGTGGCGTACATTCAATCTTACAACTTTTTTACCAATTTACAGTTTACTTTTATATTACAGTAAATTAATAGTTATTGAAATATAAAAACAGCATAGTTAACAAGACTTTTCAAACACCTATCAATATAACTATTTAATTATCATAATATTTGTATAGTTGTATATTTTAAGTTCAAAGCGTAATAATAAATATTACACGTCATCAATAATAAAACAATTTTCTTTTTTTTTTTGACCCTGGGGGGAGGGTTGAACCCGGATCCGTATGCCACTGGTCCCTACTCTTTTCACCCATAATTAAGTATTGAAAAATATGCCCCTCACTTGTTTGGAATAACATACTAAAATGTATATCCTATGGTTTAACAGTGTACAATTTCAATTTTTCTTGTTCAATTAAAAAACTATACTAAATAATGACATAAGTAAATTTTATTACAGTTTAATTACAATTTTTTTTTTGCTTACGCGGGTAGATAGGTACCATGAAAACCACGAAAAATAAGTATAGATACCTTACACCTTACATCTCAGATAAAAATGTACCTTGAACTTTTATAATTCGTTTTATACGTCATCAGTCGTATTCAAATCACATTCAACTTAAAATGATTTGATACGATAATCCGTAATCGGAAAATCATTGATTAATCAAAAAGTGTTAAGCGTCAATCAATGTTATACATTTTGTGATAAAAAAAAAAAACTGCCACCTCTAAAATTGTTAAAATTTTGCGGCCGGGGAAATTCGTTCACCCTAAATGCGCCACTAGATGTAACACCATCCAGAAGTAGTTGACTGATCAATTAATTGATTGTTTGAATTCAATTATGTAAATTTTTCAATGAAATTAACTTGTGCTTAAGATATTATGAAATATTAATAATATATGGATACTAACTTTAAAAAAATAAGTATAAATAATAAAAAATGGTCATAACTATATTTACACAAAATAATTAACAATATAAGATGAATGAAGAATTTTTTTTTGTTTCACGTTTTTTTGAAATAATTTAACACATCCTGCATCAAAAAGATAGATTCCTTGATATCTGCTTTTGTTTTGAGACCTGAAATTAATGATATTTGATTAATATTAATTATTAAATAGTATTATAAAAGGAGGAGTACAGTTTTACATTCTCCAAGACATTTTTTATGATTTAATACCAGTAAATATCCCAAAAGTGTAGTACAAATGATTAAAACTAACCTAACGAATTTAGATTAACAAAATTATTAATGGATTTTGACAAAATTATGAGATCTGCAAAAGAGAATAAAAGTAAAATATTTTTAGAAACTTTATAATGACAGTTTATTTTTTTTAACATATAATTTTTAAGGTAATAGTTTTTAACAAGCAATTGTTTTATAAAAACAAATTAAACGATTAAAATTTTTGCAAAGAATCATGTTGAAAAATATAAATAAATTATCATTATATAAAATAGGTACATAAATTAATTATTATAAGTTGGTTTCTTTTAAATTTATTAAAATTATAATTATAAAATAAAACTGACCTAGAGGCTGATGAAGCAATGAGCAATATGTACAACATATTCATGTACATTACATATTTTTTAGTGACCTATAAACTTCAGCTGCAATTAGTTTTATAATATGTTACAAAACAACAAGAATAAAAGATAACAAAGAACATAATTTTTTTTATTTAGTCATAGTATAAAATTAACAATCTAAAGTTAGTTTGACATATTATTTTTTCTTAAATGGTTCATAGGTTAGTAAATTTAAAATTTTTAATCTTATTCTTTGCAGTACTTGATCCAAGCGTAATATTGGGATTTTCTTAGACTCTTATTTCGATTAATAATAAGTTTAATTGCTGACCTAACATTAATAAGACTTTGCAGTTTTGAGTTCCTTCCTTGATATTTATGTTTTAGTCTTATTTTAAGTCAAAGTTAACATAAGTCTACATTAGGTTGAAGTTTAACATTGATTATATTATTTTTTTAAGATCTGGTGGTATTCCTCTATTTATAAAAACTTATTTATTTTTCTATTTTATTTTATTAGTTTTATACAGTACACAATTGATTGTTAGTAATTTTTTATAAAAAAAGGTTTATGTTATTGGTCATTAATTTTATTTGTTATATTTCTGTGTTTTTTTGAGTAAATTTGACCTGCTTCACATCAGCAGATTTGTTTTAATAACGGCATATGTGGTAATCAAATGAGCTGTCAACTTAAAGATTGCCTAACGGCGTTCCTAGGTTGTAGTTGAGTTAAAGAAAGAAAAATTGTAACCAAACAAGTGATGTATGTTGTTTTTCCCTGGTTGTGGTTTCATCTAGTTTAATTTATATTTTAATATAATTATAAATACAATAATTAATTTACTTTCATTTTCGACATTTGGCTGTAAAATAAATTGTTTATATAAATATATTAACTTTTAAAAGATACTATGTACTAATTCAATTTTTGATCTAACATGGTTAATGGAGTTTTTTTTTTTATATATCTAGCATAAGTTATAAAAGAAGATATGTTCAAGTCTTAAATGTGTTCTTTAAATATTCATTTTAATACTATTTATAGTTGAAAATTACCTGTCAATACTACTTTTCCATTTACAAATATTAAAAATACTGCACGGGGTTTTACCATACGATAAATTAAAGCAGGAAATACTTCAGGTTCAAAACTAAAAAAAAAAAAAAATTAAAAATTAATAATTAAAAAAATATTGTTTCACTAAGGATTAACATATCACATTTTTACAAATAAAATCTATAATTTTAAAATTAGCTGTGCTATAAACTTTAAAAAAATTTTAATTAATTTTATTTATATTATACAATTTAATTCTTAGTTCAAAATTAGATTTAATAATTATTAGCCTTAACAATAAATAATTAATAATTAAAAATGACTTAGTGTTAACATATATTTGCATTTATTCTAAAACATAAAATATTTTATTATTTAAAAAAAAAAAAATACCTGTACAAATTAAGTTTTATTGAATTATATAATTGACCTTTCTATATATCTTTTAAATAATTTTATATAAATAGACAAATAATGAAATTAATTAATTATGTTGGATTTATTGAAGAACAATTATAATTGATTACAGTCAAAATATAGTTAATTTACTTTGGAATTGTAACTATTTTTTTTTATTTTAGAGGCATAAGTTCTATTTTACTATTTAAATTTGAGAAATTGGGTAACCTTATTTTTTTCTTCTTAAAAATATGGTCGTCTTTGTATTATTATAAACATATGAAATTTAAATTAAGTCAAACCTTATATTAACATTTATAAATGGTTAAAAAAAATTACAAAGGAAACACATCTGGTAAGGGTTTAAAAAGGTACCTGGTAAATTGTGAATGAGCAGTATTCAATTCTTCCAACATAATAGGAAAACCAACATCCCATGTGCACACGATATTATGAACAGCATAATCACCAAATTTCACCTAAATAACCATCTGGTAATGAATAATTTTCTATAATAATTAATTAAAACGGTTTTTAGATAGTACAACACTAACATTGTGTCCAAGCCGTTCTAAAATTTTGGCAACTTTTCGACAACCTAAATTTCCAGTTCGGTCATCTTTAGCGCCTTGCATGATCATCTTGCCCGATGGAAATAACAGACTGGTGACATTAGGCGTACGAAGACGCATTATCAATCCATTGAATCGTTGTGGATTATACTCAGAGTTACTAGTCCACATTACGATTCTTACCAAATCTAAGGGACAGCCCATATTTGCACCACATACAATGTTTCTAAAAAATTACATGATATTTGTAAATGTATAACAGCATTAATTAATTTTATTTATACAATATAACTCACTGAACTTGAATTATTTGACCACCTTTGTTACATCGAATGAATTGAGGAACATGCATAACAATAGTTTTATGAGGATTTTCAACTTGATCTTCATGGGTTATTTTTTGTTTTTTTTTTAATGGTTCAAAACTATCATCATCTAGCCCATCAAAAAAATGTTTTTTTTCCAACTCTCCAATAACTTCTGAAGTTAAAACCACTTCATCAGCTTCATCTAATTTTCTTTCAATTGCAGCATCTGATGGTATTTCATTTTCAGGTTTTTCTGCATTTTCTATTTTATTATTAATAGGACCTAAGATAACTTCTTCTTGAGCCCCATTATCTATTACTTTGCCAAGTACTTCTTCTTGGACACTACCTAATGCTTCTTCTTCACCGGCGGTTTGTTCTCCATACTCTTCATACTCGTTATTTTTATCATAAAGAGTTTTCTTGAGCATGGTATGTAAACTTTGTTCGCCCACATCACTCTGATCAGAATCATAAAAATCTTCATCATCACTGCAATCCATTATTAAAGTCTATTCTGAAATAAATTATAATAAATACAATTATATACTTCAGTACAGTTATAAAATCGATGAAAAAAAAGAATAAGCCACAACAATGTGTAAGTAAAGATTTTCTTTATGTAGACTTTATTTTACTTAATCCACATGATGAATTAAAATCTAGCAACCATTAACAAATTTAATTTTATAGCTTATCAAACAATTGAATATTGAAATGAATAAGTAACATTTAACATTTAGAACTGAATATAATAATTTATTATTATAATTAAATAAATAAATAGAATAAGAAGTTAGAAAAATATAAATAAACTTCTAAATAATGTCTATCTTCAAAGAAAGTTGGAGAATAGAAAACTATATTTGATATTCTAGTATTATTATTATTGTTGTTATTTATTTATTTATCAGTAACATGAATATTAGGCCCTACTGAGATTCTCGCGTGGGGGCCTGAGAGTCTAATCTATTACTTAAACATGTAGATCTTAATATAAATTGATCTATAATTTGTACAATCAGAAAATTAAACTAACAACTAATTGAAATATATAAACTTTAAACAATATTATACAGTACTTAAAAACTAACAGCTACTGACATCTATAACTTATGTATATAATCAAAATTGGATTAATACTACTATATTATATTTAATTTCATTAGGAAAAGAAGACCTGTGAAATCAGTACTTATTAGCCAATGTGTTATATCGCTATTAAAATGATTGAATTTAATGTGTTTTCCAGTAACATGTTTGCAATTTTAGATTCTATGGTTTCAAGTTGCAACTCAGTACCTAATAATTTTATTGTTTTGATTTCAGACAATATTTTTTTTGCATGGTCTGGTTAAGAAGTTAATGTTTTTTTTTAGATAAATTACCAAAATTATTGACATTATCAGAACACATTATTATAGTTATACTTTATTAATTTTAATAATTCAAATATTGTTGTGTTGAAAGGTATAAGATATTAAATTTATAATAATCTAGAATATAGAATACCATATTGCATGTTTTTCAAAGTTTAAATTTTGATACTACATAATACTAATATAGCAATAATTAATCTATACAACATAATTTAAAAACAAAAAAAATTATACACTATTTAAAATATCATAATTAATTATAGGGTTCTACATTTCTATATTTTTGTTAAATTTTTATAATTTAAACCATACAATTATTAGATAAGAAATATGAAAATTAGATAGAATATGACAAAAATAACCATAAATAAAATTAAATATTTATGAATTATACTAAACTATATTATAAAAGTGTAATGGTAAAATGTAAAGTATAAAATGTAATATAAAGTGTGATAAATAATAATAAATTATGTTAATACATAGTTTTCAATTTTAAAAATACTCAATTTCTTCATAGATATTTAAAAGTTAAGCATTAGTTTATCCTACATTTTGAAATATTGATAACATAGATTCACATACGATAGGACTGTAGACATTGTACTTGTTGAACTTATGTTTAGTTTATTAATTACATACAGTAAATTAAAATAAATATATTTGCATATTTATTATAAAATTTGACAAAAGGGTTCCAAAAAGCTTTTTAATTACATTAAGCTGTGAATTTATATTTTTAATGATGACAAAAAATACAAAGGTATGAAAAAATATTAAAATTATTATTATATATTATTATCATCAGTGGTTACAATTTAAGCAAATAAAATTATAACATGAAAAGCAAGCTTATGATTAGAACTAAGGTGATTTAGTTAAGAGCTATGTAATATGCATATCATATACAATGTACATATTAATCGGACTTCCGTTAGTCATGTTTAAAAAAAAAAAAAAAATATAAAAATATAAAAAATATGTATATTATGACAAAAATGTTAACATATCAATTAAAGTAAAATATAAAAGTATATAAAAGTAATATAAGTAATTAAGTAATTAATTAATTTAAGTAATATAAGTATATTAAAGTAATATATAAGTATAAAGAAAAAGTAAAATAATATTAAGGTAAAATAATAGTGAAAAGATACAAAATATATTAGATATTTAACTCAAACAAATGAATACAATTATAATTTTAACCGAATCTTTAATCATATCAAGTAAACAAAGTACTTTGACACTAGCAATATTCTAGCTCCTAAAACGTTTTATTTTTGTTGATATATTTTTTAGGTTAAACATAAACAGTTTTATTTGTCAGAGTTTCACAAATATAAGGATTGTTAACAATCTTACTTCTATTATAGCATGATAATATCTAAGTGACACAACTATATAAGGTATTTAAAATTTTTTAAATCAATATAGATATAAGATAAATTTTCGATTTCTTGTAATATTTCTTGAACACATTAAGTGAAACATGGCGATTTGTCTGACATTTTGATCCACGTTTGACGGAGCTGAATTGTGGTGTAATTGAGCCACTCAACACCATAAAATCCTTAAGGTATATGAAGTTTGCTACTTAAAAACGTGTCACGTTACGAACGATGTGTAGGCGCGAGGGAGCTAATGTCCGATGACAAACGCGTATTCATCTCGGAAACACGTTGCACATTGCGAAATATAAAAATATGTACACGTTTATCGATATTTAACGTTAACTATCACGAAACAAATCGACAACGAATCGTTTGTACGTTACCTGAAACAGTTATGACTGGATAAACAAAAAAAGCGGAGTTTAACACGCCGGTGTCGATGGTTCGCGGTCGGTTGTTGAAGGTGCCGTCGTTGAAGGTGAGCAAAAACGAAACGGTAAGAAAAATTAAAAAAAAAATATCACGCGAGAAACGTGTGGATTACGAATGATATCCTAAATACTATGGACGATATGATATGCGAATGTAGAATGTAAATATTATTGTTGCGACGTGACGGTATCAAAAACTTTCCATGAGTCGTGTGATAAGAATTACGGATTTTTCATGGAATAGAAAGCAGAGTCGAAGAGCAATAGCGAAGAGAAATATTGTCATCATCATTGTTACCGTTCGGGCCGGCGACTCCCAAAATGTGTTCCATGCATAAGCGCAACTAGAGCCCAAATATTGAGGGTGCTAATATTGTTGAAAATAAAATGGTATTTAACTGTAATTACTATAGATTGTATAGATCTGAAAAAAACAGGAGTGCTACATTTGAACTCACGGTTGCTAAAAACCCTTTTGAGCCCCCCCCCCTATTTGCGCCTATGGTTCCGCCGAACACTCAACTCCTCTCTTAGATTAGGGACTCCACAACTTGTTTGCGTATCCAAATATACTTCTATGATAGTTTATATGATATTTTATGATACTTCTATGGTTTAAAGATTGATTTGAAAATTAAATTGGATTTGATGATGATCAACAAATCTAGTAATTATTACTCTCTACGTTAGCGTCTCCCGTAGTTTGTTCAGCGATATACACGTGGGTATTGAGAGCAGTGTTGTTTTGGAGAGTATACGCGGGTATACGACGATACCCGTGAACCATCATGGTGATTTAGCGTATACTTTATAAAAGTAACACCAATACGCATGTATACGCTCGTATAACTACTTTATAAATAGAAAAAAAATCCGTAGGACATACGTTTATTTTTAGAAAATTTGTTATTGGTAGGTTAATAATAACATTGATAATTTATTATTATTTATAACTATCGGATCCATCGTCTATCTATCGTCTAACTATATTCATTAGGTATCAAATTATAATATCTACAAGCAGCCGTTGACGTTTCTATACAAGAATATACTAGATAGTGTGGCCATTGATCAGTGGCGTAGCCAGGGGGGCTAACCACTTTTTTGGATAAGTAAGGTAAAAGAGGATATGAGAATTCACCCTTAACCCCCCCTCCCACCATATACCACCAAGTTTCTAAACGTAATTCAAGCATTTTAGTATAGTTTTAAAAATATTTATTAATATATAATTTATAATAATAATAATAATTTTGGTTTCAGTGTTCAGTCACTTGCTCCACTCTGACAGCTGCATCTTCTTAGGCGAATTTCTGGCAAATTCAGTTATTATTTCATTTTCATGGAATTGCTCTTTTTTATTTATATTAGCCATAGATAACCCATCCAGTCTGTTTTCCGACATGGTGCTTCTTAAAAATATTTTTAAGCGATTAAGTGCTGAAAACGTTCTTTCCGGAGTGAAAGAGGTAACTGGTAACGTGGCGAATAATTGTAAAAGTATTTTAATGTTAGGTCGAAGATTGGTGCGATGAGAGAGTGAATCAAGAGCAGAATTCGGTTTTAGAATAGTATTTTGACTCCATTGTTGCTTCCATATGAACAGGTCAGCCCTGATTGTAGATGAGGTATCATCATGGAGATCTTGGACATATATTTTAGCAGCTTTTATAATATTTTTATCGTCATACATATTTAAATTGGCCGGAATAAGTCCTTCAAGTGGCATAACATCAATAAGCCTTTGATTAAAACGAGCATCCATTGATTCTATTAAATAGTCAAGATACATTATACATATAAACACGGCCCATGGGGGAGGCTATAGCCTCCTTAGCTCCCTCCCTTGGCTACGCCACTGCCATTGATTAAACAAACATAGATAGCCCACGCAATGATAAATATTGGAAACACCTAAAATGTCTCAAATGGAGCCAGAATTGTAGTAGTAATGGATTTCTGAAAACAGAATGCTCTGGTGTTCCATATAAACATTTGTAATCTTTAATTTATTGTTATCCGTGATCAATGTTGATGCATTGCTGAAAAATTATAATCAATTTTAACCGTTGTCATTTTTTCTTTTTATCATGTATAGGTTCTGTTAAAGCTAATTGTATGAATTTTATATGTTTTGTAGTTACCTTATTTGACTATTACATGATTATACTTTTATTTTACAATTATATTTATATTTTTTGCCTTTAAAATCGGCCAATTATTGAATTTTCCACAGAAACTTTAAATAATTAGATAAATCAAGAAATGAGATAAAATTAATATAAATTTTTTGTTTTTTTTTTATTAAAGTTTATACTTGTGAATATGAGATCCAAAAAAGCCTTGAATAGAAAGTACTCTTACTATTTACAACAGATCACATGTTATAACCGTAAGCGTGCGTGTACAGGGTATTATACTTGTATCATTCTCGGCATATTGTAAAAATGTTAAATGCCCAAGCCCGAAGTAAATGAACGAAGTATATAGGCACTGTGCCTAGGGCCTACGAAAATGTGTGGCTAAGATTTTTTGTAGTATGTAAATTAGTATAAATCAATTTTTTTTAGGGTTTTTGACAATTTATATTATATATGTTTTGAATTAAAATGAATTTTTTTTTACATTTGTTAAAACTTTTATTGTATAAAAATTTATAATAGTTATCATATAAAAGTTAAGATTTGATTTTAATATTGTAAATATTATTGTTTTTAAAAGCTTAACACTGCATAAGATTCAACACTTCCTCTCCCAAAGAGAAGGTTTCTTAATCATTTAAATACTGGACAACGGCCCTGCAAGGACTGTGAACCTAGGGCCTACGATAGTATTAATCCGGCCCTGGACACAAGTAGCAGACATATTTTGTAATTGTGCTGAACATATAATTTAAGATTTCAAAAATATTAAAACAAAAAAACGTTGTCCATATTATAATTTTTTAATTAAAAAATCAAAAAATATATAAAACATTATACTATAAAAAAAGTTTAACTTCCGAGAAATTTTGCCTTATTTTTTATAGATTTTCCGAGGGATTTTCTGAAAAAATAAAATGTAAACGATATTTATAAATAATTGAAAAATATCTAGGTTATGTCAGTGGCGTACATCATCGTTTATAATTAATCAGAGGTATGTAAGAAAGTAAAAATAATCAGAAAAACAAGAAATTAACATTTTTTTTTTTTTTAAATCGTCAAAAAGAGCAAAAAAAAAAAACAGAACGTGTTCAGTACATGACATACATTTCCATATTATTCTGCAACATTTTACGTCAAACCATAAAAATAAGCAAATGCTATGAGTCCCAAGTCCTGTTCATTATCATGTAAAGAAGAAGTGAGTATTTTTCTGAAAACAACAATGAAAATTCTCACGGTTTTATTTTCACAGAGACGTTTCAAATCATCCCTAATCCAGCTACATTATTGTATAATACACAGGTGTCCTTACACTGTATTTCATTACGAATAGAGTTTGAATGCTCTAAGCAAATATTAAAGAAAGCATATTTTTTTCTTCATATAATACATCATATATAATAATTAATAGAGAAATATGCTCTCAGTATAGCTGGTATGTTTATTAATTTTAATGTTTTGTGGTAGGTTTACTTTGTGATATGTATACTTGCTTATATATTATACTAACTACATACAACAACTATTAATACATATAAAATTGCATAAAATTATAATAGAAAAAAAAATATAATCAGCTATAGAACAAATTTGGTTACGAGTATGCAATATATACTATATATTATACAGTGTAATTATTTATAAATATTATAACGCTTAATAATTCAGTCGAGTGACATCGGATTGATATGTGGTTTTCGGGAAGAGATAGGGAGAATGCCTAAATTCACATTTTTCAACGGTTTTCAAATGTTTAACTCTTTTATTGTGCGCATGTCCAACACAACTTGCATTTTTTTAAACAACAACACCTACTTTTAATAACAAATTTGGACAGACCGTTATTTCTTAAGTCAATTTATTACTTCTTATCCTAGCTCTAAAACTAAAATTGACTAAATGACAACGAATGAAAAATGTCGATTAAAATTAATGAATTTTTCAACAATCATCCTAGAATTTTATGATTTATCGTGCAATTTTAAGTATTTTTTTTTGTATTCGTAGGTTTTTTGACTTTATTAAATCATTTAAATTTGATTTTGAAGAATTAATTAACTTAAATTACTCCTTTTAGGTACATTTTAGTTAATTTACTAAGGAAAAATTAAACGAATTATCACAATTTTTATAATTTTGAACATTTTTATTATTTATTTGGGTAAAACAATTTAAAATAATTATCTAATAAATTGTTCAAAATGTAATCCTTTATCTCTATGCATGATTGAAATCGACGCATAATTGTACTAAACCACCAACCGAGTGTTATTAAAAATGGCTCTTAGCAGGAACAATTTTTGTAGAATTGATGACGTAATAACTCATGAAAATATAATAATGACAGATATCATTGTATTGTTTTTTTTTTAAATTTAAAATTAATTTTGGTATTTTGGTGTTTTAAAGTTTTAAATTTATTTCATTATGTTTTCCTGTCTAATTTTCGAGGCAACTTGTTTTTCTGTTTCAGGTTTCAACAAGCATTTAAGAAATAAACATAAGGAAATAAAAAAGCTAAAACTGTTAAACATAAGTTGTACACAAATCGTCACTGTAGAGAATATGACATGCGTACAACTTAAATTTAACAATTTTAGCTTTTTTTATATCCGTATGTTTATTTCTTAAATGCTTGTCGAAACCTGAAACAGAAAAAAAAACGTTGCCTCGCAAACTTGACAGGAAAACATAATGAAATAAACTTAAAACTTTAGAACACCAAAATACCAAGATTCATTTTTAATTCAAATTTAAAAAAAAAAAAAAACAATTTAAATTCTCGTCATCATAGTGTCATTGGTTCTACAAACATTTTTTCCTACTAAGAAACATTCGTGTGTTATCCCGTAGCCACGGAAATGTTTAAACACGTCGAGTACAGTCAATTTTGGTAGTGGGGGTAGTTGTTCGGCTGAGTGAATAGTGAATTAGTATTATACCGGTGAATTTTATTCACTCGCTCAGCCAGTACAGACATACTCCAATAGTTCTGTATAAACAATAAGAGCAAAAAAATTAGATCAATAAAAATTTTCTCTACTCACACGGCGTTATTAAAAATACCTCTCCGGAAAATGTCATGGGATTTCCTTTGGTGTAAGTGTCGTTCTAGAAATAATAGCACTATTATATTAAGAGTAGCTATTAAATCTTCTAGGAAAAAAGAAAAAAAAAAATCAAGTTGACACTTGAATCCACAAATGTGAATTGTAAGATCTGTTCCGATCATGCGTTCAAAAACCGGTCGACGCTTTTCAGGTACGATTCGCACGCGACAATGTTATCAACAAGTTTCGACGTTTGGTCTCCGAGTAACGCTAAGGGAGTGACAACAGAACGAAAAAATAAGCTCGCACGACGTAACGTAAGAATATTTACAACACTATCGTGTTATATGTGAGAATGTTCTACTCACACGGCGTTTTCAGATGCACCACTCCGGAAAACGTCATCGGAGGTCTTTTTACGTTGGTGTCATTCTAAAAACAATAACACACACACATGGACATGAATAGTCTTGCAGCTCTCTCTCTCTCGAGAAAAAAAATAAAACGAATAGGAGGAACAACGGGTCGTAAGCACGTTTACAAAGCGAACCGTAATATGTGTTTTACAATGCGTACCCTTGTGAAATAAACGTTCCGGCACGTCGGTTTCCCGTCGACCATCACGCTCTCGTATTGGACGTGGCTGAACCGCACGTTCGTGGCCATCTGCGGGCACTGTATATAAAAAAGAATAGGACATTATGTTACGCTCATGTACCGAGAAGCAGATGCGTACTTTGTCGAAGTTTTTCGCCGTCAAATGCAGGACCACCTTCGGTGCTATTGCGCAAGCCGTCCCGACGATTGCAGCCAAACTGGCGGCCGGTTCGCGGGCCCCGAGATCGCCGGCGTCGTACTCCGGTTGGTTCGCGCGCCCGCGACCGTCACAGGGAGGCGAGGCGATCACCGCGTCCGCTCGCAGATGGGCCAGATCCACCAGGAAGAAGTCGCCCACCATGAAGTCTATGCGGTCGGCGACCCCGTAAACCTGCGCGTTCCTCTTGGCCAACGCGATCTTCTTGGGGTCCGCGTCCATGGCGATCACTGCGGCCCCGGAGGAATCGTATCAGACACGAAAAACGCCGTGTAAGCAACGATCGGTAGATCGCGTAACGGATATAGGTGGGACTTACCGCGGTGGCAGGTGAACGCCAGCTGGATCGCGTTCCCGCCGGCACCGCAGAACGGGTTCAGCACCGTCGCGTACCAGCACCGGTTCGCCAGATGTCTTGCCGACACCTCGGTGCACGAAGACCGCAAGCTCACTTTAGGGTCGGAATAATAAAATAAACCAATTCCGTAAGCACAAAACAAATATACGATTATGCGATTTACCCTCGTCCAGCATAATGCCAGCGTCGAACTTGGAGAACAACGTGAACCGCCGTACCCAATACTCGTGCGTTTGACGTGACGTCGACTCCTGAGCGAAAAACAAAACCGGAAGAGTTTATGCGACGGTGTCCGTTTGCGTTCAACCGGGAAGTGGTCGTGCGCGTGTTTAATATTTTTTATTATCTCGTTTAATTGTTTTCGGCGATTATGCACGATAAAAAACGAAGGATTCGGGGAACATTTTATATTCGTTTTTTTGGACGACGTTCGCGCAGTTTACGTCAAGATATGCCGTATGGTTTCTCCGGACGTTTCGTTTGATTTTTGGACGAACTTCTAAATTTTTATAGGCCTATTCTCACCTGGACGTTATCGGTTTCCGCGCGGTCGTTCGCCGGGTCGGTTGTGGTTGAACCGTTCGCGATATTCGCTTCGTCTCCGGAAGCAACGCGACACGTGTCCACGATGTCCGTCTGAGAAGTACAGTCCACACGAACCGTCCCGCTCCCACACGCAATGTGGCACGTGTCCACGATGTCCGTCTGAGAAGAACAGTCCGCCTGAACTGTCTCGCTCCCACACGCGACGTGACGGGTGTCCACGATGTCCGTTTGAGAAGAACACTCCGCGCGAACTGTCTCATTCCCACACGCGACGTGACGGGTGTCCACGATATCCGTTTGAGAAGTGCCATCGGTGAACGGGATCCCGTCTCCACGCGTGACATCACCGGCGGCCGCGCGAGTCGACTCGTCCACCGGGACCGCCGTGGTGGCCGGAAACGCGCGGCCGCCGTCTCGGCAGTCCGACCTGAGCGCCCCTTCGACGCATCGTTTGTGCGCGTATCCGTGCCGGCAAGCTAAAAACCGTGACGGGAATCCGAGAAAAATAAAAAATTAAACCGATCACGTCGGATCGTGTCCACGGTCGTACCGTCGTTTTCGCACTCGACCATTTTGGACCACGCGCCGGTCCGGCCGCAAACGGAACATGCCGCCCTGAACCCGCGCCACTGTTCACTACTGGCCGCATCGAACGAGCAACGGTGGCCGCGGCTGAAAAACAATCGAACCACATCGTTACGACTGGACGATCCATGGTCACGTCCACGTAACGTATTGTGATGTATGTACCTGGTCGTCGAACCCATGTCTGGTCAATTACGTTAGCTCGATGACACAAGAATCGATCAAAATGATAACTTTACTCGTCTTAACTCGGTTTGACGACGACTCGACGAACGGCAAAAATTTTCGGGTGCCGTAAGAGTATTTTCACCAGTAAATTCGAAAGAATGCCGTTTGTTGAAATGCACTCCAACGTATCGGGGAAAAATTGCTTGGTAACGTTCGATACGCCATCGTATCGCACCGATATCGTTTTGGCCAATGTATAAAAAAAAATAATCGAAAAATATTTTCGCGATAGAAACGCATTGGTATAATGCTTACGCGATAAGTGTACTGCAGCCCGAATTCCTGGTGGTCAACGAATATATTAAGAAATTACTGTTAATTTTCGTTTAATCGAGACTCGAGCGAATATTCGGATATTTCAACACGTTTTTTCATAGAAACAGTCGATTTCGTATAAAATTCTTTCGTGGCTTTTCGGTACATTCTTTTCTACGATTAAAATACAAAAACTTCTATCCCGAAGCCTTAAATACTCAAATTACAAATATTAACTACAAAAATAATGCAGATTTTCATGGTTTAAGTCAATTTTAATCAACTAAATAAATATTAATAAATTCTAATAGCATGCGGATATTATACAACGACTTGTATATTTATGAAAAAATCAGACACCCAATTATGACCCTTTGTACTTTGATTAACAGATTTAATTTAGAGATTAACACACCAAATGTAGCTAATTTATTTAGAGGAAGGTGATAGTTAACTTTGTCGAAAACTTTTTGAAAATATAATTAAAATCTAACCGTAAATGATCACTTAGAGCCATAAGTATTTTGCAATGCTATAAAATTGATGTGGGGAAGGGGTTCAGGAACGTTGATTGAGTTGGAAAGGAGAGACGTAATACATATTTGATTAGCTAATCTCAGGCGGGAGGAAATAGTGTCAATGTGCGTAAGATCTCTTGTAGGAATATAGTCGTGAAAGTGTTTTTGGATCTTTTATTTAAATGCTACATAAGTGGAACATTTATTTTAAACTCGCTCGAGTTGATCTATATCCTTCGAACGATAGGGGTGCCAAATGACTGACCCATATTCAAGTATGGAGCATACTAAGGAATAGTAAAATGTGCGGGAGCAATTAACCGTTAAATAATTTGATCAATACGATTTAATGAACCGTATTCGCGCATTCAGGGATAAACGCAAGAAAAAATTCAAGGGAAGGGGGTTTGAAAAAATGTAAAATGTTGATAAATATTATGCTTTATTACTCGTTGTATAATATATATCAGTGGTTTCCAAACTGTGGGGCGCGCCTCCCTAAGGATGCGCAAGCACTTATCGGGGAAGGCGCATGGAGAATATTTATATTGCATATTACACTATTATATATTTATTTTTAGATTGACCGCAATTTGTTTTTCATAAAATAATGAAAAAAAAAATTTGTTTTATTTATTCATGGGAGGCAAGATAATATATATTTTTTTTTTTGGTCTGAGAACCTCTTTTATATATTTTTTTATACATATTTTATTTGCAAGTCTCATGGGAAACTTTGAAATAACTATTACATTTGTAGGTCAGGTCATTTTATCCTTATACTTCGAGGCGGGGAGTTGACTAAGATCCTTCTGCGTTCGCGCCTGCACGCACTCGATCATTGAAACGGTTTTATTTTTATTCCGAATATCACGTACGCATGCGGTATAAATTGGTATAATTTGTAGCACTTTGGACATTTTTCGGGCTCTAATCGTTTGAACATTATGATCGTTTTTCGAATCCCCCGTGTTTTCGTGACATTCGTGCGCACCATACATTTGTATATCATAATACTGCAGCAGTCGGTGTACCGGGACGAGTTCAACATGAATGTAATAAAGTGGTAATAAAATTCCCGAGTGTCTAGGAACGGTAGAACACCGCGAGTTCGCTGTACATGTTTTATTCATGTGTATATATGTGGCCGTACACGTGCGCACACCGACGGGGTGGCTGTACAGCTCTCTCGGATCGATTATAATCCGGTAGTGTTGCTTGGCAACGGGGCGCGCGAGAGGCTCCTCTACAAAGAAAACGAGATTTTTCCCTACTTTTCCGAAAAATACTTCGAGAGCCCCCCTCCCACAATGAGTTCGAACAATCGTAAGCCGTATGCACGCACATCGGTCCCGCACGGCTTTCAGTTTCTAGGCGCAATTGCATTGCGGAATACCGGCATTTTTTTCATCCCTCCCCACCCGGTTCGCGTGCACGAGGTTTCGAAACGTGTATGCTTTTTTTTTCCCCTCGCTTTTCTGTAATTAATTATTATTGCCTATGGCTTGCGAACGAAAAACGCACTCGACGGGCGAATGTGAACGAACGATTCGTACCACGGCACGAGTCGTTTCGTCCGATAATCGGAGGGTGGTTGCTGTTTTCGCGCTCACGACTTCCGTGTTCCCGTTACGGTCGGTTTTCGTACGCACTCGCCGGAAACGCAGTCGACGAGACGAGGGTTTGCCCTCGGGGCGCGTTCGAATCGGATTGAAATCGGTTTTTATTTATTTATTTTTTCTGTACCTATAAAAAGGAAATAAAATCATCCGTAAGCGCCGTTGATGACGGAAAACGTGTTTTTCCGGTGAACGCGGTAACCACAAGGGCCGTGGCGGTCGGAATTTAATGGGCAGGGTGTGGGGGGGCGCATGCGACATGACCGACGGCGCGCGCGTGGAGCCGAGCGCCGAGCCACGGCGTTTTCAGTGGACCACCCGACGGCCGCTCGTCCAGTCATGGACATCGTTCTCGCCGTTCGCCACACCGACAACGCGGTCTGATCCACGTCGTCGTCGCCGTCGTGCGTTCCCCGTTCGCCGGGGCCCGAATGATGGACGTCCGGGTCCGCGTCCTCCTGCTGTGCTGCCTGGCCGGCCACGCGTCCGCGCTGCCTGACACGATCAGAATCGGTGAGCTAACTCCGACTGCAATAACCATTCCTCCCGTCACCCATCTAACTGTTCCCCCTCATCCATTGGAAAGCCGTACCGAGTCATTTTCTATCCCGAGACAGAACTCAGGCAACGCGCCCCCTAGGTCGTAGGGTTGCTCACAGCTTATAATGTGTACAATACTATTCGGAAAAATCTGAAAAATTGTAATTAGGTTTCTAGCGAAACAAGAAATAACGTCCTTAGCCACAAATATGTATAATTATTAATCATCGTCTTCTTTTATGTAACGGTAAACAAATAAATTTGATGTTTGCAAATTGTTAGATGTTTGAAAACAATAGTTAATAAAAATAAAAAAAAACAATCAAATTTATTTATAATTTCAATTTTTTTGCTTTTGTGCCAACAAATGTAATGTAGATATTTAGCAGGTACCGACAGTAATTAATACTTTTTCTTAAATTAATCATTTTTGCGCTCCCCCCACCCCCAGCTGCAGACACCAAAGTTGGCCTCACCTTAGTTATGGCTCTGATCTCTTGTCTTGTCCTAGCACCGCGCGCCGTGTACGCGCGTCAGTCCCGGATCGTGTGCACCTGGCCGACGTGTGTTTCGCAACTGCACTCGGAACCGGCCTCTCCATCGACCATTGGCTTACGCGTTCTTATCAAACATTTCTTATTGGTATTAATAATTATTATCTTATCGCGTTTCACGTATTGTTTACCTATTGTTTATATATAATATGTGTACATAAACTATTAAATATTTATTTACATTTATCATTTGGTTTCCCAAACCATTATTCAATACGAGAAAAAATGGTTAATTGAAAGCACTTCATGCTGAAAGTATACAATAAAATATTCGTTACTTAACTTCGCGATTTCTTTATTCCAATAATACTTATAATACACTCATTTATTTTTTGTTATTAACTTGACTAGGAAGTTTTTCAAAATCGCTCGTAAAATACTTTTTAGAATTCAGATAATGAAATTTGACACAAATATAATAACCCGAAAATAATAAAACAATTGAATTCTTGGGAATAAATTAAACAGGCAATGATTGTCGGTCAATTTCTATTTGTTTATTGATATTCTTATGCATCATCTTTACTTGATTATTGATAAAAAAATATGTGATTAGTTTGAAATGATACGATATGCGATAATAATATATAGGTCAACGGTAGAAGAGTATCAATTCTTGATGTACTCACCTTTGTAAAATACCCGTTGGATATGTATGCCATTACCGTTGCAGAGCACCGATCTCGAACACATTCCATTAAGTTCTCGGACGTGAACCTTAGAATAAAGGTGCAGATAAGGATGTACTGCGGGACATGGATATACTGTTAAAACCGATTACGTAAATTAACGGTGCCCAAACTTTTACGAATGCAAAACCCTTAGGCAATAGTTTGTGTTTTATGGAAACCCAATGTATTTAATTTCAACTTAACTCGAATTTTTCAATTATTTGTTGAAAAAACAATATTCTAAAAAATGTTTTAAAGATAATTCATGATTATTGTTTATTTTAATCATTATTCTCAATACTCATATACATATCGCACAACCTTTGAGCTAGTCCCACGGAACCCTTAGAGGTTCTGCGGATCACATTTTGAGAACCACTAACGTAGAGAATAATTATCAAATCCAATGAATTTATTTTTCTGTTCGTTCGTTAAACTATATAAGTATCACATTTATTAACTTGTTATATATACACGAAGAAATTTGAAGACCCCCACCTATCGTTATTAAGTTGTTATTGCTGCGTTTTCGCATTTTTACGACGCAAAAGTGTCTTTATTAATAATTTATACACCAGCCGTGGTGCACACAATTTTTAATTTTTATTACAAACATGATCGATTGAAATTTATTGTTCATTATTATTGTTTAGCTTTCACTGAACGTAGGCGTTATGACGATTTCTTCTTCACATTTATTATGTTTACATGCATAAATGATAAGTGTATACGATGTACTACATGTATACTCCAGATTATATTTTTTATTGTAAAAAAAAATTATTAATTTTTTGTCATTGTATGTTTGTGGCTAGCGGAAAAATAACTTTATTTAGTACAGCATATTGTCAATGGCGTATTTAAGGGGGGGGGGGCGAAAGGGGCAAATTCCCCGGGCGGTAAATTTTCGGAAGCGGCAAAATATTCTAACTTTTATTATTGATGTGTTCATGATTTTTTTAATTTTCACACATTTTTCGGTATTGTTTAGTATTTTAAAAAATATTGTTGAGCATCTAAAATGAAATTAAAAAAATTATACTATATCTAGTCACCTAGGTAATAGTGAAATAGCAAAATAGGTATATTACATGTATTATTCGATAAGATATTATATTTTCGTTCAATGTTTATAATAAAGACTCGGATACACAGAACGCGGCATTTATTTTAGGGCACATTTAAAAAGTTTATAAAAGGAGTAAAATTGTACCTAAAAGTGTTCAATGTATGTTAGCATTTATAAAAGAAAATAGTTTAGTTGAAGTATATCCTTATATTGATATTGCTTTAAGGATGCTACTATGCATGTACACCTTCAAGTAATTGTTCAACGGAAAAATCATTTTCTACATTAAAAAGGGTCAAAACTTATTTAAGATCAACAACGGGAGAAAATCGTCTTAATTAATTGACAACCCTCAACATTTAAGCTGATTTAACGAAAACTATTAATTTTAATGATATTATTGAACATTTTTCTTTTCAAAGGTTAAAAAAAAAAATTATAAGCTATCGATTATTTTATATATTATGGTATAATTAATAATAAATATAATATATTTAATCTAATAAAATAACATGTATTGTTAATTATTGTGCATATAATAAGTATTAATTCCGTTTTCTATATTTAATATATATATATTTTTTTTAAGAAAGGAATATTCACTGAGAAAAAAAAATTATGTTAACGTTAGGATATGTATTACTATAAAATTATTTAATATGATATCGCAAAACAACTAATTTATAATTTGTTTCATAAAATTAATTTTTTTATTGTTTAACTTTGAATTTATATAAATATATATATAAAAATTTTTTTTTTTTGTAAGGGGGAAGGGCGGAAAAATTATTTTGCTCCGGGGCGCGTATATATTAAATGCACCACTGCATATTGTAATACACCCGCACATATATAATACAAAATACTAGCAGTACATAAATAATGTAATACATACATAATATATTAGAGTTTTTAACTCAAAAAGTTAAACCATGTAATATATTTTTGTTCCGGTCACGATAAATTGGTGAGTAAAACAGAAATTTTTTTCATTGCATTACACTTTGTGAACATATTATACGTATATTACGGGCAAAGTATACAATTTGGTCAATATAGATAACAGATGACATGATTTAATGAAATATGATGAATCAATGAATAATGACATGTATTTATATTATTGATTAATTCATGTCAGTAGATATAATTTATTGCACCATCAATTCTTTCTTGGCTGTGCTTCCTTTTCTTTAACATGATTCGCAACTATTTAAGTATAGCACAATCATACCTTTGGTGATATTTTTATATTTTGTATTTACCTCGTGTTCCATCCTGTTTCGTCCACTATGTCCAATTGATAAATATACATAATATTTAATTTTGTTGTTTTCAGATACTGGTACAATTAACTTATTAACATCAGAAACTTTTACACGTCATATTTTCTTAAAAGTTTATAATCATTCGGTTCTTTTTTCTTTGAATTGTTTTTTAATTGATTTTTATATAAAATTAATTGATCAAATTTTAACTCGGTAAGAAATGAAGTATTTGAATCCTTTTTTTTTAAAAAAAAAATTGTTTAAATCTTCATTAAACTTTTCCATATTCGAATAAGTAGTTAGGTACGCGCTGAATGAATTAGCCTGCACTATACAAACGATTCACGGTCACAAAATAGTTCATTTTTGAGAATAGGTAAAAGGCCGACTGCACGATAATCACTACAACTTTATATAATATAACTTATAAATCAGTAAATATAGTAATAATATATTATGTTACGTACACACGTATATATGTGGACAAACGGACATGCCCATTGTAAAAATACGATAAGAACAAACAAATTAGTTACAGATAATAATTTTTAGATAATAATTTGACTTTATTTTAACTATGTTTTACGATTTATCATATTTCATTAAATCATATCATCTGTTATCTATATTGCCCAAATTGTATACGTTGCTCGTAACACGTATACATTATTGAGTCAGAGGATTTTTCTCGTAACTGTCAACCGTGCTAATCTTTTTTAACTTGTCATCGTAATATTATTTAAATTGCTTTTTTCCATCCATTGGAAAATATATAATAAACTAACAGTGTTTTTTTGAACGTCGAAAAATACAAAATCACATTGGTATATAATATACTTCACTGCACTTTGCTCTGAGACTAAAGATTTGAAAAATAAAAATTATATAGGGGTTCATAAACAAACTGACACATTTCTGTTTTGTAAAAAATTTTGCTTAAATGTAATATGTACTAACTGAACGGGCCTTTCAAATACGAATCGGTTCTGCCATATCAAGTATTGGCAATATAAGGGCTGGAGTCCCTTAGGTAGCATTTTATCTCCTATTCTTTACAACATATTTGTCTCAGATCAACCAATTATATTAGACACAATTGTTGCAGACTATGCAGACGATAAGGTATTAATCTTAATGAATAATCACCCATTCATAACTTCTAAAAACCTCTAAACTCACCTAGACTCAATGGAAGACTGGTATATCAAATGGAAATTTAAAATAAATCATAGCAAATCTATCCATACCACATTTATACTCAAACTTACTCCTCTCCCAGAGGTAACACTTAACGGTATTCCAATTTCACCATTTCCAACAGTTAAATACCTTGGTCTTACACTAGACAAAAGACTAACATGGGCTCAACATATTCGTGATAAAAGATTATTAACAATCGTATTCCTATTCTCAAACCGCTAATTTCTAACAAACACACCTCCCCTAATATCAAACTCCTCATTTATAAAACATTAATAAAACTAATTTGGACATACGGCCTTCAGCTATGGGGACGTGCCAAAAAGTCCAATCTTAATAAAATACAATCTTTTCAAAACATTGCCAAAAGAAAATTAGTAAATGCTCCTATATATGTTTCAAACCATACCCTCCACACAGACTTTAATATAAAAACAATTCAAGAAGAAAGCATACATTGTTATAAACGATTTCACCACCGTCTTTCCTCTCATTCAAATCCCTTGATCAAAAACCTTTCCTCCCAAACGATTCCAGGTAGTCCTCCAAGACGTTTAAAACGCAAATGGTGTAGAGATCTATTACAATAATAATAATAAAAAAAAAATAAAAATTTATATATATATATACATACATGTCTGTGCGTCCAAGTGCTGAACATTGAACTATTTTGTTTAGTTTATTATATGCAAGCAAATATTTTATTTATAAACGTAAGTTACTTAATTAATTTACATAAAAAAACGAAATTAACGTATCATTTAAACAAATTAATCAAGTCAAGGAATATATTATGATCAATAAAACAATGTTCAAAAACATATTAAGAACACATAGTTCCATTCAAACAAGTTTAAACAAATTAAACGAGTATATTTGATGAGGATGTTCTTGTGTACAAGGTTTTTGATGTTTAATATTCGCCGTGATTAATAAACAAACCCTTATTCGCTCGACATGAATAATTTCATATTTTTAACGTTCGAATTATAATACCTGCCGCTTATTGTAAATGTTGGTTATTTGCGTTCCGATCTGCAGGTGGTCTGTTCCATCCGAACGATGTCTACCAAGAAAATGTTTTCAAACATGCCATCCACGACGTCAACAGCAACAGACACATACTCAGTAGGTCAAATCTTTCCGGTCAGATCGAAAAAGTATCGCCGCAAGACAGTTTTCACGCGTCTAAACGAGGTAGTAATAACAACAGTGAGATTCTGAACAATTAGGATTTTCGTCACGATTTTTGTTCGGAAATCACAAACGGTCTTCTCGCACTCTAATACGTGTAATAAGTATGTATGTCTCCGTAGTGTGCAGTCTGCTCCGACTCGGTGTGGCCGCGGTTTTCGGACCGCAATCGGCCCAAATATCCAGTCACGTCCAATCGATCTGCGACACAATGGAAATACCCCATTTGGAAACGCGGTGGGACTACAAGCTACGGCGTGAAAGCTGCTTGGTCAATCTGTACCCGCACCCGACTGTGCTGTCCAAAGTAACGTATAAAAACCACGTTGAACACTATTAACTTCGGCAAGTAGACATTTCTGATTCCTGTCTGCGAACTCGGACTTTCAAAGAATTTATATTACATGTTTACGCTTGAAATGATTCAGCCCCCATTCTTACTTATTAATATGATAGAAATAACTTTGTATAAGATCATTAGCTAAATTTTTATGTACATTTTAGGATTTTTTTTTTTTACCTCGTTTCATACTATATTTATAGGTGATATACAATTTTGAAAAATTTGGTAATTTATGGTTTAAAACTTTTTTAATAAGATGAAATAATAGTTTTTATGAAATATATTCCATGTATGTCTTTTTTTAACAAATTTTCACAACATGTTAAAACTCGCATTCAGTTTAGTTTACAATTCCGAAGTTATGAGATTGCTGTATGAATATCAATATTGTATAATTTGCATAGACAAAGACATATAGAGATTATGAGAGAGAAGGAACAAGAGATGTGTGATGTGAACTAATTCCATGTAAAACGGGAACACTATTTATTTTGACGTTATATAAACTTTAATATTACTTCAATAGTTATTTTTTAGTCATAAATAAAGTATACATTCAATATATAATAATATATTTGATCAATATTTTAGTTATATTTTAATTAGCACCTACCTAATTAAGTTTAAAAAAAAAAAAAACTTAAGTTCCTATAACAAGGAAAAAATTTTATTTTCCTCATTTCTTTAGAGGTAAAATGTATATATAGTCCCTTAATAGTCGAAATCGTGTATAAGTATTTTGAAATAGTTTTCGATTGATTAAATATAGTCTTCAACAGTATCGTTATTCTACACAATACTGTAAACCTATTACGGTACTGGATCATGGGTGATTATGATTTACTTGAACTTATACGATCTGCACGTTCTTTACCGATAGGCCTATTTGGATTTGGTGAAAAAATGGGGATGGAAGTCATTCACGATAATTTACGAGAGCAATGAAGGTTTAGTGAGATTGCAAGAGCTGTTGAAAGCCAGGAATGCCGCACTCTCGGCGTATCCGATCACTATTCGACAGTTGGGTTCCGGAAGAGATCACAGGCGAGTTTACCAATATTGTAGTTTTGATACCGATACAATTGTCCCGTTTTATTAATGAGAAATATTCTTTGTAAAAGTGTAGGCCTTTGTTGAAGCAGATTAAGAATTCGGCCGAGTCTCACATCGTGTTGGACTGTTCGACCGATAAAATATACGACGTGTTGAAGCAAGCTCAACAGATCGGTATGATGAGCGACTATCACAGCTATCTGATCACGTCACTAGTAAGATTGATTAATGTTTGATCAAATTCATCGTTGCCGCACTGCCATTTTTGATTGGTTCGACTGTTTTGAATTTTTAGGATCTACATACGATCGATCTAGACGAATTCAAATACGGCGGCACAAACATTACCGGCTTTCGACTAATCAACCCCGATACGCCCATGGTGCAGAGAGTACTGAAACAATGGGTGAGTCGTACTTTGTATCTGGTATTATTGCATGTCATGCGCAACGTTCCGTCGTAAACCATATAATTTATATCTGGGATGGTCGACCCGTCGTGTCACGCGAAAAATTAAAATACTTAATTTTTAATTTTATTTAAATATTTAACAGTTATGGTTAATTATGCTGAAAATAAAATAAAACAATTACATCTATTCAATTTTTATATTTCGTTTAAATACAACTGTGATTAAAATCACCACAAATATATAATTTACATGTGTATATATATACAAATAACAAAAAATTAGTATAAAGATTTTTTTCTTTTTTTTTTTTTTAGTTTTTTGATATATTAATTTTTATACAAAAAAGAAACAAACTACTTTTAGAGAAAAACATAAATTCATGTCGTTTGTGGACGTGAAGAATAAATATGTGAAGTCATGTGAATTGTATGACAATGATCATCATTCGAACCTAGTTGTATCTAGGATATGTACATATTAAAGGTTCCTGTATCAGAAGTTGCGGATTTTTCCGTGGGTGATATGGGAATTCTCCGTAAGGGTAAGGGTCAAGTACTCGATAACACCACGGCGTGTTATACGTATATATAAACTTTATATCAGCAATGATTTCCGCCAAAACTGACCATATTAATTTGAAAGTACCTAAGAAAAAATAATCAATAATTCACTATATGTTCTTTACATTATACATACTAATAAGTCGGGCAATACTTACGGATAATTATGTCGGTTGCCGTGATATCGTATAGGTCATGGACAACCCATGTGTCTTTTCCGTTTGGTACCGACCGAATTCCAAGTCTTGCCTCTGCATATATACTCTGCAGAGTAGCGTCATTTAAAGGTTTCGGTCGGTTAATAAAACGAATTAAATCTAAAAACACAGAATTCAAACTGGTTCATTATTGCAGACCGTGGTGATAGAAAGTGAAGTGGGTGATACAATCCAAATCTTTCTCCTTTAATTCGTTTGATGAAACGATACGTATAAATTTGTACTCGCATGGAAATATCATACTGTTCCATAGCTACCCCCAAAAATACTTAACTCCCTAACTTATTACTATAACCGTGATATCTTATTTTTCTATGTTCCATTTATGGCAGTTGTATTGTTTCACCCTTGTTATTGTATGGATTTTCAACTCATTAAAGCTGTTGCCCGCTGTATATTATGATTAACAAATTTAAAAAAAGTAGAAAATACACAATTTTGTTTAAATTCATATTTTAAAATACAATTTTAAATCTTTTTTCCATCTTGACAAACTCATTATTGATCACTAATTAACAGGTGTCAGTGTCCAGTATAAGTGAACAATTTATCGCAATTATGTGAGAGCTTCAACTCTCTCCAAAAATAAAAATAAAAACATAAAGCAATATTTTATAATTAAAAATTTTTAATTTCAAGAAGGTCGATTAGCATATATAATTTAACGTTGTAATTTGAATTATCATGTAGAAATTAAAACTAAATTACTTTCTTACGACTATGTTAATTGGATAGAGAGATTTGAAATCACTAATGTTATTTTTTCTTTTACCAAGTATAACAGCTGTAAATACCCATATTTTATGTACATGAGAGTATTTTATACTATACTTTAACATAAGTATATCGGGTCACACATTTTGTTAACACTTAACGTGTTAATTACATTTGAAGTATACCGATTTAAATGGACTATTTCTTAAATCTATTACAATATATTTAATAATCTTGCTCTTATGACATAAAGTTTTATTTTTATAAAATACGATCGGTGAATATAAATTACCTCTTCTGCCGAAGTAGAAAACCACGAGAGCAATGAACCAATAGGTGATCATGGAATGGTCATAGATCTCTTCTTCCGAGCATTCTGCATATTCGGGTGCCATACTTAAGTTTTAAAAACTTTTGGGTATGAAATTTAAAAATGTCAAGGTATTATATTTTATTACAAAATATAATTTATATTTTATTGCGAAATATAATTTTAAGGTATTATATGTTATAGAAATATATAACTTAAGATTACTAAATGTGGTAATGTTGTGCTAGGACTGCAAAACGAAAAGTTACAATATTTACGTGACTCATAACAACATTCATTTATTGTATTCAAACAAAACGACTGTTGCCGGGAAAGTCGATTAATGTTATCGGCCAGCAGCGGGACATAGTGATTGAGACCTGTCAGAGGTGTAACCCGGCCTTTCTAAGGGAGTTATAGATGGCTAAATATGCTTTTCTCCCCCTCTGTCCTTAATATTTAACACTTTCATATTGAAATCTTTACATTGTACACGAAATAAAATCTAGCATCAAAAACTATCAGATGTATGACATTTCGGGGCAGACATTTTAGCAAGTGACCATTTTGACGAAAAAAAAAATTATGGCTATAACTCGTTTGGACCAACTTTTTTGAAACACAACCCGTTTAGACCAATTATGAAGACCCGTTTGAGCTAAAAAATATAATTTTACACAGCCCGTATGGACCAGCATTTCTCTTCTCATTTTAACAGGCTTAGGATTATTTTTGGCATGATAAAAATGCTGTTTCAATCTTTTTATCGATATAATATATTATCTACTATATTATCTATTATTTTGTAAAATATACTATTATTAAATTATTTTTAATTTTCAATAATGAAAAATAACGTCAGAATATTAAAAATAGACTATTTTATTAATTTTTCTTCTATTTGTTCACTCAAATCACTCTTTTTTGAAACTGATTTTATTAATATAGATTTTTAGAAACTGGCCAACGGATGAACGCAGTACATTGTCGCGTGTAATTTATTTAGCTTTATCAGTTATGAATCGATTATAAATTAATTAGCATCAATTGTACAACAGTATTTTAATAATGCTAACGTTATTATCTTGCATTAAATCTTAATTTTGTGCACCATATTTATTATGTATTACAATGAATACATTTTACTGAATGAATGTTTAATGGCATGCAAGGAGAAGAAAAAAAAATCGAAAATTTTTTGGTACGTACTGTTTAGAACAATTGGTTACCCCTGATATTATATAAAACAGTCCGACTAATGGGGGATCTAGGATTTAATTTCAAATATGTCGAATTTAAAATAGTTATAAATAGGTATTAGTGAATCAAAATTAAAATCGTATAGTATTTATTGTTATCCTGTGTTTCACTTTTATTGGAATTGGCGTTTTTATGACATTTATAATGCGAGTGGCCAATGTTTCTATAGCACTACGATGAAACATAAAAATAGTATTGTGTACAGGAATTAAATGCATTTATGGGTTCAAGTAAAAATTGAATATAAACCACACGAACATATCGAGAAGTAGGAGTAACGCGACTCCGATGACGCCTTTGTTAAATCTTCCACTTGGAGTGGACGACGAAATTGTAAATAGTCGTCGAGTCTTTCGTACAGAGGGGTTGTGGTCCCGAAATGTTTTTATCGAAATTACACGAAATTCCGGATAAACGCATAAACGCGTACAACAGTTTCGCCATGTGGTCCGATGTAAAAAAAAAAAAAGAGTTAAATCACAGACCTTCAAATGACCCGCGGGATATTACGGTTCGGAACAGGCGCCTATTGATGATAAGGAACGTTGAAATCCTTCGCATCGACCCGACACGTAGTATTGGCACTGGACCCCGGCTGGTAGTTCGTTATCAACGTCAGCGGTGACGTTTTTTTTTTGTTCGTTTTTTTCCCGCAATCCGTCATAGACTCTTCGTATGCACTACGAAACCGCGATGGTGGGTTTGCCGTTACTCATTCGGCAGTAAAATTGTGTACCGGAACAGTTGCTCCGAATATAAGCATTTTAGAAAAACCACCGAGTTTGTATTATAAATGGATTAGTAAGAAATTTTCAGATATAAGAATAACTAACTGATGTTTAATTATTAAAACAAAAAATATTTATAAGCTACTAAATATTAATACCTAAATGAAAGTTTGATAAAAATTATAGTTTTTTGAAAGTTTTATACTAAAACCGAAAATCGTGCGGTTAATACATGAATATTAGATAAATATGTCAACATCATACTGATGGAAATGAAATCGATAAAAGTTTCAAGACTTTGGGATTATTATTTTTCGCATTATTAAGAAATAACTGAAACCGTCAGAAACAAGAATGTGCTCGTAGTATATTATTTCATCGTTATTATTCGGTATGGGTTAAGAAATTATTGGGTAAATTGAAAAATGCTGATTATGTGAAAATCGAAGAACATTCTTTTTGCGGCATACATATATGTATAAAGAAGAATGACTTTGGACATTTAAAAAAAAAAAAAAATAGCTTCGCTCAGAATTTCAAAAATTAAATCGTATTTGTTTTATTTCGGTGAACGTTTTTACAGAGAATTATTTTTCGTCCGGTAATTTTTCCTTTTTAAAAATCGCAATGAATCGCTTGCTCGTTGTATTATAGCAATGCACGCCACGATGTACTCGTGTTATGTACAATAGTATCCGTACGAAGAGATCTAATATTCGGTTCGATTTTAATCGTACATCAACACGGCAGTGCGTCTTGCCAATACAAATCGTATTTTCGACTGTTTGATCGTGGGGTGCGTGGGTGCGCGTAGATTACAGTGATCCACCAACAGCCGTTTAAGCGTTATTTTTAGTACTTTACGTTGGGCGGAAAAAAACAAATTTATAACTATCGTTTTATCGTTTCAGGGAGAGAACTTCACCGTCATGTCGGTAAGGAAAACTTCGTCGAAACGGTCGTGTTTGTACAATGTTTACCTCTAATGTTAAAACATTTGTCTGTTTAGACGGAAACGGCTCTCATTTACGACGCCGTTCATCTGTTCGCCCGAGCACTGCATGACTTGGACAGCAGCCAAAAGATCGATATAAAACCGTTGAGTTGCGATGCTTCCGATACGTGGCCGCACGGCTACAGCTTGATAAACTACATGAAAATAGTAAGACGATGTTTTCAGGACGTTTTCGACCCCGTTGTTTGCCACGATCACGCGACACGGGGACGTTATTTTTTTCTTTTCTTCTCCGCCGTTTCAGGTAGAGATAAGCGGTTTGACCAGCGTGATCAAGTTCGACAACCAAGGGTTCAGGACGGACTTCGAGTTGGACGTGGTCGAAGTGAACAAGGAAGGGCTGTCGAAGATCGGCACCTGGAACTCCACCCAAGGAATAAACTTCACCCGATCTTTCGTCGAAGCCTACTCCAACATCGTCGACAACCTGCACAACAAAACGTTAGTCGTTACGTTGATACTCGTAAGTATTGCGCTGCCGGCGACCGCGTTTATACCGAACCAAGCGTAACGATATCGATCGCGTTGCGCAGAGTTCGCCGTACACCATGCGTCGTGAGTCCAGTCAAAAACTGGTCGGAAATGACCAGTTCGAAGGTTATGCGATCGATTTGATCTACGAGATTTCAAAGTTGTTGGGTTTCAACTACACCTTGAAGCTGGTGCCGGATGGCCGTTACGGGTCGTACAACGAGGACACGAAGGAATGGGACGGGATGATGGGAGAACTCTTGCAACAGGTACGTTACGTAAAACAACTCGCGCGTTCGTAACGCCAGAGCTTATTTTAACGTGCATTTGAATACATTATGTATAACTCTAAATGAAAAATGCGCAGTTCTAAATACTATCTATAAATAAAATTTCTTACGGTAATAAATTGTAATTATCGACTTCATGGCCGAGTGCAGGAAAAGGGTCCGTCAATCATCAGTTTAGGTTTATTAAGACTGTGATATTATTATTATTTTATTATCACAATATTACTGCACGACCGCAGCGGGGCTTATATTCATATACAGGGAGTAATATTTTTGAGAGTATAGGGAAGGGGTTGTGTTTTATGTTTCGCCCACTTCTAAAATAAACTTTAAAATAAGCCCTACGTCACGCGCTTATCGCATCCCGTTCGTTCGCCGAACCCAAACGCGGACCCGATGACAACGACGGTTATTATAATGTTGCAGAGAGCTGATCTGGTGGTAGCCGATCTAACGATAACCTACGACCGCGAACAAGCCGTCGATTTCACCATGCCGTTTATGAACTTGGGTAAGTGCTTTACAAGTAACCCATTATACACCGGTAAGCGTAAACAGCGTTCCGTGAACGGTGCACATATGGTCGCAACTAGAGCCCAAATATTGGGGGTGTTAAAATGTTTGAAAATAAAATTGAATGGTATTTCACAGTAATTATTATAGATTATATAGATCTAGAAAAAAAAAAAACAATAGTGCTAAATTTTAACTCAGGTGTGCTAAAAACCATGTTGCGCCTATGAGTGTACACTCTAATGGACCGTGCTGCGTTTCAACACGTTCGGAATAATAACAATAATAACAATTTTCAGGCATCAGTATCCTCTACCGAAAACCAATCAAACAGCCGCCGAACCTGTTTTCGTTTTTATCTCCTCTATCGTTGGACGTGTGGATTTACATGGCCACCGCGTATCTCGGCGTGTCGGTTCTTCTCTATATATTAGCCAGGTAACATACATTTTGTGTTTACGAATCGTTCCGCGACATTTGTCGATAAAACCTGAACATGTACTGCCGTCACATAATATCTTGTGTACGATTGCTGTTCAAAACCAATTGTACGTGTTTGTAAAGAATAATAATGATTATAAATATGGTTTTGACGGAAGATTCACACCGTACGAGTGGTACAACCCCCATCCGTGTAACCCAGATCCAGATAATCTGGAGAATCAGTTCTCCCTCATGAACTGTATGTGGTTCGCGTTTGGTTCTCTGATGCAACAGGGATGTGATATATTACCCAAGTAAGGAAACGTAGAGCCGAATGTTGAAACACTGTGTACGACGCAATGCTATAGTTAAGACGAACATAACAGCTTGTGTAATCTCCTCATATACGTACTACCACCATCCGAAACCTTAATCGCACACCACGTGGACGACGAAACCTAAAATTTAGGCGACAGCTTCTGTAGTATCATTTGCATGTTTTGTGTTTAGGTTTAGCCCGTACGAATGGGAAAATCCACATCCTTGCAACTCCGATGCTCCAGATGTTTTTGAAAACAAGTTTTCCTTGAACAATTCGTTATGGTTTACGATCGGCTCTCTGATGCAACAAGGATCTGATATGGCTCCTAAGTAAGTACTAATGCTGCGTAATTGGTATCCTTTAGCTAAGAGGGTCGATCACCATATTGGTTCTCCAACTTCTTGCATGTACATTGCACACTGTTGATATAATTTGTATTAATTTAAATTGCATGGTAATCGGTGTTGCTTCGAGGAGTTAGTTCTTCGAATAAAAAAATATAGTTGTATGATTATTATCAACTTACTTGTCTTGTTCTTAACCCAGGGCCGTGTCTACCAGAATAGTGGCAGGTATGTGGTGGTTTTTCACGCTCATCATGATCTCATCGTACACAGCTAACCTGGCAGCGTTTTTAACCGTCGAAAGAATGGACTCACCGATCGAAAGCGCCGAAGACCTTGCGAAACAAACGAAAATAAAATATGGTGCCCTAAAAGGAGGTTCAACTGCAGGATTTTTTAGAGTAAAACAAAAACTATTTTAATTATTTTTGGGCGAGTTTAAGTCTATGCAATGGTTTTTTTTTTATTATTATTACTTCAAGGACTCAAACTTTATTACGTATCAGCGGATGTGGTCGTTTATGGAATCATCCAGACCTAGTGTATTTATGGCATCTAATAACGAAGGCGTCGAAAGAGTCGTAAAAGGAAAAGGGAACTACGCGTTTTTAATGGAATCTACCAGCATTGAATATGTGATCGAAAGAAATTGTGAACTGACTCAAGTCGGAGGATTACTTGATTCTAAAGGATACGGCATAGCGATGCCGCCGAGTTAGTATTTAAGATTTAAGATCATGATAGGGATGATTAATTCAAAGTTCTGTTTTTATTATTAATTGTTGTCATTTCCATACAGATTCTCCGTATAGAACAGCGATCAGCGGGGCTGTATTAAAACTCCAAGAAATCGGCAAACTACACAAGTTGAAAACAAAATGGTGGAAAGAGAAAAGGGGAGGTGGAGCTTGCCGGGTAGTTAAAAAATAATTGAAAATAGTATTTAGTCGAACCGCAGTGGACTGACGGTAATATTAAATAACTGATCGGTTTCGCAGGATGAAACGTCGAAAACCAACAGCGCAGCTAACGAATTGGGTCTGGCCAACGTCGGCGGCGTGTTCGTCGTGTTGATGGGCGGAATGGGCGTTGCTTGTGTGGTCGCTGTATTCGAATTCGTATGGAAGTCGAGAAAAATCGCAGTAGAAGAAAGGGTACGGATCAATACGGAAACGTTCACGAAGTATGCACAACGATAAATCGCATTGCTTAACTCTGTTACAGATCATTAAATATCATACGAAGTATAGGAAATAGGACGGAATATTATGCAAAAATCATCGAAACGCTGTCGCACCGGAACACGGCTTCATCGCGTTACGTAGTCTCGAAGTATTTTCCTTTTGTATTGAAAAATAAACTCATCACGCGTTGTACCTACATGTTTATGAGTCGGCCAGTTAATTTTAGATTAGTACAATATTATATTGTTTACACTTTAGCGAGTTTCATTTGAATAGTTGTTCTCGAATTTTCGAGAATTATGTAATGTAGTTAGAAAAAAAGATTAAAAACACTGTGTTATCGATGTTTAAGAAAAATAATATATTTCTGATGTTCAATGGTTTTCAACTTATATAGGTTTTTATTAATTTTATAATTTTTTTTTTTTTTTTTACAGTCCACATTTCATTTTATAATATATGGCTTTAAATCAACTTTTTCTATACTAAAATGTATATATAAAGAAATAAAATAATGTTTATTATATTAGATTTTTGTACATAATAATATTATAATATTACGTTCATTGTTAGTACTCCATGAAATCCTGTTGTACGCTCAATCAAGACGGTACATATTGTATTAATATCACACGCATTATTGAGACGTAATTTTATGTATTTTATATTTATACCGCCGAATGGACAATGAAGAACTCAAATAAACAGAAATCAATAAAATTATGTTTTTATTTATACGCGTTCTACTGTTTAATCTACGGCCATCCGTTTTAACATAAAACCAATTTAATATTATCTACTTTAGAAAAATTATTTCAATCCGTTATTCTGTTCACTTGAGATCAATTGGGCATAATTTAAGATTTTTGATTTTGATTTCGAAAAATTGACGCATAATATTTCTTTTACATTTAATAACCAAATGTACAGGACTTAGGAATCGAAATTCGGAGAATTATCGGACCGATCGATTTCGAGCAGACGTAATATAGAATTTATAACGGTTGTCTAAAGTTTTATGGCTTAACTCGGAGGTCGATCGGTATTGATCGACAATTTATGGGTTTTTGACCGAAAAAACCGACCTAATGCTGCACTTACAATGCGCACCGTTCGAATGATGTAAGCAAAGAAAAGCACACACCATCACGGCAAATGCGTGATAAACTGTATCGTTAAGTTCTTCGTGTGCATGTTTTGCTCATCATAAATAACGCAGTGTTGCGGACAAGTTCTATGACGTCGCATAAATTTTGTTTTAACGAAACGAGATACGTGTGTTAATTTAATAACGTTATTATTATTATTTTTTCCCAGTTGAAATCCGAGTTAAAATTAATTCGCGGGCAGCATATTTTATCGGATTAAAAATTGAACCCGCTGGGTTCTTGTCGTTTTCTCAACTTATTAGTAGTTTCCCTGATACAGAGATCTCTGATTGTTTACTGTCTAATTGGCACCGGAGTAGACCTTGAATCAATAAAAAAATAAAAGTGTGTTTATTGAATTTAAAATTAAGTATAATAGTTGAAATAAACAATTCAGGTACCCGAACAATTGTGATTCAAGGCTTGGAATTGAGCGCGGCGTAGTACGTCGTTTGATATTGCGCCCGTCGAAGACTATGATTTAGGGCAGCGATTCCCAAAGTGTGTTCCGCGGAACCTAAGGGTCCGTGGGACAATCTTGAGGGTTCTGCGAGATGTACTTAAAAACTGAGAACAATAATTGTAGTAAGCAATAATCACTAACTATCTTTAAAACATTTTTTGGATTATTGGTTTTTCAATAATAAAAATAAATGCAAATACAAATAATTACAGAACTGGTGTTAAGTTGGAGTTAGAGACGTTGGAGTTCCACGAAACAAAAAATATTTCTTAAGGGTTCCGTGGTCGTAAAAGTTTGGGAACCGCTGATTTAGGGGTACGGTCGAACTGCGCTCGGGTCGAATACGGGTAATGGTTTTCCGGCATAAATATCTATGTTGTCCAGTCAAAATGTGATATCAACACCTTCATAATAAAACTAGCGATATCGTAATTCTAATGACTAATCGTTCGAACCCGGGCGTATATCAGGAAACGTTTATTGCGTTTTCGACCAAATTATGATTATAATGAAATCGTAGGTAAATGTTTCTATTGTATAAGTAGCAGTGTTTTATATTGTTTGTTCTGTTTACTTTTATGACGTGTGAAAAAATGATCACACGCTAAAAATTAGATAATTTATTTGTCCCATTACCTGTTAAATGGAACCGGACCAGTTGCCGGACAGTAGCGTGTCCAAACTAACCCAACAGGAGCGCTCTCGTATTGATCGCGAGATCGATTCGAGTGACGGTATTGTTGTACAAAACATTAATCATTTTAAATGCTATTATCATTATTCAACGTAAACGTAACCGCACTTTGCCCCGCGGACGGGTTAGTAGACGACGGTATGTTATATTTTAATCTAAGGCGAACAATATCCATCTACGAAACCGTCGCGGTAGCTCGTCGTCGCCGGTATTTTCGTTACGGGTCTGAAATTTATTTGGAAAAAAAAAAACGAGTTTCGAAATATCACACGCTTGTACGTACTACGATGGATTGTTACTAATCGCGTAGAGGAAACGTATGTTTTTTTTTTTTTTTTTTATTCATTTGACGACGAGGTTTTTTCTCGTCACTTCTCCTCGGCGCCGGATAAACGTCGTCTGTACAGACGAAACATAAACTTTTCGCCTGTGCCGCGAGCACGAGCGCGACGTCGCGAAGTTATAAATAAAACACCGTCGGATGCCAGAACGGTGCCGTTGCTGCAGACGTGTCAGTCGAACGGGTGTGTGCCGTCGTCGCGATCATAACAATAATAATAACAGTACAAGTTTTCGCGGATTTATCTGTGGCGCGCGTGTGCTGCACGGGCGAAATAATAAACGTCGAAACGTTGACGTCCGATAGTCGATAATTATCGATAAAAATCGTGTCGGAAATGGACCGCGTGGTCGGTCGTTTGTTGCCGATCGCGGTCGTCGTCGTCCTGACGTTCACCGGCCGACGGTGCGCCGCCGGCGATACGACTATCACTCTGGGTAAGTCGAAAACGCGATAACGTGCGCGAAGCTTACGTCTTTCGGTGTTGTGTTCGGACAGTGTCGGTCCGGTGCTCAAAGGGCCCCGGATGCATTTCTTCGGAAGGGACATTATAATCTCGCGTTATGATAATAAAGTGCACGTGAACAGTGAAAAGTGTTATCGTTTTTAATGGTATCTTATTTGAATCGCACGAGCAATTTGATTAACTACGTAGTTAGTGTAATTATTTATGACACCGCAGTGTTAAAAAAATGATTTACGAATTGTACAACTGATTTTTTTTTTTTTTCATAAAAGTATTTTTTTCAGTTCCCTTAAAGCCACTAGTAATTACAACTATATAAAATATCGATCACAATCATGGTAGTAACTCGTTTGAAATAACTTAACCTCTCGATACAAATTCAGCTGGGGGAATGCGTTCTTTGCTTAGCCGTCATGGCCAGGCCGACACTGTGAACAAGTTGGTATCGATTATCTATAATTCGTTCGTTTCGGATTCCAATACGCGATTTGACGTAGTACGGTATTATCATAAACTCTGTACATATTGATATTATCATCATAACAACGCAAATGCCAGATCACTTAAGGAATAGAGAGAAAAATAAAATCCATTTTTTTTTTTCTTTAATAAAATAATGTTTTTTAACTGTATAATTAGTTATAAGTTTATAAGTATATATAGTTATAATTAATTATAATTTTCTTTCGAAAGATTTTTTTTTTTTTTGGCGTAATAAGATTAACGTTTGCGGCATAAAAAGCATTTTAATGTATTCCATTACTTCTGAAAAGTTGTTAAAAAAATTTTAAGAGCTTTTGCAAATATATATATATATAGGAATCATTTAAATCAGTGGCGTGAATAAAAGTGTGTACTTTTATAACTCATAAAGTATTATATTTTCCATTTATGACGACTTGTCGTTTCCGGACCATAGATCAATATATTGATCAAACATACCATCAGTGGTGACCACAAATTTTCCACGAACCAATGCAATTATAATTATAGGGTCCCCCAAATTTATTTTGGTCTACATCCATATAATCATATTTGTTTGATTAAAATAATTTTTTTCCAAATGCATTTTCAAATGCACGTTTACCTTAAACAGATTTTAAAATATTGCAAATTCCTGTAGAACATTTTTTTTAATAGGGGTTTGAATTTCAAATATTACAAATATTTCAAAGTTACAACATATATAATAATTTTGATCGGTGATTAAATTTAAAGCATTTCAACTAACATGCATTGACTTGCTTTACAAAATATATCTATTTAATTAATTATTATGTAGTAGTTACATATCGTATTAACATAATAGCATATAAATTTTGGGGTGGCTTCCTGAGCCCTGACAAAAAATACCAACACAATCAACATCTTTATATCTTTATAGTTATTTATATTAGTTATTATTAGAGCTCGGATATAAATGCTCTAAAAATATCAAAAAAATGCTTTTTCAAAAAATGCACCATTTATTAAATAAATTCAAATAATTATTAAAAAATGAGTAAAAAATGAAATTTTATTTACATTATACTACAAAAAATAAAAAAAAAATTAAAATCAAAAATTTAATTAAAAATTAAATTACATATTTGAATTGCACTGTACGATTATTATTTCTTTTAAGTTTTGGAATTTGAATAATCGACGGTTGTCTGCCAATAAGTTTTTATATACTGAAAATGATCTGTCAACATCAACTGAAATTAGTCATAATACGAAAAATAGGTCAAAATATCCTAAAATATAAAAAAAATGCATTAAAAACGTCAAAAAATGCTCTAAAAAGTATAAAATCCGTTAAAAATGCAAAAAAAATACAAAAAATGTCCCAAAAAATTTTTGTGGGTAGAACACGGAGTACCTGAAACAAATTTGTAGCTTGGAAAGCATCGCGTAAGACATCCCAAAAAAAATGATGCAAATGCATTGAAATCCGAGCCCTAGTTATTATATAGTTATATAGTTATATATTTATATTTATTTGCATATTTGGCACCTACCGACTCTTTACGTTTTATCCAACGATCTATTTAGATATGGATATTTATCCAGACGAATAGATATGCATTTATAGTGTTCGCTCCGGAGACCCAAGTGGAGTGCCCAAATTTATGTAGGCCCTAGGACCCTCGAGAAACCGGTGCAATCGCACCACTTGGTACCCTATGTTGTTGCCATTGCGTACCACGTTAGTTAACGTTGGTTCGCACGTGCTCGGTGCGAAATATCATTAGTGCTAGAGCATCGCGATGAATTTTCGTTCACGTGCAATTGGGTTTCAGGAATTTTATACAACGACGAAAACACAATGTTGGAAACGGCTTTCAAGTCGTCCGTGGATGTGGCGAAGGCGAAAATAGCAGCGGGTGGCGTGAAATTGGACGTGGTCAGTAAAATCGTTCCTCTGTACGATTCGTTCGAGACACAACACTTCGGTAAGCGAAGTATTATTGACCCGGAATAACGGCTAAAGGCTGCATACTAGTTGTGTCCCACAGATATCAACGAAAAAAAAGATCTAATCCGAATTGCGGACCGAATTTATTTTGGGTACAGACGAATTGCGGCCTGGGTTTTCTAACTCTAGATAATTTAATCTTGACTGATAAAATATTTTGTGAGGCTTTTCATTCGAAATGCAACGTTTTACTCTACAATGTTCATCCTAATATTTTTGTACTCGTCGATGTTCTAAAAAAATGTACAGAAGGATACCTATATAAAATTAAGAAGTACTCATTTAAATTCTCGCAGAACAAATATAAATGAATAAGAAACATTTATTAGAAATGCTATGAAACGATTAGAAGAAAACCAAATCACCAAATTTGAATTTATACATCATACAAGTTTTTACCAGTGCCATAATACCTAAGAATTTTATTAAATTATACTAACATTTTTAACTTTAATAAATATCATATATGTTTTTACCGGTGCTGAAATTTTTTAATATAAACAAAACATTTTAATATTAGATTTTAATGTCAAAAAAACTTTTTAACCTTAAAAAATATCATATATGTTTTTACCTGTGCTAAAATGTTTAAATGAAAACAAAATATCATTTTTAACCTACCTGCAGTATCTAATAAATGTAAAGGAAAATGAAGTTTTTTAAATTTAAATTTACATATAAATTAATTTAATTTTAAATTTCGGACCGCAATTCGTATATAACCCATAAAAAACTCGGACCGCAATTCGGAAGAAATCTTTACCGCGGGACGCAACTAGTAGCCGCTCCGGCTAAACACCCCTTTCGAAATGCGCAACGTCCCTGTTGCGATCACCGATTCAACCAGTTCACGTGAATTGTCTGCCTAGTGTGCGAGATGTTGACAAACGGCGTGTCCGGTGTGTTTGGGCCGTCGGCCGGTGACACGGCGCCCATCGTGCAATCCATTTGCGACTACAAGGAAATACCGCACATACAGACGCGATGGGACATCAACCAGAAACGAGGGTCGTGCCAGATCAACTTGTACCCGCACCCGAGCACGTTGGCAGAGGTGATTGTTACGTTTGCGTTACTAACCGGTGGTTGTATCATCATCGTAGCTCGTCAGTGACCGGTCGAAATATCTTCGAAATATTATCTTTGGTCAAAATATTTTTGAACAAAAATTACTTTGAACAAAATATATTTTTATTTTATTTTTATCTGTTTATTACGTATTATTGTATCTATCTCCAATCTACATTTTATATTTTTTCGCAGAAACGTAATATTTTAAAATAGTTGTTCGCAGTCTGCTACACGAAAACTAGCCAGTGATCCCCGTCACTGTATCACGATAAAAAAAAGACAATTGTGAAAAATTGCTCTGAAATGTCAACAGTTCAATATTTAAGAGGTTTATCTAATAATATTCAGTATTAATCACTAATTCAACAAAACAATTAACATTTCTACAATAAATGATAATTATTATTGTATTATATAATACAACAAATGATAGGCACATAATTACTTATGATTTTTATAAATATATAATTTATTTATAAAATATACATAATATAAACAATTGTGAATCAGTAAATCAGTTTAAAAGATATTTTGACCAAAGATATTATGACATGGAACCGTTGGAACGGCGTTCTAATTTTAACTGTATCGCCAGGCGTTCATCGATTTGATCACCGCTCTTAACTGGCAGAGTTTTACGATTATCTACGAGAACAACGACAGTCTCATGCAGATCACCAACATCCTCAAGTCACCTCCGACCACTCATCCTATTCGTATCAGGCAACTCAGTCCGGGGCCGAATTACAGGTGAATAACGTTTTACATCGTTTTTACGTTGTACGTGTGTACCAGGTCGGTCGGTAAATTGTTTTACTTTTATACGACTTAGGATTTTTAGAAAAGTAGTGTAATATATGATGCGATGTATACACAGGTCGGTACACTAAGTATTTTTTTTTTCTTATTTTCATATATACATGTAACTTAATCGGGCAAAACACGGTAACTCATCTGGTGCGTACTACGCGTATGTCGGTATAAATATTTAATTGTTAGGATTTTTAGAGATCGTGATTGCGTATACAGTCGGTGAGTACATCAGGGTGGTTCTGTTTTAGAAAAGAACTTCGAGAGATAAAGGACTCCGGTGAGACAAAAATTCTGTTGGATTGCTCGTTCAACATCCTTTCGGATGTGCTATTTCAAGCGCAACAGGTGGGTCTCATGGGATCGGAACACAATTTCATCATCGCATCCCTGGTGAGTATGCGGGAACACAAACAACAAATCTCCTGCGTTTCGGTCACAGCCAGCAGTCATTACGCGAAGTTAATCGTTTTCAGGACATGCACACTTTGGACTTGGACTCGTTCAAATACAGCGGGACGAACATTACCGGGATGCGCTTGGTCAGGCCGCTGGACAACGAGTTTAGAAACATCGTTTCCCAGTGGACGGACAATATGAGTCCACTCGAACCGGACGATAAAGTTGTGATACCCGAGACGATTCAGGTTAGATCGCGATCTATTATCGTTTGAAAACCTTTTGTTCTATAGTTATTAACCCGTCTCTGCCGTTCGTTTTCTATTTTAATTATGTACACACCATTCACACCACCTCTGATCTTCAATTTCATACTCAATATACTACGTTCTATACGTTCTAGTCATTATGTTGTTCAAATCATAACAGTAGTAAGTAGGTGTTCGACGCTTCAACGCTCAATCCAGTCTTATTACTTAATGTTTCCATTGTTTTTTACATCTTCCTATTTTCTAATCGTGTAATTTGTAGTTATTTTTCGGTCTAGCGTTTTCTTAACATTATTTTGCGTATACAATACCATACATCTCACAGCACCATTTTATTATTTTCCTTTCCTCTGACGATATCCTTGAAGCATCATGCGTCAGACACACGTTTTCAATAATATTTTCCTTACTCTTATTTTGGTAGTTTTTCAAGTGAATAAGGTCTTTTTGTTGTCAAAGCTATAGTTGCTCGGGAATTACGTCTAATTACCTGTCTTGCGTCTGTCCCATTGCTCGAAACATTGTTATTATGTTATATCGTTATGTAAGGATTTATTCGTTTGTCATTGTCCTACGCAGCTGGAGTCCGCTTTAATTTACGATGCCGTCCAGTTGTTCACGACGACTATTTATAACTTGAGCAAAGAGTTCGAAATCAGTGAGATGCCCACTCCGTGCAACTCTAGCCTTTCGTGGAAACACGGATTTACCCTAATCAACCACATGAAAATGGCTGTAAGTAAACTAATATCATTTAATATCGTGATTCCTTGGCGCTACACATTTCATCCATAAAGCCTTATAACGCGTCGATTGAAAAAAAAAAATTAATGAATTTAGAAAGACTTCAAAGGGCTTACCGGAAAAATTAAGTTCGATCAAGAAGGGTTTCGAACGGACATCGAGTTGGAGCTGGTGGATTTGACGCAGAACGGTTTGAGAGTGACAGGAACGTGGAATGCTAAAACCGGCATCAACGTTTCGACGGGTATCGTTTCAGAAACCACAACAGTTGGACAGGAATTTGACTTGAGGAACATGTCCTTCATCGTTATCACCGCGTTGGTAGGTAAATCAAACACGATTATCGCATAACACTGCGTCATCGATCTATTACTAGTATTTATCTATATATACTCTTAGAGAGCGTTCTGTACGTATGTGTGCATGTGTGTATATGTGTGTTGTGATCTCTACAGACGCAACCATACGGTATGGTGAAACTTTCCAGCAACACGTTGGAGGGGAACGACCGTTACGAGGGTTTCGGCATAGATCTGATCAAGGAGCTCAGCGAAATGAGTGGTTTCAATTACACGTTCATCATACAAGAAGATTCCAACAGCGGGTACAAAGACGAAAAAACTAAAAAGTGGAGCGGAATGATCGGAGAAGTCATAGATGGAGTAATTATTGATCATGTAACAATAATAATAATTTTAAAATGTGCGTGCGTTCCCAGATACGAGGTTAATAATATAAATAACTACCCGAATCATCATGGTCTTGGTTAGATGTTTTTCTATTTTATCTTTTAGCTATTCTAAATCTTAAAATGTTAGATTGAAAAAAAACGTACAATCGTCGTGTATTCTGAAAATATTTATTTTTATTGATTTACATTGCGCTTGTTAACATACATCTCAATCGGTAATTATTAAATTCAACATATTGAACAATATAAAACTGGTAACCAAAAAGAAAAATATTTTTTTTACATCAAACTCAAAACTGTTACGACTCTTAAAATTGTAATTTTCTAAAAAAAAACCCATCGTGTCAAATTTAAACTTCATACGTTTTGCTGTTCTTGAGATGTAGCGATCAGTGTATGAATGAGTGGTTTTTTAACTTAATACATACATATAGAGATTATAATATCTTGTCATATGCTTATGTCAATATTATTACTTTATTACTATAAATTATTATCATTTATGATATGTTTTACTAAACTCCGAAAATTATAATTTTTACCGATGCATGTTGAAATAGTATTATGATAAAATATGATCGATTTATCATTTTTAAATGTTGACTACAAAATATGTGAATAAAAAATATGCCATATGAATTTCAATAGAAGCTTATATATTTTAAGAGTTGTTTAATAAAAACAAATATAACCAGTATTATCTATATTACATTAGAAAAGAACGCGAGAAGTGGCATTTAGCGTTGAATAATATAATAACGAGACGGTTACATTGAACGACACATTGTTATTGAGTTGAACGTATATTAGCTATATAGTTGTGTATATTACAAATTTCTTGTAGTATAATCAGATCATTGGCTATGATCTTGATCCTAATGATTTAATTGTTAGTAATTGTATAATAAATTAACTATAATAATTCATAACAAATGATTTAAAATGTTCCGAATTCCAATACGAACTGACAATAACCGTTTTGAATAAATCCACACGAAACGTTTAACAAATATATATTATTAGACTCCAAATATATATGTTTTTAAAAATTTGCATAGAAATAATAATATTTACATAATAAGATAAAGTAAATTAAATAATAATTACGATATTGTTCATGTTAAAGCTTATTTCTGATTTATTTAAATATCCTAACGGAATGCAAGATTACATTTAACACGTCATAATATATAATTAATCGTACACAGTGACGGAATATTACATAGGGTTCGATACATTTAATTCTAGACATAAATCCAACTCAAAAGTGTACCTCATAGTAAATTCGTATTTCGTTTAATTGTACTTAATGGTTGTTGTTGCAGAGAGCTGATCTCGCGGTAGCCGATATTACCATAACAAGGCAAAGAGAACACGATGTGGATTTCACTAGCCCGTTCATGAATTTAGGTAGGTAGTAGACAGGTATATGCAATATGTGGACTCTCGGTAGTTCGAACCTCTATTCATCTACAAAAATCACTGTAAGTCGATTTAAACGCTTGGTTCTCTAAGAAAACATCCACAACTCGAAGGAAACACATTTATTTCTGTCCCCTTCGATTATCGAATATAATCAAGTGTCGATCAATGTAAAGTAAACGAAATAATAGATAATATGTATACGATAAAAATGTGCACCCTTTTTAGTTCAATCCCCCTCCCCCTTTGAAAATTTGAACTTAATTTTAAACTTCCACTAGTAGAATTGTTGCCATGATTACCCCCGTGTTTAGAATTATCGAGAGTCTACTCTACAACTCTACACAAGTAACTGGGTTACGGAAATAATTACCCTTTGAGCACAGTAAGGAATTATTAAGATGATTGTTTGGGTAATATTTTATTCGAATAAAAATTATTTGAATAATTTTAAAATAAATTAATCGAATAAAATATGATTTCAATAGTATTAAAATGTATACAAGTATTTTTATTTATTTATTGTTTTTTTTTTTTTTTTTGCTTAAGTTTATTACAAAATTTCATAAGTGAATCTTGTTTATAGTAGTATTTGAAATGTGTCGTATCAGTTATAAATATAAAAATGATCTTAAAAGATTTTAAAATATCATATATTTATCATACGATTAATGTCAATTACCTAAATACGAGTATTGAAATTATTTATTTTTTATGTAGTTATTGCGAAATTATTATTACAAATAAATATACATATTTTTCATTGTAGAATGCAAGAAAAAAAAAGAACATCTAATTTAATTTTTTTATAGTTCAATATTTGTTTTGCTACAAATGTTTGTTGTATATATTTGCGTATTTTTCATTACTAACGAATGTACGAATGTACAATCAAATAAAATAAACGAAGATTAATCGAATACATTTTATTCGAATAATTTGTTATTAGAACGATTAAATTTGGAAACTATTATTTTTATTTTTATTTGAACAATGATTTTGGAAATTATTCGAATGATTGCGGGAAGTTCATCCGAATAGTAATTTATTTTATTACACATTTATTCGAATAATTATCTAGATAAAATGTTTCCTAGCTGTGCTTTTGAGGCAAAACGTTCGTAACAACAGTCTTTCGATGTATCACTGGCTGACACGTTGAACAAAGGATATTATCATTAGATTGTATCATAAACTTTATTTTTGCTTACCTACTGGTCACTAGGTATCAGCATATTGTACAAGAAGTCGACGAAGAGTTCACCCAGTCTGTTCTCGTTCTTGGCGCCGTTCAGCTCTTTCGTATGGCTCTGGGTGATCACAGCATACTGTGGCGTTTCCGTTCTGCTGTTCATCATGGCCAGGATCAGCCCGTACGAATGGACCAATCCTTATCCGTGCATAGAGGAACCGGAGTACTTGGAGAACCAGTTCAGTCTGTCGAACGCGTTTTGGTTCACGATCGGGTCGCTTATGCAGCAAGGTTCAGACATCGCTCCGATGTGAGTCAATTGCGTGCACAATGTATAGAATAACAATTTTTGAAATGTGTTCACAAAGCATATGTATTATAATTTTGTCAATATAACGGCGATAAACAACATATATTTTATTGAATTTCAAACATGCGTTAGGTTAGGTTAGTGGATTTAGTCCATATATTAAACCAGTGGTTCTCAACCGGTGTGCCGCGAGCGCCCTTTAAATGTGCCGCATTAAATCTATAAATTGTTTTGTAAGTATGTATTAACCACCTTATTATTGATATTCGAGATGAAAACTGATCGAACTAATTGTAGATACATATAATATTATTTATTGTAAGTATGCTCGTCGCAGCCGTCTCGATCGATCGATTGTATTAATACATTTCACAATAAATAACCCTCTAATAGAGTAGATTGTAAATAGTATACATATATATGTATAATAGATGGTTCACATAATATATGGACTGGTGTGCCGCGAAAATGTTGTTGGAGATGAAGTGTTCCGCATTGTTAAAAAGTTGAAAACCACTGTACTAGAAGAACCCGGTTCGAATATTGATTTCAGTTGAAGTATTTTGTAAATTTTCTCTACGCAATTATTCAGAAAACTGTTGATTATGTTGATTTCATAATTTTTTGAGAAGCTGTTGAACCGCAATAAAGTCTTTTTCGACTAGATATGTCGACGAAAAAGACATTATTTGGAGCCCCAATCCTTTCCGTTGTTGAGTGTAAATAGATTTAATCTGATCCTAAACCATGAATATAATAAAAATGTTATCGACAGAAGAACCGTCACTTTCAGTAAAACGCCCTAATCTGTTGGAAATCGCTGATTTAGTCCATTAGTTGCATACACGATGACGTAATAATCTATTTAAAATTTTTTATTTTTCCGTTTCGCAGTGCCGTGTCGACTAGGCTGGTCGCTGGTATTTGGTGGTTTTTCACGCTCATCATGGTCTCGTCTTACACTGCGAACTTGGCTGCGTTCTTGACTGTCGAGAGTGTAACAGAACCGTTCAAAAACGTAGAGGACTTGGTAAACAATCAAAACGTCATCAAATACGGTCTGAAGCAAAAAGGATCTACCGAAGAATATTTCAAAGTGAGGTCTTGAACACATCATTATTAATCCAAAATCATTGTTATCTGGGATTGTAATTTTTCCAACAACCATCAACCATTATTATCGGAACGATTTTGCATTTTTGTTTTGTGAAAACACACGAAAACGATGTGAAATTATACGATTATCGTATACCGTGCACCAGCATGTAGGCGTTTCGTATAGCATTTAGTATTAAGGGCCGCAGGACGTTTATCGTAAATCAAATACATATCAATCAACACTTTTGATTTTCTTCGTTATAACTAATTAAATTCGTTTCGAATTATGCTGAAATTAATACATAAATAAATGAAACATGTCGTCCAGCTTAGGCCCAAAATCCTTAACCCCTAGTAGTTGTACCGTGCCATCGATTCGAACTATATTAGGACTTATTAAAGTTCAAATATATATACATATCAAAAAAACGTTTAGTATCTGAACACTTTCGTCACGTTTCTCGATAATGAAATCGCTGTGTGTAGGTACATCTTTTAACGATTAGAATTTTTTTAGAATAATGAAATAATTTCGCAGTCCACCTCAAAACATTTCAAACGATTGATATTTTTATTGCAAAAACAAACCGGCAAACAATTGTTTACAAATGGTCTTACCGTAGAAGGTAAATGTTGCGTTCAAGCTGGATGCACACTACGCGTTTAACTGATTGCACATTAGGTGTACATGGACGTCGTTTAAAACCCCGTGCTTAAAGTCGGGGAAGTCAAACAAATGCAATTTTATCAGGCTATGAGCATTACAAATAACTGCCGCTATTAAGAGGTCATCATACCCGCATGTGTTGTCTCCGTCTAACGTACGTACAACATAGCAAATTTGCGTTCAGTGATTCAAATATAGTGACGTTAGCTTTAATATTGGAGTAAACTGACCTAAAATCAAACTTTAAGGGAAAAACATTATCTGTGTTTTGTTGGTAGGTTTTACCGATATTTAAATTTTTAGCGAGTAACGATGTTTTTTTTAATTGTTATATTTTACGTGCTAAAAAATTAAAATATCGAAAAAAAACCGACCAACAAAACACGGATAACGTTCTTCCCTTAACGTTTGATTGTAGGTCAGTTTACACTGATATTAAAGCTAATTCCACTACATTTGAACTACTGAACGTAAACTCACTATGCTGTACGTATATCAGACGGAGACCATGCACGCGGGTGTCTTAACGACGGTTAAACGCAGTAAACGCGATACGACGGTTGTTCGGTTTCGTAGCTATTCGTCTCAGTTCGATTGTAAAAACTGAACACGGTTCGAGTTTTACGTTTTATTCCCACGTAATTGTTGACGGAAAACGCTGTAAAACGCGCGCGCGCGTAACCAGATTGTTGAACGTAAACGTACGCGTTTTAAAAACGCTACCAATCGTCTGTACGCGAACCGTACGGTTTCATTTGCCGGCGTTTTTAAAACGTGAAACACGTTTTAAGCTTTACACCGTCGGTGGATCACTCGCCCGTCGTTCCGCGATCCGTTCAACAGCTATGATTTGTGCGTCCGCAGGAATCCACCAATCCGACTTACAAGAAAATCTACAACACCGTGCAAAATAATCCGCCCTTGTACATGGCCAATAACGAAATGGGCGTTGATACAGTGCTGAGAGAAGACTACGCGTTTTTCATGGAATCCACGTCCATCGAGTGAGTGCTCGTGCCGCGTACAATGTCGGACATTAAACGTCCATCGGTTTGCAGTGGTTGTGTACCGACCGGCGCACAAAGGTGGTGGCGTATCGAGGATTTGTTTTTCTGATGCGGGGGTTAGGGTGATCGATTACGTGTCGTAATAATAGTTAAATTAATAAATTAATAAAAATAATACTACGCAACGGATGGTGAAATAAGCATTTAATAAAGAAGGTGAGAGAAAACAAAAATCACTCCTCGGGATAAAGTTGTAGGACGAGTGTGGGCAGGGGTGTGGTAAACCGTAGAGCGGTTAACGGTTAACCAACTGTGATAACCTAGCGATAACTAACTGTGGATGGCGTACGATTACGGTCACCGACGTCATCGTGTGACGGTTTTATTCGCGTATTGTTCACGTATTTGTCCGACTTGTTTTTGGTACATTTTTATACGAGATAAATACCGGTGGACGGGTGATTGTTGTTGACCTAACCCAACCTAATCCTAACACGTATATTTTACATCATATAAGATGATGTTGATCACTGTTAGTGCTATCGTCTAAGACAGTGGCGTAACTGGGAAAAAATAATATATTTATTATTACCAAAACCCTGACACCCCTCCCCTTCATCAGTTAAAACATATTTTTATTGTATGTATTTTATACACAATATCTAATTGTTTGATTTTACATAAGTCTTTTAACTCATATTTTATGGTTTAGATAAACATAAATTGTAGATAGCAGGTACCTAGTAACAATATTGTTAAATAATACCCATAAGAGTTCATTAATAAAAGGTGCTATTTGTACTGTTGGATTATCTGAGGAGGCAAAATTAGACCTTTATCTCTCAAAAAATTGTCAGAGGGGGCACTTGCCCCCCTCTTGCCTCTCCACAATTACGCCATTGGTCTAAGATATATGTGATCGAAGATTTCCCGGATGCGGCTGCGGTCCTCTCAGCCACTACCTCCTCCAGATACGCCACCGCCTAACGCATTGTTTCCTTTCTAAAATTAACCGCTCGCGTGTACCGTGATCAAATTTACATTGCGATCGGTCAACGTTACCGTTTACTTTGTGTAGGTACGTAGTCGAACGAAACTGCAGATTGGCCCAAGTCGGTGGTCTGTTGGACAACAAAGGCTACGGGATTGTAATGAAAAAAAGTAATCCGACTTCAATATAACAGTCTGTTATGTCATGGCGATACTATGTTATAAATATCGTGACACGAATCAGTGACGAGTTTAAGGAGGACGGCCTGGGTGAACCTTTTCAAACCTCCCCCCATTTTTATCTTTTTCTTTTCTTTTGGTTCGTTGCAAAAACCGTTTTAGCCTTAAAGAGTTGTACAGTAAGGCGATGTCGGTTAAAATATTATTCATTGTGCGTTATAATACGAAAATTAGATCCGAAGAAAAAAATAAAAATAATAACCCCACCGCGGGAATGAAAACAATTGTGAAATCATCTGAAAATAGAATTTTTCTCTTTAAACCGCGCACTGATTTCATTTCTTACGATATTCTTATGAATGTTTACTCATTTACTGACCCGCGCGTTATGTACATTGTTCGTGTAGATGCGAGTTTTCGAAATGTTTTGAGCGCAAACATATTGAGGTTACAAGAAAAGGGCAGGTTGACGGCCCTGAAGAACAAATGGTGGAAAGAGAAGCGCGGCGGCGGAGCGTGTCAGGTAAGCATTTCAAGTCCGAGAATAATTTCATGCAAACCAAGAAACGTTGAATTTTTTACTTAGTTTTTCCTTAATAATTGCTGTTGACGATTACTGAATCGATAACTAATAAGAAAATAAATGTTATCGTACTCGAAATATAATTAAAACATTTACAGCAGAAGACATTTGCGAACCACGTCCGGTTCTTGTCAAATCGGCCGTTACAACGATCGACAAGCAAATTTTTTCATTTTAGTGAACTTACACAGAAACTAGGAAAACAGTTTTGGGTTATTTATCATATTTTCGTCTTTGTTCCGATTGAAGCATTTTTCCGTATAAACATTCTACTCGCGGGAAAAATCAAATTCGAAAGCTGAACAATTGTTAACATTTTATCAGCAAATCAACTTACTAATACCATCGAATTTAAACATATTATGAATTAAAAAATCGTTTCGTTATGATAATTTAACCATCTAGAAGCAATTGAATCGTTTTAATTTGATGTACATCAATGCGTTGCAGGGGGGCCTAAACACACATACACATACACCGATGATAATTTACTTCTCGCACAAAGACAACCCGTGGCGGTCACACGCAGGCCTATATAATCTTTTAATAATGACGTACTCGTATTATTCGAAGAGTTACCTAACGGCTTTGTTGAAGATGAGTCTTAACGTTCTTCTATTCAACCGTACGCATTATCTACAAGCCAAGATATGTTGAATTGCCACAGAAGTAAATAGACCGTACAACGTTGAAGCTATAAGTACCAGGATGACACGGACCCACAGGGTCTACGCCCACACACCCCCATTTAATAGTTTACGTACAGACAAAATTCGTTCTTACTCACTGCTATAGGTTCAGTTAAAACTCCAGTAAGACTAACTCTCATAATTTCCTCCCAAACAAATCCGCAGCTATTACATTAATAATACATGTACGCAAATTCAACACTATAGATTAAGTTTTATTTTATTACAAATTGTCTGTCTACGCTAAAGTATCTTAATTATTTACCGAGTTGATGACTTCCTTCACAATATTGAGTAGTATACTGGTCCGCGACTAATTTTCGACACGTCTCATAGAAGAAAATAATCTTTCACTCGCTCAGTCACTATGCTTATAGGAATATTTATTACCACTTGATACATCTTGATTGGGATAAACATGATTTTTGATCACTTTATTAATATCATTTATAACGAAATTAAGTTTCATAGTTTTAATGCAATTTCTCGCTACATCCATTGCGGATTTTAAAGCATCAATATTTATTATTGTAACTTTTTAAAAATAAAGTTAAATATTACAATCAAATTATTTAGAAAAAAAAAAATGTAATATTGTCAAACGTAATAATAATTGCCTGTACTGGGATTATAAACAGAGATTATCTCAATGTTAGAGACAAAATCCTAAGATTCATTATTTATAATCTAGGCTAAACCTTTCGAGCTACTACTCAGTAGTTGTGTCTGTGTGAATAGGTGCTGCTATTTCGGAGAAATGAAATGAAGCGTTAAACAATAAATCGACCAAAAGTAATTTAGTTATTTAATAATAATAACGATTTACTGTAAAAAAAAAGAAAGAATTTACAATAAATAATAATGCGCAGAGTACAGTAGGTATCTGATATCGATTAACATAAAGAGGCGAATTCGGTTCGAGGAAGCGTAATACTGAATGACGTACGTTGCATTGTTTTACGATTTATCGCACTGCACGCGTGTGGTGTGACGGTCAAAGACACTTTCTCCACCCACCGACTGGTATACCGGTGTGTAGCGGTTCGTCGTTTTCCATTGTAATATTTACTGCACGTAATTGTGCTATTAAAACCATATGTTAATTACCGAACCAAGATAACTGTAAAAATTAAAACTATTTATATATGTATAAAACAAACATGATGTCCCGAACGAATACAGTCTCATCTTAATTCTATGCAATATTATAACCGTTTTCGGCATATATTTTTTTTTCAATTATTTCACCGTAAAAACCGTTTTCAAACTAACGCCTTACAGTAGTGGACCAACTATTAACCTAACCTCTACTAGTGGTATCAGTTGAGAGAAAATAATGATTCCAACTACGGTGTAACAATATAACACGGAAAATTAATGTTATCGGCTTGGCCGACGTGCGTTGTCGACAAATAAAACTTCGTATTCGCAATGATAATATACTCGTATTATCCAAATGCGTATTCTCGACGTAATTGATAGCGATTGGCGGGCGGGGCAAAATCTATCGGACGGAGTAGGTAATTCCGAAACAACCAACGGCGCTACCTCGAGGCCGAATCGGTTTTATACGTTTCATTCGCGCGCAGTACACACCACTGTACTATTGTAAACGCAATAAAAACTTTACGCGCGTTTAATAATAATAACCCGTTCGTGAACGTTGGCACGACGTGGTCGGTACCAGCGACGACCGAAATGGATGTCGATGTCGATAACATCCGGGACCCGAAGACCATATCGGACGGTCGTTAATGGTGGAGAGGCTTCAGTTATCCAAGACCCACTGGGGTTTCTGCACTCGTCGACAAAAACTAAAACACTTGGTATACGAAACACCAAAAACGACTCTTATTGATAGGAATTCGTTATTTATTTGCACTCGTAGAAAAAACTCACTTAACAACTGTTAACGGTGATTAGACGGAATGAATGTATGTCTCCGTTTTTGGGGTTACATGACATTCTTTTTCTATACAAATAACAGACGCATTAGGGAACCTATTTTTTAAATCTTTTGTAGCCGAGAAAAATCTCTAGAATACGTACCTACTCAAAGAAATCACTAGGTGGAGGACAGAGATAAAAAAATTATATAAATTGGAATAAATTTTTAAATCTGTAACTAATTTTATTTCATTCGAATTAATAAAAAAAAAAAAAAACGAAGAGGGGTTAAATAAAACTAGAAAGGTTTAAGCCTCCCTAGTGCTCCCAAAATCACGCTTATGCCAGAGACTCAAAGGAGACGCCCCATTGTAAACGTAAAATTGAAGGGTATTTTTAACGCGAAAGAACTGAGTAAGGCGTTTAAATGATAAGTGAGTAATGTACATGATCTTAAAAGTATAGATTTATTATGTAGAGTTTCAAACAAATATTCTTAATTAAAATCACGTGCCCTCATATTATCTGTAGGTCAGAATTTAAAATGTTTAAGAATTATATCAGTTCAAATTTTATTTTTCATAACGCAAAAAGACATTCAGTTGTATAATATTTTGAATAAAATCAAAATAATAATCGACCGAAGTACGAAATCATTAATAGGAATGGAAATTTATCAAATGACTTTTAATAGAATAAAATATTTATATAATAAGTAGGTACGCTACGTACATATTTACACGCATACACAAGTATAAATATACATATGTTTGGTATGTATCATACAAACAAATCGAACAAAAATAAACAAAATATTAATCGCGATCGGCTTCGCTTTAAAGCGAGAACACATTCTACGATACCGTTCTATCTTTGTCTAGCCGAGTAATGGTTGTCCGACGATGGGTGAGGTTCGGGGTACGGTGGCGGCCAGAAGGTAATACGTGGCCGCCAAAAATGTCCTCTCCGTGTCAAGCCGCCGCAGTCTTGATACCTAACTGATATCGGGTACGCGGAAATTTTAATATTTCCAATAACTATTCGATCGATTCGATTTCTTAACTTTTATCGTTAGACGGCTTATCTGCACGCTAAGTACTCGCGTTGAAAAAAAAAAAAAACTACGCGAATCGATCCGGTAAAACTTCAGATATATCTGTCATAAAAATCGTCTCTCCTTTCAACGATATAATAGGTATCACGCGTATAAACGGCATAAACGCTCGAAAATGTTCACCGGCCAAGCGGAAGAATCCGAACGCCTTAATTAAATTAATTAAAATATATTTCAATCGAACAATTTCACGCAATACATGAACGTGTGTATTCGATTCGTTCGGAACGTTAACGTACGGTTTTCATCGTAGCGCTCCAAACGAACGAAATTAAACAATAATAGATTATTATGCACGGATACCGGGTGCGTGTGCTGGATCGGAAACGAAGTGTTGACTGTTATCGGGATAGGTATATACTTATTGATCAAGACGATGCATCCGGGTTGCGTACACGACAAACGTACGCGACTAACTTTACGGAAATTCAAAAATGAAAAACATTGACCAGGCTCGTAGGCTAGAGACGAGAATTCCCTATGGGCATTATTTATAGACAACCTTACCGAATGACAAACGGTACTTTTCATTCTTCGCGATCACGATCGCTTTCGCTGTTGGTACCTATAGTGTTTACCCCGTTCTCATGATTTCGACCGGCACCCTGTGGACGTGTAAAATCATGTTTAACCTGTGGTCTCGTTCGTTGCGCACAGGACACCGAGAACACCGAGGCTAGCGAGTTGAGCATGAAGAACGTGGGCGGCGTGTTCATCGTTCTGTGCAGCGGCGTCGGGGTGGCCGCTATCCTAGCAGCCCTGGAAATGTTCTGGACGCTGTGGAAGACGACGAGCAAAGAAAAGGTGAGTACATGATGACATCTGCCTCGCAATGATGGCTGAATATTGGAGATATCCGTAGGACCAGGTCGTCCTTTTTTTTTTGAAGGATAGTTTCAATTGTACCACAGAAGAAAAAGAAATGTCCCCTTGATAAACTACTAAACCGTTTGATCGGAACACGGGCAACCATCGAAAAAATCTATTTGAAAAATATCGTTAACGTTTCATGCATTTTTTTAGAGACATCTGATCAATCACGGGTGTCGTCAAACGTATAGCCTCGCTACTTTACCTATGGTAAACCGCATGTTCTTTTTAAAAAAGTTCTTAAGGGCTTTTCGTTTATTGAAGAAGGTATTGAAAAGTCGTACAGCCATACACCTTGACATCAAGGACACAGTTTTCGTAAAAGCTATAACACATTATGTAATAACACCTACACACATGCAATATAACCTATTTCGCGAGGGAGGGGCTATGCTCAGACAACTGTTAACCTATTCCAACAAGTGAACTACATTCGAAATGTTCAGTTTATTACGTCGATCGACATGTATTATTACAGTACGATAAATCGTTAGAAAACAAAAAAAAAACATTTGGTATACGATTCGACGAAATTGTAATTCATTTTTATTGCGGTATTCTTTTAGAAATCTAGTCCGTCTGTCCTCTATATACTCTGTACATATATACCGCCATTTTTTGTCGCAGGTGTCGTTCAAGAGCGAGTTTAAAGACGAACTCAAGTTCATAGCCAAGTGTCGCGGGTCCACTAAACCGGCTCGAAAGAAACAGAACAGCAGCGCGGACAACTCGAAAGCGACCGGTTCCAATCAGTACATTAACAATTCGGACAGGCACTACGGTTACGAGTCGTAGTACGAAATAAAAATTAGTACGTGAAATGTGTTTTATATAGTATACATAAATAATTATCTACATATATGTATGAATTATAATATTATATGCATATGATATACACAGAATCTTAAAATAATGAAGACAATTATTTGCGTAAAAAAAAAAAAAATAGTAATAATAATAATTAAATTAAAAAAATTATCACAGTCATTTTGTATTTTTTTTTTGTTTTCTATAAAAATCATAAAAACGCTCAAATTAAATCTATACAGTATAATTTTTATTTATTTATTTATTTATTTTGTACACTTCTTAATCGTAAGTCGGCGCGCGAATCAATTTGAATCCGTATCCGGGGTCGCGCGTTCGGACCACCGGAGGCCGACCATCAACCGATTACACCACGGTTGCGGATCGTACCGTAGAGGAGAGATCGGGCGTTATGTGAGTTCGGCCCATCCGGCCGTCCACCCGGGTGGGCATCACGAGACTTCCGCTGCGGCCACGGGAACCGTACCGCGATCACGGCTGCGCGACGACGGCGGCCACGACGCGGTCCACGTTGATGGGCGCGGCCCGTTCCATCAGACACTCGATGCTGGTGCTCTGCTCGTTGGACAGGCTGGACGCGGACGAGGACGATTCGCAGACGGCGGCCGCGCGCGCGACCGACTGCTGCACGCCGTCGTGGTCGCGGTTACCGTTGTTCCGGGTCATCTCGACCAGCACGGTGGTATAGTCGGGCGGCGGGCACGTCGCGGCTGCGGTGGGACGTTGTTGGACGGCTGCATCGGTGGACGGCACGTGCGACGCGACGGCCGCTGCGGTGGCGTGCGCGGACGTCGGCGGCTGATGTTGGCCGCCACCGTTGATTGCCGCGGACGACGAGGACTGCGGAGACGACGACGACGAGGATTCGCCCAGTGCCGCGGCCGTGGAATGCTGGTTGCCGAGCACGTGCGTCAGCCGGCGCACGCTCCGCCGGATGCTCTGCCGCAACATTTTCGCGATTCTGTACGCACACGTGGAAAAACAAAAAAACACACACAAAACTGTTCAAAAATCGCGTCTTCGGCACGCAACTATTGCATCATGTGCGGCGTGCGAAAAAAGATTTACGTGCGAACAGAGACGGTGGCCGTGGGTGCACAGCGAAGAAGAAGAAGAAGAAGAAGAAGAAAGAATAACCGGTAACCACCAAACTCGACCTCGTGCTACGGTCGTGCATGCATATTAATATAGTAATAAATAATGTAACAGAGTGTTCAATCTACAAAAGAATTTGTTAATTGTTTTTTTTTTACTTATAATACTATTTATAATTAGTTACATGGTAAAATCATATTAATATATGTAGTGTATATAAAATATACATCGATATATCGATATATGATGCGTAAATTTTTTTTTTTTTCGACAGTCTGATAAAAGTATATAAACGTAACAACTAAGTATAAAAATATGACAAAAAAATAAATTAAAAATTAAAATCGTTACGACAACAATAGTGATAATATTATATGCGATCGTGTGTGTTTACAATAAAAATTGAATATACAAGAGAGTTACGTTGACGTAGTAAAATAGGGAAGGTAGGTCGTGTAAGCAGCGTAAGTTAGTAATGAAAAAACTGCACTACTTAGCGCATTTATAATATTATTATAATGCTCGTGTTAGTCGTTCTCGTAAACCGTTACTAATTCAGTGAATCTTAAAGACCTTGCTCCGGTGGCCGTGGAATACGACGGTGGCGGTGTGTACTTGGGAGGTGGATCCTCTATCTGCACGGCCGTCGTGCCGTTGACGCCGGGCTCCGGTATTGTATCGCTTCCCTCCGCGGGTCTACGGGTTTCGATGACGGGTCGGTACAGCATCTGGATTCGCTAAAAGCAGACGATGAACAGGCATCAGAAAGAGAAAGAAAGAAAATATCAGTGTTAAATTAGACACGTGTGCAGATATGTTTTGTCTTATGAAGTTTACAAAAGCAACTCAACTCCGTGATCCACGAGGATTATGCAAAACCAAATGTTTAGCTTTGAGGTAAATAGGGTTCGTAATCGAAGTGTTTTAATCGGACGCACTCGAAGCGTTTCGATACTATGTCGTTTTGTAGCCCTACGACAGTACAAGAATAAATGATTTATCCACGTGTGCTCATTTAAAAACAAACAACATATATCTGGTTTAAAAATAAATCAATTCGCAAATTTATCTTGAATTTATATCGATATATTTGTCGCATAATATAAAAAAATTGTATTATTGGAATGTTTTCATAAAATATCTTTTGAATAATTATTTAAAATTCAATTCATCTCTTCAGGTGATAAATGCATTTTTTAATGACATGAAATCTTTATAATTACCAGATAACCGAGAAAAAATATATTTTCCGCTTCGATGGCGTATTAAAACAACAGTCAAGTAATTTTGCATAACCCGTTTTGTTGATGTAATGCCTAACTATGTTTAATAATTTTTTGATATTATATTCCAGTAGCGTACATTCACATTTTTTTATAGGAGGGCATTGATCAGTTACGTGACATATTAAAAAAAAAAAACATAATAACTGTAAAATGAGTTTAAAATAACTGTACGTTTATAATAATTAATATTTGTAATAAAAAGTTTATGTTATGAAAACCACATATATACAATTATAATTATTTATTATTGACCATGTAAGATTACGATATAAAATTTAAAATTTCCCGACATTTTGGAGTCCTCGGTACCTCATGATATGCCACTGATATAATTGTTTAGCAAAACATTACTCACATCAAATAAATCTGGTGGTCCAGTGGCTAAGTATCGGCAGCTTTGCACGATGCCCGCGAACGGCACGATCAGAAGTGGTATGATCTGCAACATGCAGCCGAACTCTCTGCTAGACGTAGACCAGGACGACGACTGCGAAGATGAGCTTTTCCAGTTGTACAGCAACCGGTAGCCGCCGTTCTTGAACACCGACGTACTGAGGAGCTGTTTAACAAAAAATCGTTTAGCTATATCATCCCTGTATTGACGCCTGCGTGGAAAATATTACTAATGTGCAATATTCAAAGATTAAATATTAGTTTCTTTAACAATCTATACACTTATAATTTATATATATGTGTAAAGAAATCGAATAATGAATCTATATATATAAATGAATCTTAATTTCCCTTGGTCACGCCATCACGCGTAAACGGCTGGACCGATTTCGCTAATTCTTTTTTTGTTGAGTATGAAAGAAAAATTTAAGAAAATTAGAAAATTTAAGATTACTTAACCACTATATAAAATATACATGTATAATAATTAATATATTTATGTAAGATAACTGAGTTTCTTAGTGCACATCACGATAAGTTCAGAGTCTAATATTAAAAGTTCGATTTAATATGGAGTTTTGGTAAGTTTGGATAGACTAATATACACATTATTAGCATAAAAAATTATATACTTTGTTTTAAAGAAGAATACAATAGTTTTCTTTAATTTACAGTTGAAATTTCGTTTTTGAAAATGCCAGATGCAATTAGACGTACAAACTTAAGTCGCAATGCTGCGAGTCAAAGATATATAAGAATAAGTCAAACTGACGATCAACGCGAAGCGCAGAATGAAGTAAACGGAATTGAAATCATCAACATAGAAATGTTGCATCTAACCCCTATCGAGCTGCATTCAATAATAACGTGAACATTGATTACAGTTCACAGTAAATCGTTGCTATTGGACCAATGAACGTTGTGTGCCAATATTGCAAGGCATTTATGTTTAAAAAATGAAGCTCTTGAATTGTGTTGTGCGAGCGGTCAAGTCAAATTGACGCCAATGGTACCGCCACCAGAGTTACAACATTCATTGGTTTCCGGAAATGAGCCAGATTCTAAACATTTTTTTACTCATATCCAGCAATACAATAATTGTTTTCAAATGACGTTTTTGGTGCAACAAAAGTTATTCAAGAAAATGTTATGCAAACTTTCAAGATTCAGGGTCATCTCACTGTTAGATTCTATCAAGTTCCTCATTGCCATCGTCGAATAGTAACTAAAAATTGTTGCAAATTTATTTTATAGGTGATTCGGCAAGATAAGTCGATCAGCGTTGTATACACAACAATTCGGTGAAAAGACCATTTGTAGAACAACTCCAAACGTTTTTTCATAAACATAACAAATTGATTATATTATCACGACTCTTTTTGGACGTCTGATAATCACAAAATCGTCACCAAAGCTGATAAAACGCTTTAGAATAATAAACACTTTTTTTAAATTTTTTTTATTAATTATACCAATTCCAATTCAATATCGTTAGGACAACGATCTGTCGGGTTAGCTAGTAAGAAAATAAGAATAAGGCGGCTGACATTCATTTAATTTATCTTATATGTGCATATGTTTATTTCATCGGTTAATTCGACAATTATATTTTGTGTTTTAGGTAAATGGGTGGTGCACTTACGATTAACGCGACTGGTATGATTATATTCCAGTCAAATGACAGCATGGGCGCCAGCCACACCTGCAGGTGATGATTGGCTTGCGAAAACAACGTGGCCACTACAGTCTCGCCGCTGTACGGACGACCGCGGACCATGAACAGAGCTCCGATCTCCAGCAAATAGAGCACCATCATCCACCAACCACAGCCGACGCAGTAGTCCATGAGGTAGACGACGAAAATCCCCAGCTGAAACGGGCGAACCGATGATTATAATATTTACCGTCACGAAAGTTTGTGAAGTATGTCCACTATTACTTACCTCGGTGGCCATGAACAGACCGATGGAGAACGCGGCCGCGCACGACAGGAACGTGATCGTTGTACGCCATTTCCTCAACTTGAACGGGTGCAACGATATGATGCCGCTGACGACGCAATGCCATATGGCTATCTGCAGCGGAAAATTCAAAAACATGTACACTAATACACGGGGGGCGAGATATTGCGGTTGTCCCGGTCGGGTTCGACTTACCTGTTGTCCGATGCCAAACATGATGAGCACAAAGTAGAAGAGCACGGACCAGAAGGGTGAAATGTTCTTGGCACCGATCATGGCGAACGTGGCCGGGAACAGTTCAGTGGCCAGCCGCATGGCCTGATAACCGCTCTCCTGCGGCATCCCGGCCATGTTGTTCTTCATCGTCCTCTCGCCTAGAAACAGACTACTGTGTTGCATCCATCGCACGGGCGTCAAATGCTTACGCGCCTGCGAGGAGTTTTGTTTGAACAAAAATATATAGGAACTCATCCGTTCTGAAAAAAAAATCATCTTGTAAAAACATTCGTTTTTATATGGTTTCCCTTATTTTCATACTTCCGGCAGTCTTGAAAAGATTTAGGAAATACGAAAAAAGTTTACTAATCAATAATAATAATTGTAATGACAACGAAAATATAAATATAGAAACAAACGCTTACCAAATGAACTGGGTAGGTACACGAATCCACGGGCTTCGAGGAGTTGCACACATGTATTGGCCAAAAACGCGGTTAATATGAGCACGGCTATTGTTAGAATGACTACTAACGAGGCGTCTCTGTGCAGCAGGTGCTTCGGCCGATTGTGCGAAGTGATTTGCATTGTACACGCGCCGAGTATTCCCCACGTGAGAAATGTCTCGGTAAACGCTGCAACCCAACTCTGAAATCCCAAAACACACCGATTTAAGCGAATTACTTCGTGCTAATTTCAACATTGTTGAACATAAAAGTAAAATAACAAAAAAAATCAGGTAAATAATCCAAGTACAACTGATTCATACGATAAAATTGTATCCATCTAACGCGATATTATTGTGTAGTAAGAGAAATTAGTACACTAACATGTCGAGTACAATGTTATAACTAACCTTGGTATTGAGGAAGAACTCGCTCCAATCGGTTTCTGGGAAAATGTCATGATGTTGGAATCCGATCATTGGTGCTAATCCCATCATTTTCGTGCACAGCATAAACATGCCAAACACAGGCACCAATGAGAAAATACATATTATTTTACTGTAGGACTTTAAACCTGTTGTGTACAAGTAAAAAAAAAAAAAAAAATGAATTTTACAAACTAATGAACAATATCTCGAAGATTAGTTTAACGGTCAAATCTGATGCTGATTGCATGAGAATCCATACAAAGAGAAGTTAATTCAGATTTTAGTAACTTTGAAATATATTTATAACTTAATTCACCGGCTGTGTTTTTTAATTCTTCAAAAAACTTTGTATATGCGCGTTGTGTCGTCACAAAAACCTTTTTTAATTTTTCCTCCCTTCATTCACGAAAAATACTAAGCACATACCTGTACCGTTCGTGTGGACGATTGATGATTTTACTACGGCTATAACATTGCTATGACAGCGTTAACGTAAATGGCAAGTTATATGTACCTCTAACCTCGTTATTTCTGGCTAAGCGATAAGATTTGACCGGCAGCGGTGGTTCACATTTTATCGCGCTTACCTTTACTTAAGCATATGAACACGATTGTCCAAATGATCATCAGGTTGATGACTACGGGCAGTTTTAATGAGTTGTCGGTCATCTCAAGTTTTTCCACGTACTTTCTTTGTAAGACTATGCCGTTGAAATAACCTGGTACCGTCTCTTCGATGTTGAATGTGATATTCGAAGAATACGTCGACCAGGGCACACTATCTGCAATCCATTATTATTCGATAAAAAAAACATACTATGAAACGTATTGATGCATTTCCATTAACATTAACATGAATATTAACTCGTAAACACTTATATTTATCAAGTTTTCAGACGTCAACGTATAAATGAAAGTATGTAAAAATGTTGTTGTCTTCAAAACGGAATATTATTATACTGGCTATTATATTAATTTATAATGACGTTTTTTTTTTTGTTACTTGGTATGCAACACATACATTTTTTTTTTGTATACATTTCAAGTTAATTAATTAATTTAAATGTATTCGTTTAAAAGAAAACGCATTTTAGTTTTTAAAATACATTACATTTTATGAAACTAGAAATACTTATGGTAAAAAATAAACAAATGTATTTTCGTGTTGTAAATTTAGTATTAATAATTAATATATTTAAAATATATATAACTTAATAATTTTATTCTAAAAAAAATCACTTAATGTATTTTAATAGATTTATAAATAAACACATATATCAGAGTCATTACGAGTTAAAATATTTTTTTAACAGTTAATACCCGAATCATAAACACATATCAATAAAGTTCAAACCTTATTGTATTGTCATGTCTCGAAAATTCAAATTATTGATGTGCCACAAGCGAATTGCAAACGCAATACATTATTTTATTTGTTAACCTTTATTCTATAATTTATTACATGGATACATAATATTGCAATTGATGTGTACAGGCAGATCAAACTGCGGGTTGCTCCTACCTTCTTTGTACTCGTCGACTGGCTCTGCCCAGCGATAAACGTCCTGTTTCGTGATGAACGAATCGCGAAAATATGTGAACATCCACGAGATACCGATCACCGAGTACGTGCCGATAAACGCCTGGGCCAGGAGCAGTGCGATGCCGATTCCCTGTAATCAATCGGACGTCTAAGTCAACATGTCTTATAACCGGTCATGACCTACACTACAGCATCATCGCCAGAAAGGCAGCTGGCTGCACGCATGGAACGGGAACGTGACAGTCTCCTAAGCTTGCGAACTAAACGCTTTTCACCGACATCAAGGAAGAGCCTGTATTGATTGAACACAAGACGGTTGGGATAAAATTGGTAATAATTCTTTAATAAAATTGAACTGAGCTTTGTGTGTTTCCCCATTTTATATACATATATGAACAAAAAATAAACAATTTCCAGAATATTTAATCGAACGCGTTCGTTCGAACGATAAGAAAAATAAGTATGAATATTTAAGATACTATATTTTATATATATATCAACCTCCTCAGAGTGTCTCCTGGATAGTAATTCTTACAACTGAAATTAATAAAATACGGAACCAAATTGCAAATAATCGAAAAATATTTATGGGATATAATATTTTGGTTGGAATTAAAATATATAATACAAATGTGTACGTTTAAATTAAGTTATTGCGAATGCAACAACTAATGTCTCAATCGAAGTGGACCACAGCAAGTTTGAATGTTTTTGATTTTTCAGCTAGTTTCAAAATTTTGAATAATTAACAACTGAATCGCGATTCGTAATGTAAAAACCATTGAATAGATGGATCCGTGATTCGTATATACGAACTACGGTTTAGTGAATAATTTAACGATTTAAATTTTATCCGAAAAATACTTGAATGGAGACCGTGACTATGAACTGTATGTACCTAGCAATACAGGTACTGGTATTTTATCGGAAAGGTTAACATTTTTATCCGTCACGTGCACAGACGATGATATATTCGACTGGATCCCGTTACACGGAACGAGTGCTGTGGGCGTTGTGCGACCGGAACCGCGGACCTACCTTGAATATTGGAGATATTCTCCACATATCCATGACGCCGGCTCCCAGCAGCTGACCGAGTGAACTGTGGAACGTGAACATAGGCACGCCGACTAGCAACGATAACACTAGGAACTGAAGTATAAAGTTGGCTGTGAACAAACAAAAATCACACGTAACGTCAAGAGCTCCCTGGGAAGGATCTAGGTTTTTGCGGATCGATCTCGATCGTATTCGACTAACCTCCAAATTGTACGGTTAGTATGGCGAATCTGCTGATGTTAAAGGCTCCCAAAGTGCATCCAAGCGTTGCCAACACGGAACTATATTTGTTGTTCCATTGGCCCAACGGACTCTGGGACTCCTGAGACATTTCGTAAGCCCTGTAAAATGATAAAAACAAATCGATCCGTTAATATAATATTACTTTGCTGTGCAACGTGCGTTCAATATAATCGTATATTCCATGCACTCAAATGAATTTGCACATTATTATACGCGTGAGTCGGATATCGTTCACGCGCATCTAATAATTAACGTGAATATCAAGGACATCGTGATTATTGAATAAAATAATCGTCGCTATTATTATTAATATATAATAAAATACGGTATAATAATTATAGGAAAAAAAATAGTTCGTCAACACTTGTGTACATTCGATATTATTGGTCGGAACTTGAACATTTTTTATCGGACTGAACGAATTTCAATGAAATTTATAAATTCAACTTTGCGTGAAATAATATCCCTAATGATGATCGGTTCTTACCACACGCATACATGTTTTTAGTAGGTACAATAGTTTCTCATGAATAAATTTTAAAATAGGACCGTAGGATGAGATTATACGCGTGAAATACACACCTCATTTAAAGGGTTAACCATCTGTGTTCGGTGTTCGCAGCTATACTTTAGATAAACGAAAAAATTAATGTTAAAAAACACGTGTTAGTTTTTATTATCCATCAAAGACGTTTTAATGTTAACAATAGAATATCTTCCAGTATTTAATCTTGTTTAGGTAAAATTAAATAATTGTGTAATAATCGCCAAGCCTGAAATTTTGATACTTTGTATAATAATGATTATTGAAATAAATTACTTTACGGAACTATGAAAAGATATATTCTTGAGATTTTCAAATACACCAAACCGGTTATACGGTTATTATTATATTATTATATATTCATACATCAATATTATCATCACAAAACCGGTCGAGTTTTGTTTGTTAAACAAACTTATAATTTAACAAAATAATTGTAACACACGCAATTTTTCTGAATATCGATAGGATCCAGGTAACTTCAACTGTATTAGTTCAAACAGAAGTAAGGAATTGCTTTTATCAGACAAAATCATTTTAAACGCAAATCTCCAAGTTCACAAATATATAATTTTCATAATAAAATATTGACAATCCAAAGTCGCGTACAACATTGTGTGTACTTGTTAGGATCGTTTAAAGTAGGAATACTCTCTAAGTAATTACTAGGGCTCGGGACTTTATGTGCTTAAAATCTTAAAAATATATGCATATATATGCACCAAAAAATATAAAAATATGCGATTAAATATGCATTTATTTTTAATTAAAAAAGACGTACTAAAATTAATTTAATTTTAAAAAAATGTATCTTGCACATCGTCCGTGGTTCGTCGATTACTGAGTATTGGCAGACAAAATAATACTGTGAAATAAGGAAATAAAAATAAAATTGTCTTTAGACCTAAAAATAAAATGGGTTCCCGAATAAAATAAGCGGAATAACACTATTGAGTATCGCCTTATTGGTATTATTGCAGACGAATTCATATAGATAAAACTGATAAGAATGAATAATGCATCAGCGCGTTTTGTTTTCTAAGGCTGGGCGCACACCTTAAGAGCAAAACTACTCCGAGCTTCGCGGAACATTTTGTTCCAAAAAGCTCGGAACAAATTCCATTCACACTGAAAAAACAAAACAGAACAAGACACAATAATTCTGGATTAATTTTTGTTATTAAACACCAGTCGTCAAGATGAGTTCTGACAAAGACGACGTCGTTGTGTCGCTTATGTGGCAATTTTCATTAAATAATGAGAGTAGAAAAAAACGCAAAAATTTCGCCCCTCTCCTAAAATACGCCCCTGCACGTAGTGTATACAAATAGAAACATCTACGTATTTCAAAAAGTATAACGAAAAATTTTCGATTTGATTGTAGGATAAAAATACGATTTTTGCACAATTTTGCGCCCCTTTGCGACCCCTGACGTAGGCACAGTTCGCCTTGCTTCGTCACTGACTAGTCGTAAAATAAACAAGTGACTTTGGTTTTCGTATTTTTCTCAGAATAAAAATAGAATCGGACGGATCAAGTTCAAACATGTTTTTTCTTGTCGTGTGTTGATGTTGACTGATTAGTGTGCACGCGTTAATTACTTTACACGTGTTCTAATGATGTCCAAACAGTTCTGAGCTACTCGGAGCAGTTTTGCTCTATAAGTGTGTGTCCAACTTAAATAACATTTTTATAACGTATCAAAAATGAAAATTTTACAATTATATTTTTGATTAACTAAAAAAATTAATTTACAAGTAAATTATCAAAAATTATTTTAAAATATACAAGTTTAAATCAATTAAATCAATAAATCTAAAAAATATGCACAATTAACTTTTAAGCTTCAACTCCAAACATTACAACACAAATTTGTTCCGTATCAGATTTATTCTATTTACTTCCCGAACAAATATGAAAATGCATAAAGTCCCGAGCCTTGATAATTACGTTTTGTTTCCTTACACCATACAACACAGCCACATATATGGACGTGATAAAATATAATATATTTAAATATAATAATAATGATGGTAAATACGAATATGTATTGTGCGCGGTCGTTATCACGGCATCGTTATAAATCGTCATAACCGATCATGCAACAGTCAATATAACGCAATAATACTATATTAATCATTATGGCTGTTCGCTAGCGACATATAGTTTTTTCAGACCAATAACTGAACAAATCTATTTGTTATTATTACTACTATTACTATTATCATCATCAACTGCAGCAACTGTTTGTCTACATATAACCATTGTGTATGAATGCTTTGCTATTCTATTTTTTTATTTGTACAGTATATATATATATATAATTTCATAAACTGTTATGAGCCAAACGTTATTAGACGGTCATCATTTCTGCCAAAATAAAACTTGATTTTTTGTTTTCGCCAAGTATCGTTTCCGCCAAAATGAAAAAGGTTCGATTTTCGTTTCAGCCGAACCTTTTTCTACCTATATAATTGAGATGAAATTTGAGAACTCCTAGTTCATGAGCAATACTATTGGCCATCGAAGACTAAATTTGGATTAACATTTTTCGATGCTCAAGAAGTTTCAAAATTATTTATTGAAGATTGTACGTCTACAATACTAGAAGGGTCAGCATATTGTAGATATGCTGATTATTTATTTGATAATAATATCTCCAAAAGTAGTATGTTTCCCCCAACAATGTGGTCCGATTTTAGTTCATATATATCCAGAACAAAAAATAACTGTGAATCATTTCATGCACATTTTAATGAGCAATTTTATAAATCACATCCACACATTAATACATTAAAAAAAAAATGTTAATTTCAAATGTTCAAAACAACATATACATTCAAATTAACAGTTGCCACTTAAGTATGAAAAACCTGTAAGATTTAATTTAAAAAACAATTAATTAATATAAAAACGCAATAGATGAATACAAAAATAAAACTATTTTAAAAAGGAAATGTTTAATAAATGTATGCAAAAATTATTCAAAGTAATTTATAGACTTATAAATAAATTATAATAAAATATAGAAATAATTTATAGTTATCAGAAATATTTTATTATATATATATATATATATATACTTCTGGTGCTTCTGGTGCTCTCAATTTCAATCATCATATACCGTTACAAATTTTTTCATCATTAACAACCGAACGCGTTGAAACGTCTTTAATAGCATTATACGCGTGTAATAAGAATAACAATAATAATAGTAATGTATTATTGTGTGACTAAATACCCGCTGCTAAAAACGCCGTATATTAACAAAAATTAAAAAAAAAAAAAACCTTCCCAAGTCGAAAAAAGTAATAATAATAACTTCTAACTATAGTCAGTAGATTGTGCAATCCGAAAACAAAAAAAAAACAAATAAAAAAAAAAAAAAACGTATCTAATGTTGGACTCTACAATAATAATTTAATAGTTTATATTTATACTATTATATAAATAAACTATGAAATAAATCAAAAGGATAATATAACGCACTTAAAATTTTAAAATATTGATTTTTTTAGGATCTCGTGCTAGGTATACGCTACATATCAATACATTGTATTATCATAGATGATGATACACACAGCAGATTAGTTGTTCGAAAAACTCTGTCCAATTAATCGACCGTTATACGAACAATGCCAATGAGGTTAGGTCAAGCAAATTAGAAAGAATGGAATATTCTCACATATAATGTGTTTTTGTGTAGCGAAAAAAATAATAAAAGTGGAAGCAAATTAAGCCCTCAATATTCTCAAAATGAAATAATTCAATAAACATGATGTCAGAGGGGGAGGGAAAAGAAAAATTTAACTCATAAAATATGTAAAAACGGAAGAGACATTTCAACAAAACATAAATCATACATTGTTGCAAATTGTTTTTTTTTTTTTACTGTACGTAGAGGCCACATTTTAACGACTCAGGTATTGTTGTATGTGTTGTATTCTTTATAACTACATTCATTTGATTTGAAAAGAACACTACAATAGTGCAGTGTATATTTACTATTACATATAGGTATACACAATAAAAATATGTTACATAAAAAAATTGTATTTTACCGGCCGTAGACCCACTACGTTTTTAGCCCACACACACATACAGACTTAATTAAAAAAAAATTAATACAAAACAAATGAAAAAAATCCCTACACGAAATAAGATTAGCGTTTTAAAAATATATATTTAACCACCATGCAAAAAATACTATACATTACAGATGATATTAATTATATGATACAACACTCACTCGTCGGCGCATTCTCGTACGTCGATAATACTTCCATACCGATTGGTGATGACTTCGAAACGTGGCATTTAAGTACGATCGCGTCAACACATTCAAACTTAAATCTTCGCGAACGCGAACGAATCGTCGCTAGCATAAATCCGATCTTAGTTCGAACATGATCACTTTACTAATGAGCGTTATTTCAGGATCAAGGGAACTAGTTACGTAAATAAATCTGGTAAAAAAATTGTTGTTTTTTTTTTTTATTTTATCGCCAAGGTCGTCTAGTATTGAATCAAACACGGAAACTCAAGATTTTCTG